TGCGGTAACGTTTCCCAGCCGAGTTCAGACATTTTTTCTCGGGTCACTTTTGCGGTATGAGGCTTGGCGTTATCCTGCAAGAATATCACTGTCTTCCGATTGATCAAAGAAGGCTGTTTCTGGATGAGTGCTGCTTGTACGCGTTGAAACTGCTCACAATACAAGTTAGCAGTGCCGGTTTGACCCCTTTCCAAAAGCTCATAATGGACAATTCCAGTTGCTGTCCACCAAACACACTACAAAACCTTGTTTGAGCGCAAGGAAGCCTTGGGCGTGTCTGGTACCGAATCAGTAGGCGTCAGCCAATGATACGAACGCTTAGAATTCGAATACAAGATCCATTTTTCGTCGCAGGTTAATAACCGATCAAGAAATGGTTCATTAGCGTTGCGTGAAATATTTGCTGAACAAATGGTAAGACGACTTAATTTGACATCATTTGTCAGTTCACGTGGGACCAATTTGCTTAACTTCCACGTCTTTCCTAGCTGATGAAGATGCAAACGAATAGTTTCAGGACTCACTCTGAACATTTCTGCAAGTTCTTGGCACGTTGTCCTGGAATTTGCGTCCACAATATGTCGAAGATCCTCGTTGTTCATGATTTTTGGTCTCCCTGAGCGCGGGTTCATCGCTCAAAGTGAGATCTCCCCAAGAAAAATTTTTGAGCCACTTCTGTGCTGTTTTATTCGTCGCCCTTTTTAAATTATTAAATCTAAGTATCTAACAATTTTCAGCAACTTATTATGTGTGTGAAAAAAGAAGGATTCATACTAAAGTGACAACAGGTAACAAACAATCGCTATCGATCAACAACATCCATGGCAATCTGCGATATACAGCAACCGCACGAACTTATTTGGTTGCCTGATATAACAGTAGCGTGCGATTTGATCGGCTATTCTCTTCAGTTTTGGTACTTGACTGTAGCAAGGTGTCCATGGAACTCTATAACAACTTTGATTCTTCTTGATATATGTATAATTTGTTTTTTGATTTTAGGATGTGGACACAATGAAGCTGTTCCTCGTTATCGTCCATGCTCGGTAAAATGTGCCCAGCAGCATAATGTTTGTCCGTTCGGTTGAATTCCTAATATCAAATGTGACTACAAAACTGGATATTTGAGAAAAAATGATAAATGTGTACCATTATCACAGCCCGTGAGAAGTAGTGTAAAGAATAAGTCATTAGTTTTGCGTAAGTGGGAAGGAGATTGGCAATAGTTATTGGCAATTGACTTTTTTATACAACATTTTAATCCGACAATAAATGAATATCAAATGTGTAGTCAGAATCACAATGAACAATAAGTATCTCATAGCTTATGTGGCATATCTTAACATATTCTAACCGAATAACTATTTATTCACAGTATAATAAAGCAAACCAGCAAACCACCAAAGAAATCTAAATCAACACGATCACACTAAGAAAACAAATGTTGAAATGCAGTCAATACATGATGCAAATGTCCTCATGTCAAACTACATTAAGCCGTTTGGTCCGTGAAATATATAATTCACAGCTATTTTCCGGGATTAAAAGCTGCATATGTGCTATCCCAGACTGTAATCTGTCTGTGTACCAAATTTCATATAGAACGGCTTAGCCATTTTTGCGTAATTAAATAGCAAACATCCACACTTCTTCATGTATAATATTATAGATATCCATAGTAGAGATATGCAAGTAAAATATAATAAATATATAATTAAAAAATAAATAAATTAATAAGTCAAATGAAATGTTAAAATTAACAGTTACTTATTTTAGTAACATTTCGACATCGTCATGTACAGACAAATGCTTTTGTCGGTTCGTGTCCCAGTTTATCAGTGAATGAATCTGGGTAAATTCGTATTGGGTCCAGCACATCCTCGTTGGTGGTCTCCCGGGAATATTTCTAAGGAAGTTTATAAATTTGGTACTTACTTGTGAGTTTTCAACCGGAAACAATTGGGAGAAGCATTTTTTACCAATTTCTTTCTTCAAAGTCGTGCGAATATTCCACTTTTTCTTTAATATTATTACTACAGGCAGAAAGTACTAGTATGAACTTCCAATGTGCTATTCAACACTGTATAGCAAGCCTTTTCACACAATATAAACGAAAATTAAAGACTATTTTAAATTAAGAACTAATGACTCTGAATTTATTCATATTCTGAAAGTTCTGTAAATTGGTTTCCGAACGAATTATTTGAAAAAATACTTAGAAAGTCTTATAGTAATGGTATACCGTGTGTTTTCTAATTGAATGTCAATATTTAAGGGCACGATTTTTGGGTCCGTTTTACTATGAAAACTTGGTTTTTGAGTTACAAGGTGGTAAAGTTTTGAAGATGGAAAGTCAGTTACGTGCCACTCTTAAAACAAGAAAAATGAAATTTGTAGTCATTTATCAGGAGATCTGATTTCTTGAATTTTTTAGTCCTGTGCACGATTTTTGACTAAAAAATAAAAGCTATTTATCTGCATGGTGATATTGCCATATTGACAATATTGTTATGTTAATAATAATAAAAATAAGAATAACAATAATAATTTTAATAATAATCTCATTAATTAGTATTATCTACAAAAGGCGAGATTTAGCTTAATGCTACACTTACACATAACCTTAGGTGGGCGTTGTTCAGCAGAAGATTTTAAAATTTGAAATTCAAATAGACAAATGAAATAAGCAAACCTCTCTTTACAGTACAAAGTTACTTGTACTGCTTGTTAACCTGTTATAATGCGTTAATAAATAATTTACATGTATCTATCGTACAAACATTGCTTAAGTGCTACCCTAAATTTTCGTGCTGGTAATTGTTTCAGTTCTAAAGGAAGTGAGTTTAAATTCGTGATTGATTGATACGTAAAACTTCTAGTTGAGTAAAAACGCATGTCTAGACATAGTTGATCTCTTATGTTTAAAGTATGAATATTTGATCTAAAATGTATTTTGTCCTTAAGGTATACTAGAGATGTAGAATCTCTGATCAATTTATGTAAAAAATCGTGATATCATGTTGTAGTGCTACTGAAATTTTTAACCTACTCAAGACATTATTTTTTTCGGATATATGGTCATATTTCATATGTCCATTAACAAAGCGACAGCATATTTATGCTTTGTATCATTTGGATTCTGCAAATACACATGTGATCAAAGCAACACATGTGATCTAGGACAGGAAAATAAACTAAGAATTCATATTTGGCGATAGAGAGAACCAAGGTTTCAGTATGTTATTATTGTATAGTGAGCGAATTCGTATGTATGCTTTTTGGAATAAAGTATTAAATAGCCAGGTGAAGGTGGAAATTGTAAAAATGTTATACATTAAAAACGCCTCTTAATACATACATGTACGCCAAATTTCTTTAAAATATCTTAAGTGGCATTTACATAGGCAGGTGTGTTAAGAATAAAAAATAATAATAATTTATTTTTGAAAACTTCACTATCGCGTATCTGAGAAGTAAGGAAGTTTAGGTCATACGTTCATATGAAGCTTTCTTCTCCTTTCAATATTGACATTACGTCTTCGACAATTTGAATTACTTCTGCTCACTTCGCACTGTGCGACGTGCTCCAGTCCAACCCAAGTGCCTCGCGTGATGTAGGTAAGCCTGGTAGTTTATTAACACTTCGGATCTAAAAAATGAAAATGACACGTTTAGATATCATGTTGTTTTACCCCATTGTTTCGTACGTTGTTGTTTGTGGAAAGGAAAATCCCAACATTTAGAACACCCTGTAATTGATACCAAGAGTGTAAGCGCCAGGATACGCTAGGATATGTAGTAATGTCAAATGCTTATAGAATTAAAGCTCAGAAGGGCGACCTTTTGGTGCCGACCAAATACATACAGGGTGTTTCACAACTTATCCGACAAATTTTAACCACATATACACTGTTACGAAAGAAGTTGATTTCTCAAAAAAAATGTATTAAAAGTCCTACAGCAATCGAGATAATAAAATAATACAATTCAACAGTTCACTAACTTATAAAAGTTGTTCAAAATTGTTTCCATTGGCTGCAATGCACGCTTGGGCGCGTCTAATCCAATTTTGGCGCACTAATTCAAATACACCTCCCTCCTGCTGTGCCTGACGGCTCAAATTATTGGCAGCCACTGTGGTTCGGTCACGCAATTCTCCACTATTCTGAACTGGAGTACGGTATACCTCGTTTTTTGAGTATCCCATAAAAAGAAGTCCAGAGGATTTAGATCGGGAGACCGTGGAGGCTATGCAATTGCTCCACCCCTACCGATCCAGCATATCTGGTATACCTGATTCAAAAAAATCACGAACTTCTAAACGAAAATGCGGAGGTGCCCCATCATGCAGAAACCACATCCGTGCTTGGACCACCAATGGCACATCTTCAAGAAGGACCGGCAAATCATTCCGAAGAAATTCCAAATACTGGTAACCATCCATCCGATCTGGTATGTTGAGCATTTTCTTGCAACAACCACTCTCAAAATCTCATTTTTTTGTTTTTGTCAGTTGTTTGGTACAACATTAGGTACAATACATTATTAATGTAAATTATTAATGCGTGTTCTAATATCACGACGATGAACGCAAAATACAGATATTTATTTTTCAATTTATTATTAAAACTCAGGTTTATATTTATAACTTAATTTCTGTAGGGCTTTTATTACATTTTTTGTGAAATCAGCTTCTTTCGTAACAGTGCATATGTGGTTAAAGTTTGTCGGATAAGTTGTGAAACACCCTGTATAACTATGACAGCGCGCATCTATAAAGTCGCCTAGACGATAAATGCTTCTTCCTCAACTAGGTATGTAATGTACTATCGTTTATATTTTTCAGCAATTATTAAATATCTGAAGGCACTAACTTATTGGCTTATTTAAACTATAGATAGCCGCTTTAAATGGAATACGGCATAAGTAATTTCATTAACGTCATATTACGATACACAGCCCGTAAACAAATGATATAGATCTCACATATATTAGTACCTAAATGCTATAAATGTTATAAACAAACTGTTGTTTGCATATTGCACAAGTTGCAAAATAGAAATAAAGGCCACTACTGTATAGGTATTACATGTTAGAACATCTAAAACTGATATAAATAATTATTGAATTCACAAAAACGAAATACATTGAAATGAAATATTTTGCTCTGTCAATACTATCGTTATTTGTGATTTTGACAGCATATGGGAATGCATCAATCAGTAAGTATATCAAGTTTTTCTAAATGGATGGAGTAATATCGAACTTGGTATCCTATTTCCGAGAAGAATGTCTCTTACTATGTCATTAGTTAGACTGACTGCCTGCTACATATAAAGTTGGGTTTTAATATACTGTGTCTCAACTAATAATAGGCACCTAAACGCACATCTGGATAGCTCGTAACACCAGGGAGCGGAAATGGACATTTTGCTCTACGAACTTCAATAATTTTTTAGTTTCAAAATTTTCAGAAACGCGGCCGTATCTTTGGTCTGGACAAAAACCAGTCTTCTAGGTAAATTGGTTGCGTAAATTTCCAACGTGAATTTGATACACAAGTGATAATTTTCTACCTGAAACTAGGCTCCACGGTTATTCACATTTTTCTTGATGACCATATTCACATTTAGCGCCCCAAATTGTCTAAGTCATTGCTTGTACCACAAATTCCTGTAATTTCTTATTTTTGCTATGAATAAATGTTCAAAACGCGTAAATTAGGAAAGTTCAAATAAGTGTGCCCCCAGCAAACTTTCTTTAACCCCGCCCATGTCTACGACAGGTCATATTTCTTAAATGGTCATATTCACATTCACCGCCCAAAATTACCTGGATGTAGAAAGTTTTATCTGCCGATAACAGCAGAAAATAACAATGTAACTATTGCCCCGCAAGCTCTCAAATTTTTTATATATATTTCCATCGGGAAAACTTACGAAAACGCATTCGTATCTGTGATCTAGACGAAATGTCGCCTATTAGATAAATCGAGTACGTGATTGAAGCATAGGCCAACTTTAATTTTCTTGATGATAGCGCATATATAGTCACAACTTTTTTCAGAATGTGGACCCAATGAAACTGCTCCCGCTTGTCGTCCATGCAGAACAACATGTGCCGACCGACACAAGATTTGTTCGTTTATTTGCATACACAATACCAAATGTTACTGTAGACCTGGATTTTTGAGAAAAAGGAGTAGATGTGTACCAGAATCAAAATGCTAAATAAGACGTATAATGATTCATGACTTGTAATCTGTCATAATAAATATTACAGCGTTGTTACCCAAGCATATTTCATTTATCATCCAAAAACTCCCTCCATTGCTGATATTTTGATATTGATCAAATCAAATGGAGAAAATGAACACACAAAAATTGCGTTTATATATTGGGGAAATCTTGCGAATTAAACTATTTTTAATAATGATAAACAAACTGACGCATTGTTTGATTTTTTTTCACTACTAACTTGAGGATCCTAAGTAAATAATGAATATACGAGTATGCATTCATATACATGTAGGGCTTCTTTGGCCTGTTGGGTCATTGCTATTAATCCATTATTAAATATTTCTTATAATTTTTTTTTTACTGCTAGTAAATTCATAACCGATATTGTAAGTTGTTAGTTGTCATCATATTTCGTGATATTTCAGTGAATCTGTTTTAAAGTATATTTGAAAACAAATGTGCCGCTATTGAAAATAGATGTTTATTATACTTATCTACCATTATACATTCTTGCCATACATTATGAGAAAGCAGCAGTTAATTATTGGATCCATTTTTAAAAAAATGCAAAGGTGTCCGAATATTTAATTGTTTGGGCTCGTAGTAGTAAAAAAATATGAACAAATCCCGGTGAAGTCCATGATTGTTCCCGCATATATATCCCTTGGCGGTAAGCGCCTCAGGATATAAAAGAGCGTCTCCATTAATACTTCTCCACCAAGGTATGTAATGTGCAGTTATTTTGACTAAACAAAGAAAACCAAGGGGCGGCTTCCAATTAGATTCAATCTGAGTTTAAAATATCTACATATACTGGTATTTCGGAAGGACCAGTGGGGTATTGTTTCCACTACGCCAAAACTGGCGTAATCACGAAAAATTTTGAATTTAAGAGATGTTATATGACATGTACATCACGGAAAACTATGTCACTCATTTCCGTCGGTCTGTTTGTCTGTCTGTCAGTCGTCGGTCTGTCCGCTAATTTCATAACCGCCTATACCTTGCAAAGTACCGCTCGGAGTTTGATGAAATTTTCACACAAGGTTATTACTACACCAAGAATGGAAAAGCTTGGTAGTTTTTGGAAATCGCTCTGATGGTGTCGGAGATAAACACCAAAAACGAAAAAAGTAAAAATTGATCAAACTTCGTTTTTTGACATTTTAGATAATCATCATTTTCAGAACAAAAATTGTATATTTATAAGCTCATAAACCCGGTAATTATATGCACCTGTTAGCCATACTTCACACGTCATAGATTTACCCGTACATTTGCCTTTACAACTTAGAATGTGAGAGGAGCATTTTCGAGCCTATCAAAGCGAGGTCCAAGTTCGCCCAGAATAATCTGGGCTGTTAAAAAACACAACACAACTAACTTAACTTAACATTTTTGTACACCACTATTTATGTCTGACTACTTAATCACGAATTATTATGTCGCGCCATTCACTCAACTCTGCTTCCCTCTCTCGGCCGTCGGCTTATGTATTCCGCATCGCAGGTACTGATTCGAGAAAGTTCCGGTATGCCACATAGCGGCTAGTCCAGCACCTTCTGAGTCAGTCTCGCACCTCGCGTCAATGCCGAAGAAGAGTCCCTAGCGCGATTCCCAACAGATAGCGCTAGTAGTACCATTCACTCTTGTTCCACTGCCGCCTCCCTAAAGTCATTCTGGAATGATCTTACTAGTGGTGGATGTCGATATCTGCACGACTGCCCTTTCTTGCAGTAGGAATTCTTGAAAAAGTAACAATCAACACTCTTTCCAAGAGATAGCCGACTAAGACTGTGACAACATACCAGAAATCAAATGCCTGTATACCGGAATACTACCTCAAGCATGCTTCGGATGATTTTCCAGTCCAAGTTGTCTAGTCCACATGCCAGCTTAGGTATTGCCAGTTTCCTCAGGTTCTAGGCAAGCAAGACCTCTCTAAGACAACGCAAATCGTTCCAGACATCCTCGTAATTCGGTTTCCGATACGAAGCTTTTTTGGAAACCAGATAGAAAATCTTTCGGTTGGCACTCTCTTCAGTTATCTGGAGTAATTCTCCGACTTCCGGGTTAGACTGACGCAGCTCGGGCACTTTTCCAAACTTTCAGAGAAAGACCTTTTCTGTACCTCTCGGCATTTGCAAGTGTTGAGCCACACAGTGTGCCAGGGCATACTTTGGTGAAGTGGTAAACAGATTTTGCTGTACTTCACATGTCATGCCATACCGACTCTTATGGCCATTGGCATGGTGAGCCATAAATTGGTCAAATGTCAGGTCCGATTCTGGTTGGATTTTGCACACCGCCGCATCTTTGTTATTTCCATGATCAGAGGCAGGTCAGTTGAAATGTGCGATTCGGGCTTTGCCGCGTGGTACCTCCTGAATCTTGTAGAGAACATCGTTGATGGCGTCCAGAACTTTATATGGCCCGTCCCAGGATGATTGAAGTTTAGGCGACAGCCCTTATCGCCTGTTTGGGTCGTAAAGCCGAACCGTATCCCCATTGTCATACCTCTGGTCTTTGGCATTAACGTCATAAGCTTCCTTCATCCGGTCGCTGGCACCTTCAATTGAAACACGAACCTGGCTATAGGTGGCGTCCATAATTTTACGCAGGTCACTTACGTAGTCTGCTCCGGCAATATCAGCCTCTGGTGAACAGCCAAACTTTAGATCGCATGGGAAACGAAGTTCTCTTCCCATTACTATTCAAACCAGGGTCTCCCCTGTGCTTTCATGAATCGACGATCGGTAATCCAATAAGAAGAGGTACAGAAAACTATCCCACTCTCTTTGATGGCTAGAGAGTACCTTAGCAAAATACCGGTTAATGGTCCATCCATGCGCTCCACCATTTCATCTGACTGCGGGTGTAAGGCAGTAGTCCTGGTCTTCTTAATCCCAATGATTTAACAGATACTTTGGAACAAATTTGACTCGAATTAGCGCCCTTGGTCCAAATGCAACTCTAAATGTACACCAAATCGACAGATCCATTCCTTTACTAAAGCATCGGCTACCGTAGAGGCTTCCTGATCTGGTAGAGCGTATGCCTCAACCCACTTGCTGAAGTAATCCATTACCACAATGGTGTATTTATTCCTTGCTTCACTTTCCGGAAAGGGTCCCGCCAGATCAATAGCAATCCTTTCAAAGGGGCTCCCCACGTTGTATTGGCGCATCGAAGCTTTTGGTTTCCTTTACGGTCCATTACTTGCCGCACACACAACGGATTTTCGGCACCAGTCTTTTACGTCCGCCTTGCTATTGAGCCAGTAAAATCTTTCCCTCACTTTTCCCGGGGTTTTTTGTAAACCGAGAGTTTTCCTTTTAGATTGACACAATTTTCCACGAGTTTTCCTTCTAGGTTGGCACAATTTTCCACGAGCTTGTTTTCTAACTTAGTCGAAAGGTTTTGCAGCATTAAACCAATATGCCCTGCACCGGTAAAAATGAAAATATCCGGGTCCTCGCCTTCCTCAATCAGTGCTTTACGAAGCCGCTCTTGCAATTTCGCTCTCTTTGAAGCCGTGTCGCACTCTCTTTCCTCCAGCTCTCTTTTTGAATCGGCAATTTTCAGATCAACCAATCGCTCCATTCTTCCTTCACTGATCGTCCGATTTATTTTTACTAAATGTCCAGTAATCTACACCCCACGCCTGACACCAATGTAGCGTTTCTCTGGGTTCTTTTGGGTGTGAATTAAAACACTCGATTCCACAAAAAGAAATGCACTAATTTATTTAAAACACAACACAACTAACTCTAACTTAACTAGATAGAACATTTATGTACGCCACTATTTACGTCTGATTACTTATTTACGAATTATTATGTCACGCCATTCACTCAACTCTGCTTAGCGGACAGTCCTTCGGGGGTCAGTCTCTCACCTCGTGTCGTTGCCGAACGAGAGTCACTGGCGCGATTCCCAACAGTTGGGACTAGTAGTACCATTCATTCTTGTTACAATAGCTTGAAACTGGTATCATGATAGGTCTGTAGCATTGGTTACCATTTTGAGAGATAATAGATGATTTTTAACTACAATTTTGTCGAGAGAAAATGTTTTGGGTGGTATGGTTAGATTATTGCAAACGCGTTTGATCGAATCCATCGATTCCATGTAAAAAAAGTATTTTTAACAACTTGATGGTACTTCAAGAATAAAGACCGAAAGTCCAAAATTCGTATCAAAACAATCGCCCGACATGCTTCGCACTCAACGTACGTTGTTCACGTATTAGCATACAAAATGTTTTCACGTGGGGATATTTCCATAAGTTATTATACCATTTTAGAGTGATTATATTTCTTTACTGCCATGCGTAAGGATGAAAAATGTAATACTTTCGGATAGCTTCTGATGTTTTCATAACGAAAATGCAAGTCTATTAGTCTGTCTATTGGTCATTTTGCCACTGCGCAGCTTCAGCAACCATGGCAACGGTTCTAATGGAAAGGAAGATATATCATAAACCAGCATTATCTACTACATCTCCTCTTCCATTAAAATCACTGCAACGGTTACTGTAATTACTCAGTGACAAAATTCACTGATAAGAGCGACTCACTTCACCTCCTCAAAGAAAACATGACAAATTATCAAAAAAGATTACATTTGCCATACTTACAAGTGGATTCACTTTAAACATTGATTGTGAAGTAACCTTCACGTGAAATAATGTTATATGCGGATAACGTGAACAACGTACGCGTACCAATGTCGTGCGACTGTTTTCAAGAAAGGTCGAAAAGCTCATCAGATTTTGACTAGAACCATAAAATCTTAGTTCTCAGTTGGATGAAAGTTGCTAGAAATATAAAAATATTAACCGATCTGTACAAATATTACTTGGAATTTAGTAGTACATGCATTGTGTCACTGTAATGTGGATCAAATAAGTTGCTGTTTCCGGAATGTGGACCTAACGAAGGTGTTCCCATTTGCCGACCATGCTCCGTGAAAATGGCATTTGCGTACCTATATCAGAGTGCTGAATAATAAGTATGATGAATATTGCGTTTCAATCACCTATTTACATTTGTATAATAAACGTCTTATATGTGGATTGGAAACACTAAAGCATCCATATACATAATCCCATGATTATAGTTTGAATGCACTTTGTAGTGAAATTTGTTGGAATGTGTGATTATTTTCTTGCTACAGATAACTCTATTGGATTCGAATTCAGCACCCCAAAAAGCATAAAAGCGTACTACGAAGAAAAATTTCAAAAGCCTTTCCTTCCAGCAACTACGATAAATCGGTCGCGTAGATCAAGAGCCGATGATATTTTTGCTTTTGGAAAAACATATGATCCCTGACGATCTTATTAGTATTAAGGGATCCAGCGCCCCAAATTACCTAAATAGGTTTCTTATAACAAGTAATTCCGAACTAGTTCAGAACTAATTCCAAATTATTGTTTTGCGCGCTTACCCGAGGAGTGTACTGTTCAGAACTAGTTCCGAACTATTTTGTTGAAACAGATAATTACATGCCTTGTCGTAAACATAACATTAATTGAGGGAAAATTTATAATGACCAATTTGTGATTTAAGAGAATTTATTGTTCTTTGACGTGCTGTACATCTTTAAAGGGGAAAACGAGATGGCAGGCTTCATAAGATAAGAGTAGCTTAGTGAAATATTTTGAAGAAGTAGTACGAGTAGTTTTGTCTTTTTTAGCAGTGGAAGGATAAATTATTTTGACCTTAGAGGAGACATGTTCTGCTACAGTATAAGGGAATGAAATTTAAAGAAATGCTAACAACACTAAGCTAGTGACTTTATGTTAGAGAAATATATAAGAATAATACTGTATTACCAACCCGACTGATATAAATTCATGAAAATTGCACAAATCCACAAAATAAAAAAGTGGTGTGCGCTGGGGTTTGACTACATTTATCTCATATACTTTTTCTCGCTGAACACGAATCTGAAGTCAGAATTGAGGATCAATGGGTAAATGTTAGAGAAAACGGATAAAAACTATAAAAAACGTATTAAAGGTCCAAATTAAAAAATGTGTACACTGGGGGTCGCACTATATTTTATATTTATTTTTTCCCGCTAAAGGTGAAACTGAACTGAAAATATACATATACAAATATGAAAGTAATGCAGACATAAGACCAAATTTAGTAGTTTTGGTGGATGTGCATCTGGCAGAAATCAGGAGCACACACCCACCAAAATTACCAAAATATGTGATCTCGATGTCTAAATTACTTTCATCTTTGTCCAGCAACCCCCAATTCTGACTTCAGATTCGTTTTTAGCTGTAAAAACTACACTCCAAACTCCACTTCATATTTTGTATGCCTGTTATCTATATTTGCCTATGATATGTTCCGTCCTGGTACTTGGGACTCCTATAATCTATAATCAGTGAAAAAACTTCATCTTCACTTGTTTCAAAGTGAGCTCCATCGTCACCCATTTTTTGAATATGTGTAATTAGCGCTACAGTAATCGGTTAAGATTTAGCTTTGATATACGAATAGTTTAGAAAGGCACAAAACGGGAGCCACAAGACCCAGCTTGTTATCTATGAACATCTAATCGACGCCATTTATTCTGTCAATGCAAATAATAATAAAATAATGCTAGCCGCTTGCCTGTGAATCGGCAAAGCCGGCGGGAGCGAAGCCACGTTTGGTCGGTTGCTACACTCTTTTGCTTCGGTACCAGACTATCTTCTTGTCTTCGTGACAAAAATAAAAAATTTACATCGAAAATTTTTTTAAAGTTTATCAATTTATAATCTTCCAAAACTCTCTTGTATCAACAACCTTGACCTAAACTTGTTTCTTGGTAAATAGGGTACGTAAATCGGAAAGGACCATTTTGCTACTTATAATAAGGCGTCGCGACACTTAAGGAGTTTGTCATGATTACATTTGAAATCAGCGTCCCAAATTACCCCAGTGCAATGAGTTTCGTTAGCTTGTAGTCATGAAGGACGTACATTTTGTGTTATATTTACAACTAAATTTATAGCTGCTCTTAGAGAGATACCCTATTTGACCTCAAAGCCAATACAACTACATGTCTAAACCACCGACGTAGATATCAACACGGCTGGCTTAATGATTTTTGTAATCTACGAGTACATAGTAAAATTCAAGTCTTTATTATAGATACATATCTACGTTGGATTGTACAAAAACCACATCATTATTATCTGATTGGCGTAAAAATTGAGAAGCGGTATAAATATCACATCTGAAATAACAACAAAGTCACTGAGTCGTATACCTTCAATCAAACATCTGGATAGCAACATGATGAAATCTTTAATTACTGTAATATTCGTGTTATCCATCATTACAGCGATGTGCGAGAACGCTTCTGCTCGTAAGTAATCAAATTTTTACTATAAATGGTTTTTTAGTTTATTTTTCAAATATTTTGTCTTTATCTCGCCTTGATGATTGTGGTTATAATCTGTTTACAAAATTTGAAAGATCTTATGAATATAACATAGCATAAGGCTTACAGAAATGAACTTGCAATCAGAAAAAAAACGATAAAGGTATGTAACGCAAGTCTATTTGCAACATAATAAATGAAAAAACTTGTGATGTGCCGATGTGATGTGAGCTCTCAATGGTATCAGGGGTGAGCATCTTATTATAGTTCGATACTAAGAAGGAAAATGCATCGTACGCTACTGTTAACGGTGTGTATCCTTGAATACGGTGAGGTCCGCGCACAAATACACAAAGGCATGCTGCCGTTGCAGTGACGGACGATGTATTATGCTATTCTCCTCCATTTTGATGCCTAAGTATAATTTCATAAAATTTTGGCGCTAAATATAGATATGACCACTGCATTATAGATTTATGCGGCTGAGGAACTACTGTGCCACGAATTTTGTACCTTGTGTAATGATTATGTTTAATTTTTGGGTCAGTGTTAACAAATTTATGGTGGTAGTGAGTGATACTGTGGAAGAAATAAAGCTGTCTTATATCGTACATCTGTCAGTGGGATAAAGTTCCGGTTTTTTAAACATCATTTTCAGGATACTTTTTTGAAAAACATCTAAATTATAGATATGTGCGGAACATGCAGCTCTCCATGCAAATATACCATATTATGTGAGATGAGGCTCAATCAGTGCATGGTATAATGTTCGAAAATATTTTTCCGTCAATATATTCGCAGGGTATTTAGTTTTGTAGGATACACGTCTAAATTTCTTTAAAATATAATTGACATGGATGTCTCCCAACGTAAGTGAGGATCCAAGACCACTCCAAGGTATTTTATGTTCGGTACTCTATTAATTTTAATTTTTTGATCATTAATGTTAAAGAAGAAATTTTTGTAATTTGGCAGCTGTCTAGCATAAGATCCAAATGGTAAAAAATGTGTTTTACAATAATTAATGCTTAATTTTCTACTATTTAACCACCGAATAATTTTGATAAAATCATTTTCAATAATATTTTTTAGATCTGACCAGTCAGTGCCTTCATATAATATTGCAGTATCATCTGCAAAACTGGTTACTTTACCAACACAATTAATTTGGAAAATATCTTTCAAATATGTATTGAATAACAGTGGACCTAAGACAGTTTCTTGTGGGACACCACACTTAATATACATTACTTTGCTAAACGATCCTCATATCTGGACAGATTGTGGTCGATTTGACAGAAAAATTTCGATCAGTAGGTACACGTTTCCTCTGAAACCAATTCTCTCCAATGCTTCTAATAATAATTTGTGATTAACTGTGTCGAAAGCTTTCTTTAAATCAACAAAAATGCAGATAGAAGGAATTTTAACTATTGCGTCCGATGTAGCCTTCCCTTCTGTAAATCCATATTGATTTTCACTTAAAATTTTGAATTTTGTGAGGTATCGAATCATTCTAGTAGATACATTTTTTTCAAAAACTTCTGCTACACTAGATATTATTGATATTGGTCTATAATTATTAACATCCATTTTTTTGCCTCATTTATGCATCGCTATTATATTACCTTTGTTAAAATTGAGGGATATATATGATTGAAAGTTGTTGATTAGGTAAGTGAGTGGTTCTGTTATGTCCTCGGCTATATTTTTCAAATGCTCGCCTTTAATACCGTCGAACCCAGGACTTTTTTGATTTTTAACAGTGGTGTATACTTCACATTGCTTGACTTTATCCAGAATAAATGAGTCCAAAGATCTTTTTGGAAGCTGAGTATTGGGCACATTTGCTTGTATATTACTTGCTTTTCACCCATGTCAGTAAAAAATTGTACAAAATCATCGCATATTTGTTGAGTATTTTTGATTACTGTTTCCGATGTTGTGTTTAACTCAGTTTTCCCAGTAATCTCATCAATAGTTGTCCAAAGCCGCCTAGGATCATTTAAGTTATTATTCAATTTATTTAGGTAATGTTTTCGTTTTGTTTGCCTTGCAATCTCTATATATTTATTTTTATAGTGTTTGTAGCAGTCGATATTTTCTGTAGTTAGCATTAGTTTTATCACTTTATATAGTCTTTGTTTTTCTATTACCGATGTTAATAATCCTTTGGTAATCCAGGCATTTCTGCTTTTCTCTTTGTGACTAATTTTTACTATGTTGGTACTAATATCAATTAGTTTTTTATTTTCTCTATGAATAGTCCCGTTGCTTTGTCTATATTATTTATAGGGTATAATTGTTCCCAGGATTCTTGTTTGATATTTGATATTAGTTTTGAATTGTCGACAACAGATTTATAACTTTTCTGGTTGTTACTAACGGTGAGGATGTTAGAATGTTTTTCATTTGAAGATATCAGTAAAATAGTGGAGAAGTGGTCAGTAATATCGCTTTCTAGGATTATTGAAATACAAGTAATTTTGTTGGATAGGTCTTTCACAAAACAGTGATCGATACATGTGCCACTGATGGACCTTGTAGGTCGATTTATATATGACAGAAATCCGTTACTTGACAGGATATTCAAGTATTCATTTGTAACGGGATCACCGTCCAAAATATTTATATTGATATCTCCCAAGAAAATATGTTGCCTTAAATTATATTTTGGTTTTGAAAAAAAAAAATTCGATATTCTTTAAAAACTCGTGAGGAACATGACGGACGATAAATTGCAGAAACTTAAATTTTGCTATGGGTAATTTGGATCATTATGCTTAAAATTTTGATTCCGTCGGTGCAAGTGAATGTATCATGATTATATTGAAGTTTACTTATTACAAAAACTGATTAACTTAAATTTTAAAAAAGTATCCTTAAGTTTTGTTGTTCCTGATAATATTTGACCGAACGACAGTTTTTGTCGGTAGGTGAGTGGTTGATATTATATTTTTTTTATACCTTTCATTTCCATATCTACAATTGCAGCATTCCATTGATCCAAGCTTACAATTTTCTCCTTCGTGGCCGTTACCACAGTTGGCACCTATCTTCTCATTCTTCTCAGAGTGTCATGCTACTGATCAACCGACCGGCCGGGCCGCGAGTTCGAATCTCGCCTTCGCCATGGATGTTGTGTGTTTGTTTTAGGCAGCAGCGGTGGCCGCAGTAGTAGACTCTTCGGTCTCCTGATCAGTCGCCGTGCGCTGTGCGGGTTCGATTCCCGTCCCAGGAGAAATGTTTCTCTTGGCCATGGATGTTGTGATTGTCCGTAGGTGGTAGATGGTCTCTGACTGTCGAACGCGGAGGTACCACCCGGCGGTTCTCGTAGGCGGAGCCAGAATGTATGCATGTTGCATGCACACGTGTTCCCTCGCCAGAGTCCGTGTGGCGTCCCCACTTTCCCATGTATCCCCCATAGCCCCACGGTACCCAATGGGTGCTTAGGCCTTAGGCCTTCGTGGTAGTTGGAGTATAAAAAAAAAATCAAGACGATAGCATTTTCTGAGAAATGTCGTTATTTTGATATACCGTCAAACATTGCCACCCCAGAAGTATTCTTCCATTATCGTCTTCGGATATTTCTAAATAGCTTTCCAGAAGTTTCTGCGTAGATAGTGTAATTGTTTCTTGATCGTCATCATTTTAGTCTGTAGTAAAGACAAACGACAGCGATTTGTGAATATTTTTAATGAAGTTTCAGATATGTTAGACAGAAACGGACATAATTTTATTGTCTAAACAAGCTGTATTGCTAATTAGCATGTATCCGATAAAAATAGACGATATTTTCATGTTGCAAGATCGATCATATTTGAGAAAGGTTAGCAGGTTAGGTTGTTTTCGAATAATAATTTGTCTTTGGTGCTCTTGTCTTAGGGTATTTTATTCATAACTGTTTTTCTTTTCCAAAACAAAAACTCCCCACTAAAATTATTATTCAGGTATCACTCAAAACCATGAAATAAAATGAAAATAAAAATAATCAGTGAAATAACCTAACTTCGCAAAATCATAATATAAATGTGTTGTCATTATGTTTCTGGCATCGTGATTTTATCATCGACGTACGTCCATTGATTACTTCAGTACAATTTATGGTATGACGGAATAGTGATCTTTCGTGATTTTGACTATATAATTCTGATGTATAAGATCTTCTTGAATTTGCTTGTCATTTGGTTTCTCACTTCTTTTATAATTTATTATTTTGATTTTTGGATTTAACATTTCTGGCTCAGAAACATGGTATTTTTAATTCATTTTATTCTGAAGTTCATTTTTCAGTTCATTATGATTTATTTCATCAATTTTTATATCAATTCCGCCATTTTTGACTTTCTTACACTTTCTATGTGAAAGTTCAGAGATGAAAGATTTATTCTTACTCAATTCTCTTCTCGTGTCATCGCAAGATTGATTTTCTTTAGGATTGCCTTTTAGTGATAGGTATCGTTTGTTTTAGAATTTGTGCGTATGGCTTTTCTGTGTTTTTCCCAACTTCGTCGAGTCTCATGTTAATTCTATCTAATGCTGATGCTAAGGCATAGTAATACTTGCGGCTTCTAACAGCTGTTGCTCGTTTAGTTTTAAATTTTCGTTATTGAGCTGACGAATTATTTTCTCCTTTTCTGCTAGTGTTTTCTTCAGGGATCGAGTCTCTTCTAATATTTTTTTTACAGTAGTCGAATGAGGTCGACTTTCTTCATCTGTGATGCAGTTTTTTTTTTCATTCTCCGGCTTTTCTTGTTGTTCCTCTTCCTTTTCCTCTTTGCGGGTCATAACATTCTGTATAGTTATTTCTTATCTAGTAAGAATCAGGAAGAACAACCTGTCAACTTGTCAATTTTACGACACTCCGAGGTTATATAAATATGGTTGAAAATGACTGGAAATTGTAAAATCCGCTGCACCAATGTATCCAGACCCGTATTTTATACTTATAAATGGAACCTCTTCGCCAAAAGGTTATTTTATGGCCTGTGTACCAACTAAATTCTTGACAAGGTAGGACGATATCGTTTACTTGTTTGCTTCTATAAGATTACAGCAAAGATACATCAAAACTTTTTGATGTTGAGATCCATTTTCAATAAGAATAGACATCGACCGCGGAGTATTCTGCACTCTCTGCCATTTTGCCATCCACACCCGATATTCATTTACAATATTCGTGAAGCATACATTCCGATTTCCAAAAATTTCAAGTCATTATTATATAAAGGATATAGGTATTGTGTTTACTGCTAGTACGTCACAGCGTAACTAAAAACTGACAAATTTTTGGAAGAGTGAAAAAACGGCAGATCTTTGGATTCCCTATTAAATGACATGGATGTCCTGATGGCGCCATTTTTTGAGTTACGCGATGTTACAAGTTGAGCGATGATATGCGAAAATTATTTAAGAAAAACCTATTTCTAATGGTTCCAAGAGCCACCAATTAAATTCTTTTCCCATGTTTGGGAAACACTCTGCATATGACAAAACTAAGACCATTATGCTAAGTTACAAGCAAAAAGTATCAAAATACGAAGTAGGCTAGATAACTATGATGCTTACTACTGTTACCATCTCCTTTCAATCAAATCAAACCGCTTTTCTATAATTTCGTCTGTCAAAAAGTATTTTTATCAAATTTGCTAACAGAGTTTCGGAAGCGCGCCAAAAGGTTTTTTTCTTATATTCCTGTCCAAATGGATGAATTTTCAATCAACTACCTTAATCACGAAACACATGAGGCTCAATTCTAAATAATGCGATAACGGACATGCCGTGTTATCAAGCCCAAGAACGCAGAATCACTATTATTTCATTTATATTTGCGTCAAGCTGAACGTATAGGCAACCAGACTTACGCAACTCTCTTTTCACACAATCACCGATGCGCTTACATATTGATGGGGGTTGCCAGGTGTGGTGGTGTTGTACCCGTTTGAATTTATAAAATTCTGTATTCGATTAAATCTATCAAAGAGATTCTGAAGTCATAAGTGTTAGTGGTCAAACTAGATTAACTCAGAGGGGGTCTGACCCCCATGACCTCCCCCCTGGATTCGCACTTGGAACAACGGTTGCTGAGCCTACGCAGTGGCAAAATGGCCCATAGACAGGTTGATTTGAGTGAGTGACTTAAATTTTTATGTTCAGGGCATCAGAAATAGTCTGAAAATATTACATTATTCACACATACGCGTGACATTAAAACAATTTAATTCACTTTACAATGGTATACCTACTTGATCAGATATTAATGTTCATGCCGTTATCCCATAATTTGTATGTATCAAAAAGACAATTTATAGATGATCTCAGATATGATGATGACACTGACCTCAGAGGTCATTTGGAGGTCAACTTTCTTTTTTGATAGCAGAATCGTGTCGAGCTCGAGATTCTACATCAGAATGCTTTTTGTACATGATGTCATAATCAGCGTGACCTGCTCTGTTACGTCTGAAAAGTATACGGACTCCTCGAAAACGGGTCAACAACACACTTTTTGTCACAGTGTACGACCAGAGTGCAGTACATATCATAACAATGCTTGTTCATCGCTGACCTTTATTTCAAAAATTTATAGTTCGAGAAGTGTACTTTTAAGACGTACATATTGAAAATGAATTCTGAATTAAAATCTCGAATTGTTTTTTTGAAGGTTTTCTCTGAACAATTTTGCCAAAAAATGCGTTATCAAGCTTTCTGGGTATTCGTGAACTTTTCAGACGTTACAGTAGCTCATTGATTGACCTCATCTATGAAAATGTGATGCAGAATCTCGAGCTCGACACGAATCGGTTTTCAAAAAAAGTGGTTGCTATTTGAACTTACAAAGTTCAATCCCTAATTACCTCTGAGGTCATTATCTAAGTCATATCAGTGGTCATCGAAATATTGCTTGTTTGATACTCTGGAGATTTTTTTACAACCTTTTTCACAAAAAAATGTGTAGTTGTCATGTTTTCAGGGTGTTCGGATATTGAATGCGGAGCAAGCCATACTACGAATGTTTTTAAACGAATTTTCAATTTTCAGTCTTAATACTTCGAAAACCCTCTAGCTGTCAAAAAAATGCAATAGACTATTTTTCCTCTCAATGAATACTATGAATGACCAACATACCACGATATAGCCTAAAACGAAGGTCTAAAATCTCATCAGATTTTGACTACAACTATAAGATTTTAGTCAATCTTTCTCAGTTGCTTGGAAGTTGCTCGAAATATGGAAATAATAACCGTTCTATACTACCAGGAATTTACTATTATATACATTGAGTCACGGTAACTTAGATCAGATAAGTTGTTTTTTTCCAGAATGTGGACCTAATGAAGCTGTTCCCATTTGCCAGCCATGCTCAGTAACATGCGACGATCGTGAGAACGTATGCCTAGCTGTTTGTATCCCGAACTCAAGATGTTATTGCAGAAGTGGATATTTGAAGAAAAATGGCATTTGTGTACCTATTTCAGAATGCTGAATTATAAGTGTGATGAATAATGCATTGTAATCATCTATTTATATTCGCATAATATATACTGGTATAAGAGCTTTGAGCACGGCTTATATGTGGACTGGAAGCAATAAAGCATCCGTATACATGATTCTATGATTATATTTTGAATCCACTTTGAAGTCAAATTAATTGAAAAATGCAAGATGATGATTTTCTTCTTTCTCCAGTGCCACAAATTACCTAAATAAGTTTATTCCAACAAGCAGTTCCGAACTAGTTCAGAACTAATTCCAAATTGCTGTTCTGAGCATACTGGTGGTGTGTACAGTTCCGTACTATTCTGTCGAAACAGAGAATTACATGGCTTGTTGTGTCACAAACTTAATTGAAATAAAATCTAAAATGATCTAGTTATATATATTATATATGGAATTTCAGGGAGATTTATTGTTCTTTGGAGTCAGAATTGAGAATCGATATACAAATTTCAGATTAAAACGATAAAAATCATATTTATCTATATATTTATACACCACCAACAGATATACCGATTACTGGTGGGTATGCAGCAAGATAACAAACAAGGTAATGTAATACACACTAACTAAGCCACATTTTTACACGTTTGCGTGATATATGATAATCTTTAACCTTAACAGTGATGTGAAAGATGAGCAATGTATATAAATACAAGGGAATGTGATTTTCTTCTATTATCTAAACTAACCATGTTATTGCAATAGCTCCGCCTGAGTTGTTCCAATAGCAGTTACGTGGTGTCGGTTTTAAAAGACAGAAACGTCAAGAACTTACGCCGCACCTTCTGCAAAGAGTCACATGCGGTCACTCTAATTTAGAAATCACGAAGGAGTTGGAAAGCATGATCATTGCCTCCTTGTTAGTGAACTACTTGGAATTCCGTATCACAAATCTATTATCAGCTAGAATGATATGCGGATTGAATCTTAGGAAATCGTCAAAGATCACCCCTAGGTCCTTATGCTCATGTACTCTCTGCAAAGAACCATTATCGACTTGATAATTGAATTGAATGGGAACCATCTTTCTTGTGTATGACATAACCCTACATTTACTGATGTTGATTTATTACACATCATTCTACCATATTGTCGAAGTCACCCTGCAGATGAGCACAATCCGCGCTTCTTTCAACACCGTAAATAATCTTCAAGTCATCTCATTGTCAGGCTATGTTTTCTTTTTGAATTGTAGGAAATTTCAGGCTATATAACAGATAGTCAAAAACATCAAGACATCAAAAACATGACCAATTTCCGCAACGTCCACATATTGCGGCTGATTGCATATGTGTATGTAAGGCAGATGGATGTATGAATGTATTTTTGTAGCTTTAGGGCCGTATCGTCTATCATTCCTACGATTATAGGACGACTTTATGGCCGCCTTGATTGTCATAGTCTTTTTTTCTCCTTCAGACATTTCTAGATTTCACCTGTCAGCGTTAGAGCTCTCCTATTGTGAAGTTATGTTTTATTTTTGAATTGTAGGAGATTTCAGGCTGATAAAACAGATGATATAAATCAAAAGCATGAACAATTTGATGCAAATAGACATTTGTGACATAACCTCAAAATAGAGCGCTAACATGGAAAAGTAGAAAAATATGAAAATCAAGGAGGCCATAAAGGCGTCCTATAATTGTAGGAACGACTGACGATACGGCTCTAAAATCCGGGTAAATGACATCTAGTACTACAGAGACAAATTGAGTGAAGCAGACTAAATTGGTTGTATTAGATCTTCCTTTCCTAAAGCCATGTTGGGATGCACTTTTATAGTGGACTGAACGTTATGAAATGAAATTATGGAGCAAAGTTTCAAAAGCTCTACAAAAGTTACAGACTAAGGTTATTGGTCTATAATTTTCAGCAATTAGTCTTCAGCCTTTTTTTTATTAGCACCAAATATATGGAAATTTTATTTAAGCATAGATTAAGTATCAATGTTAGAAGTTCAGAGGTGACAGAAGCACAGTCACAAACTAGAAATGGTCGGATGATCTTATCGTGTACTTTATTTTAGTTCGGTGATTGTGCGTGATTGTACCTTTTTGTTACCGATAAATGACCAGAATCTATTAAGATGATGACCTATGGTATAATATTTTGAACTTTGGTGAGATACTTTGATAAGAATTGTGCACAACTCTTTTAATTTTTGCCCCAATGTATTTGATATATTAAACGTCCACGAAAAAATTCAAAAGTGCGTGTACTGGGTGGTCACACTATATTTTCCCATGTATTTTTTCCCGCTGAACCCGAATCTGAACTCAAAGTTAGGTATCAATGGACAACTATGGAAGTCATTTAGACATCAGACTCAAGGTTTTTTTGTGGATGTGCATCAGGAATGCACACCCACCAAAGATACCAAAATATGTGATCTTAGGCCTAAATGACTTTCTATTTATCCAGCAACCCCAATTCTGACTTCAGATTCGAGATCAGCTGTAAAAAGTAGATGGAAAAATATGGTGAGACCCCCATCTCACACCAATTTATAATAATATAGTTAGCGAAAAATCTTCATCCTCACTTGAATCTGTTCCAAAGTGAACTTCATCGTGACCCATTTTTTTGAATATGTGCAATAAACGGATCAATAAACAGCTAAGATTTAGCTTTGATATATGAACATATTGAAAAAGGCCATAAAACCCAGCTTCTCAGCTATGAACAGATAATCGAAATCTGTGCGGAATTTGCTGGAACAGAAAACTGCCAGTAGACATTTGTAGTATCTAAATCTCACCTCCTGTAATATTACTACAAATAAAAACACGTTACTTATCTTATTATTAGTTACGAATTCGATTCTGTTTTCTGTTGGAACGGTAATTTGATCGCGCAAGCAGTTTGAGACTAGTTCAATGGGTTGATGGAACAGAGCTTACATATGTACCAAGTCTCGTTTCTCGTAGGTACCAGAATCAAAGGCATAACGTAAAGAAAGCTTTCCAAAAAATTTGCCTCTTAGCAATTTGGAAGGAACTTCTTTCAGACTCGCGCTGTACCTGACACCCCAGTATCCTTCTCTTTGCTACACCCGGGTACCAAAACGGAAGATACGCCGTGGGCTACTGCTAGCGGTTTGCCTGTGAATCTGCAAAGTCGATGGATGCGAATCCGGCAAACACGCCGCGTTAGTACGGCTGCTACTCTCTTTTGGTACCAATCTATAAATGAGGTTTCACATGACTCTATGATTTTTTGATGTTTTATTTACTTGTAGTCTTTGGCAACCAGAATGAAAATTTTAAATCAAAAAATTTAAAGTTTATAAATAATAGCTTTTGAAAACTATCAACAATCTTGACCGAAACTCATTTTTTGGGCAAATCGGGTGCGTAAATTACGAATCTGCTGTCTATTTTTTTGCTGGGATTGGCAAGTTCCTCGAATATTCCGTTTCCCTATTTATAATAAGGAGTCGAGACACTTAAAGATTTTTTCATGACTATATTTGGAATCAGCGTCTCAAACTACTCCAGCGCAGTGAGTTTCGTTTGCGTGTAGTCACAAAGGACGAAAATTAAAATTTTCCATAGAGAAGCTTCTAAGGTTTAAAGGTGAACTGTTAAAAAAAAATCTCAACCAGACTTCGTTTCTTGGGTAAATCGAATGCGTATATCACAAACACTTGCTCAGTTTTTTTTTCCAATCTATCTACAATCTCGACGTAAACCCATTTCGGGGCTAAATCGTAATTACGAATATGTTGTTAGTTTCTCGCTGAGACTGCAAAGAGAACTATGCAGTCACTACGTTTTTATCGATTTATTTAGGATTTGGATAATCTCAGATAACAGACACTTATATCGTGCTGGATTGGGTTAAGGATCATTAACTTCCAGTTCCTAATAAGATGACAAGTGACATTTGCTTTGGTGCGGAGTTGTCCACAAAATTTCTAAAACCGGATTGAAGGTAAATCCAAATCTCAATCCAAACCCACTTATTTCGAGAATTGGCTCATCCTGTTAAGAGGATGATCCTAAGTGTTTATATCAGCAATTTCCAATCGTAATCCTAAGATCATCTTGTACAAATCCTGGATATAAACGTAGTAAGTGAATTGTTGCTCAACAGTGTCCATCATGGCAAGATGTAGCAAGCGTTCAGATGGGATAGGATAACTTTTCCATCAGCTTCCGTGTCTGAAAAAGGTATTCGATTAAATTTTTTCAAAAGTATGTAACAAATAAAAAACTAATTTTAGCTGCTTAGAGAGATACCTACCGTGTTTGACGTCAAACCCAATTCAACTATATGTCTAGATCACCGACGTGGATATCAACACGGCCGATAGCTTTATGCTATTTGTAATCTACACAGTAACATTCAAGGCTTTATTATATCTCTACGTTCGATTGTAGAAAAACAACATCAGTATGGCCTGATTGGCTTAAACATTGAGAATTGGTATAAATATCACATCTGGGATAACAACAAAGTCACTGAGTCCTGTATCTTCACCCAAACATCTAAAATACAACATAATGAAATCTTTAATTTCTGTAATATTCGCATTATCCATCGTTGCAGCAATGTGCGACAGCGCTTTGGCTGGTAAGTAATCAGTTTTTTTTATATAAATGGTGTTTCAATTTATTTTTGAAATGTGTTTCCTTTATCTAGCCTCGGGGATTGTGGTTACAATGTGCATACAACATTTCAGAGCATATCATACCATAGCACACTACAAAGGGCTTACATTTATCTCTTCTAAATTATTGTAATATAGTGTATACTACCCTTGTTTAGACAACTATACCTAAAACCTAGTTCAAATTGTTCAAAATAATTGTTTTCGTTTTATTTTTAGAATCCGCAAAATTGATCATGTATCAGAAAAATGTCCAATACTCAAAATTGGTTGGAAAAGAATGTTTCGGTTAAATATCTCTACTCAATTTTTAAACATAAATTATCACTTACGCCTAAAGCGCCTTACTTTTTGAAAAAAAAATCATCTAACAATGATATTCATTCCAGGCCACTTAGAAATAAAATTATCAGAACACCTCAGTATTCAACAGCCGTATTTCAAGTCAGAGTCTTCTACAATGTTGCCACCATATATAATTTAATTACCAAAGTTGTATAAGCAATACGCATTACCAGCCTTTCGACAAAAAGTGTAAATCATCATTACTTAAATGACTTTATTACACAATTATCAATTTTTTACCTTTCTAATAAATATTTTTGCTTTTCTATTTTTTGTTGTACTTTGCTTTGGAAAGTATGCCAGTGTTCGCTTTATTCTAATAATTTATTACTATAAGTTTAAATTTGCTGTGAATATTTCATTATTATTAACATCTGCTAGTGACTTTTATGGTTAAATGTAATAGTAGCAAACGCTAAATTTTGCCATTTAAGTCTTACTTTAGCTGCATTACTATGTTGATGTAAAGAAATAAAGAGGTATATTATTCTTATTATTATTAAATCGGATGTAATCGGATAAAAAAGTATGAAGTATGTAACGCATAACTATTTGCAACGTAATAAAGGGAATCAGTGGTTCGCGTCTTATTATAGTTGGGTACCAAAAAGGAAGATAATAGTAAAATACATCATCGCTACTGTTAACGTAGTGTGTCCTTAAATACGGCGAGAGATACAAGGACATACCTCCGATATATTATGCTCTTCTCTTCCCTTTGGATACCCAAATATTTGCGGCGTACCAAACTCTCAACTGTCTCAAAGACATAGACATCAATGATCGGTTGCGGCAACATTGCCTGTTATTGTAAGGCCCAACGAAAATTTTGTCACGGCTTTCCCAATCGTCGAATGTTCTACGCCATTAGAGCTAAATATCTGGTTACCAAGAAAGCTTCGTAACAGAAACCGAATTACGAAGATGTTTGGAACGCTTTGTGTTCGCTTAGAGAAGTCTTGCTTGCCGAGGACCTGAGAAAACTGGCAATACCTAAGCTGGCATGTAGACTGGACAACCTGGACTTGAGAATCACCCGAAGCATGCTTGAGGCAGTCTTCCGGTATATAGGCATTCGATTTCTGGTATGTTGTCACAGTCCTAGACGGCTACCTCCTGGTAAGAGTGTGGATTGTTACTTCTTCAAGAACTCCTACTGCAAGACAGAGCACCGTCGTGTCGATATCGACATCTACCGCCAGTAAGATCATTCCGGGACGGAATGACTTTAGGGAGGAGGCAGTGTGACAAATCATACTGTCGGCGCCATCTGTTGGGCGAGTCGCAACGCTTACTGCCTGACACCCCTGACATGTCGTCGACCAGCAACCCTCAACGTCGAAAAAATTTATTTCAGACGACTACTAAGGACTTGTTCCGGCAAAATCCATCGAGCTCAAGCATTGTTCGAGATTAAGTAACAGATTGGTGTTGTCCAGCTTGCAAAGAAAATCATTTTTCACCCATGAGACAGCGCATGAAATGCCAAGTCTGGTACCATGAGGAGTGTGTTGATCTGACAAAAAGCGATTTAATTTTTGAATGCCCAGAGTGTTAGTTTTTCATTTTATGTTTTTTTGTTAATAATGCAGGTATGCTCTAATAATACTCTATGCATTATTTATTTAGTGTTATTTTTCAATTTGCGACAAAGAAAAATGTTTCGTTTCTATTAGTAAGTTTTGTGCGGGTAATAATACCCAAGCATTGAAGACTTGTTTTTTAAACTGTAAAATAGACCTATAAAGGCCCGGTGATGCTTTGAGAGTTAAAAAAGGCTGTTTGTATTTATTTATCAATTAAGATGTTTTTACCAACGCAGTAATTTATCGATCCTCACTCGTAATTAGTAGATTAAAAAAAGTTTGTTAAGTGGGCGTTAATACCCTCAGCCCTCAAGTACCTTGAAATTGTTTCTCATTCTCTCATTTTTGAAATTCAGCAAATTAGCATATGTAGTTTCAAGTGGATGCGCAACTAAGTTCTAGCTTTTAATCTCAAGTAAGTGTATGTAAGATAAGAATTGAATGGAATTATCATCAACACATAAGTATTATTAGCACACAAATCCTCACTGTGCACCTATGCAGTGCCGCTTCCTTCTATACAATTTACAGCTTTGACCTCCATGTCATCTCTGAAGCAGATTTTACATCACATCAGAGTCAAACATTGATAACTGAAGCATCATGACGTTGAAACAGCACGTACAACTACAAAACGAGTTCACAAGTGTCCATCAGCTAGTGCTAAGTGCCGTATCGTCAGTCGTTCCTACAATTGTAGGATGCTTTTATGGCCATCTTGATTTTCTTAGTTTTCTACTTTTCTCTATTTTAAGGTTATGTTACAAATATCCATTTGCATCAAATTGTTCATGCTTTTGATCTATATCATCTGTTATATGGCCTGAATCTTCCTACACTTCAAAAAGAAAAGAGCCTCACGATAGGAGAGCGCTGACGCTGACACGGAATAGTAGAAATCTAGAAATATCCCAGCCTTTCGGAAAATCAAGGCGGCCATAAGGTCGTCCTACAATTGTAGGAACCCATAACAAAACAAGATCTTGTGAATGCTGCGCATGTCAGAAACTGCAAGTTCCGCCAAAATCCTGTGTACTGTTCAGATTAGACCGTCCAAAACCAGTTGTCAAACCCAAAATTTTGTGGCGGACTTTCTCTCTGGCCGCAACATATCCGTCGTAATTGACGGGTTTTCTCTTCATCCCACAACGTCAACGTGTGTTTTCCAGGGAGAGGTCTTGGCTATGACACTGTTCCCCTTACATCTCAACGACCTCCTTTCCTGTACGACCAATCCAATCCACAGCTCTGCTGTCAGCACTCCTCATGCAAGAATACAGAGCGACATGCCCATCTCTGCCGGTCAGCGGGAAAAAAGAAGACTAGCAGCGACTTCCTCTCTGACGAGAGACCTGGAGGTTATCACTGCCTTGGGACGCAACAATCTTGTACTGTTGTTGATGTTGTAATGCTTCCAAAACAGTACTGTATCTTGACGAACAAAGGAGGTCCTAGCGCTGATCCGGTTCCTATGGGTGGCCGATCCAGCTCTCTTCTACCGCTACCCCCCAACAGGCTTTGCTCCTCAGAGCTCTTCCCCATGATATAGCTGCCAGACAGACCTGCCCGATTTCGGCCTCCCATCCTAACCATATCGAACTTCGTTCATCCAGAAATGACCTATACGACTGCTCCTTTGTCCCTAGCGTGTCGAGATTGTGGACCAATCTACAAGAGACTTTCCTACTTCTACTAGTCCAAAAATCGGATTAACAAAGTTTCTTTGTGACCCTCCCCAGCATAGCGATGTGATAATGTCGGCATCATTAGGGCACTACTGACGTACGGCAACCAACAAAAATGACGTGGAAATGACGTCATTATGACGGTCTAATGTTACACCCAATTGACGTCATTATATGACGTCATAGTATGTCGACTAAATACAAAGTCGATATGACGTGTGTATGACATGCATATGACATCTATCTGAGGTCGATATGACGTCTATGTCACATCAATATGACGTACAGTCGCTCGCAAAAATAGTCGCGTGGTGTATCCAAATGCCCCTGAAAAATTGAGGAAGTGAAAACGGAGTTCATGAGTGGTTGAAAGGCACCGAAACTCTTATTATACTTACCTACCACCCTTGAACCTCTTCATTCCAAGACGTCGTTATCACCTCCGCAATTTTTCAGGAGCATTTGCACAAAGTGTATCTACGTGGTTAATAAAGAATTAAAAAATACCGTTTGATCTCAAACACGTTCCAGAACTGTGATGGATAAGGATTTATTTTTACCAATTTGTCAAAATCTTGCCTTTTCTCAGGAGGCCAAAACACTTATTGTTTCTTGGATGTCACCCAAGCCTCATTCACTATGCGGCAATACTATCGTCCCTACTAAATTGCACCACAACGTACGTTAAAGACGACGAAGCCATATCGTGATGTCCGTCAAATCCATAAGAGATTTTTTCTCGAGATCCCGTAGTGAACCGGAGTGGGAACAGATGGAACTTCCCCTTCCTCACGAAGTTTTGACAGTTACCCCGGGAGTGGTTAGATGGCGCATGTTGCGCAAAATGTTTGCTTTAAGCTCCTTAATAAACTTAGCTGCCTTGTTTGAATCTGAAATAAAAAGACCAATCGTTCTTTGTGCAGTGTATATATATCAATAACATCAATCATTTGATATGACAAGTGCGGTTCATATATCTTCGATGACCTTCTCCCTCGTCATTTAAAATCAGGTGGACGTGTTCCTCCATTTATGATTTAATAATTTAGCTCAATTTCAGCACTGCTAAGACATATTTTCAATTGAGATGCCTGTTTTTTAAATGGCATTGACATAAGACCTGTCACCCGCTAGTATTTCACAGACGTTAGGCGGGTACCCGTACCACGTGATTTTTTGACATTCGGACGACGTCACATCCGTCTTCCCCTCTTCCCGTTCTTCGCGAAAATTTGAGCATCGGTTCCCGGTAGTGCACTGTGCTACACCGTGGACTCGCGAAAAAATCCTTATTGATTTATAAAACAAAAGCACAATCGTGCTTCTTCGCTGATGATCGGCTTAATGATATACCATTTAAAAATTTGAATTTCTACCGCGCTTGATTACAAATTATCTAGTAAAATTTATTCATTGTTAGACAGAGTTTCTAATACATTTTTTATTAACGGGAATAAAACATGATGTAGGATGGCAATTTGATGTATTTCTGAACATGGAATATAATATTATTATTAGAATAGTCATATTAACAAGATATTTTCGTCGAAGAACTCCTGATACTTTTTATAAATAACAATAAAGTAGTTACTAGTATTTAGATATATAGTTTACCTGACTGTTCAATAAAGGCCTATGTTTTTTTTGAGCTGCTTCGATATAAAAAAACTTTGCTTGAACATGTACGACCTTTCATAATACTACAAAAAAATAACTTACTTGTTTCTGATATCTGTTTCAATAAACATTAGAACGCCACACAACATCATCTTTCAACGATTAAATAAAGCATTTAATTATTTTCTTTTCTTTTTTTTCGGGATACTCGCGCTCCTCCTTCATAGTTTTATCACGCCCCCTAGAAGGAGCCTATCGGTTGGGAGTTACTGCCCTATTAGCGTTTACATTCGATACCAAAATCTAACTCAGTTCAAACTAAATCCCGTATATAAACATTGTGAATATTTCCAGCTTGTGGTCCCAACCAACATGTGCCTGCGTGCCGCCCATGCGCTGTAACATGCGCTGATCGTGACAAAATATGCACCACAGTTTGTACTCCCAACTCAAATTGTTACTGCAAAAATGGGTATCTAAAAAAAGGAAACAGATGTGTACCAATATCGCAGTGTTGAGGATAACCGACTCTGTATAATTCTGTTATAACTTGTCTATAATAAAATACATATATTCAAGCAAGTATTTTATTAACTGTCCCCTGTCCCAAATCCCCCTTCTGGATAGGCACATGACAATACAAGAATAACTGTTATGTTCATTTTGACAATGTTCTGACTGTTTTTTTATCAGGTCATGTTAAAAAATAAATATTGCCTGTCGATGAAAATTAAGTGAAGGTAAGAGTAACTTAAGGAAGAATCTCACTCTTTACAGTATCCTTTTCCCTTTTCCATCTATCCCATGGAACACGTTGTCCTTTGTGTCAAGTTTTTCAACCTCCTGTTCTGTTATTTTTGCTCCATGTCAGTGAGAAACACGGCAACAGAGCAAAATAGATTTTTCTCATTTACCTTTTTCCCCAATGAAACACCACCAAAAATGTATTAAAAGTGCAAGGTATTGAAATGTGTGAGCATCAGTGGGACGCTCTAGCTGAAATTTATTTGAGAAACCAACGATACATTCAGGAAATTGCTTGTTTGTGTAGCAGAGTTTTTTTACGGTAAGTACGTCATATGTCAGGTTTACTACGTCAATTTTCACACAGTGAGGTTAGATTTTTGACTTTTAAATGAAAACGGTTTTTAGAACAAGTAAAAACCTGAGTGGCTGGTGTTTTTTAAATTTGATTATTACAATAAGTCTCATAATGGACGTAGATACGTCTTGTAGTATTGAAAAAACAGAAACTAAAGTACCTGACATCCACGATTTTGTGATAATCAAACCTATAAGCAGAGGGGCCTTTGGAAAAGTATTTTTGGGATGCAAAAAGAACAACATGAATGTGATGTACGCGATCAAAGTGATGAAGAAGAGTGAAATGATAAACAAAAACATGGTATTCCAGGTTCTGAATGAACGTAATGCTTTGGCTCTCACTAAAAGCCCCTTCTGTGTACATTTATATTATTCTCTTCAGACTGCATCTTCGATTTATCTGGTGATGGATTACATGGTTGGAGGTGATCTAAAGTCTCTGCTCAGTGTTTATGGTTTTTTTGATGAACATATGGCTATTTTTTACATTGCTGAAGTCTGCCTAGCACTAGAGTATCTTCACAGACACAGTATTGTGCACCGTGACATCAAGCCTGACAATATGCTGCTCTCCAAAGAAGGTCATGTTAAGCTTACTGACTTTGGCTTATCCAAGGTACATATCCATAGAGACTTAGAAATAGCAGATTTTGAAAATGCCACACCAAATGTTTGCCACAGAACCCCTGGACAGTTGATGAGCCTTACTTCACATCTCAGCTTTGGCTCTGGCAATTCTAAGAGCCACAGTGATTATACATCTGATCCTAATTTTATGAGCAGAGACTCCAGCAGTATCTTAACAGAACGTCATATCATGGTCTCCTCATTTTCTATAGGATCAGATTCAAGCAGGGCAAAAAATTGTTCTGAGTTATCTGGTGTAACGTTCTTGTCAGCAGAAGACATACATCTATCAAGTGGTACTGACAGTTCTTCCTATCAGACTGCCCCTAGCTCTTGTCCAAGTCAAGTAACAAGTGCTACTTCATCACCAGTAAGCCGAAAAATACCTAGTAGGCTGCTGAATTATAGCTACAGAGAGAGGAAAAGAAAATTCAGGTCACCATCACCTAGAGCAGTGAGAAAAGCATATATACGAACTGGATTGACAGGGGAAATGGAGATGATTAGAGTTGACAATGAAAGTTCTCCAAAAGGAGTAACTTTCTCTACACCTGTCTCAGCTCAGAAGACCAGTAAGAAAAAGCCTCCTCTATTTGATCTACCAGGGAATGTGATGAATAACAAGGCTGTAGAGATTGTTAGCCCAATTGCAAGTGAGCCAACCACTCCGAAAACACCCAGAACACCATTCAGAACCCCCAAGACAGTCCGTAGAGGCCATTGGAGCTCAGAGCATAGAATCTTAGGCACACCAGACTATTTAGCCCCAGAACTGCTTTTGAGCAATGGACACAATGATGCTGTTGACTGGTGGGCACTAGGAGCTTGTCTTTATGAATTTGTAACTGGAATTCCACCATTTAATGATGCGTCACCACAATTGGTCTTCAAGAATATTCTAGAACACAACATTGAGTGGCCAACAGGTGAAGAAGCATTATCTCCAGAAGTGGTTGAGTCGATTGAAGCATTGCTGGTGCATGATCCAGAGTTGAGGGCTGGTGCTAAGGAGATCAAGCAAATGAGAGCATTCAAAGACATTGAGTGGGATAACTTGTTATTTGTTACACCTCCATTTGTACCTGATCCATATGACCCCACTGATACTGGATATTTTCAAGCAAGGAATGATCTACTCAATTTCAATATATCAAAATTTGAATTATAACATGATATTAGCTATATTCTTGTCTTGGTACTCAATGAAACTATGATTTTTGTTACATTTGTATTTGAATGAATCATCTAAATGGAAACTCACTGTGTGTCTAAAGCTAGATATTTATGAATGTAGTCAATCAACTTGTACATAATTCTTTTTCAAACAGGTGAACCAAAATTTGTTCTTGAATATCATTTTAAGTTGCTTATGAGGCCAGTGACTGTTTTGTAATAATTGGTATTAAGTTTCTATTATAATTTTAACCGTAGTTTGTATCTTAAAAATGTATGAATTTTCATATTCCACTACTCAAGAAATTATTGACAGATATTTTTCAAATGGGTTTTTAATTTTTATAAACATCATTATATAGTATGTAATGTTTCACAGTTTAAACTCATCTGTTCAGATATGTATTTTTTTCAGATTAAAATGTATGAAATCTAGACTTGCACTTTTGCTCATAATTTGGTGCTTGTGAAAGACTCAAACGCGTCTCAATTTCAGATATGGTTTACAATTTATAGTAATCACTCATGTTCAGAAATGTGCCATTACTAGGTCCCATATGAATAGAATTATTTTACTTATTTTTAATGTAGAAATAGTATTAGTTGCATAACTTGACAGACTGTATTAAACCATTATTGTAAATAGTTTAAATAAAAAGATATTATCCAATTATCTCAATTATAATGGCATTTTTGATTACCAAATCTGAAAATGCAGTGTTTTCTTTGAGTGCAATGTAAATAATGATCCACCCCTGTATAGTCGCCTAGAACATGGCGGCCGAAGATTTCTTTCCTTTGCGGGAAATTGACAAGCGACTTTTGTTATCTACAGTATACATGTGTTTTGTGTTGTACAGATTTTTAAGCGCGAAGTGAGCTAACCCTAAACAAATTTCTTAATTTTATTGTTTCTCCTCAAAATAAAAAAGGGGATCATTACGTTTCAACAATGGATTTACATTCGTGCACACCCAGAGAATGGAGAGAAAGCGAAAAAAATTTCCTTGTGCTGCTAGAAGATTCATCAAACTTGAACAAAGTGCCATTGCTTAACGTTTGTGACCCCAAAAAGTTGAACAAGCCTTCGCTAGTTCGTTTTAAAGGCATGATACAAGATATGCTCAGCCCAGAGTACTTCCTAGAAAAGTACGAAGTTGTAAACCAAAGCACTGGCGAAAAATACGTTGGTTGCTCCAAGTATTGTGACTCCATCATAACAAAAGAAGAAGAAGAGATTGTTGAAGATTCTTCGAGCACAGTAACTTCAGAAAGGCAAAAATATATTGTAGTATCAGTTCCTGCAGTTAACCATTGGGTAGAAGACATAGAAAATGATCTATATAAATTGAATTTTGATAAGGAAACCTTTGAGGAATCGTCTACCATGGAAGTAGACGAAACACAAAATCCTAACAAAAGGCTTTGTACAAAAGATGCGAGGAGTGCTTCAAGTACTCAAGTGTCGGCTTCAAACTATCCTATACCAGATAAAGACGGGAAGACTTGTCATGTAATAATTTATAGTACAGAAGAGTTAAAACTTAATGATATGTATGAATTCATAGGATTCTTATCTTTGTATGGAACAGATAATGAAAACAACACACCCCTTATTCATTGTGTCAAATACAAACCATTGAGGCATAATAATCCACTAGTGATAAATGATAATACCCCTGAAAATGGTGAATGGGAACATTTATACAAAGAATTAAGGATTGTTCTTACACAACTTCTTTTAGGGGATGAACTAGCAGCTGAATATCTGATTTTGCACCTGATTTCAGAGGTTTACTCAAGGCAAGACTTGCTTTCACTTGGAAAGTTTTCATTGAACATCTCTAACACACCTATAGGTGAAAGTATGAGTTATGTCAATGAAATTTATAAGTTTATAGAAATGTTGATTCCAAAAAGCTACTACCTTCCAATGACCTTGGATAACATGAACACCTTGCCAATTATTCCTAAAAAAGATTATGAGAGTGATAGGCTATCATCAGGAATACTCCAGTTGAGCAAAAATACCCATATTGTACTTGATGAAACAAAGTTAACCCCTGGAAGGCTAAATTCGGCTGGGGTTGAAAATGTGAAAGCCTTTGGCAATGTTGTCAAATTTCAAAAAGTCGCATATGATTTTAACTACTACCCTTTGGAATTTGATTGTGATATACCTTTCCTGATATTCTCTGAAGGCAAATCTATGATAACTTGTGATGTACATGTGGTTCTGCAGCCTGATTCAGAGCATATTGAAACATTTACTGAGATTCTGGTAGCTGCAAGACATTTCTTGAATATTGGTTTGATGAACAGCTTGAGGAAGTATCTGACTTTAGCAAGATTGAGTAAATATGAGATTGCAAGTGGAGCAGAGAATTTAGTACAAGAAGAGTTCATAAAAATGAGGCAGAACAATGCAGATACAACAGTGGATGATCTGCATACCTTATTGGTTCTTGCCAGGTTGATTTGTCTGACACAAGGAAAAGGAAGCTTGGATGAAGACTGTTGGAGGAAGGCTTGTGAGATGGAAGAGAAGAGAAAGTCAAGATTGCCCAAAAAATGATTTATTTTGTACATTTTGCAAATAAAAAGTTTTAAGCTGTACTGTTTTTCAGATTATTTCTGGATGCCTTCATAAGATAAATGGGGCTGATTGTGTTGCAGTCAATCTCTTAAAATAAGTTTTGACCCTAATTCGCGAGTATCCATCACGTTTTGACGACTACTGATCAGCTAGTGACATTTTTGTTAGTCTGCAACGTTGGCTATAATGTGTAAATCTAGCAAAATGTTTGTAGCATTTTGTTTGATGTATACAAATGAACTGAAGCGTTCTAGCAACGAAAAAAAATATGGCTCTGTCTACCTGAGATTGACGGATACATCAGAATTATGTGTCCTTTGCTGATATGGGACATTTTGAAATATTACTAGATACCCAGCTGTCATTTGCTACCTACCGTGATGGATACTCGTGAAATAAAGTATATGCAAGCATTTTTCTAATTTATCATCAAATGAAGATCCCTCATGTGGTCAGGAAAATTGAAGGGTGGCTTGGGAGATCATAGATTATCTTTTTCGTGCCTGTTTTTATTCTGCTTGTCAACTCCACTTTGAATATTTGTATTGAGACATGACTCTAGCTCAAACAATTGCCTATGTAAAATACAATATCATAGTCTTTTTCAACAAACTACCGTTCGCACTATCTGAAACAATCGCAAAAATAATATGTTTATTATAGGCAACTGAATTAACATTGAAAAAGATCTATTGACGTGTTCAAATAGTCTGAAAATGAGCAATTCTGCATCATACTGACTTAACAGATTTCATTTCAGTAGTAATAAGGAATCTATACAGACGACACCTCTTGACGATAGTATTTCGGAAGACGATGCTCAGAATGAAGAGAACCCTGATAAGGTTGATGAGGTGAAAGATGTTCCCCATAGAACAAGATGCGTTTCTTTAAAGAACGAGGTGAGTAAAGCAAAAAATGAAGCTAAATGCTGAACATATTTTGAATACTAGATGATTTTTTAAAACATGGCTTTGTAGCTCATTTCTCTAAACTTTTCCGCATATCAAAGAAAAAATTTATTGATTTAGTAGGAAAAAGCGATGAAAAAAGATATTAGCAAAACCGTATAAAGGTGGACAACATCCAGTGAGTTTATATGGCCATATTTTAATATTCTTGTGGTATATGGGTACACAGGATACTTTGTTAAGCATAGGAACTAGATTTAAGGTGCCCCAACAACAGTAATGATTATAACTAATAAGGTGCTCTACTTTATGCTAAAACTGAAGTCAGTCAAGTTTCCCAAAAAAGAAGCTGAAGTACAATAAAAATATCCAATACCCGGCAAAATTCTTACTTGTCACATTTCAAATAATCAGAAATATATACTACTCCTGAGTTGGGTAAATACCACAATTTCGCGGTGATAACTATGACATATAACAGCTGATTCATGACGTCACGGATCTTATAGCCAAATTGATACTACTAAATTTACGAATTTTCTAATCATCCGTACACCAATCGTTTTTTCATACATCACAAAGTATCTTTCAATAACCTTTTTAATTTTTTTTCACAGTAATAAGAAATTCGATCAAACCCGACTCCTCCCCGATATAATATTACTTTTTAAGTTACGTAATACGGGTTCCAGAGCCATTTGCTATACGGAATCTGCCAACTCCTTTCTAAAACAAATTTGCAATTTTTTCTTTTTCAATTGAAGAACGAACAAGAAACCACAAGCTGTTACTGCAGTGCCTCTCACACTGACAACTTTTCTACCGACGAGCATGACAGCCTGAGGGAAGGTTACGACCCCTCCTCAACTGTTGTACGAGGTATCCAGCAAAGTGACAGTGGTGCAGACTTAACTGAAATCTTAAAATATGACATTGAAGCTGATTGGCAGAAATTCTGGTCATTGAATGGGGAAAGGTTGATATGGGAATCATGGATCGAGAAGTACAGTGCATATATCAACCCGGATTACTTGCAGTACCCTAATCAGGTGTTTGGGGAAGGAAACGGTAGAATACAAGGTAAATCTGAAAAAATATTATTAATTCGCTCTACAGCAGCCTTATTGCGTAAGTGCGTTTGTTACATTGCTATAATTATTTTGTCATATTACATACTAGCTAACAGTGCCTTGCAGTAGATGTGTGTTGCCTACTACTGAGACCATAATACTATTGCAGAGATATGACTTCCAACTGAACCTGTTGAATCATTTCCAGCTCATGAAGAGCATACCTCTCTTACATAGCAATCATTGGATTCTACCTCCCAGACAGCACAGAAGGCTTAGTCACAACCATTGTATGCTCTGATTATGTCTCAATGCCTGAGACATCAAGAAGACGTTTTTAAGATAACTTTAGTGCGACGTTTTGCGAACATCCCGACACGATATAAAACAAACATCTTTAAGATCTTTTTTGATGTCTTCTAGAAGATATTGGATTTTTAGAATTCAGATTTCTAAAGTTAGGAATATTAGTGATGGATGGTTGGATCTTTCAATATGAAAACGTGCAGAGGCAATTTCTTGATTCTTTTGCTGACAATTGATTCTTATTTTTCAATCAAGGAGGTCTAATTAAGCGAATTTTATGTACAGCACAAACATCATCAGCAAACGAACCGTTTATCCACCATAATAGCATCCCAATTGAGTAATAACTTATCGATGAGATTACTGTTCTCAAAAATCATCAGATGCACAACCACCATAGGTTTTACTCACAACAGTAATCAAACCAGCAGAAACAACTGCAGTTATGAACACAACTGTATTATGCTTTTTATACTGAGAGTAAAACAATACCGCAACACAGGCAACTTGGTTTTTGGTACTGTTTTCTGTACAATCCAAATCAACACTACAATTTTGAAAACCTTTTAAACATTTAGGTACATTTTTAGATATTTCTTCAGCATCAGGGAAGTAGTGCAAGGTTCTAAAATTTTACTCAAGTATTGATTAATACACCTAAGGTGACATAACAAAACGCTACAAACCAGTTTTACTAGATTTACACCCGATTCATAATTGCCAAAGTCGCAGACTAACACAAAAATGTCACTTGCTGTTGTTCACCTCAGTAGACGTCAAGGCGTGATGGATACTCGTGGAATAGGGTATAGATCATAGTCACTGTAATGTCACTGTCTGTCAGGTCTGGTGGCCAGTAAACCAGACTAGATGGGGAGAGGGAGAAAGAAAGGAAGGATGTAGGAGTGGGAAGAGAAAGAAAATAAGTTGTTTTATGTAAATATTTGAGATGAGATAGATCTAGGGACTTTTACATTGTACGATGGTTGTCTCAAAAATAGGGTTCCCACATTTTTTTCAGGCACAAGGAGATTTTTATTTGAAAAAACGAATTTACCATTGGTTGATCTTTAAGCTATCCTTCTACATAGTCGTCATTTTTTCTACGCTTTTTTTTTGACTTTTTTACTCCCGCCTCAAGGAAGTACACCGCCAGCCCGCTTGGAAATTTGGTAACTGCTCCTTGCTACTCCTCGTCCGTCTCGAAACGTTAACCGCCTAAGTGCTTCTTCAATTTCGGAAATGCTATGTCAGGGCTGGAAAGGGGATGGGCAATGATTTCCCAGCCAAATCGCTCGATTCAGACCTTCGTATTGCGTGATGCAGTCTTACACTTTGCAGAGTTTTCCCCTATGACGATTGCCCGACTAAGCTTTTTCAGCAGCCTCAGAAACTTCAACCGCCTGTTCGCAGATCGTGTTTCGCCGATCTTCGAGCAAGACTTACTCAACCATAACTTCCTCGGAGATCGACGGCCTCCCGCTTCGTAGTTCATCGTGGATGTCCATGCCGCCGTCAAAGAACTCTTTTCACCATTTGAGGACATGTTGAATGCTTATACATGGCGATGAATTTCTATGGGTGGTATCGTTTTTGGGTGCAAAAATCGGATGACGGCACGAATGTCGCACCTGGCGGTGACGGCGATGTAGAGCTCCATTGCGCATGACTGTCAGGCCGGTACTGAGCGTCGCCAACGCTGGTGACTTCATGGTTAGCCGATAATTTGTAGCAACATGTCTGCTGTTTCCAGAACTTAGCAATGTGCCCAAAATTCCAGCATTTCTAACAGATTACCAAATTTATGTGTCTTGTGACATTCTGCTATTTAAAAATCGAAGTTTATTTGACTAGGTGCTTGTAGACTCCATTTCTTGTGCGGCAGTTCTTCGTGACAAACTTGATTTTATCTGTGATACTATACCTTAATTCAACTTCAATTTCATTATTCAGCGTCACTAGCTCGTCTATAAATTCCTTTGCCTCGTATCCTTTTTCAATTCCCATGAACATGAACATAGGTTCGATCCACTCTGATGTTTTGATTATTTTGTTTCTTATTTCTCTGTATGTTTTTCAGTTTCTATTAGTTTTCCTGTCGCTTTATACTATTACTGCCCCTGATTGTAATTCTATAATATTTTTAAAGCCTCCTTCAGTGCCCTTTTGTGTCAACTCCGGTTAAGCCTACTTATGGCCACCTTGGCATTTTCTGTTTTTTTTTTCAGTCTTATGATTGTCTCAAGTTTCCTATTTTCCAGTGGAGTCCTTGATAGTTATTTCACTTTGCCAGTGGCGGCTCGTGGTATTTGAGTTTGGGGGGCGCAAAATCTAATTCAAAAAATGTTATGCCTCTGTATTAAACAATTCGGCTGCCTGTAAATGACCTCGAAAGAAAAATCTATCTTTTACTTGCATTGTTATTATGTTGCACACTTCTTTGGCAATGACCCCTCGTATACTGTCGTCAGTTCTTCTTCTTTTATTAGATTCAAACTTTGTTTCGGTATATTTTTTAATATCATCAATTTGACCTCTTATATTGTCGGTACTCTTTTCAAAAATTACTAAGTCCTTTTGTAATTGAACACTATCTTGATTTCTTGACTGCAGCTGGTTATAAAGGATGTCAACATGCGGAAATATTTTATGGAATACTGTCAACCCAAACAAGAATTCTTGATCTTCTAACGCTCTTCTCAAACTTGAAGCTTCATTTAAAGTAACACCTCTATTACATCTCTCTTCTATTTCTTCAAACACCTCTATGAGTTTCTCACGATGTTCATAGACAAAGTAAACTGTACGAATGTTATAGTTCCATCTAGTAGCAGCTACTCTGGGGATTTTCTTATTTATAATTTCTTCTAAAACATCACATCGATGGGTAGAGTTCGAAAAAAAAGCTGGTATGGCCGACAAATTATTAAAAAACACACGTACTTTTGAATTTTGTGATGCACTTTTTTGCATAATAAGGTTTAGCTGATGGGCATAACAATGTATGAAATGTGCATTAGGATATTTTTCTTTAATGTCAACTTGAACCCCACCGACAGAACCACTCATGACATTCGCACCATCATATGTTTGTGCTATCAACTTTTCAGGACTTTGTAAAAGAAACGGATCAATTTCAGTTTTCTATGCAAGTTTTTAAACCTACTGATGTCTTATCTTTAACTCTCAAAAAACTCCAAAAAAGTTCTTGTATGCCGCCTTCGTGGAAATATCTGAATATTAAAACCATTTGGCACTGATTTGATATGTCGGTCGTTTCATCGCATTGAACTGACAAGGAAAACAAAACCCGACACTAAAAATGCAGCGCGTAATCAATATTCAATAGTAAACAACAAATGGAGCTAGCTATGCGAGACGCAGCGAGGCCGCAAAAATAATGCGCCCTAGCATAGCTATTAATACTGTACCTCGACTCTAACCGAGTCGTATCGAAAGCGCTCGAAAACACCGACGTGCGGCCGCGAGGTTCGATGCGGCCCGTATAGTCCGGGCAAATAAGGATAAAATCGACTGATTTCTTACAAAATAATTAGGGTGACGTTTAATATATAGTATGTTCAATAAAATGTTAGCTAATTAGAAAAAAAAAATAAAAATGGTTTTATTCAATGCTTTTTTAACGGCATTTTATCTGGGGGGGCGCGCGGCCATGCGGCCTTATGGTAGAGCCGCCACTGCACTTTGCTTATTGGTTCTTTGGTTATACTTACTGAACATCTGGGTTATACTATTTTTGTTCTAATAGTCTCTTGGTTTCCTTGGGCATTAGATAAGCTTCCACTTGCCTCCTCATGTGTATACTTTAGCTTAGTGTTTTCGATTCTAGCTGCTAATACTACATTCTCTTTTTCTAGCTGACTGACTTTGTCCACAACCTGTGTCAGTAATTTTTGTACATTCATCGTAACTGAAACTTTCAATAATGTAGTAGGAGTAGTAATACCGATCAGTTTGCTTAATTTTTCAGACGGCTGGTCCGCTACAATTGATCGCTTACTCGAGTTTGTTTTCCAATAATTTGAACTCGTTTTAATGGTTCTGTATTTCGAAAACAAACATATACTATATTAAAAAACGATCCAGGGAATTGAATTTATTAAAAAGAAACTCAATTCCATGACCTATACTTATTTGACAAAGTCATACAGCCATCAATTGAGATTGATGGTTGCATGAGGCACATGCTACATACTAACAAGGCTAAGACAGTTTGAAACATAATTGTGTCCTCAGTTTGCATGCTAACTTTATAAACAGTTCAGTGCATTTCAGTATGAGTTTTTTTATAAACTTTGAGGCTCATCTATGACCGTGAACAGCCAGACAAAAAAGTTTGCCAGTTAAAGAAATTAAATTGTTTTTGAAACATACTTTTTAATGATCCGCCTGTTTTTTATTATGCCTTTGTAATGCCGCATTAAAGACCCAACAAGCGTATTATAAAGACGTCTTTAAGATGCTCAGTTTTCCTAATTCACAACGTCTTTATTATGTGATACAGCTTTCGCAAGACGTCCTTACGACTTCTCTAGTATCTCAAAAAGACGTTTTTAAAACGTCTATAAGATATAATTGTGATATTTGGGCTGAGGATACACTGTGTTCCCGCGTCCAAAAATTATCCGAAATATCCTAGGAACAGTAGCAGGACACAAAAAAGATTCCAGACATTCACCAAAAAGAGTTAGAATGTTTATTAGTTCTCCTGCAGTCGTTAGACGCATATCATGGCTACTTTCACCAGCAAGCAGAAGAAGCACCTCTGCTCTATGGTTTCTTGCTTCAGCATGTTATGTTCATTTGTCAGTTCATTTATATGGCATTCAGCAACTGAGTTAAAGCATACCGTACCACTTATATTCAACTGCTGAGTGTTAGTGACGCATATGTCCATTATTACGCAGACCGGCAGCTAAGGACTGTATCGTCAGTCGTTCCTACAATTGTAGGACGCCTTGATGGCCTCCTTGATTTTCATAGTTTTCTACTGTTCCGAGTCGGCGCTCTATTTTGAGGTTATGACACAAATATCTATTTGCATCAAATAGTTCATGCTTTTGATTTATACCATCTATACCATGTTTTATCAGCCTGAAAAATCCTACAACCCAAAAAGAAAACATAACTTCACAATAGGAGAGCGCTGACGCTGACACGGAACAGGTGCAATCTAGAAATTTTTGAAGGATAGAGAGAAACGACTATAACAATCAAGCAGGCTATAAAGGTGTCCTACAATAATTGTAGGAACGACTGACGATACGGCCCTAAATGCGATCTTTACACTCGTCCGTCACATTTTGTTCCATCGAGTATCCTACCAACCTGCAACCCACTAGACTAGCGAAGTGCGGGTTGCATTAGTTTAGGTAAAAAGGTAAAAACAGCCTTGTGCGGATGTGACAATCACAATTGTTAGTACATGCTATTTTTTCATTTACGAATATTTTTGTGATTTAGATACTGTAGAAAATCCTCAATCAAAGCCAGAAAAATTCTCATTCGATGAGAAAGACGTCAACGCTCTTATCAAACCAGAATGTAGTTACAAGAAAGAAAACACGCATAGGAATTTGGCATTACTGAGAAATTTGTCTGTAAGCGACGAAAAACTATTCACCGAAATATCCGATGGCTGGAACCCACTGTCACCTTTGAGTGTTGAGGGAGAAACTGAAGTAGAAAGATTGCTAAGGTAAGATTTCAAGTTTGATAAAAATATGATTTAATTACGCCGTGCGCTTCAGACTTTCAATTGTGTTGAGATTGGGTATAGAGACACCCCTTGCCAGCAATAAGATTCTTACCATGATAATTTCTCAGTTCCAGATGTGGTTCCCATGCAAGTGGTTCAGTTAGAACAGTAGATTCTATGACAAACGTGACACGAATGACAGTTTCTTCCATTGATCTAAGCAACAGTACATCTAGCTCCGATAGTTTCTCATCTGTCAGTTCTATCAGCAGTTCTGTAGCATCTGAAGAAGCGGAAGAACAGGTAGAAGACTATCAAGGTCAGTGGAATTTTTTATGGAAGAAACACTATGAGGAGGAATATTTGCGGCAATACAACAAGTTTATCAAATGTACAGGTAATAACATTAGTTTTGTAATCTGTCATCTATGTTTCAATTGTTTTCTATGGGATATGGCGTACTTGTTTTTTCAGATTCTTCAACGAATAGTGAAATAGCAGAAGAAGTGCTGCCAACTATCAAAGGTGATTTGAATATCAAGAAGTGTGTAGAAGTGATATCAGACATATCGAGAAAAGTGGATTTGAAATCGACAAAAATCAAATCGGATTCGTTAGTTGTTAATACCCTATCGAAAATCTTTGACAATCTAAACATGTCAAGTGACGAAGAAAATTCAGAGGCATCAGAGCAAGAGAATGAAGAAATGGGCTCTGAAGCAGCTCAAATGGAAGCTTTGGGATTGCCTACCTCATTTTGTAAGAGCAAAAATCCGCCATCAGTTGGAAAAAGCAGTGTGCCTAACAAAAATATGTTAGTACTTTTAATTCCTTGGTAGTCGTTTTGCATGGGAAGATCACATGCTTTCTTTTAACCTTTATTGAATGTCTTAAGATAACTATAAAGACCTTGAAGGAAAGCCTAGTTGTTCTATTTTTCGCCCTCCTAATTTTCACTCTCAAGTAGTTCTATTTTTCATGCCTCTTCACCATTTTGAAACTACAAATTTGTATCAAGCAATTTTGCGGAAATCAGCTCGGGTTTGGCAACGTCTGTTATAATGAGGGGAATCCCCATCATACTTGCAATGTAAATATTTTGAATGACTCACCAAAAGTTATTTTCAACTTTGACCTTTTGTTATCTATATGTACTATTCCTTCACAGCGATAAATCGGACAGTTTTAATGCTGGAAGAAATCGTGTAAGAGCTGCCTTTAACATATTAGGAATCGAGTTCCAAGAGGACGCGGAAGAAAAAATGACTGGGCGAGTTGAGTATATAATGAAGCATATTAGACACCAAAATAGACAACTCAAAATCAGAGCTAACAAGAGGCCTAAGCACTTGTATTTCGATGAAGACGGCAATGCTCTCGACAGTAAAGATAACGCTGATGAGGTAACCTATCTTAGTGTGTGATTAGAAATTGTGTACAAAATATAGTTTTTTTTTTTAGATGTTGCCTGGGATTTTGTCCGACGATTCTGACAATAGATTAAGTTCGTGTGACGAGGAGACTATTCTGATTGACGTAACAACTTCTAAACAGGATGAGAAAACTGAAGTTTCTACCACAAGTAAACGAAAGAAGAGAAAGAGGAGTAAGTTAAACTTACCTCCAGAAATAAAAGAAAATGAGAAGTTGAGGAAATATTGGAAGCGACGTTTTTCCTTGTTCAGTAAATTTGATCAGGGAATCAAGCTAGATGAAGGTAAATATATCATCATCATTTCAGTCAACATACAACTCGGGCATTATAGGAAGTGTAAGTCATTATAAATTGAAATATTACTCTAACAAGGTTACAATTATTGAGTTGTATGGTATCGGTCATAACTTACTGTATGTGGTTTTATTTCAGAGAGTTGGTACTCTGTAACTCCTGAGCTAGTAGCAAAACATGCTGCTGAAAGATGTCGATGTGACCTCATAATAGATGCCTTCTGTGGGGCAGGTGGAAATGCTATACAATTTGCGTCTACTTGCAAAAAAGGTAGGAAGTCGTCTGATACTCTAAAAGTCTATTGGAGTGACAAGAAATTGCTACTATGATAACAGTTTTGTTTCTCTTTCAGTAATCGCAATAGACATTGACCCTAAGAAAATAGAAATGGCTCAAAACAATGCCACGGTGTATGGTGTGGAAGAAAAAATAGAGTTCATAGTTGGAGATTTCTTCCAACTCGCTCCATATTTGAAAGCTGATGTTGTATTCTTGAGCCCGCCTTGGGGTGGTCCATCTTATTCAACGACGCCAATTTACGATTTGGAAACGATGCTTCAGCCATTCCCGCTTTCCAAACTATTAGAAGCAGCAAGGGAGATATCCGAGAATGTTGCTATATTTTTGCCAAGAAATAGCAATACGTGTAGCGTAAGTATTCTTGAGCTGTAATGTATGTCAACTTGAGTGAGCGTTGCTATAGCAGATGGTAAATACCTATCATTTTATAAAAAAATAACTTTTTTCATTCTAATCTTACTAATAATTAGTGGCATAGCAAGTGGGGATGGCGGGGGCGAGCCGCACCGGGTGGCACCTTTTTTGGGGTGACACCCACCCGGTGACTCAACTTTACCAACAATGTACAAACAAAAAAATCGCTAGCACAGCTGTCTTCTTCGATGATTCTTCCACAAGCACTAGCTCAGCTCTATGTATAATTCGGGGACTTCCCCAAAAGCGCAAGACGCTGTCGTGTATGATTCCCCGTCCCATGTTCACGATCCTTGACGTCTCAGTTGCATCATTTCTCAATTGTTTGAGTGAAGTGTGTTGAGCTTGGGATTTTACAGAATCTCTTCGAAATCTTATGATTGCACTAAAATTGTTCATGACAGTTTGCGTGTCTTAGCTTCATGAGAAAGGAGTTTCAGGAAACTAAAATGAATAAAAAACTATTTGCGGGCTACAGTAACCCAATAACGGCTTAGCAATCTTGGTATATTACCCATCGAACACGGGGCAATACAAAATATAAATTTTGATGAAGTTATTTCTGAGTTTGCGGCTGTCAAAGCCAGAAAGAAGAGATTTTAATTGTAAGATAAAAATATTTTTTCTATCTTAGTTTTGATTATGTTTTGTTATTTGCTCAATATTTTGAATATAAATATTAAATGATCCATGACTTATAAATCATATAAAATTTATTGCTTTCGACTTTCGATGGGGTGACACCACCAACTTCCGCACCGGATGCCACCCAAGGTAGCTACGCCACTGCTACCAATAAAAATGGGCTCCTGGGCAAATAAGAGGTCCGAGCCCACTACCAAACTCTTAAACCTCACCCATTACCAACTTATCCTTAACTAAGATCAATATTCGCCTACAATTTCGAAAATTCTCTATACTATATTGTTTTTCCTTATTATCAGTTTATTCATGCCATACCATTTATTGACCTCTTTTTGTATATACAATGTACGAGTACATGTCAGATCTTACAAACTAATTCATTATCTATCCGAGTGACGTCATAGCATCAACGTACTCATCAACAGAATAGAACCGGTGGTTAAGCAATGCTTTTTAGCAAACTGTGAGAAGCAGCAATTAGACATATTTTCAAAATTGTGTTATTTATGTGCAATGACGAATTAATTATAAAATTTAACGTTAGGTCAATCAGTTTTAGTCATATTCAGTCGCGAGCATGGATTCCTTAGGTAATTGATACATAGTGCATGGGTGTGTATTTCTATAGAGGTTTGATATTTCTTTAGATTTCTGTGCACATAACGTAGGGCTTCAAAAATATAAATTGATGGAAGTGCTAATATTTGTAGATGTTTGCACGTTGATCCATATACCCTATTTCACGAGTATCCATCACGCTTTGACCTCTACTGAGGTGAACAGCTGAGCAGCAAGTGACATTTTTGTGTTAATCTGCATCGTTGGCAATAGTGAATCCGATATAAATCTAGTAAAATTTGTTTGTGGCGTTGATTTTTTGAATGCAAATGAACTTTTCTAAATAAAAGGGCTATTAGCAAGTACAAAACGAATCTGTAACGTACAAAAAAAGCAAAACAAAATACGGCTCGGTCTCGCTGGCGTTGACGAATCCGTCAGAATTATGTGTCCTGTGCCGATAAGGGGAATTTTGTAGTATTAGTAAAGTATTACTAGATAACCAGCTGTCATTCTACCGTGATGGATACTCGTGAAATAGTGCTTAACTGGAATTTGTAATCATCCTCAAACCCATTTTTAGTAAAATGAAAATTTTCCTAGACGCTACTGAGTTTCTCCAAAGCATTGTGCCATATGTAATGTGACTATGGAACAAGCTGAAGTACATTTTCCGCAAAATATGGTTATCGAGGCATCACCTTAGCTGCCTAAGAACAAATAATTGTATAGACAGTCAAGAATGTAAATAATCAATGTGGGCTGTCCAATTTAGTCTGGTATCGAGTACGATTCCAAGAAATACTAACAAAAGGTCAGATGCGGTTCCCTCAGACCTTATATACTGCTTCCTATCTGACAAATACTAACGAAATAGCCCAACCTCGGTATTTCTTATGCCATAGTATTATAGCTTTTTCTATAGTACATACGAGTATATGTGAATTGAATTGACACAATTTAAGTCACACATAGTAGCTATAGTATTAAAGTTATCTTCTATATTGTCCAGTACTTCTTCTAATAAAGTGAGTAGTGCTTTTATTGTGGTTAAATTTTTTCCAAATTGTGCTATAGATTTTCGCAGTAAGTAACCTTATAATTTTTCTTTCATAATAATCTCAAAGATTTTCTCAATAATAGGTTTATATATTCAGTCAGTAACAATCCATAGAAAGTGAATCCTTCGTAAATAATATCACCCTTCTGACACCATGGGGAAGTATCGGAGACATAAAGAAAAAAAAATATGGCTTGGGTATTTTATTCGGGAAAACATAAAAATCAGCAACATAGAAAGCATGCTCAAGATTCTATCCGAAATTGTAAAAATATTATTAAAGTCATTGAGAGATAAATGAGGATTATAATTGATTTTATTTTTCTTTTCATAGTTTACTAGTTTCCACATGATCTTACTCGTATTATCTGAGTTGATTATCAAATTTTAATAGCTCCATCTTTTTTCACGTTTCGTATAATTTTCACGAGATATCTTGAACTTTTCCGTTAAACTGAGTTTTAAGTTTCATAGCATCAATTATATGTATGAGAATATATAATACAAATATTTTGAATAATTAAAAAGTAACAACTAATAAGTAAAAACTGGTCTTCCGACCGGGACTCGGCTTTACTGCTTGTCTGATAGGTCACAGTTCAGACGTCAATTTTTCTTTATTCTTAATTACAGTTTTTCAGCATTTAACAATGATAAAATGTGGTATTATTATACGTATACTAAATAGCAACATACCCCAGATTTTCTTGGAATGGAAAATGAAAGTAAATTTAAGGGGAACGGTTGGGTATTAAAATTTTTTAAAATGGTTCCCAGTTAAACATTATAGGCTATATAACATGGAGAAATGTTAAAGTATAATGAGATTCTACTCCTAAAGGAGTACTTGCATATAAAACTTATAAAAACTCTACTCTTCCGACTTTATTTTATGACTTGCTAGTTTGACATATTCAGTAGTGCGCACTTATATACCATTATCAATATCGGCCTTGTAAAAGCTATCTAAAAAACGGTATAAAAACGTAGTGTGTTGCGTAACTGCGTCCTCTGACTTGAGTAAACTGACTGGTCTGGTAGGCAAACAAACAATGCCAAATCTCTTGATGGTGGTATAGTGATTGTTATGAATACCGAGAAGGTGGGGTGGCTGGTCTGACTCCATGATGCTATATAGTATCATGGTCCAATTCACACACTCTGACAGCATTGCAACAACTACTAACGCCTGCCTGCCGTCATTTTATGTTTAATTTGAATGATAAAACAAAATCTAATTTTCTGCATTTGTTAAATATTTTTTTTTTACTTTTATCCCAGCCGGGCTCGTGGGTAATTGCTCCAGTTATCCCCCTGTCGCCCGGCCCTGCCGAGAAGCAATACATTAATAATACCTTTCTGAAAATGCTGACTCAATTGTCTAGTAATGTGGGTCCTGTGCCTCAAAAACATTAGAAAATGAGGTTCGAGAAACTTTAAATTCTTTCTTTTCAAAAAATAAAATTCTTTTATAGTAGTATGCGATATTTGTTTCAGCTAATATGTGCCGCAGGACCGAACGGAAAGGTAGAAATAGAACAAGATTTCCTAAATAAGAAGCTGATATCCATCACTGCATACTACAGTGAACTTATCAACCAGAATTAATTTTATTCCATAACTTAAGTTTAAACACTGTATTTTAAGTGATATGGTTTATACCTGTTTCTCATATATGTTGTGTATTTTCAGTGTTAAAATATAAAGTACTAACCAATATAATAGATTGGGAAGTTATTTAGAAAGAGAGGTAAAGGTCTGATGTTGGTAGCTGAATCTAACCTGAAAATACCACCCCTTAAGCTGTGTATCAATTTGCAATGCAGTTGGTTAGTTTTATATAATTTATTGTCAAATGATACTTTTGATGATTGGTTGGACGTTTTTTTATTTGTAATAAACAATAATCCGAATAAATTCATTGTGGAATAAACTATTGTATTGGTGCATCTCCCTTGAATCGTTATAAACCAGCTTCCATTTTAAAATCTAGAAAAAGTAATCTTTCCTTTTGTTGTGTGGGGAAGGGGGGATCGAATGGTTTTCTTTATTTTGAAGTTGCAATCAGGAAATCAATGGCTTCGATGAATGTGATTTGTTACTAACCACTCCCGCATTTATAGTGATTCCGAGTGATTGTATAACATATCTAGCTGTGTTGTGAAAAACGTTCAACTTTGAGGGATTATTGGTGACTCCTGATATGAAGCCAGTCCACAATCACTGATCACTGGTAAGTTTTTCTTGTAAATGTATCTGTTGATGTTTGAGACTTCTTCAGATATATAGTTACTTCAGCTGTTCTTGGGTCTTACATTGGATATATTTTTTGAATCCAAAGTATTTTCATTGATGACTCATAACCAGGACGTATATATACAGGGTCTTTCAAATTAGACCCTACCATTGGGATCTCGCAAAGTTGCGTAAATACCAAAATAGGTAATTAACAAAATGATATTTCAAAGAATGCAGAATTTCCTAGGTAGGGCTTGAATTTATCAGATAGTCAATTCTTTAGCATACTACATTTATCACAAAATGACTTTTATTTTTTCCTGGCTTTATTTGAGATGGGATTCAGTGGCGGATTTAGAGGGGGCGCGCCCCCCTAAACGTCTGACACTTGCTTTTGTAATATAACACCATTGTGTTACTTTCTGACACATCATGGCGACAGAGGCATACTAACTATGTGTTATAGCTATAGGAACTGAGCATTGCGATTTTTTGAAATTCCAAATGCTGTCCCTCTTTGCCATCCCTTGTTTACAACACAATTCTTACGATTTATACGTATATATGAGTATTGTGACAAATCTAAGTCTGGGTAGTATATTAGCTATAGGTACCGATTGCACTTAAAAAGTGATTTATGTTCTGTTTTTTGCTCAATAGTAATTTGAAAAGTGTTTAAAACTTGACTGCTTTTGTTCGGGGTTGGTGTTGCAGCGAAGCACTATGTTAGATGAACGCCTAAATTGGAAATAGACATTTATGAGATTTGTTTAGCGGTGCGCCTGTGGCCTGTCCAGAAACTGCGTCGATCGATGCTCAAAGTCCGGCATCTCTTCCCGCGAATGAGTCTATTTATGTTGCTATATTGAATTCGTTTAAATCACAGAGCTGCTGCACTAGACGTAAATATGTACAGCCCTGTATTCATGTACTGGTTTCGTACATAGATTATCAAAATAAGCACGATCTAACAGATATAGTGTTTTCCAAGAATTTCCAACATTTTTACATGCGATCAACACCAGTTCGAAAACTGAGAAAACAACAACTATGCCGTAAATCTAAGTTCGACAACGAAAGTCTGAAAAATAACTGTAACATCTAGATTGAATTTCAAAAACCCCAACCCCTACTGAGCGGGGCCGTGGCAAATGCTTGTTCCGGAAGTTGTAGTATCCAGTATACAACTTCTTCCCGTTCAAATGATTGTATACGCGTTAAGGAATACCTCGGTACCGATTGCCGGGTGACGGTACAAGTCCGCCAACGGGAAAATTTAGGTCTATTAATATCATTAACACGCAAAAAGAAGGTGGTAGACAAGGACCGGTCGACTGAGGCGGTACCACCCGCTAGCTTCTTCCAGGGTGTCTGATAAATGTCCGCATGTTTCCACACCTAAGCTATGCAGTCGGTAATCTTCCAAAACAAAGAAATTAATTACGATGGATCCCTCGAGTACTAAGAGTTCCTGACGTAAACTCACTCCATTCTCGGAATTTCCGGGGGCAGGGTGGACTCGAGGGAATAACATCGAAGATAAAATTTGTTTCACGCACATCTGCGGGATTAACAGCAGCATTGATGCTGTTAATCACTACTTTCAATCCAATCGTCCCGCCATGCTTTTCTTGGCACACAAAACCTTCTTACAAAACCCCACTGTACATAACAGACAAGCCGACGAAACAAATATAACGAAGCGGTTCGCAATGCCAAAAACCAGCACAGGCACAGGGTACTGTTACAGCGCAGTGGCAGTCGGTCTTTCTGGACGCTGGCCAAGCATATTGAAAAGAACTTCTCACGCAGTAGATTTCCACCACTTACGTGTCGGGATGGAGCGATTGTATCGGACTCAAAAGGCAGAGCTGGAGATTTTTTATTAGTCGATTTTAGCTACATAAAAAACGTATTATAAGATTGGTTGAGCTCACGCCAGACATACCCATTTTTTGCAGTATTTCAGATTGTAACAAAAGACGTCGATTACGTATATGGTTGCCACATTAATGAAAACTACTAGATCCTAGGAGGTTTTACAAAATCTACTTTGTCTTCGATGCCTTTACGGTAACCAACATTACGTTACGAAGCATAGGTTTTGTAAACGCTAGAGCTAGTGACAATGGCAGAACGCAACCAACATTACATGGGCATGGGCGTATTAGTGACAAGCAGAAATTTGCTTACTTTTGGGAAATAATATGAAACATAGGCTACAGGGAAAGGAATACAAAATGTTAAAATAGATACTTGAAAGTTTTACTACCCACTCAAACCATATTTTAACATTATTACGATTTTATAATTCAAGTTAAATTACACAGCATTCTAAAACAGCTATAAGAAAAATGAACATTGAAATGAAATTTATTCAAAGTATTTATTATACAAAATTGTCACAACAAAGACTTGCGTATAAATAATAGTGGCAAGATATATTTTATTTGAAAAAAGTTCCAGTCACTAGAACCCTCTGAATTGCTATCACTATATTCGCCATTCACATATATTATAATGATTGGTAAAATGTCAGCTTGGTCAAGATATTTTTCTCTTTTCCACCATCTCTAAATTTCGATTTCAGTATGTGATATACATTTTGACCAAATTTCGGCTGTAACAGTTTGTAACGTTTCTCGCCATAAATTGATACAGCGCTCTACAGCTCTGTCATTACGACCCGCATGGTTGTTGTAGTAGGGCTTTGTTATGCCCCAAATATTTTCAATAGGGTGAAAAATGCAATCATAGGGCGGTAATCGTAATACTTTATGTCTATACTGTTCGGCTAATGCATCAACAACATGTCTTACTCGTATAGGCGGTTTGTATTCCTGTATATTCTGAAGTAGTTGTGCTTTGAACATGTCATTATATATTTTAAGACGTAGTTAAAAGTTTATTTGAAGGATTAAAAATTTGTGAAATCCAGCAAAAAGTTGTTTTTCAAATTCTGATCATCCTCATCATCGTCACTGTTGTGTAACTCCAAACACAACAAAAGAGTGCATAATTCGAAAATGTGTAGGATGGAATCCTAGTCGAAAAATCGGGAAACTGCTGTTGCAATACGTTTTCTAAAAGTGAACCCTGCTGCACAAGAAAGAAAAGAATTGTAGAATTCAGTATGAATAGGCTTACAAAATTAGAACTAATAGAAACGTCTGATTTGCTGCAAAGGTTAATTGGTTATTGCAAAAAAATCGTTTATTTTTTGCCGAAAAATGTATAAAAGTAAATATGAAATAGTAGCCAAAAGTTAAAGGCTTTGTAGTGGTTAACATCAAAAAAATGTCAAAATTGCTCAAGCTATCCAACGACGTAACGTTTGCAACAAATTAGGCATGCAGGGTCAGTTTTTAGTATGTAATTCGTTAGTATCTTCATCAATATAAAAGATAATCAAGAAAGTTTTTTGCAAATATTCTGGATATGTATACGCTTGCTACTTGGAAAATATACAGCCCTCTACAGGGTGATTCAAAACGACATAACATGTATATATATCTATATATATGATTAGAGTATAATATAACTCATATTATACTCTAATCATATTAGATGAAAATATTCTTGTATGCGAAATAATTGTAAAGTCTGGTTTTATTGATGAAAGTTGGGTATTTAAATCATTTACGCATAAAATGGGTACATCAATTTTTGTGAGAAAACTTTTTATTCCACAACAAAGAGTGAGAAACCGTGTTTTTTTTTGGGATTCAATCAAAAGTGTTGATAGGAACCAAAAAACTCTTCAAATAAGATTTTTAGGTATTTATGGGACACACCGAATGAGACCACACGTAACAAGATCCGACTAATAGTAAAAAAGTTATGGCCGAAAACCGAGGTAAGATGCATGTTTTAGCACTTGTCGGTAATGCGACGATAGTTTCATGCAGATATATGAAATTCTTGAAATTCGTAGGCATCATACTTCTAAATAACAACAGAATTGGAGTCGATTGGTCAAGTAGTTTTTGAGAATGTCTAATTGTTTATCCTCTCCCTTTTTCGCATGAAAATAACAATTATATTTCGGAATGGTTTGTGATTCATGTCGGAAAGGTAAACTCGTGTATTCCGCTATAAAATGCCATTTGAACAAACCCTGTATATTGCTAGTATTGATGCGCAAAAGACAGGTGTTTCGAGATAAACAATTAGAAATTCTCAAAAACTACTTGACCAATCGACTCCAATTTTGTTGTGGTTATTTAGAAGTATGAAGCTTACGGATTTGAAGAAAACTGGTTTCTTGTCGGTAATACAATTTTTATTGTATAACGATAAATTCAAAATGTGTGACTTACAAGATATTTGCAATGACCGTATTCATATTTTTCCACTACAAATTATCCTAGAATGTTTGCCCATCCTATGTACATTTAAACATACATATAGTAATTTTTAGTATTTCATTAAAATAATACTATCGCTAGCTTTGCTCCGAACGCCCTGTACATGATATTCAAGAATACAGATTCAGTTGTATAGCAAAAATCGACGTACATGTATAAAAAAACAGCAATCTTTCCAAGCGTAAACAGTACGACTCTAGCCAAGCGTTAAGGGGAGTTCACACTTGCATGTACCGCTTACATAAATAAGACATTCAAGTTGATGCAAACTGTACTTGCAATCAGATTAAGGGTTACACTACACACCTACCTTTGCAAGGGAAACTTGCATAAAGTCCAGTCAGTGCAGTTCTTCATCTGGTGCGGAATGGCGGATTATATAGAAGACGTTCGGGCTGTAGTGAGAGTTGCAGTCAGTGTTATATTGCGATGAGCTTTTTGGAGAAGCAAATCAGTTACTAACAGAAAATAAAGAGGAGAAAACGAAGGTCATGTTGGGAAAGAAGTTGGGTATCAAGAAGGTTGCAATTAGGAGCTTCAAGACCACTAGATGAATTGGCGAGATAATACAAATATATCTATAGGAACGTACTCCGTATTCCAAAAAGTAAATTTGATGAATTGTTATATCATGTGAAAGAGTGCGTACAGAAATGAGGGTAGTTATACCAGCAGAAATTAAGTTAGAAATTACGGTTAAGGTATTTGACTGCAGGAGATTCCTTTGCTTACCTACAGTATTTTTATCGAGCACCAAAATGCACCATTTCAAAATTTCTTCATGATGTCTGTGCTGCTATATACAAAGCACTGCAGGAATTTGTTCAGGAAAGTAATCGTCCTTGTTATTTACAAGATGTCTTGTAAATTAACAGCCAAACTTCAGGAGGTTATACCAAAGGGCAAAAGTTAAGAAAAATAACTTCTGTACAACATTCCTTATTAAAATGACCACACACTCTCTGGTTACTTGTTTACAAGTAGTAGTTGTTTGCAAGCAACAGGTTTACACAGGAAAGTACAGCTAACGCGCAAGTGGAGCTTCCGTGCATTTTAGTGTTTACATTTGCAAGTTTTTCTGCCAGTTGAATGCAAATAAAACTTAGGCAAGCGCTACATGCTAGTGTAAACTCCCCTTTAGGGAGAGTAGGGGAAACGAGTGGAAATGAGGGGTGGTTCTGTGACAAGGTACTGCGCGGCTTCAGTTATCGGTGTAGCGAGTCGGCGATCGGTCTGTGCTACCAAGTCGCGTCACGCCACGCGTTTTTTGTGCTGTTCGTAAAGTTTTTTAATATCATGAGGCAACGTGTGGTGGTAAATACGTAAATACTTGCTTAGGGAGTTTGTAGTACTTGTGTGTATACAGGGTGACCCAGAAATAACATACCAGAGTGACAGGGGATTGGCTTCAGATAAAATCAACATGACCTTAGTAAAAATTTTCGAGATATTTCCTCTTTTAAGTTTTTTCAAAAAATCCATCTTTTTGCTCATTTTTCCCTGTTATGGCTATAAAGAACTTATAACTTTTTCTCCTGGGCTACTATCAGTAGTTGGTTGAGTTCATCAAAATTATTACATTTTGTTTCAATGTGCAAACCTTTACTAAAGTTTAATTAATTACTGCCTACATCTAGTATCGCAAAAGGAAGGAAGCTTGCCACTCGTGCTAGCGAAACGTTAGGAAGAAATTCCAACCGACGACGGCCTTTAGAGCCGAATCAAGACAGAAGTTTAAGGTTATGTTGTTTTTATCTGATTGATCCGAAGCCAATCTACCTCCCGTCTCACTCTGATGTGTTATTTCTGTGTCACCCCTCTTTTTTTTAATGAAAATTTGAATAGTAATAGTTCATGTTGTGCCGTTGAGAAATTTGAAAAATTTTATGGCTTATTGAGGTATCTGGGAAAAACTAGAATTTGGCCAAATCGCTTTTATTTTTCTCTGACTTTTTTTTAAGGAATATCAAAAAACTATTAGAACTTTTTAGGCACTACAGGTTGGTATTTTATAATTTTGTGCCCGACGTTTCGTTTTTGAGAGACCATCATCAACTCTATTTTTTATATAATCCGAAAAAAAGTATCTGATTTATTTCTTAGTTATAAAGATAAATGTGATTTTTTTATTTATATATATATGTAATTACTGGTAGATGCATATTACATGATATGATGAGGTAAACTTTTAAAAAGTGATGCTTAATCTAGTGATATGCAGAATAAGGTGACGCACTGAACGAATACATTATCACTCCTGGTACTTAAATTTTTAATAAAGCCAAAAAGGTAGTCCATATTACCGATCAAATGTCTTCTTATTATAGCCCATTAAGGAAAGGATAACATTGGTATAGAAAAAGCGCTTTAGAAGTTGTATTTGGTGCAGCAATTGTTAAACTCCTAAATTTTTTTACGAACGACCGTCGGTTACAATTGTTGTTGTTTGTTAAGATTTGTTTTGATGCCACAAGGCATAAAACAGGCTAACTAGATGTCGCTACAAATCTAAAATTCAGGAAATATTGAGATGGTACATTTAAGAATCGGTACAATATACGTAGTCATGCCATAAGTTCTGTCCCTCGTTTTCAAACAAGTGTAGACCTGTTAATACTTGTCCGATTGTTTACATTGTGGTGTCAGTTGATTAAGCGCTTTTCGGGTAATTACATATACCTCAGTTTGTATTGATCTCTCGAAGCATAACGATGGAGTGGGGCAAGGCAGAGAACCGTATTGCAGTGATAGCTTTACATAAGTGTAATCACAGTGCTAGTCAGATTTTTGAACTCTTACGCGTCCTTCAAATATCGCGTAAATTTGTGTCTAGGACCATTCAGCGGTACAATGAGACGTCCTCTGTTGATGACAGGCCAAGAAGCGGAAGACCTCGTCAAGTAAGGACTCCAGCAGCCATCAAAGCCGTAAAAGCCAGGATTCAAAGGAATCCACTCCGGAAGCAGAAGATCCTATCCAGGGAAATGAAGATTCCTGTCCGGACGATGTCGCGCATCATTAAACAAGACCTAGGGCTAGGGGCTTACCGGAGACGTACGGGCCAGCGACTTACGGCCACCTTGCGACACATCAGGGCGACAAGATCCAAGAAGCTCTTGGAGAGGTACGCAGCTGGGGGATTCCGAAAGATTTTGTTCACGGATGAGAAAATCTTCACCATAGAAGAAAAATTCAACCGACAAAATGACAAAGTGTATGCAAGGAGTTCACAGGAAGCTTCGGAGATCATTCCGAGAGTTGAGAGAGGCCACCACCCTGCGTCAGTCATGGTTTGGTGGGGGGTGTCCTACGAAGGGGTCACTCAGCTCCATTTCTGTAAACAGGGCGTGAAAACAAAAGCGGCAAACTATCAGAGCGACATACTGGATCCTATCGTCAAGCCTTTAAGTGGTACATTGTTTGCCAACCAACACTGGGTCTACCAGCAGGATTCCGCCCCCGCTCACAAGGCTAAGAGTACGCAGCGCTGGCTGGAAAGCAATGTGCCAGAGTTCATTGCTGCGGAAGATTGGCCCTCAGGGAGTCCGGACCTCAATCCTTTAGACTACAAGTTGTGGGACCTGCTAGAGCAGTTGGCCTGCTCCAAAGCCCACCGTAATATCGAGTCCCTGAAAGCGGATTTGATCCGATCAGCGGCAGCTATTCCTTTGGAAGCTGTGCGTGCAGTGATAGATGAGTGGCCCGCGAGATTGAAGCAGTGTGTGAAGGCCAAGGGGGGACATTTTGAATAAAACTGTTTGATTATGAATTCTAAAAATGTTGTCGAATAAATAATATCTTTCATATAAATATATCTTATCTTGTTTCATTTTTATCATGAGATTATCATGAGACAGAACTTATGGCACGACTACGTACTTGACTTTTTCGTATATTTCCAAACATTTTGATTGAAGTTCTACATTTCAGGAAAACTATCGGATTCAAAAATATGTTTCTATTTGTTTCAGGTCTAGGGTCCAGTTGAGATGGAACACTTGGCAGAACTAGGAGGTTTTCTTTTCAGTTGTATAGACTAAGCTGTTCTAGAGCAAAATAACAATCAGCAAAAAATGCAGGGTGCTTAAAATAGTTTGAATGATGTATTTTACATGTTTCAAACTCCAAACCGTTAATTTTTCGTTCGTTTTGATAGCTTTAGTTTGAGAGGCAATTTCAAAATATTTTTGTATTTATTTCAGGTCCAGTTATAGCTGAAGGCGCAACAGAACGGTAAACTAGGTAAGCACTTTTATTTGAAAATCTTATGTTTCAAATGAAACTAAACCATTAATGATAATAGATAATTTTTGAGGTATAAAGATTAGATATGTGAAAGAAAAGGGGTTGCTGGAGACAAAACTCTTGAGTTTTTCAATTTTTCCTGTAAAAAGCATGTTAAAAATATCGCAGTGCTAAGATGATTGTTGAGATATAAATGAAAGCAATTGGAAATACGGTAATGAAGAGGTTAGTGCGGAGGGCCAGTTCTTGGATATTCCGAATAAATGTTGTGAAATATGAATTTTTCTACGAAAAGTCAAATATTTCATTCCAAGATATTTTTTATACACCTTATTTTTAACGGATTATGTAACACAAAATTCAAAATTGTGAGGGTTATAATCTTGGTTTCATCAATATTTTACAAAATAATGCTTAAAATTGAACAAGATATGAATTCTTTTTCGGGATTGGATTCAGCTTTCTTATTTCCTTGTATTTTACGTGCAATGACCTGTAATTTATACTTTGAATGAATTATATTTCGCCGAAAAAGGAGCAACCCACAACTTTCAAGTAAGGTTATGAACCCTATTTAGCTTCTTCAGTAATTTTTTAGTGATTTAACTGATGTTATACAACAACATGAGTTCTGCTTCCGGCATTTAGTATGCAAATGCCCTGAATTTGAATCTCCAGACGAGTTCAAGATCATGATGGAAATGTAAAAAACCTAATATACAGGTCCGAACTCCACGGCAGTTTCAGAATAGTTACGTTTAGTTGCTTTCACCACAACCCTTCATTAGATTTAGTAACATAATGGTGCATTTCACAATTAAATGCCAAGTCTGGACCTGAATACTACGTTTTTGTACGTTTTTTGACTTCAAGCTGGTGAGGAATATCAAATTTAGTGGAATTCATAGTCTAATCATTTTTGATGAAAATACCCTTGGGTTGCGAAATAATTGTAAAGTCTAGTTTTATTGATGCAAGGTGTTCCAGGGAGTATTTAAATCATGGACGCATAGAATGGGTACACCAATTTTTATGGTAAAACTTTTTATTCCACAACAAAGAATGAATATACGTGTTTTATGGGATTCCATTGAAAGTGTTGGCAGGAACGAAAAAACTCAAATAAAATTTTTAGGTATTTATGAGACCTACAGAATTAGACCACACGTAAAAACATCCGACCGATAGAAAATAGTTATGGCCGAAAACCGAGGCAAAATGAAGGTTTTGGCACTTGTTCACGCAGCTACATGAAAATTTTCAAATCCGTAAGCTTCATACTGCTAAATAACCAGAACAAAATTGAAGTCGATTGGTCAAGTAGTTTTTGAGAATTTCTAATTGCTTATTCCAAAACATCTGTCTTCCTTCTTCCTTCCAGTGGGCTAGTTCCACATTGCCACTAAGAGCGTAATAGAGAAAAAATAACTATAGCAACAACACAAACAAACAACTATCACTACTCAAGACCTAATCTACAAAAACTGCTCGAAGATATCTCCTCCATGTTGAATACACAGCTGAAATCTTTGGATAAATGACCGTTGCACATCCCTCAGCATGTGTTCCCTTATGTTCAGAACAGCATCCTTAAACCTTTCCTTCATATTTTCCGGGGTTGATGGTAGATTTCTTTAAGCCTCTTGCTTAACGTAGCCCCATAGAAAGAAGTCCATCGGTGTCATATCTGGTGATCTAGGAGGCCAAGGTATTGGCCCATCACAACCGATCGAACGATTGTTACTCCAGGTGTCCAAATAGTTACGCACACGCTTATGATAATGCGCAGGTGCGCCATCATGTTGGAAGTACATATGCATCCGAGTTTGCAGGTTGACAACCTCCAAAAGCAAAGGCAAATGCTCGATCAAAAAATTCAAGAATTCTGTACCTGTTAATCTATTGTCGAAAAAGAAAGGCCCGATAACTTGTCTGCCAATAACTCCTCCCCAAACATTAAAGCTCCATTTATTTTGGAAATCTATTTGCCTAACCCAGTAAGGGTTCTCCGTCGCATACTAGTGCATGTTATGCCTGTTGACAACACCTATGCTGTTAAAAACTCTGGTGAATATCAGTAAACATTCGACGTCCAGGTACTATGCGATTGGGAAATCTTCTTTGATATTCTCTTACGGCTGCCAATGAACTGCCATTGCAGAACCCGTACATAAAATGCATGCTAGTCAGTTTTCTGTCTGAAAATCTTGTCATTTTAAATCGATTTAATAAAAATTTTGATTTTAATCTAGTAATTTTACACTGCTACCAATGTCAGCTTAACGTCAAAATAAGTCATAACAAATCAAAACAACTTTTGTTTGCAGTCAATGCTAACTATGTATAATCAACAATTCATTTAAATTCGCAGTACATTTCCTATCATGTGACAAATTTTTTAGTTTGATTTTGTTCAAAAATGGCACAATTTATCGATATTCAATAAGAGTACCTTTTTTATGTAAAAAATCCTAAATTTTCAAATTCTAAAATTGAATTTCAAAAATAGAATCACACAAAAATTTTGGGGCTAAAATAACCTGAGTCCGTTCCTGTTACATACGCTTCCAAACAAAACTGTCTAAAATTGTTAATATTTTTAAATCCAGCATAAAAACCAATACCAAATTTTATGTCTTTATCTCAACACATTTCGGAAATATTAAGGAAAAACCATCTTCAGGGGAGCCCCTTTAAAAGACCGTAGCGCCCTTAGGGGACGTTTGTTGACCTATGTTGACATAATGTTTTCTTCCTATTTTAAGCTCTAGAAACCGCTGGTAGAATATTGCACACTTTTTTTTCGGGACACCCTGTATAAACAATCATGCGACCAACTGTTGACAAATGTCAAGCGAATGTTGAAGGCATATCAAACCTGTTATAAACAATTAAAATACTCTTGAAAACTGTACAAGGCACAATGCTGAAACTTTAAATAATTTATTAGGAATTAATACCGAGCATTTTGCCTAAGTTTTCAGACGGTCAGTTCGCTGCACTTGTTTGATATTTGTCTACTGTTTTTTCGTTTTCTCGAGCTTATTTTCCAGCATTTCGGACTCGAAACCTTTTTAATCGTACAAGATTTTGAAAACAGAGGTATTAATACTTTTAGAAAAATAAAAGGTCCAGGGAATTCCATTTCTTCGTAAAAAAACTGGATTACGTGACCTACTTATTTGACAAAGTCATGAAGACAATAATGCAGAAATTTATCACATACAATTTTGTTGTGGTTATTTAGATATATAAAGCCTAGGGATTTTAAGAATTTCAGTGAATATGTGAAATTATCGTCGCATTAGCAACAAGTGCCAAAACCTGCATTTTGCTTCGGCTTTTGGCCAAAATTTTTTTTTTGTTTGTGGGATCTTACGTGTGATCTCATTCTGTAGGTCTCATAAATACCTTAAAATCTTATTAGAATCGTTGTTCCATTCCTGACAACACTTTCGATTGAATCGCAAAAATCACGTTTTCTCATTCTTTTTGTCGAAGAAAAAGTTTCCCCACAAAATTTGGTGTACCCATTTTATGAATCCATGTTTTAAATACCCCTTTGAACAACTTGCATCAATAAAACCAGACTTTACAATTATTTAGCAAACCAGAAGTAGAAGAAGATTAGACTAGCAAACGAACGTGGAATCTCAACTATTAGAACGCTAAAAACCACCTAGTCTGCAATATAACATTTGGTCGTTTTTTTACGTTTTTCAGGCTTTTTACATAATAGCTGTGCCGTTGTCCATTGTTAGCAGCAAGCCCAAAATTCCAGATCTGCATTTTCAAAAATTCTAGATTTTCATTTTCAAAAATTCTGATAATATTACTCTTTAATTTACCGAGTTTAAATATTTTCTTTTGGCAATATGTTCATTAAATAATCAAGGACTAATTCTATAATCTATTCGAAGGTTACCTTGTCCTTAAATCGTTTTCGAAAAACACCGTCGGTTCAAGCTACAGGGCGAATCAAAATTTTGAAAACGTAACGTATCGCAACACTTCAATCTTATTATATTTGTGTTCTTGTCACGCGATTGTAACGGTTACCTCACGGAAGATCTGTTTTAGTAGATTTAATTCGGTACTAGGACAATTAATAGACAGGGTGGTAAAAAAGAGTAAAAATGGTAAAAATTAAGATTTAAAAAACCCAAAAGTATTTTTTTAATATATATTTAATAAAAATATACCTTTTTATAAAGTTTTCGCAAGATAGTGGTTGCTGAAAAAATGCTCCGTAAGGACAAGGATACAAATATAGAAAAACAGGGTGATCATTTATTGTCTAACGGCAATTTTTCGTCATATTTTGATAAGTTACTGGCAGTGGCTCATCGTTGGTAATTAAGACCCCCACGGACTGCGTAGGTATTCTCCAGGTGCGTGCAAACCAGATTTTATAAAATGTGACAATATGCTAAAGCGAATTATTTCATTTATATTCGTTTATTTAACCAGGTATTAGAAAACATCAACAACAAGATTAGCATACAATGAAAACAAACTACGAAAATAGTACGAGCGCAGCTTTTTTTGACATGAAACAGTTTTTATAGCCGTTCGCATGCCGAAACGCTCGCTAGAATTGTTCCGTCCTCCTTTCCTTCCGAAGTGTGAGAGTGAGACCCTTAATAACGTAGTATTTGTATATTCATTGTGTTTCTAGTTGTTCCAGGGACTAGAGCAGTTTGCTGAAATGTAAATGCACTTAGGGTTTTCGTATTGGTGTAGGGTTAACAGCCGAACCTGGTGAGAGTTGTGAGACTGATAAACCTACCGGTTGTATGAAGTACAAATCCCTTATTCAACCGGTTTGTTAGTGCGAATTGAGACATTTGGCGAAAGAGGTTGACTAGCCCTTTTATCCTCGGTAGACTGTCGATTATGTCTTGAATTTATCGGGGCATTGCACATGGCTTCGAGAAAATTTAGGTCCATGAGCGACAGGATAGAATCAATGTTCCTTCAGTTTCTACACTATCATAGGATAGCTGGACACAACAAGCGATGAAAGGGCGGAGGGCTTTTTTGGTCTGTAGAACCATTGTCTTTTTCGCGGTTGGAAGAAGACTTTGGGGAGCCGGATCTTGACTTGTAAGATCGATCGACTTCATCGATCTATCTCGCTTGTCGTTACTGACTAATTTGGCCCAATGCGAAGAGCGAGCATGGTTGACAAATGAGGCGGACGACTCTTCAAACTGCCCTCGTCCAGAGGGTGCCCCATTTAGGTAGTTAGGGATCACTAGGAAAAAGCGTCAGTTCAGTTGAATAGTTAGGAAAAATAAAACTGTTGCAGACTTTAAAAGCAGAGAGAATCCTAATTGTCATATAATACATAAGCTTCAAGAAAAAGGTTTGCGTCGGAGAACTCCAATCAAGTAGGGAGTAGCGAATAGCTAGGAAAATGTTAGGGAATTTTGTTTGGGCACTGTGCGATGTGGGGGCCCGTCGAGGGATACAGGCAACTCTTCACCATGACCCCTGCTTAGAGCATACAGGGGACATCACATGAATATTGATGATAATGATATATTATAATTTTAAATTACATTTGGTATTTACTGTTTCTAGGTACATATTTTACGAATATCAATTTATAGCTAAGATGTGATTGCACATTTCTAATTTTTACATATTTTACAGAACTGCTGTCCGAAAACTTTCAGGCTTCCTTTCAGAATCATAGCCCAAATATTTTTATTAAGCTTTGGAGGGAGGACAATCCCAATTTCAGAACTGGCACTCCCGAGCGTATTAAACGTGATATAATGAGTATTGATGATAATGATTTGTATAGGCAGAATGTTCTGCCTGGATAGATGGATGGATGTTGTCGGATAAATATACAGGATGGATAGGAACAATAGAAACATGTTAAGAACGATTAAAGTCCAGATATATAGTATGCAATACATGAAAACAGCAATCAAACATCAAAAATTTTTAGGGTAAGCATTGGAGAGAATGGCATCAAGAAGGTTGGTTTTGAACTTGACGAACCACTCAAGTATAGATAGGTTGAGGATCTTGGAATCGTTCCCAAGAGATACATGTTCAAAACTTACCTTAAGAAGACAAAAAGATTTCCACTCAAATTATACTCATATTTATGCTATTATCCATGAAATAAAGAGTCAACCTACTTGATGTTTCAAAATAATCAGAGGTATTATTTAAATTGGAGTACTTATGTTAACCCTCTTTATAGATAAAGCTGTGGATAATAGTAGTATGGTCTACTGTCGATATATTGATGAAGCTTTACAAAATGTTTACAGCCAGGTTACAAGCAAAAGCTTCTAAAAATGATCACGTTTTTCATATAGCTTTTGACGAAATTCAGGGACATACTTGGGAAGCTAACATTCTGAGGCCAAAAATTATACTTCTTCACACTCTTGAAAATGATGCAAGCTGGTACATGCAGAATGAACATCAATTGAATTGATAATCGAAATAATGAAGAGGAGAGATGCCTTGCAAAACACGTGGCCGTACCTAAAATCGTCCAGTGTTTCTGAGGGATGAAATATGTGAAAAGTTTAGTTTCATAAGTGTGTCCGTAGATGCTAAGTAATCAGATAAGTAGATAGTAGTGGTACTAGTAGCAGTATTAGTAGTTCTGGTAATAGTTAGTGATAGTAGTAGATTATTACAGGTATCAGGCAATATGCCCCAGCATGCAAAGTGGTTTATAAAACTTAGGTACTAACTTCAGGCTAGGGCCCCGCGATGGTCTCCAAAATTATATTTATTACGTTTCCCAATTATATTTAGTATTTATTATTTCTATTTTACTATCGCCAGCTGGATAAAACACCTCCATTTACTGAGAAAATATATTTACAAGCGCAATGGGTTACCACAATTCTTATTTCGTATTTCATAGGTATGTCGCCAATGCTTTAAAATTGTATCGCAACTGTTTTTCTTTGTTTGTTTCAGCTTTTAGGTAAGAGTGAGGACATTCCGTATTTCAGGAACGGTTTTGAACTATGATAAATATTGATGATAATGATATTTTTATAATAAATTACATTGTTACTTAATATTTGTATTAGGTACATATTTTACGAGCATATCTTTTTTTAGATACTTTTTACGTATTTTACAGAAATGCTGTCTGAAAATTTTCAGGCTTCCTTTCAAAATCATAGCCCAAATATTTTTACCAAGCTTTGCAAGGAGGACCGTCCTAATTTAGGTACAGTTATAGACACTCCCGAGCGCGATAAATGAGATATAATGAATATTGATGATAATGATAGGCACCAGTTTCAAAAAATATTCTGCCTGAATAGCTGGTTGAATGTTGATGGGTACAGATAGAGGATGAATAGAAACAATAGAAAAATGTTAAGAATGATTGAAGTCCCGATTTATAGTATGCTGCAGTACATGAAAACAGCAATCAAGCAAACATCAAAATTTTTACAGGGTAAGCATTGGAGAGTATGACATCAAGAAGGTTGGTTTTGAACTTCTCGAACCACTGAAGTATAGATAGGTCGATGATCTTGGAATCGTTTCCAAGAGATATATGTTCAAAACTGTACTCAAAGGTTTGCTGTTATTCTTGAAATACAGATCCAACTTGATGTTCCAAAATAAGCAGAGGTATTATTTAAATGCGAGTACTAATGCGAGCTCTCTTTGTAGATAAACCTTTGTTTCTAAACATGTGGGACATATGTGGGAAACTAACATTCCGAGGCCAAAAGTTATACTTCTCCAAGTTCTTGAAGATGATCACAGGCTGGTACATGCATAATGAACACCAATTGAATTGCCAATTGAAATAATAAAGAGGTATGTTTTTCATAATCTTAAACCCATTTATTGTTTATGTTTCACTGACGTCTTACCCGATAAGTCAAAAGCTAACCAGGAAATATAACTGCTGAAACCTATTGGAAAACGCAGCAGCGCCATAGAAGAAAGTTTTCTTCAAATTTTACTTTTCTAATAACTTATCAGAAAGATGTCGGTGAACTTCGAGGGATGTTTTTAAAGTAAGAACCAATCGCGCATCCAGAAGACCGTTCTATCTCGGTCACTCTTGGCCAGTCTCTCACTACGCTGCTATAAAAAACTCATGATCAATTAGTTTGGTTGAAGAATATCAATTAGGTCTTTCCTTCGAGTATATTCAACAATCTGTGGGTCACAGCAGTACTAGAAATGCAATTACTGTTAAATTTATTTAGGCTGATTCCTTTAAATTCCTTTTGTAATTGATATCAGCATCACGCTCTATCGAGACTTCATTCCATTTTATCCCGTCCTGTTTTCCATACGTGTTCGCTCAGTGCTAATTTTGAGGTTGCAACATTTTAGCAGAAGATTGCATAACAACCTAACCAGTTTGTTACGACAACAGTGCTGGGTTGGTTTTTGCGTTCTTTTGGCGATTTAATAAAAAAGACAAAAAACTCATCCTCGCTTGTCGTTTTGCAGAGCTGGACATCCCTTTTGGGAAAGGGAATGCCTACCCCCACGCGGTCCTGGGCTATGCTGGATTTGCATGGTGCCATCTTTACATTTGGAATGATCGTTTCATGCAATCTCAGCATGTTACAGGACCCTTCACACTAATGTAGTAACACACTCTATAGGAATATAAAAATGAGAAGAAAAAACGAACAAAGTGTCACCTGGAAGATAGATAAATAAAACATATTTTCAAAGTCATTGTACTGAAGAATGTCACAGTTGTCACGTGAACGTTTACAATAAAGAATTATTAGAGACATATGGGGGATAAGTTTTAGATGCTACATTAACCAAAAACTTGTGCCACGACTTGACTTGTGTTTGAATGTTTATGGTGACTTTAAAAAGATGTAAAACGTTCACATTTTAGTTTGTGATACAATTCACATTCATAAATAAAAGTTTTCTGACTCGATTACAAAACGATTCTTACTTAAAAAATGACCCTCGTATAAACCGTTACTTCAATACTTCTTTTTTTAGGACAATAACTGTGGCATGCTGGCGGGTTATAGATTTTCGATTGTACAAATGAACCCAGAATTGTGGAACGACTTGATTTTTCTTCAACTGATTCAATTAATCTGCGCAGTGACGGTTGAGGTTTTCTAGGGGTTTCCCTCGCCCAAATGCGAATGCAGTCACCAAAAAACCATATTCCCCTAATGAATAGTATAGAAAATGAGAACCATAGATATCCTATTAATGATATGTAATTTTAGATCACATAGATATTAAATATATTTATATAGTAAAACTTTGTTTTTTTCCACAAAAGAAATAGGCAAAAAAATATTTTATCCTATTAAAGCCATGTTCGTACAGGTGTCGTCACCTGTCAGTGACCGTATCCAGGATCCCGCCACATATTCCGCTCATTCTGCTACGCTGTATAGAGTAAATTCACATGGCTAGTCATATCACCGACAGGTCGCCGACCACCAGCGTTGCCAACCCCAACTGTAGAATATTATTTAAAAAACTGTAAATATACAGCCTTCCATTTACAGTATTTTATCGACCAAGCTCAAAAAGTGACAGTTTTACATTACTTAACACGTCAAGCGCCAAGCAAAATGTTAGAAAAATCCCCATCAGGCCAAAATGCCAAAGTCATGTTTCCAACAAATAATGTGTCTAGTCTAAAGTCTATGTCAAAAGCCGACACAAGACGGGAACGACATGTACTAAAAAAAGCAAAATCGCATGCAATAAAAAAATAAGTGGTGAAATAGCAAAAAATAAAATTCCAAAAGTTACTACATATTGTGACACTTGTAAAGGAAAGCCCCACTTTTGCCATGACTGTTTCGGAACAAGTCAGTAATAAATGAAATTATCTTATATTTTTATCCCAATATCATAACTTATTTTATATATATATGCAATCCAAAAAAATTGAATAACTATTTAAAACAAAAATACACCAAAAAGTTGCCATATGCGTATAATCCATACAAGCCACAGCGGTCCATATCTAACGCTAAAATGAATTAATATGGATCTCTGGCTGGAGTCACCGTGGAAAGAAATTAAATACAAAGCGGTCCATACGGACCGCCGTGGCATGATAGGCCCGTTGTCAAGCGGTCCCTTATGGGACCGCCATGGCGTTTAATGTGTTAAGCAAATTCTTTGTGAGCGGTTGAGGTTCTTGTTGGCCTCGAGTCACATAAAAATGACAGAAATTCAAATTTCTCCAAATTCACTCAAGGCCAGCCACAACCGCTCAAAAAGAATTTGCTTTTTGCATGCATGATCAGCTGTCCTTTTTTGACATTGTTCCGCGACAGATACTCGCAAAAAATATTATATAATATTACTTACAAATAGCACACTTCTGACTTAAATCAAGTTCTTTTCGCAGCGGTTCTGATTATGTTTGTCATCGTGTGCTATGCGCTGTACCCTGTACCGGTGCCACAAAAACACAGTTTTACAGGCGCTTAATGCAATTTCAATAGCTGTAGCATTTTTTTACAAAACTAGGAGCTACAATACAACAGTTTTTATAATCTGCCTTTCCATTTGTATATAGAGAGCTCCTCATTTTTTGAGGGCCATTATTTTTTCATTTGTTTGTTTCATTCAATTTATTAACACGTTTGGTATTATACCAATTTCTCAACGTGCATCAAATTCAAGACGAAATGGAAGCCGCATTACTGTTTACATTCGTCTAGGCAGCTTCTTCTGTCTGTGGCGCCCCTTTACCTTTGGGGCCTCTTCTTATCTATGATTGTGTCACCCTCTGGCATGTATGACATACTCTTTAGCACTATATTAAGCCCATCACACACTTCTGCTACTGTATCAATATTTTTTTTGCATTCCATGGTATGAACAATAAAACAAAACAAGCGCCTTAATTATGGAATTGATGAAAGCACAAAGAGCTTTATATAAACATTGAGGTGTGATAAAGGAAAGTAACATTTCTTCAGAATATAAAATTTATTGGTAGATGATAGTTTTATACAAATATATTACAGCTTCACTATTTACAAAGCAGTTATTCCAACCACGTAATACATATCCCAATATAAAGAGAACATAGATGTCTGGATATGTTTAATATACTTATATGAATGAACTCGAGCTACTTGGTAATTATACCCTATTTCCCGAGTATCCATCACGGTAGAATGGCAGCTGATTATCTAGTAATATCTCAAAATTCCCCATATTGGCTCAGGACATAATTCTGACGGATCCGTCAACCTCAGGTAGACAGAGCCGTATTTTGTTTTGGTTTTTTGTATGCTACAGATTCATTTTGTACTTGCTAACAGCCCTTTTATTTAGAAAAGTTCATTTGCATACAAAAAAACAAAACGCTACAAACTAGTTTCACTAGATTTTTACACCCGATTCATTATTGTCAACGTCGAAGACTAACACAAAAATGTCACTTGCTTTTGAGTTGTTCACCTCGGTGAGGGGGCATGATATCTTGGGTCTACCTGCAAGTTTTCCTCGTTCGACAACAACGGGCTTTGTTGGTTTTCAATCACTGGAGCCATATTGGTTGATATCAACGAAACCACAAGCTACATTGTATAATATACTATATTTAATGAAAATATTAGAAATATTATGGATAATCGAAAACGGGATAACCTAAAATTTTGACAACTGTGACTCACGTCAGCTCACGTCCAGATATCCAGAAATCGGGTGATGTTTTTATATTCGATGTAGAGGTGGCAAAAACAAAACTAAAACTCGAATAGCAAAGACGAATACATTTGATCCATGGTGTGCTATGTCTGAATATGCGCCAGATAAGCGCTTGGCAAGTAGCGGCTACCTGTTTTTTATGTAATAACCCTGCGGTTCAAGTATTTTTAAATAAAATCATGTGCCAAGTGAGATGTTGTTTGCGACATTCTCGCCACGTGAGAAGCTATTAAAACCTAAAAGGTTTGATTAGCCTTACCAATGTGCCTACGTCGACATTTCTTCAACTTTGTGCCTTCAACGGCGTCTACTGTCGCTTGGTATGAAATAATCAAATATTATATCTCCCGTCAAATGAAGGGTCGGCCGGAACAACGTTGTATGTAACAAAAAAGCTCAGTGGCCGAAATTAAGAAAAACAAATTTGAACCATTTTTTTCAAATGACTGCGTCTATAGTTGGCCAGCACAAAAAAGGAACAATAGTTATACAAAGTTATTGTAATTTATAAATGTGACACCTATTTTGCAGCTATGGGAACCATTTTTATGGAAAACGCATGTAACAAGGTTGTATGATCACGTTACTTACAACGTTGTTACAGGGAGGCTTTAAATGACTATAAGCAAAACAAGTATTTTCAGCAGTTCTATTTATTAAGGGAACCAAAGTACACAGTAACATATTTTTAATAACAAAAAAATACGTTCTAAGTTCATCAACGTGTTTCGAAACCAAAACTGAAACTTAAATAAATATTACTGGGTTGCAGTTAATTTCTCATAAAATGTTACATACTTAAGCGGAATATAATCACTCATATCTTCAAGGTTTTTTAATTTTTCATCTTTGATTGGAAGAATGTTGTGATACATTATAGGTAATTTTTCAGATGATATGATATCAGTGGCAAAATACATTGTTTCTTTTCTTTTACGATTGCTTATGGGAAATGAATTCCAGCGCTGCATAATATTATGAGATTTTCTCATTCTCAAAGTAGCTGGAGAATCAGCGGTAAGTTGCAGCCACAATCCTTGTGTAATTTTACATTTGAGGTATTTCTATATACAATATTCCAAAGTTGTTAAATTCTCAAAGAAGGCTTATTGCATTCAGACAACTTTAAAAGGATTTTTAACTTTGGCTTTAGCAATGACATCGACCCACTGGAGACCATAGATATTCTTTTTTGTTTACGTACATACAACGTTGTTACGTGGAAGACTGAAATGGCGCGCGTTACAAATTCGCGTCACAGTGATTGATTCGAGTAAACAGGCGGGTCTATGTTGTCAACGGGTCCCAATAGGCACATACTACGTTGTTTTACGGAAATCTCATTTTATAGAAAAATGTTATATACAACGTTGTTCCGGTCGACCCTTCAAATGGTGGGTTATAATCTCTTGCATTGAAAATGAGCATATAAAGTTAATATGATATTTCATTCGTATTTATTTGACTAGCTTTGGTAGAAATAAGTATGTATTATGTGTTGGTGTGTGTAAACACACAAGGTCAAATTGCTGACCCAAGTAGTGTTTTCTCACATCATCATCGGCTAGATGGCAAAGCCCTCTTCGCTGTAGCTGCTTTTGCCGAATCAAATATTTTTGCTACATCAAGTCTTTATACAGGGTGTCCCAGAAGTCGACGTCAAGCCAGAAACCCGTACGGGTATTATGTAAAAAACCTATAAAACGTCAAAAAAAAACCTATAAAATGTCATCTTGCAGACTAGGTGCGCGTCCATCTATGGCGAAATAGCTCAACTACACGCATTGTTGGTTGCATATGTTTTGTGAAGCCGAGTACTCTATAGTTTTCATCTCTGAGAAGAAAGTTGGTTGAATAGCAAGATCGCATCTGGATGATTGTGTGTATTGATCTGCATGTGTATAAAATCAGTGATAATTGCTCCTGTGAGAAAATCATTTCTGAATATGCTACCAATGGAGTATATCTATTAGTTGTGCCCGACAGGTTATTTATATGTTGACCTTTCTGAAGACAGGTTGTGTTCAAAATTATAAATTACGTTTTTTTACGTCTTTTTGTGTTTCCAAAAACTTTGAGGAGAGTTACGGGAAATTACCACCGCGCCCACGTTGTGTGTAATAACTGTTAGCATGTATATGATTTTTAATTCGTCAGTGTATAGTGAATATAAATGTTTCTTATCTATCTCATTTTTGAATGTCCAGCAAATTTGCATATGTAATTTCCAGAATGGATAAGAAAAAGTGGATGCACAAATGATTTCTAGCATTGTATCTCAAGTAGTGTATGTGAGACAAGAATCTAATGGAATTATCTTCAACACATATTATTAGCACACATATCCTCACTATGCACCTGTGCATTGCCGTTACCTTCAGTAATGCCATCTCTGAAGCAGATTTTAGATTATATCAGAACCAAACATTGATAACTGAAGCCTCATAGTGTTTAGGCAACACGTACAACTATAAAACGAGTTCACAACGTGTCTATCAGCTATTGCTAAGTTAACATCTCGTAGAAAAACCTACGTAATGTCACAAGAAACCAATATAACTGCATCTACATTCCCCATAAATGGGATGCATATTGGAGTATTCCTATACGGTGTACGCAGATATGGTGACACTACACAATCATGAATTAATAAAGTTGGCGTTAATATCTGTCTTGTCACTACGTAGAATGACACTGTCCGTCTCTCCGTCTAAGAAATAATTGAAATTTGTAGTAATAGGACCTATAAAATCATCACAAGTTGTAGATTTTCCGATTTTTAAAGCCTATAATTATTTGAAAGTTACGCGGCTTAGATTTTTCTGATAACTATTATGACTTGATCTATCCCGCGTTTCCGGCGTGACGTCGATTTCTGGGACACCCTATATAGCGTATGCAACACGCTCTCTAGCTGTGCGCTGAGTTCTGTACTGAGAAGAACACATTGCACATATTCTTGCCCTGAATGAGAAATCTTCCGGGTAGTACCTGCATTTAGGCAATTTTATGCAATAGAGTCTTGAAAATGCGTCTTGAGCCTCCTGAGCTTAGCAAAGGTCCTCTATGCTATTGCTACACAAGAACTTTTTGATGTTAGGATACATTTTTGCATCGCAATTTTCAATAAGACTAGGAATCGACCGTGGAATATTCTGCAGTCCCTGCCATTTTGCCATCCACAGCTGATATTCATTCACAATTATCGAAGCATAAATTCCAATTACCAAAGTTATTATTTTTAAGTCATTATTATATAAAGGTGTACAAAAATTAGCAGTATAGTTAGGTATTGCGTTTATGGCTAATCTGTCTCTGGCGAACTGAATGAGTAAATAGTTCTCGTTGGATTATATCGTCGTTTAAGTTTAACGTGACTCAAAACTGACAAATTTTTAAAAGAGAAATGCCAGGTCTGGCAAATAAAGGAACTGGCTGAGACAGTTAGGGACCAAAACAGTAAAATAGACTTCCTGACCACCCAGGTAACACAGTTAATTAATAATTGAAATTTTAATTCCAAATATGACGAAGATGTCAAAGACCTTTTGAAAATTCGACTGTTAACATGACATCATCCGACGATGAATACAGAATGACGGATTCATCCAGGCCAAGTCTAGAAAAAGACGCAGCGACAAAACGGAAAAAAAGGACAAGATAGATGACTTTCCACCTCTTCCCAAAGCAAAATCAAAATGTATCAACTTGTTTTGCGTGTTGCGGCCAAGTGGCAAAAACAAAAATACTCCTTTCACGCAGTCGTCGTTGATGCGAGAATCAGGATTTTGCCGAAAACTGAGGATGACTACACTAGGATCATTCGCCGGTTCAGAGAGGAGAACGTACGTTCCCTCTTCCTTCAGAACGAAATATTTACGCGGTAGAAAGAGGTATATACCTGCAAACTTTTTGGAACAGGAGATCAAAGGAGAAATAGTACAGAGGGGATAATACTCGCCTCCACGTTATCCGACTCAAACGCAGTGGTACGGCGGACCCATGCCTTTATTGGTTGTGATACTGCCCAAGATTGAAAGGTCCCAAAAGCTGTTCAATGAACACGAGCGGCTGGGTCTATCATTCAGAGTTGAAGCTCAAAAGAACTCTAGATTTGAGCAGTGTGACCACTGCCAAACGTGTGGTCATTCACAGTCTTATTGCACAGCACCTTCGAAATGTTTAATATGTACTTTCGACCACATTACACATTTATGCCCTTTCACAGGACAATAGGAGCGAAGGTGTGTGAATTGTGAAGGGGCGCACCCTGCTAACAGTCCCAATGGCAGAAGAAATCTGGAAGTTATAGCGCAAAGACCCAGCAAGTCATACGCTGAAGCAGTCGTTTCAACACCTTCGGCTGCCTCCCTGTTCAATTCAGTTTGAGCACGCAGAATGTGGACCTAGCAACTGCGCTTCAACAAATAATAACTCCCGTGATTAGGGCCACCCAGGCATTGCAAGCGATGTTTCCGCAGCCAGTTAGTACAATAGTCAACTTGCATTCAACAAAATTCGTTTCTGGAGTTGTCTGGGCCTAAGGGATATTTCCAAAAAACAGGAATTTTATCAAACTCTATTGGATGAGAGTAAAGATGTAGCTCTGCTGCAGGAAACATTACATTACTAATCCGGGAGATCGTTTAACTTTCTCGAATTAAGATGTTATACGCGCTGAAAGCTGAAAGATTGAACGGTAAGAGTGGCGGCTTGACTATGCTCGTTCACAGAAGCGCAAACACAGAACCATTGAATGCGTGCACCGTCTGGACGACTACACAGCGTCAGATCCACGTTACGAATAACGTGGTGGTGTTGCATTGCAGTGTGGCTGTATATGGTGTGCCCTTGGGATTAACAGCGGACTTAGTTTTTTTTTGTTACTTGTGTATTATGCTGCTAAGGAATCGCGGACTGATGTGCAGTTGCCTGAATATCAAAGTCACCACCCGTCACACATATTTTCCTGTTTGAATCCAGCCGGGGGTATCGTGGTTATCTAGGCAACTGCCTATATACTCGTACATTACACTATTTTACATTCAGGCATCGTCTCATCAGTCCTCAATCGATTTGGTATCCGTAAGTGAGTGGGCAGCTTTACATAGGCCGAGTATCGGAGAGCCAGTTAAAAGATGACCGAACTGACAATAGCGCTAAGTATGCGGCATTTGGAGGGGATAAGTGGAGGGAGAAATAATTTTGAAATGTTCTTTTGAACAAGAATAATTGTGGAAGAACGAAGAAATTTCATTCTTTGCCGTTTTCCACTTATATCCATCAGACAATAATAGATATAAAGATAACTTCAAACATAAAAAAAGAAAATGCCAAAGTCTCATGTATTACTTCTTGGAGGTAGGTGTATTTTTCCAAAAAGCACATAGGTTTAAAAAATCTTTCCCATTTCAGGTACTGGCTTTATAGGAAGGAACATTGTGTACTATTGGTTAAAGGAGAAAAAAGTTGAGTCGATAGTTGTGGTGGATTTGCTCTCTCCTGAATTGGCGTGGATGACTCAAGAACATAGAGATGCGTATAATGATCGTAAAGTTCAATACAAGAAAGCTAATCTCATTTTTCCTGGTAAGAGATTAGGGCATCTATTTTTAAAAAAATCGCAAATTGTTACTATTAATTGGAACTTAGCTGAGCTAAGTGTTAGAGCCATATAGCCTTGTATTTTTTATTTACAGGTTTTGCTGAATTGAATTTTTCCTCCATAATCCTCACACTACACTTCAGTTTTTCCAGCAATTGTCTAATTTAAAATCAATACACTCTGTTGCTTTGGTTGCTTTGAAGAAGTTCGCTCATACCATTTACTCAAAAAACCCACCAGTAATAAGTTCTTGCTGGCTGAAATTTATCGGATTTCATTTCTTACTGCAAAACAACCAGCCATTACCAAGAGCGTAAATAGGGAATTTGAGACCTAATTATATTTGAACTCTACCATTGGTTCTTATAGGTTCCTTATAGGATTTTGGTTATTCTGATACATATTCTAATAGTTAGCAAAAATGGCCTTATCTCTCTTTTTTCATTTTTCATATTTTAAATTTCAATTGAGACTCTGTTGCGTCAGCTGGAAAACTTGTTTTGCACAAGCATTATTTGTCCTTGAACTGGATGTTATAAGGACATTTTATTCTTCATCCATTTTGTCCATTTAAATTTAGATATCAATTGGCAGACTACTCTATATTTTGTTCCACATAACTGTGTACATTCTGACTTTTTTAAGTCATTTTTTTATCTACTTGGATTCCTGCTGCTTTTTTACTTAGCGTTGTAGATGAAGATCTAAATCATGTATCTTCACAAATCATCCTTTTGTATTACCTATAAATGACGGTAGATTCATTGAGATACGATACGTCATGATTTGATTATTATTGCTTAAAAAAACCTTGGCAATATATTTCTGAGGTAGAAAATAGGTCAAAAAATAACATGAATTCTATAAATATGGGTTCAAAAATGACCCCTTACCAAGATGAAGGGTGAAAAAATTATATCTGCAGAGTGGATATATGCAAAGATATGATGAATACCGACAAACACTTAAGCTACTCAAACTATATATGAGATGCAGATATTGGAATATTTTAACCGCTACTGAAGGGAAAAGATGAATGTGTTCCATACCATTGACTTCTTTGAAACGAACCTTGCATATTTAAATAAGCTATTCATTTTTACATAATTTCCACCTTGAATAATTGATTCCTTTTGGAGAAAAGTTATCGAAGTTTGACATTGAATAATTGTATAGTATAGTAGGGGGTAATCCCATCTCTAAAATTTAGTATAAAGAATATTCAAGTTTTGCCCTTATTCAGTTTCGCCAGTGGCGTAGAAACTTACAGCACCCTTTGTCTTTTTGCAATAGTATATCTTAGGGCATATATGTATTTATACTAGCTTTTTACGCGCATCAATGTCTTAAAAACGTTCCAGCACTAGTACGAGTGACAGAACTGGGGTTCTCGGCCTGATTTGGAAGCTGGAATGTGAATACTCAACAGGGAATTTGGTAACGAGTGATTTCAGCTTCTTTCAATCCCGGCTCTGGCTAATAGAATTAAAATGTATTGAACTTTGAGATACAAAGTTATAAACTTTAACTTCAGTATATTTAACAATAACCTTTTGTAACTGTAACTTTTCATTTTCTTTTTCTTTTACGTTTTACCTCAAATATCCAAACCAATATTTGTCCAAAAGGAGTGGTCTGATAACATATTTGAGAGAGATAATTAATGTAAAATGACACATCTATTTAAAAAAATGCTATAGAGGTTCTGAATAAGTTAGCAGCGTAGAAAATGTATTTCTTTTTCTACCTGTATTGTGTAAAATGTTACAGTTGCTACGCCACGTGTGTAGTTTAAACCGCGAACAATTTTGTATGTAGTGGTTACGCTGTTGGTAGTACTACTATATACAGGATGTCCCGACATTGACGGATAATCCTGCAACTGTAGATAGGTCACGTCAACGTCAACATACTAATACTCATATTAATAGTCAGTAATAATCCGACACATCACACTCGGTCAGATCGAGACCATTTCAGTTACAAAAATGCAACATTCCTAAAGGTGGATCAGGCTGCGCGGCCTTATTTCCTTGCCACCAAGATCGTTGGTCGAGCATTCGAGAGGTTATTTTTTGTAGTTTAAAAAATGTTTTATGACGAAATGTAGCATGTAGCATGTAGCAATGCTGGTGGAGGTGCTCATTACATTGATATCCTAAATGCAAATTATCATCTAACATTAATCCTGCCCAGTTTGTTGTATACAAACCATATATTGTTATTTTCTGATATCTACGAAAACTGATCATCCTCCATTATAACTGCAATGATCCGAAAAAAAAACAGCCGAATTACTATATACCATTTAAAAATTGATAATAATCCAACTTTTTCGACAAATTGACACAGTGATTATATTTAATCCTCCCACAGGATGTCAAAGTCCGACGTGGAAAGGGGTTTTAATAGAAATTCAAACTTTGGCATGACTTTTATTTGGATTTTACGCCATCATAAAAAAAATAATGCTAGACGGGATGAAACGCTTAATTCTGAGCGTTTTAAAACAAACCTGGCGCAAACAAGTTGATATTTGTAGAAATTGCATTGGATTAACTGAATATGAGACATTTTTACAAACAAAAAATTTAATGCTGAAAATCTCAAATACTTAAGACATTCTACTGTTGCAGGATTATCCTTCCATTTCGAGACAGCGTGTGTATATAAAAATTTATCCATTTTGGAGTTATTTTTTCTAGATTTCGATAACGTATCTGAGTGAAGAAGCATATTAGTACTGATGGTTATATCACAGGTTATATACAGGGTGGCGCATCGAAAACGATACAGACGCATTTACTGCTCTTGTTTTTTAAAACGCCCAGACCCGTCGATTTTGTTTTCGAGGGGGTGACACCAACCCTAAAATCTTAAACGGAAAGAATTTACTTAATAAGTAAATGCTTTTCTTTACTACGTCCATGGTTTGTTTATCATTTTGTTGTTGAAAATAGCTATTGGAGAGTTTTTTTTTTCGGAAATAATCAGTGCGATAATAGAACAGCAGAAATATTTAATGAGCGACATGAGAACAGTAACGTGCATCGAAAATATTTTCTAGAACTTGTAGCTAAATTTCGGAAAACTGGGTCAGTCGCCAATAAAAAACGCAACATTGAAAATCCCATAAGGAACGAAGCAATAGAAGTGGGGGTTTTAGGGCAAGTTTAATTCTTAAACTTGCCCTAAAACGTTAAGTACCCGCAAATTGGAGACTGTGTGTGGTGTTAGTCGACGTACTGTCCAACGGATTCTAAAGGTCCATAGTTTTCATCCGTATAAAATTGACCTGGTACAAGAACTTAATGAAGACGATTTTGATCTGGGATTACAATTTTATGAAGATATGAGTGAACGAATTATAAACGATGAACATTTTCTATTCAACACTTGCTTTTCCGACGAATGTTCCTTTTTCTTAAATGGCGTAGTAAATCGTCATAACTGCCGATATTGGTCCGATTCTAATCCCAGAATTTATCATCACACAGCAGCCACAAAAATTAAATGTTTGGGCTGTTATTTTTGGCGATCATTTAGTTGGTCCATTTTTCTTACCTGGAAATTTGACCGGTGAAATGTATTTGGAATTACTGGAAGATGCCATAGATCCTGCATTAACAGTCATAATTGAAAATCAGAATGATCGGCGGTACATTGGTAATAGGTTGATGTTCCAACAGGATGGTGCCCCTCCACATTACGCATTACGTGTTCAACAATATTTAGATCAAACGTTTCCAGATTGATGGACTGGTAGAAGAGGTGCCATTGAATGGCCCCCAAGATCGCCAGATTTATCACCTTTGGATTTCTTTATGTGGGGTCATTTAAAAAGCAAAATCTATGCTACTCAGCCAATATCATTAGACGACCTGCGCAAAGAATTGTGAATGAGTGCCTTCAAATTACTCCTCAAATATTGGAAAATGTGCGGCAACGTTTTGAGCAAAATCTTTATTATTGCATGGAGAGTCATGGTGGCCATTTTCAACATTTACTTGCCTATCGGGTCAGTTCATTCTTCATTTTTAAATTACTTTGCTGCCAAATGTATTGATCTCCACTAATGATGATGTATTAGTTTTATTTAAGCTTTAAATCAATAAATCTTCAAAACCACTGAACTGAAGCACATTAATTTTATATCGTTATAAAGGGAATTGAAAGACCTTTAAAAGAAGGTATCACTCGACCCCACTTTCCATTTAAGATTTTGGGGGTGGTGTCACCCCCGCTTATGGGGCTGCACTTGCTAATGTGATTTTTTGCCAAACTTGTGTCCGCCTCGAAAACAAAATCGACGAATCTGAGCGTTTTTTTTTTAAATGAGCTGCCAGTAAATGGGTCTGTTTCGTTTTCGATGCGCCACTCTGTATGACTTCGAAGTTGAATCATTTATTTTAACAGTGAGTAGATCTTATCAAAAGAAATGTTTTTTCTTTTAACATTTTTCTGGTAAAATTAAAGTAACAAAGTTATAGCCCTTTAGAGGTTTGAGTACCGCCCTGTCTCATTAATAATATTATGTGCTCGTGTTTGGCAACAACGGATATAATCCGCCTTATCGGTTCATCGCATCGGAAACAAAAAAGCGAAAGAATTTGAAACGCTTATCACGATGTTTTTACTACAATTTTATTCGTGAGTGAATAGTGGTGATGAAAATGCTGAACTTGTGGACATGATTGTTATTTACGGGAGGGGGGGGGGAGTGCTGCCGCGGCATCACGGAGTTATGCGGATCGGTTTCCCAATCGAGTGCAACCAACCCTTCGTGCCTTTGTTAATGTAGTACAAAGGGCTCGTGAATCAGGTGACTTGAGACCTCACTGGGGAGGGCATGCCGATGCTCCAAGACCGCACGATCAAATACAGGTCCGCACTGAAATACTTGTCGGGAAAATAAATTATAAAACAAGGTAAAATTTTTTATTTTTACACACATATTTTGGTTTATCTTCCTTCTACAATCATTATCTGAAAATTAATGACTCAACTTCAAAGTCACCCTGTATAGTGTATTCAATTGTTTACTTCTTCTAGTGGTGTTTGTGAGGAATTCTAAATAAATAGTTAGAAAAGCATGACACGCCACTGCTTTTTCTCATAACAAAAATTGTTTCAATAATTCTCATCCAGATCTGAGCAAATTTGATCTCTTAATTCTATTTCTACCAGTTTACGGTTTGCACGAAACAAAAAGAAACATTGTATTGGTATTATATGTAGGGGAGACTAGGGAGACTTGAGACAAAAAATGAATTTTATTTCTTACACATTATACAATTTGCAATTCAAAGATTACATATAGCGCAAGTGAATTGTGAGCGATTTGGGTAAACTTGCCATAACTTTTCATGCCTCCAAAATATTATTCAAATTGTTTAAACGTATTTCAATCAAATGGTGTCAATTGTCATAAGGCTCCCTAGGTAAGGGAGCATTGAGACAAGCTATAGGGAGCACTGAGACATTGTAAGCTTTTGAGAAACGTTCATTAATTGTTCAAGAAATAAAAAATTAAGAAAACTTACAACGCAAGAAGTTTATTAATTATTAATCAACAACGAAAACTATTTTTTATTAATTATTGAAAAAAATAATGACAATAAAAGAAAATAATAACGGAAGTCCAGATGTCAGAGTAGATTTAAATCTTTCTGTTCCACAAGCATTTTTTGGAAACGGTAATTTCAAAATTATATCTTGATCTCGAACTGAAGAAATACCTTCTTCTGGTGGATAAACAAATTTCCAGGTGGTTCCGCGACACGAAAAAATTTTACCTCGTATTCATCATTTTCCTTTGATATTACCAAACCCACATAATGCATAGTTGTATTGTATTTGTGTAAAACTTAACAAAAACGAAGTCTCCCACTTGGAGGGTCTTGACATCCTCAAGAGCTTTAATCTGAAGCATTTCTCTTTCAACATCTGAAATATCTTCGCTGTCTCCGCCTAACTCGCTTTGTTCCTCTTCATCACTTGAAGACGACTGTGCTGGAGTTGCAGGCCTCTGTAAAGATTTTTGTTTGTTTGTTGTTGAAAAAAGATCGTCATGCTTCAACGGAACAACTTTTCTTATCTTCCAAGCAGTTGCTTCAGACTCTATTGCTTCTTTTTCTGGTGTGTCGGTAAGAACTCTTGAGGAACCACATTTTCGCTTTGTAATCAGTTTTCTTCTGCCTTCGGAAGCGGTCGCAAAATTTCTGGACTAAAAAAATTTTGTTTAGTGTTCAAATCGCGATCTTGCACGTGGGCTTTTGAATATTTGTATGGTTTGAAATTTCTTCTTGCACGCTGGTTTTCGATATAGATGCAGCATCTTCTAATATTGTACTTGATGTTTCCTGTGGTCGATCGGTTACTGCGCTAGACATATAATTAATTTCAGTAAATACATCACGATTTAACGGATAAATGCCAGTTGCTGAAAAACTGGATAAAACATTCTTTGGTGTGAAAGCTAATTCGAATGCTTGACTAGCTAAAGCAGCAATATTGTAAATGGACAAGGTTTGGCCTGGATTGGAAACCATCCATGATGCACACTGCGAATCATAGTAATTTTTAAAGGGGAAGTAAATCGATACGTCCAAGGGCTGCATTTTATTTCTGCAGTCTGGTGGAAATATGAGCATCACAATTCCATTTTATTTTGCTTTCCTCAAGAAATCAACGGTTATCCATTGGTAGCAATACTTTGTTTTCCATGGAAAAATCAATAAAGTGGCCCAGGGAAACAACAAAGTTTTCGGAAGACATCCATCCACTGGAATTAGCAACTCCAACCTTCCTGGAAAAGCGCCACGTAACATGTAGTCCTTAAAATGTACTCATGGAAAGACGAAAACCGGCGGGACGAAACTCCCTCCAGCACTAATACCACAACATGAAGTTACTAATGTGCCACGTTCAGCAGACGTGACGTTCCCAACTTGTTTAACACCCTTCGCTGAAAGGACTTTGGTTGGTTTGTGTACATTTGTAAGCCCTGTCTCATCAATGTTCCAGATCTGTTGAGATTCAAACTTTTCGTGCTTAGGACCGATTCCAAATTGTTAAAAAACGTAGTAACAATTGTGCGGTTAAAACTCGTACATCGTGACAAACTGGTTGACTCTGGAGTCCTCTGCGATAACTCAGGGTGGCGATGTCTAAAACCTCGATACCAATCGTAGCCAGCAATTGAGATTTTTCATCCCATTTTATAGGATATTTTTTATGGTTGGCCTTAGCAAATTGAAAGGCTAGTTGACGTGCGCATGTAACTGTTAAACCATGATGCATTCGCGAAGCACGGACTAGATAATCCGATAGGCTAGCCTCTTCTTTATGGGCAAACACAAACGCAGTTTTAAAATCAGGTGAATAAGTAATGTTTTCAGCAGGGGCATCCAAATTCCTTTTTTCAGATCGTTGCTAAGCGTTTGTTTGCCTATATCATATTTCCTTGCGGTTGCGCGGAATTTAGCTCCTCCAAGAACTTCCACTGCGGCTTTCATCACGTCAGAAGGTGGAACTATTCGTTTCGTTTTCTTAATCCAAAAATGAGGCACATTGTATCTGAAGCGATATTTATCCAATTGTTTCTCAATCAGATCAGCATTTTTTAATTGTTTAAAAGTACTATTAATCCAGTGACTCAGATGTTTAACCAGAATTTTAGATTAGTTACTTTTATAAAACGCTATATAAGGACGCATGAGACGTCTCATGTCTCCCCAAAACAACTGTCCCATGTCTCCCTATACGTATATAGCGTTTCATAAAATAATCCAACCCAAAATAAGTAATGTTTTCAGCAGGGGCATCCAAATTCCTTTTTTCAGATCGTTGCTAAGCGTTTGTTTGCCTATATCATATTTCCTTGCGGTTGCGCGGAATTTAGCTCCTCCAAGAACTTCCACTGCGGCTTTCATCACGTCAGAAGGTGGAACTATTCGTTTCGTTTTCTTAATCCAAAAATGAGGCACATTGTATCTGAAGCGATATTTATCCAATTGTTTCTCAATCAGATCAGCATTTTTTAATTGTTTAAAAGTACTATTAATCCAGTGACTCAGATGTTTAACCAGAATTTTAGATTAGTTACTTTTATAAAACGCTATATAAGGACGCATGAGACGTCTCATGTCTCCCCAAAACAACTGTCCCATGTCTCCCTATACGTATATAGCGTTTCATAAAATAATCCAACCCAAAATTCTTGTTAAACTTCTATTTCATGAGATAACTATATGAATAATTCACAACATACCTGAGGTCACAATGCCTAAACAATCAACTCGAATTTTCACTTTAACTTCCTGCAACTACAACGATATCACAAAATTAAAATTTAGTTGTGGCAGCCATTTTGCACCTGCACTAACAATAATGTTCTACTAATCATTCTCGCCGGTTCGCTGGCCAAACGGTAAGAGACTTGACTAAAGTTATTAACCAGTAACTAACAGATGGCTCTGCCTACCCGATTTTAGGAAATAAATGTAGTGGCTCATTCCTCCCTTGTCTCAAGCCTCGCTAGCCTAATACTTATATGTATTTTTCGCAAAACCATTAGTCGATGGAAAGAAAATGAAAAGATCAAATATGATTAGAACTAAATGAGAATTCTAAAATAATGTCTGTTACGAGAAAACTCAGAGGTACATTTTTTAAGAACTCAAAAGCTCATATACCGTACTGAAACTTGAGGCTCTTAGGACAGCGATTCGTTTGAAGATGTCTTATTAAAATGAATCCAAAAGTGCCCGCTTATATATTTTACCTTACATATTTCTATATTCAAACGTTTCACCACAATTCTTTCATCATTTATAGAAGAATGCACGGAAGTATTTGAGAGACTTGGAGATGCTCCCAAATTCGATGTTGTGGTGAATTGTGCTGGAGTGACGAAACCAGGCCAAGCAGAGAGCGTGTATAAAAAAAATATATTCAGGGTTAGTCTAAACTGTGCTAGGGAGGCGGCCATGCGTAAAATAAGATTTATCGAGTTATCATCTGGAAACATGAACTCTTTGGGTAGGATGCACAGAGAGTGTGACCCAGTCGATCCTTGGACTAGTGTGGCTAAGTGGAAGAGGAAGGTTAGTCAATAGTATAACTTTTCCCAATGACCATTCGATAAAGATAATTTTGCTGCGGTAACATCAGTGGCATAACCTTAGTAGTTAACCCCAGGGGCTGCCATGGACAACTTGAACAACCAGATGCAAATCTATCTTTAATTTGAATACCTAATGCTATATATAAAAAAAAAACAATTCTTTGAAACTTAATTATTATTATTTTCTTTTCCTGACTGCTCTATATTATTATCATTTATCTAAGGGCTATATAGTCAATCCTTCCTACAATATTGCAGGACGCCTTTATGGCCTCCTTGATTTTCATAGTTTTCTACTGTTCCGTGTCCGCGCTCTATTTTTCTATTTTGAGTTCATGTCACAAATATCTATTTGCATCATATTTTCATGCTTTTTATTTATATAATCTGTTATATCAGCCCTGAAATTTCCTATAATTCAAAACGAAAACATAAGGAGAGCACCAAAAAAACAAATTGTATGGCATAGACACAATTACAGGAAAAATGGATGTTTATCAGCCTGCATTTGTGATTTTCTACGCAAAATTTGATATAGGTTACCTAAAAAACGATCAGACTTAGGTATAGGGCAGTGGTCGCCAACCCGTCGATCGCGAGCTACCGGTCGATCGCGAGCTACCGGTCGATCGCGAGCTACCGGTAGCTCGCAAAGGCAATTCTGGTGGCTCACAACTTATTTTAAAAAGGTGTAAAAATCAGAGAATCTTCCGTAAATTTTGTAAGTTTCCATAATAAACACAAGCAGCGGCTACACTGCGGTGAGCGATCTGTTCGAGAACGATCTCGATTACTTTGAACGGAATAAATACGCAAAGTGCGGCGACAGTGTGCTCAGTTTAAAACTGAACGGCACAAAGTTCAATGGTTGGATTAGAGTTTGATTGCAATTAAAAACATTATGAGCAGTAGTAAGAAGATGAAGACATACCATTTCCATTCGGAATGTATGTTTGTCATGTAATACATTTGTTTCCGTTACTAAAAAAGGGAATATCGAGAGGCACTATAACTGTACACTTGAATTTTGAAAAATCATTCCCATTACGTTCTGCAACCAGGACGGAAAATCTGAAACAATTAAAAAATCAGTTAATTGGACACCAGACAATGGTTTTAAAAACAATCGAAAAAAGTAACTCCGCAACTGAAATATCATACCGGGTGACCCAGATAATTACACAAAAGAAGAAACCTGATGAAGACGGGGATATGATAAAACGGGCGTTTTTAGAAGCTGCAGATTCGTTATTTGTCAACTTTAGAAATAAAGACGAGATAGCGTCTGCTATAAAGTCTATGCAACTTTCTGCTAATACAGTGATGAGACGAGTAGAAGTGAGAAATGGATGTGATTGCGTTTCAAAATGATTTAGCTTCAAAGTCATTAGTCTCAAATACAAAATGAATCTGGCCTTCAGTAAGTAAAGATAAATATTCAGTTTTATGTCGTGTTGCCTTGAAAGTGAAAGCGTTATTTAGTTCAACCTATTTGTCTGAATCTTCTTTTTCAAATATGAAGTTTATTAAAAACAAATATCATAATCGACTTACAGATGAATATTTGGATAATTGTATTCGAAAGGCGGTTTCAAATTATACTTCAAAATTTAAAAAATTGTCAGTGAGTCTGAGTGTCAGGCTTCTCATTGAACACGCACTTTTTTTCTGGACATGTTTTTGTTTAAAATAGTGTGTCGCTTTTTTTATTTTTAGTTACCTTTATTGAATCGTATGTGACATGCCATTGTAGCTGACGAAAAATTTTGTTTAATTTTCAAACACCTATTGGAATGTATTAGTATCAGTAAAATAAACACATGTATGTAGCATACAACTTTGTATAATTTCAATTAAGTTGGCCCACATTGCTTAGGACTAGATTGCTCACTGTTTATTCCAAAATTATCAAAGTAGCTCAACACACTTAAAAGGTTGGCGACCACTGGTATAGGATAAAATATTTATGTAAAAAGTCCCCGCAGAATCCTTATTGTTTTCGGCTGTTTTTTATAAAATTAGTATGCTGTAAATCTCGACACGTAAAACCAATTTTCTTCATGAGTATACTAAGTGACATATAAATCCGAACAGCCAGTTTAAATGGTTTTAGTTTAATAAAATTTTGTATAAGTACTTAATGAAGCATAATAAGTAAATGATAAAAATTTCAAAATGATTGCACTGCTTTAAAGCCGTTTGACCTTTAATAATGTGTGGATGCACCCTGATGTGCTACGCATTCTCCAACGCGCCTAGGCATGCTTCTGATCAGGTGGTCAATGTCCTTCTGTGGTATCTCATTCCAGGCAACCACCAACTCCTCTCGAAGTGCTTCTAGAGTCTGAGGAGGACGTTGCAAATTGAGCAATCTCCTACCCATCATATCCCACACGTGCTCAATTGGGGATAAGTCGGGAGATCTTGGTGGCCATGGTAACAATGTGACATCATTATGTTGAAAGAAGTCTATTGTGACTCTTGCAACATGTGGTCGGGCATTATCTTGTTGGAAAGTTGGATCTGCCAGGGTGTCAAGATAGGGTAAAAGATGGGGTTCTAGAACTTCGTGGATATAACGCTGCGCGTTCATGTTACCTCTGATGAAGGTTAAAGGTGACCTGGAACCATAAGCTATAGCACCCCAAACCATAACTCCAACAGTGTGATGAACATGTCTTTCAACAAAAAAACTGTGGATTCCTCCTTTGACCACGTCGCCTTCTAACCCTGGCACGACCATCGTGCATGCCTAAACAAAATCGAGACTCGTCACTAAAGACAATACTGTTCCATTCCTGATCCCAGAGTGACCGTTGTCTGCACCACTCAAGGCGATTACGTCGGTGTTCTCGAGTTAAAGGGAGGACCCAGTGTGGCCGGTATGAAAACAAGCCAAAACTTCTCATTCGTCAATAAACACTTCGCATGCCAATAGGTCCTCCGTGTTCTGCAAACCATTCATTTGCAATGGACCTGGTAGTGGAGAAACGGTCCCTTAAGGCCAATAATCTTAGGCGGCGATCTTCACGGTCTGTTGTTCTACGGCGGCGTCCAGTGCCCGTTGCTCTTTGCGTACGGCCTTCTCAAAGCCATGCCTGACAACACCTAACCACAGTGTCTACACTTCTTTGCACTCTAACTGCAATTGCCTGAAAAGAAAGTCCAGCTTCCCGAAGTCCCACTATACGGCCCCTATCAAACTCACTAAGTTGACGAAATCGTACAGGTCTCCGTACTCTAGGCATCGTAACCGATCGTAAAGGATGTCAAGAACCATAATCCGCCAACGTTGATTCTTTACTGCGGCTGAAATATTCATTTTTAGAGCGTTAGTGAATTAAAAAAAAAGCAGTATAAAAACCGGAATGTCCAACTGATAAGGCTGAAAATTTTTTCACTTGTTATTTACAGTAAGATAAATACATTCACCAACTTTTATTAAAATAAAACCATTTAAACTGGGTGTTCGGATTTATATGTCACTTAGTATAGTTTCCAAGACTTGATTATACGGTGTATTGGTATTGCGACACAAACTTTTTCAAAAGCAGATCAGGATTATCCTGCCGGGTCCTTGTTGAAATCCATTTAAATACTGTTCTGGATTATACAGGATACCCTATAACTGTGCTGCCTATTAGAGTTGTTTTTAAAGTTGTCCCTTTTATTACATATTTGGATATAAATAAATAGTTCTACGTTATGCCGAGTTTTTTTGAGATATTATATATTTTGTCTAAAATACATGCCAACTCGTATCTTGACCACTTTGATAGATAAAAGATGCAGTTCTAATGGATTTCCTTAATTTCGTCACGTAAACACACTTGACAATAGATATCTAAAAACAACCAACAAATAGTGAAATTTGAAAATGCGTAAATACACTGGTTGTTGTAAATGAATGTTCTAAAAAACAACGAATTGTGCGTTTTTGGAACTAGAATTAGCTGACTCAAACAATTGTAGGAATGGATATAAACTAGCTGGCAAAGATAAATATTACATAGCTAACACATATCGTGTATTTCATTCACCATATACCGAATAGGGTACCGACTGCCCACCTTGGACGCCTGTGGAAAATCTTTGGAGCCATGGACATTTTTGTTTAGGGATCGACCGATACCGACATAAACATCGACTTAACAATTTTGCAAAAGGTTGGAAAATATGTGAAGTGACCTAAACATACCTTGGTCCAATAGTTGATAGTTTGCGAGATACACAAAGTTACAATTTTATTTTCTATTTTTCCTTATTGCTTGAGAAGTATTTCAGATTTTGGCATAAAAATCGATATAGAAAAGTTTTCTAGTTTAAGGAACAAGAATCCGTTGTTTTTTTATCGCCAAACTTCTAGAGGGCGCTATTTACTGCACTATTTCGGTAAATATAACTTATCATAACTTTTTTGTGCTATCCTGTATACAAAAGCTGACCGAAAAATCGTACTTTCTCGTATTTCCACAACAAAAAATATTTACTTGTTAGAAGTGTTTGAAGCTAATAGTTTTCGAGATACATATTTGTTTTTAAAAGTTCCAATGCATTATTTGAACCATGATGATAAAACATTTTTATAACTTAATAATCAAGTTGCTTTGGATAATATCTGAGTAGTATTGCTATGGTTTCTAATGTTTGTCATAATATTGCTTTAAACTTCATGAATAATTTTAAGTTGACAATGAGTTAAGCAACTTGATTGTTATGTTATAAAAATGTTTTATCGTCAGGGTACGAATAATGTATTTTAAAAATAAATATCTAGAAAACTGTTAGCTTGACACCTTTTTTGTTGTAGAAATACGAGAAAATTAGATTTTTTGGTCAGTTGTTGTATATAGGGTAGCAAAAAAAGTTACGATAAGTTATTTACCGAAATAGTGCTGCAAGTGGCGGCCTCTAGAAGTTTGGGCACAAAAAATAACGGATTCTTGTTTCTCATACTAGAAAACCTCCCTATACCGAGTTTTATGCCAAAATCTGAAATACTTCTCAAGCAATAAAGAAAACTAGAAAATAAAATTGTAACTTTGACACCCTGTATCTCGCAAACTATCAACTTTTGGACTGATGTATGTTTAGGTCAATTCACATATTTTGGTCTATAGTATCTCCAGTTTCGATATTTTCCAACCTTCCGCAGGTTGGCCGATATGACTGTCCATATACCGACATATGCCAGACGATATAAATTAAGTTATAATGCGTATGATATTTAATTTAGAAACATAACAGAAGTAAATACCTGTATTTTCTTTAATTACATTAAAGTGACATGTTTTTGTTACATATGTATGGAAAAAACGAAACTTAACCTCCATTGTTAGACTCAATTTTTTGGCCAAAGGTTAAAGACAAATAAATACAAAACTAAATATGGAAGATACTATAAAAACAGGAGATATAAAAAATATGGTTATGGTGTAAAAATGATACAGCTTTTGCCCTATCAGTAGATAACATACTACGTTTGGCATTGTAAATTTGTCCCACTCATTACAAAACTTGCTGGCTACGCTTTGTACGTCCATGTTAGTGGGATTTTTCCAATAATTTGATCTATATTCCCTACCACTCATGCATTTCATCTCGGAAGTATACCGGAGATGATTGTTCCACAGAAATAGTTATCTGATGGTAAGTTATAAGAAAAAAAGACTGCATTAGTGAAAGAAAAGTGTTGGTAATCCACTGCAACCATCGCGCCGATTAGGTAATGAATTTATTTTACATCTGCCGCCCAAAATAATATGTTTTTTTTACATAAGAGACAAACTACGTTTTCAAAACCATAGCAGAGAAAATGTTGTTTCAGGTGGAAGAAGAACTAGCAAAGGTCCCTAACCTTGAGTATACCATCCTTCGTCTCCCGATCGTGTACGGGAAAGGAGACTTGAATGGTCTTATGCCCAGAATATTAGAGGCGGCAGTTTACAAGAGGTTGGGAGGATCAATGAAACTGCGTGGGAGTGCCGACACGAGGATACACACTGTGCACGTCCATGATGTAACCAGAGCAATATTTAATGTCCGTGCAAGAGATGATACCAAAGGAGAGGTAATTGTCATTATACAGGGTGGCCGATATGTAACTGACTGGTGTGTGTCTTGAATAATTGTGAAATGAACTAAAATACTTCCATTTTTTCATCTCAATCTGCTATTGAAACTTAGAAGTTATGTATGAAAAATAATATCAGACAAATGTCCGCCTCTAGAAGCCGCGCAAACTTGAGCCCTCTTGATTACATTTTCCATCACTTTTTGGTAGGTTTCGGGAGGAATATTTTTAATCGATCCCGCAATATTTTTCTCCAGCTGCTCTATAGCATTTGGTTTATTGGCATAAACTCGATTTTTCAAAAATCGTTCATAATAAATCAGTCAGGATCCGATAGATCCGGTGACCTTGGTGGCCAGTTGACATCACCAAATTGAGAAATTAAACGTCCCGGAAATATTGTTCGCAAAAAATGCATCGTTTCCCTAGCTGTGTGACAAGTTGCTCCGTCCTGTTGGAACCACATGCTTTGCAGTTTAAATTGTCGGATTTGAGGAGCCAGAAAGTTTTGCACCATATCACGGTAGTCCTCGCGAGTGACAGTAAGAGAATTACCTGCAGCGTCTTCAAAGAAGTAAGGTCCAATGACACCTTCATACCAATCACCGCACCAAACTGTGACTCGACGAGGATGTAGTGGTCGTTGATGGATAACACGAGGGTTCTCTAATGCACAGATACGACAATTCTGCTTATTAACAAATCCGTTCATATCGAAGTGGGCTTCATCGCTCATTGTGTTGTTGTCGGTAAAAATCGTTATTTTGGGTATTAAGCTGCAATATTGCATGACTGTATTGTCGGCGACTTTCATGGTCACTAGGCTGAAGTTCTTATGTTAACTGAATTTTATATGACCGCAAATGCAAGTCTTTTTTTAAAATAGTGCACAATGACGTGCGATAAATACCCAGTTCTTGATAACGATGTCTTGTCTGGTAGACGTCTCAAGCCGCTCCACTACACTTTCACGAACTCTCTCGAGATTTTCCGGAGTACGAACAGTTCGAACACGGCCCGACCTTGGTGTGTCTTTAACTTCACATGTTTGTTCAAATTTCAGCACCAACTGACGAATGGTGTTGACACTGGGCACATGATTTCGACCTAAATCTTGTCGTGGCTTTCGAATCGTTGCAACAATCGACTTAGTATTTACGTAAGATGTTTTAACAATATGGACGCATTGTGAGATCGTGTAGCGCTCCATGATGAGTTGGACTCATGTGCTTTAAACAACTACTACGGCGCCACCTACTGAAATGCGTGTATCAAAAATGGTTCGCAATTTAAATTGGTCAGTTATATATTGGTGCCCAAAAAAGGGGGTTGCCTGGAAAGCTTTGTGGAAGTTTGTAAGATCTTGTTGATTCAAAATTTCAATTGCTATCTCGCTCCTTCTTCGCTCGAGTCGGGATATTGAAAGAAACAGTTTTTTTTATATATCTCCTTTCCCACCAGCGACCAGAAATAAGAGGACATTTATGTATTTCCTATTCATTATAGCTAAGACATTTAAAATGACAGTCTAAGTAAAATGAAGTACAGCACCGAAGAACTTATATGGATGTCTTATCCCTACCCAGAAGATTCTTATCGGAATTGTCATGCTCAAGCGTGTGTCACATTACATCATTCACCACCACCACCATAAACCGATGCGTGCGCCGCGCAGAGTTCCCGCTATTCACAAAGGTTGCTCTGTCCTGTATTTGAGGTAAAAAAGGGTAAAAATTGGGTCGGCCTTCGACTTACAAGTACTATATCAAACCTAGTTGTACAAGTCAAAGCACGCCAGCTCCAGAAAAACATTGTTTCATATGCCAAAACACAGAAGAATGCAAGGAAGTCCTGCAGGGTAATTAAGAAGGAACAATAAATTCCTCCTTTCAGAGATATCATCATTGAACTGATGTTAATCTCATTTTGATGCTGGTAGATATTTAGTTAATATGGTATAGATGATCATGATAATAAACATTATTAGTGTATTTACGGAGAATGCAGAATGGAGAATACTGGCGTGTTTACAAGGGCTTTGGGGCTCAAGCTCCCTCCACAGAATTCCATGCTCTCAGAAGCACTGATGCAGTCGACTCCACACCGCTTTGCGTGATGAAGAAAGAACCTAATTGGTATAAACGAAAACAGGAATAGATTTGATTAATATTTTTATTAGGAGATATCGGGTTTTCCAATAGGGACTTGACAACTTTGAACTTTCACTGTGAACGCACCTTTAAATCAATTACCGAACTGTCAATATCAAAACATTCAGTAAAGAAAACATTTTCATCATGATGAAGTACACGAACGAACAACGCTTACAAAAAATTAAAATTTATTACCGAAATTCCGACTTAGTGACTGCAACTTTAAGAGCGTTAACGCCAATTTTTGGTCGTAATTCTCGTCCCAGTAGAGAAGCAATTCATAGTCTAGTAAAAAAATTGAGTCCACATATTCGCTGCTGGAAAAAAAAATAAACGCTTAAATATTAATATATTATGTTTAATATAATAAAAAATATATATATCAAATAATATTAAACTAAAAGTCAACAAAACAAAATAGGTTTTTCTGTAATGAACAGTACAGTACTAATCCAAACTAACACACACAAAAAGTTAAACGATAGAGTTGCAGTATAAAACTAATAACTGGTTAATACTATCCATGCTTAAATTATGGCGTTTGTCTGTTAATAAATTTTTAAAAGCCGAAAATGAACGCTCCACGTTACATGATGTGATCGCCGCAAATTTCAAGGAAGCTATATCTGAAGGCTTCATTTTAATATCCGGATCACTTTGGTTCTGTCCTCTCAAAATGTAACAAACATCTTTTATTTGTTGGTATGCAGGATTGCGAGATAAAACACTTTCCCATTTAACCCTAATTTTGTTTCCAATTTCTCCAGGAATAAGACTTAGTTCTTCAATCACCTTTTCTATGAGTCTGAAAGAGTCGTTTAATGACAACTGGGTAGTTTCCAGCTCCATTATTGCTTTTGCTAACATGAAAAAATGAGCTTTAATAAAGGCTAAGTCTTCTAAAATGTTTGACTCTAGTATCGATTCCTTACAAGATCTAAGTGCTATAGAATCAGCGTCAAGCGAAAGAAAAATTTCTTTGATTTTTACCAAATTATCTGCATAAAACAATGCAGCATTGAGCCATGTACCCCATCTTGTAATAACAGGCTCAGGTGGTAAGGGCAAGCCAGGAGCCATTTCTTTGTAACATTCTACCCATAATGGAGCTTTTAAAAATACCTTTTTCCGTTATTAATTAAATTATTAACAGAAGGATATTCTGCACGTACTAATTCGGCTAATCTATTTAATGCATGAGCCATACAGGTAAAATGTATTAATTCCGGGTAAAATACCAGTAAAGCTTTTCCAGCCTTGATCATATAAGGGGCCGCATCAGAAAGCAACAATTTTACGTTTTCTGATGTAACTGGATTTGGTGCATATAGTAGAGTTAAACTATCATTAATGAAACGTGCAACGGTCGAGTGATTGGTTTTTTCTAAGGCTGCAGAATTAATTAAATAAGAAACTGGAGGGGTAGACTCGTTTAAAATACCAACAAGTATATTGGAAACATAACGACCACATGCATCTGTTGTTTCGTCAACTTGAATATAAATATTTGTGTTGCATAACTTTTAGCTAATATTTTCTAAACGTACCTTGTAACATTTCTTCAAATAGTTTTTGCGCAATGTGGATTCATTTGGGATATGGCGGTTACAATATTTTTCTAAAAATTTACGGAACGCCGGTTGGTCTAATTTATTCCATCGTATGTTTGATTGTGCCATGGAGTTGCATAAATCAAAATAAAATTCATTTTTAGAATCCTGGTTTTGTTGGGAGCTGCCACATAATGCAGTTGAAACAAACGTTTGTTGCACTTTCCCGTTAAATCGTTTCTCCATTTCCTTGTGAATGGCTGTAGCAAGGTGTTGATCGATCTGAAATTTCTGGTTTGAGGATACCTAAAATCAAATGAGCCCTCAAAGAAAAACTTTAAAGAAACCTTGAAATAATGAATATTTACAATAATAGCTCCGTAGATAATGAAAGATTAATTAATTATTATATTAATACATATACTCACTTGCTTTGAATAGGCGTTACAGTATACAACTGTTCCATCAGTGGATAAATGTTTAGCATTCTTTATCCATTTCTTAAGTAAATCAGCTTTAGAGCTTGATACTTTCGGCTTGGCGATCTTTTTAAATATTAAACGGCAACGAAGAATAATACATGTTTATTTACTACTCAAGTTTTCTAAATAAAGATTGCGACAGGTGCACGGCACGGCGCCAAGTTATTAATCGGGGAATCACCGATATGCTTTGGGGGAATCACCTATATGCTTTGGGGGAATCACCGATATGCTTTGTAGTCTTTATAATTTGTGCACCGTTGTCAGATTTACATAACAATGAGTAATAATAAATGTTTAGTCTGAATAAAAAAAACATGCCATTTTATGTTTTTTAAAGCGTATGTCTTTGTATATGGATTATATGTAGAAAAAAACTAAAATATTATGTTATATGCGTTTATCCGAAAAAACCCTAAAATATTATGTTATATTTATAAAAACATGTAAACTGTGGTTTTTAAAACTTCCAGGAATCGTTCCAAATCACTTAACCGAGTGATTCTTACCAAAGTAAACGTTGCGATACTCGTATGCCGAAAGTATTTCTATAATTCAGTTTGGCACATAGTTAATTTTCACCGAAAAAAGTTTCGCCGTCGCCATAAATACATGTATTTTACTGTTCTTCAGATTTTCAACGTGGTGGACTACGATGATTCATCACAGGGCTCCATATGGAAAATACTATGTTCTTTGTTTGGAATAAAGGTAGACTTCACCGGCGATCTCATGTCCAGGTTGTCGGACGTGACGATGGCCGCCGAACAGGCTAACGAGAGGATAATGGCCACATGGGACGAGGTCATGAAGGAAGAGGATATGTATACACCCCTGTCTCCGCACATATACCCCGAGCAGCTTATTAGCAATCATTTGAGGTAATCTGTTTAGTAGTAGATACACGACTCGGGAAGGACACAGGGTGTTCTCAAATTTGGAACTTTCCTCTGCGCAGCTGTTAGACATCGTAGATTTAACCAAGATGTTTTTATAGACAGGAGAAAGCTTTTATAGCCACTCTCAGGATCATTTTATATATTTTAATATCGTATTATTTATCATTACGAATATAATTTATTCAAAAAAACACATGTATTTATATGAAAGTAACTTCAACTTAAAAAGTAAGTTTAGAAAAAAAGAAAATTATGGTACGTAAAGGCAACTTTGGAAGGAGAACATCTTCTATTAATTAATACTACTGCTACTGCAGAAGGCTTTTGCATTGCAACAGGATGATTTATTCCAGATTTCAACACCTTTGCCTGTAAAAAATCAATTCCCTTCAACTGCGTTTCGTCAGTCTCAACTTTTAAAATATGGCCTCCTTTCTCGACAATTACCTTAACTAATTGAGACAGGTAAGCACGTGGTATAGTTTTTTCAATTTTGCTTGTGAAGAAAAGTCTTTCCAGTTAAAAAGAACAGTAACTGTCATTTCTTTAACTACCACACGCTTCAAGTTACAGGTTTCAGCGGCCTCAACGATAGCGGAGCTGCTTTATTCCTTAGAAAATACCTTGCATATCGATTTCCCTTAGTTAAAAGGGGTCTCTCTAAGAAAATGTTTATACTAAGTGTAAATGCAATTTTTGGCGTTTACAGGGACACTATCTTTAACTTAAAAATTTAAAATACGGGGTTTTCTCTATGTAAATATGTAGCATAAGTCATAATTATTCGTTTGGTGCAAATATCTTAATTTTTGAAATTTTAGGAGATACGGGGGTCTTTGTTAGTATGAAAGTATAGTAATCCATCTGCACTGCTCCCTGTCAATCCAAACCTTAACGTCTGCGATTATCATTTCATCCTCCTCCTTATAGAGTGCACATTTTTCATCAGCCACCAAATCTATTGGCGGGATAACAGCCACCATCAGCAGCGCCTCTGTCGACACCTTATGCGCAGATCACGCAAGATATTGACATTTGTGCATCAGCTGCCGAAATTTCTTCTTTTTTAGTGCGTTTTCATAGATAGGAGCGCATCCCTACACAGCATGATCGAGATTGACACACTAGTCAGAAACCTTCGTTTTTCACTATTTGGTCCACCATCAGTCGACATCAGCAGAGTCAAGAAAGCAACGACACTATTTACTTTTGCGCTTTATGTGCTCGATCATATTTGTGGCATTATCTGTCACACGCCCAGGTATTTAATTGCTCGCTGACGTGCATTTCAGCATTCGCAATATTTGATTACCAGAAAGTATTACTAACGCAGTTTTTTCAAGAGTTAGTTAGTGCATTTTCGTCCATCCATATGCTGATCTTAGTTATTTCATATGGCAATACTTTACAATTTATATTTCTCCATGCTTGTTACCACCATTGCCAAGTCATCAGCATACCCTATCAAGTGATTTCCTGGCAACATATTTACCCTTAAAACCCCATCGTAGAAGTCACTCCTCAGTAATGGCCCTTAAGCGGATCCCTGTGAAACGCCCATGGTAATATTCATAACGTATTTGGTTTCGCCAACCACCAGTCTTCTTTCATTGAGGTAACCGGCTGTGAGGTAACTTTTAATCATGTTGAGCAGATATACAGGGGTGACTCATTGTTCGAGTGACTCAACTATTTTCTTCCACTGACTAGACATTCTTCACATCACAAGCCGTCATCACTACAAAGTTCCTTAGCAATCTATTGGTAGGTGGGGATAGTCAGATTTTTTGGTGCTATAGCAACCAATGTTCTCCGATTCGAACAGCTGCATCACCGCATCAATTAAATTTCTCTTGTCGAAATCCAAACCGCTTAAAAGACAATCCCTTTCATTTAGTCTCGATATGTTCTCTCAACCTCCCTTATAAGAGACATTCCAACAGTTTTCCCATTGAGCCCAACATGCGTAGAGGTTCTGTACTTTCATTCTTCACCGCCGGGCTTTTGAGGTTTCGGGATAACTATACAACTAAGCCAGCTTCTTTTCACTTTTTTAGAAAGCTTCTCATCCTCAATCTGTGGTTCATCACGCACAGCACAAATTCCAGTATTTCGTTGACCAATATGTTATTTACTACCTCGTTCGATATTTGGTCCAAGCCTGGCACATCCACTGTCTTCAGCCCCCCTACATTCCAGAAACTAAACTTCTGATATTCGCAATTGTTGTTCAGATGGTAAATTATTCCTTCCTGTGACCCTTTTCATAACTATCTTCCACGCATTTTCCCAAATATCATCTTCATGGTTGTTCAGAACATCATTCTTCATTTTTTTGTTTCACAGTCACATTCGGTTTGAGGTTCACTGAATTTTTATTAGTTTGGGACTTCGTCGGTAACGGAGGAAATTCTGTTTTACCTAGTCTGAATTTGCGATGTTAAACAGGTGTGAAAAGGTCACCCTGTATGTCCTTATCAGTCTCGGCATGTAGGATACTCGAATGATTGTTATGTCTTGTGTTGCTGTTCAGGAAGAACATGGGGAACTGATCTATGGTTAATACTCATAAGATTAAATACCTGAGCATTTAGTAACTCCACCTAGTCAGTCAGTCTCTGAATCTGTGCTGCTTTCTAACCGAAATATCAAAAAATTCTCCCGATCAAAAATTTGACAATGAATGGCTTCCCTGTTCATATGGCGATAGATTTTCCTAGTTTATATTACGCACAGTATTTGATGACCTAGTTTGTTCCTGTCAGCAATCTTGAAATTGAATTGAGTTTTTTAATGGCATTACTGCAAAAGTCTAAACCAGAGAAAGCTATCGTGGAAGAATGTACCAGACGATACCCCGCAGCCTCACAAAGTGCAGAGTACGACGACTCGTAATCTTTTGCATTTTTGAAATTTTGGATTATTGTAGGAGCACCACGGATTTATCGAAAAACACTGATTAAAAGAAAAAACGCCAAGACACATCAAAAGATTTGTCAAGGGGGGCAACTTTTCAACCAAAAACTATTTTACCCCCTTTCACCCTCGGCCCCCAGAGTCATTTCCTTAAAAAAATTAAATGACAAAGGGTATCGCGTAATAGCTAGTTTGAAAGGTCCTTTCTTTTGACGTTTGATTTTTTAAATCAGTCGATTCGTTCACGAGAAAATCAGAAAAACCTTTATTTATCTTAATTTGGTCAGATCGAAAACAAAAACACACGAAAGTATCACTTTTTATTTCAATAAGTGTTGAAAATGTTGTCAGTTAGGGTTTGACAAATCTACCATTCGCTTATAATTTAAAACGGAAACTACCAACACAAACAGCAAAACGAAACCCTATACTGGATGAGCTGAAATATATTTTCAGCAAGACGGCGCTCCTCCTCACATTGTTAGGTAATGGCTAGACGACAAGTTTCCAGATAAATGGATAGGGCGAAGAGCGCCTATTGAATGGCCTGCTAGATCTCCTGATTTACGCCATTAGACTTTTTTCATGGGACCATTTTAAATCTATTGTGAATATTCCCCAGGCTGAAAGTTTGAATGAACTTCGTCAACGCATCATTGAAAGCTGCCATGATATTCCACAACATGGTTTTAAAAATGTCCGTCAGGAATTTGAACATCGCCAATATCATTGTTTGGCCAATAACGGGCAATATTTTGAACACTTATTGAAATAAAAAATGATATTTTTGTGTGTTTTTGTTTTCTATCTGAACATTTTTCTAATTTTCTTGAATACGAATCGACCGATTTTAAAAAATTAAACGTCAAAATAAAGGACTTGAAAGACCTTTCAAACAAGCTATTACTCGATACCCCTTGTCATTTAAAATTTTTGAGGGGATGACCCTGGGGGGGCAGAGAGTGGAAGGGGGTGAAGTAGTTTTTGGTTAAGAATTTATCCCCCTTGATAAATCTTGTGACGTGTCTCGGCGTTTTTTCTTTTAATCAGTGGTTTTCGATAAATCCATTGTGGAAAGTTTTCAAATGAACACCCTGTATAGTATGGTTAGAGATACATCAGTTAGAACACTAGATGGAACTGACACCTCGTCACGTCCTGGTTGAACTGACGTGAGCTGCTTTCCAGTGGTTTTTGGTTTGAGAGTGATACGCTCCCGAACTCCTCCAGAAACAATGCAAGAGACTATGTGTATATCGTGCAGTGGAACAGTATTGGTGTTGAGCACCACTGAATTACTCCGAGTAACTCAACAGGGTCACTGGAAAGCAGCTCTTAAATCGATGCCAGAATCAAAATGTAAGCCATTATGTTCCTGCTATTTTTAACAAATATGATTTTCTTGCACTAGGTTGGATGGAAACAAACTGCGGTCACTCGATCCCTTTTTCCTTGGAATGAGTGTGTGTTTTCCAAAAGCGGAGCATCTGAAGGAGATTGTAGATTATTACATTGATGTGGGAATATTCCCACGTTCACTAGCCCCGGTACAACCATCTGATGAAGCTGTATAATGGAGATAACATATTTCCAGTCAGCTCTCCCTGAATTAGCGCAAATGTATCTAGAACAGGCTGGAGCGTACCAAAAGGTCCTTAAATGAACTAATTTTAAAACTGATTTTTGGCCAGCAGATAGTACTCAACGTCCTTAGATTTTAACTACAGCGTGCTAGCTCTAATACTGCCGCAACGCTTCTCAGACCTGCTTTAAAGTGGTAAAAAGACGTTTTGGTGGTATTCTCAAACCTGTTTTGGAGGCATTTACACAAGTCCGGAAGGGCTGACTAGGGTTATTTTATAACCACTAAAAATACTATAACATATACCAAAACAAGTTTTCTTGAAATTAATGGTTGAACATGGTTGCGACTTCTCTAACTTTCAGGAACGTCTCTCTAACAAGTTAAATTCCCAATCTAAACTGCTTAACCACACACTGAAGCAAAGATACGTAATGTAATACTTTTGGTGATGATAGACAGAATCGTTTTTAAATTCAAGTAGAAATAATTTTTCAAATTAAGTGCCCTACTGTATTTTTATAGTTGTAGTCACCGTCTTGGCGGTTACGTCATCAACGCCATATGAAATAAGTAAACAGATCGAGTCTACGTACCATGGGCGGATCTTAATTTTCCTAACTGATAATAAAATAATTTTCCTAACTGCTGTTTTAATTCTCTTCCTGGAAATACTCTAATAAATTTCGCACAAGCTGTCGGCCTTCTCCATTGAAGATTGATAACAAGACAACTCAAATTGTACACCGATGTCAAGTAAGTTGTCACTCTGACAAACATGATTGAAAGGCACTCATACGTTTTCGAGACGGAGACACACAACTGAAAACCGCATGTCTTTGAACTTACCGAAGAAGCGTTCGCACACAGGGGTAGGTTGCATGTGTATGTATGAGGGAGATGGAGATATATGTGTATAAAGGGTTACTGGTAGTCTTACTTTGGCCCGCCAAGAACGGTTACTACAACTTCACCTCTGAAGGTGCATTTGATAGAATGTGTGTCTAGGTGAAGCTACAGGTTGACATATGCAGGGTGACTGAAAAAAAAATAAAGAGCAATATTTATACAGTAGGAAGTAGATCGATCACAATATGAAGGGTTCTTATGAACACAGGTCCTAAAACGCCCTCTTACCGGGATACAATGTGTTATAACGCCACTGATGATACAGTCCACATGACATGGATGTCAGTGTCAAGCTACACTAAATTCAACTTCTTTCAAATTAGGAAAGGTTAAAATTTTTACGAGAATATAGAAACTTAGCAATTTTATCGCCGTTTTTAATCATCCTGTATATGCAGCAATGGTCTCACGGATTCTGACCCTGTGTTGGTCGTAAGTTAATATTTATCAAAATGTTTGTAGCTCAGATTATCAGTCAGTTGATTATTATGTAAAATATTTCATTAACATGTTTTTACAGAAACCTGGAATTTAAATGATTCGTTGTCATTTTAAAACTGATTTTTTCGTTGTGTAAAAACATTCTGCGCAAAAAATGTAAAGATGTCTGCGAACAAATGCTCTTCTTGTAAGTAGTTTCTTCATATTTATATTATATTGAAAATATTTGAATTCGATCAAAATCAATCCAAAACAGACATCTATATAATTTTTATGGCATATCGTGATTTTTTATATTGACTGAGTTAGTGTTACGAATTCAATCAAACCATTTTATCCAAAGAATGCTACATTCACAACAATAGGAAAATACTATTAAAATGATATTTACGATGCTTCGCAATAAACTTAGCTGCGCTCCAATTATCTCATTGTTGGCGACCCAGTAAATTGGCCAACAGTAGCGCGAGAATTTGACGATTGGGTGTCAGTGTTTGTTGTGATGCAGTGAAAATCACGTGTGCGTATTTATGTTAGTTATGTAATATACAATATTATATACTATTATATTTAAATTAGCAATTAGCGAATATACTATACCTATACTATTTTAGATTAATGTAAGATACCTAAAACCCTAGAAATGTAAATTTTAAGTTCAACATTTTGCTCAATTTACTCGTTAAAAGTGAAGCATCTTATTTTTGTATCGTATTGATGAGGTTATACTGTTATACCTTTACAAAAATAAAGCAACCTTCGTGGTAGGAATTTTTAGAAGATTTTGCTCGATTTATTTGTAAAATGTGAAACGTTGAAAGGTGATTTTTGTATTGATAGGATTTATATATTGTAATACATGAATGAAATAAAAATTACACTGCCAATGTCGTTATCATTATAATGAAGAGTGCCAATAAAGTCGAATCCAGTTTCTGTCGTATAAGTCAGAAATATATATTTGCTTTCCGTATGCTCAAATACGCCCATGTGGGATATAATCTGGTAAAATTAAGTTTGATACGTAGTTTACACTCTCGCTTCGTACCTCGGCTCGTTCTTCGACTCGGTCCGCACCTCACGTTATCGATGGTAAATGAGCTTCCTGTTTACACTCTCGTGGTGAGCTGGTGAGTTCAGTTGTCTTTAAGCTAGCAACAATGGAGGACGTCGAAGTGTTAGCGGCAACAAGTCTTTGCTTACGCAATTAATTTGAATAAAATAAAAGGAAAAAAGACTGAAAAGTGCTTTCTTAACATCGTAATACCCTTGTAAATATCGTCTTCTCTTGCGCCGGATGTGATGATTGTTTTTAGCGCCGAAGATGCTGGCTAAGGGTTGCCATGCGAATATTTTCAGTTTTCAATTCGATTTGAGATCTACACATGTCTTGAGATAAGTTCATCCATGCATCGTTTACTTTTTGGTTATTTTTGTGGAATTTATGTTTGAGATCCCAAATTATCGGTTCCTTTTCAAATAATTCTAGAAATCGAAACGTTTCTTCTTGCGACCAATCCATTTAAGCAGTTTGATTGAAGCGAAAGCGCGAATGTAAACACCACGCTTGCGTTTGTCGCGAGGTCGTTTGACTCTTGACCAAAAAACCGCCACGGACGCGAGCGGTGCGAGTCACGAGGCGAGTCGCTACTCGTACGCGAGTGTAAATGAGCTATGAGAGTTTCTTATTGGCAACCTCTCCTAAGTCTAAAGCTACACGATCAGTGTTTAAGTTTCGACGTGTTATTTATTGAACGTGTAACATTGTATTGATCGACTTCAATATTTACGGAGCACTGGGTTAGGTAAAAAGGCTATTTGGCAGGCTTTACCTCGTCATTACTACTACTACGATTACACTACTCAATTTTCGTTGATGTAGAAGGTCATGTAGAAATCCTTTGACACATGGATCGATCAATACATACTGATGGTGATCAAAATAAATACTGAACGTACTACATATAAATTTAGCGTTTGTCCGACCATGGACAGCGGTTTCGTGCAATTTGGCAATCCTTCAGCATAGTGTGCGCTTTCCCTCCGTGGACAACGACCGAAACTTTGTTCTATTCAGAGCATAAAGTCTATCGAAATAAGACAGCACAAAGCGCCATCTTTTGACAGAATCTGCGGTATCTAGCGACTACAGTGGCGATCCGGCTGACAATGCGAACTGGGGAAAGTAGTCTGGTGAAATTGAATGAAAATACGGCAACGTTTTCAAAACAACACTGTATTATATACTAGTTTTAAGATCTAAATATTCAAAATAAAATATTAAATATAAACATTTGTTAGGATTTGAGGAAATTATGCACTAGTACTAAACGCATAGTCAGAGCGAATGGAACTCTTTTGTTACTAAGGGCGTGGGTATTATCATAGATTTCAAATTAAGTCAAAATACTAGATTTCATTAAAACATCTTTTCACAACCTTTCTGTTTAATGACAATACAAATTTCCACCGATCGATCCATATTTTAGACTAAAATATGGATCATCTTGCTGTAACTAGTTACGAATTGAACTTTTTGGATGAACATTAGTATGATTGCACAGACGTTTAAAGACTACGATAACCTCTCATTTTTTTAATTTGCGTAAAACCATACGTCAAAAATTATCACTCTAAATTCACTTATTAACCCTTCCTACAACGATCCATTAAGTACGACGCAATAAGCTTCGAAGTTTTCCTTTGGCACCTTTTTTCCAAAAGGACTTACTCTGCGGGCAACCTTTCGGTACGGTGGCCATCTTAGGAGTAGTTTCTTGCCAGTATCTTGAAAACGAGGCATTTCCAGACTGAACGGGCCCCGGATTTGGTTTCAGCGACCCAACAAATGTATAATAAAAATGATTGGGTTCACGTTCCCGACTGACACATTTTTGCCTTTTTTGGCAACTAAAAATTGAAATGCTTTATATGTGGTTCAAATGATCTCTATTGAACGTATTTTGAATCGCTGAAACCGAATCCGAAGTCGTTTCACATGTATCTGGTCTTGTTTATCATACAGACCTAATTATTTAACGAAAAATTGCAAAACTTTGCATTTTTTCGACTAATTTGCTAAAATCCTTTTTTATTATCGATGGCTACATGTTGGCGAACCTTTGTACAATAAGATAATTTGGAGCGCTGTATATGGGTATTACCGTGAAAAATTCTAAAGTGTCATCAGACCGGATTTGGGGTGAAAATTTGGTAAAAAACTAGTAATCCGGGCTACCCGTGAACCCTGGCACCGAATTGACATCAAATACGAAATCTACGGAACCGATTTACAAGCTTCTATCCAGATCATAGATGTGCAACAGTTTTTGAGGATTTTTTATTAGTCGTTTTTTGACAAAATAGAATTTTTATCAGTATCTCGAAATCGAGACATTTTCGAACTAAATGGACCGCGGATTCGGTTTCAGCGACCCAAAAAACGTATTCTAAAGAAGGTTGGACTCACGTTCCCGACTGATCCATTTTTGCCTTTTTTGTATCAATAACTAATAATTAAAATGCTTCGCATGTGGTTTAAATGGCCCCTATTGTACGTATTTTGGGTCGTTTACACCGAATCCGAAGTCGTTTAACATGTATCCGATCCCCTTTAGCATGTGGATCTAATTATTTAGCGAAAATTGCAAAACTATGCGTTTTTGCGGCTTTAAGGTGCTTTTAATATCGATGGCTACATGTGAGCGAAGCGATAAGGTAATTTGGGGAACTGAATATGAGTATCGTAGTGAGGACATTCAAAAATGTCATTGGATTTCGGGTAAAAAGTTGGCAAACACCTAGTGAATCCTAGCACTGAATTGACATTGAATTCGGAATACGCGCATCCGATTTACCTAGGAAACAAGCTTCTATATATAGATCATAGACGCGCAACAGTCTTTGGAGATTTTTTATTAGACTTTTTCAACAGAGTACAATTCTTGTGTCTCGAAAACGAGGCATTTCCGGACTAAATGGGCTCCGGATTCGGTTTCAGCAAAAGCATTATGAGAATGGTTGGGCTCACGTACCCGACTGGTCCATTTTTTGCATTTTTTTGTATCAATAACTGTGAATTAAAATGCTTCAATTGAGGTTCAAATGATCTCTATGGTATGTATTTTGTGTCGCTTAAGCCGAATCCAAAGTCGTTTCACATGTGTCTGATCTCGTTTATCAATTTAGCGAAAAATTGCAAAATTATGAGTCTCTGACTCCTAGCACTAAGTTGAGTTCGAATACGAGATCTATGAACCCAAATCACTTAGAAAACAACGTTCCATCTAGCTCATAACGCAACAGTTTTTTGAGATTTTTGATTGGTTGTCTTTTGACAATGCCTTCTGGCATTTCCAGACCGAATGAGCCCCGAATTTGGATACGGCGACAGGGCATCAGTGCTTAGTGCTGTGGTTGGAATGCCTATACTAGGTAAGATATTATGGAAAAGACGGGTAAAAAAAATCGTGAAAGTAGAACCATTACAATGTTTTTATTTTTTGACAAGATTTTAATAAGCAGTGACGTCCACTTCTATTTATAACAAGGTAAATATTAAAGCTTGTGGTCAACTGTTATGCCAGCTCTGAATTTCATTAATCAAAGTGCTGATAGAATTTAGAAGATTCAAAGGTTTCTACTGCTCTTTCGTGACCAGAGCACATGTTTCTGAACCAGATTATTAGGATTTCATTACTCCAGAATATTTCAGCCTAATACGGATGACTATGGAACTACAAAAGTGTTCAAAAGCATTTTGCACATTATGACGGCACGCGCACCGACTGGATTCGGTAGAGGGCGTTCCTAGCTAACGAATGAGTGGCTGGTCAGTTGTCTCCGAGCACTTGGAGAGTCACGACAGGCATTTTCGCGCGACGTGTTTCTGTGAGTGGTGCAAGCCGAAAATGCAGCGTGATTAGAGCAGAGGTACGCGATTAAATTCTGTGTGAAACTCGGTAAATCTGCGACAGAGACGTTTGATATGATCAAGCAGGCTTACCCAGGTGTTGCTTTAGCAAGAAGTGGTGTGTTTCGGTGACACCAGGCCTTTTTGGAGGTCCGGGAAGAGGTCGCTGATAAAGACCGTGCTGGAAGACCTTCGACTTCGACAAACACCGATAATGTGACTCGTGTGCGCAAGGTTTTGAACTCAGACCGTCGACTAAGTATTCGTTTAATTGCCCAGATGTTAAATTTACCAAAATCTGTGGTTCATGACATTGTGTTACAGCATTTGAACATGCGCAAGGTGTGCGCTAAGATGGTCCCAAAAGCGCTCACTGACGACCAGAAATTGCGGCGAGTGGAAGTGTGCCAAGAAAATTTGAACATGTGTGAAAGTGACCCCCAATTTTTGAATAACGTAATCACAGGTGACGAGTCGTGGATCTTTGAGTATGATCCCGAGACAAAGAGGCAATCTTCCGAGTGGTACACGAGGGCGTCTCCTCGCCCTAAAAAGGGAAGAATGACCAAATCCAAAGTGAAAACGATGCGCTTTGTCTTTTTTGACATCAAAGGCATCGTCCACCATGAATTTGTTCCTCCTGGACAAACCGTCAACGCCAAGTTTTACGTGGAAGTTCTCAGGAGACGGGTCAGTCGGGTCCGACAAGACATCGCAGCCGACTGGAAGTTGCACCACGGCTCAGACCTCCTTTCTTGTGAACAGCTACCTGACCAAGGCCGGCATCCCAATAGTTTCGTTCGTGGTTCCGATTCGGGATTGATTCTGAACCACTTCGCATTCGCACTTCAAAAATCGGCGTTCGCGGTAAGAAAATTCTGAATTTTTAGTTACAGTTCTGCGTTCGCGGATCATATCGAATTGGTACAGAACTGATTCCGAATTGGTCCTGACGGTTCTCAGATTTTTGGTGAGACTAAAAGTTCGATCCGGCTGATCATGCGCATTAGCATCGTTATGGACATTTGATATTTCATCTTCCGCCGCCTCTGTTCGGGTTTAAAGTGTTTAACCTATTCTGTGACAATCTGTCACCTGTGCTTTTTAGTGCTTGCTGTTCCATACATATGTTTTGTGTGTTCCATCTTAAGTTCTTAAGATTCAGTGCTTAAGATTTTGTGCTTAAGATGTCGGACCATTTATTGTTTAGTGATGATGATTTGGAAGAACTATTGGAAGTTATTGAAGTACCGAAAACACCTGGAAGCTGTCAATAGTGTCAATCGAATAGCAGCTTGGCAACAGCACAAAATAGAGGGCAAATTGGCAACAGTGTTGAATACGCAAACGGTTCCAAAGTCGTTCGCGGTAAACGAAAATCTAGAACTAGAAAATAACTGGACATGCGCATTTTTGTAATTCTGGATGGTTAAGTTTTAGTTCCGAACTGGTTCATTTTTTGACCCGCGAACGCAATTAATGGTTCCGCAGCCGCCCTACAGCGCAGATGTGCCCCCACCCGGACTTTATTTTGTTTCCTCACCTGAAAAGGCCGATGAAAAGCAAGCGTTTTGAGACGACAGAGGGGATCCAAGCAGCATGCACCGCGGCTCTCAAGGCTATTCCGGAGAATGCCTTCCGTGACGCCTTCAATGCTTGGAAATCGCGCTGGCAGCGCTGCATCGACGCAGAAAGAGCCTATTTTGAACGTTTTTAAAGAATTGTAATGATTGGCTCAATAAATTTTTTAAATCGACTATTACTTTCCGGACAAACCCTGTATACCTCTGGCATCCTGTAACAGCTATTCGGCGGTAGTGATGACAGAAGTAACGTCATTTTAACCGTAGGTTCGTTTTCGCGGCAAAAACAGCAAATCAACTATTAAAGAACATTTTCTTCAAAAAAAGTACTTCCGTCTTTATAAGGAGGACCCCACAAAATTTATAACAAAGCCCTCTAGTGGAACTGGCCAAATTTGTAGTTTGTTGTACACTGATATCCAGATTATATTTCACCATGGACACAAAATGGATACAAACTTTTATAGTTTTAGAGGTACCGAAGACCAAATATGATGATAAAAGAATCCAGAAATTTATTTTTCTTGCAGTACTCGAGGCTGAGGCTGAGTCTTATCTGGGCCTGCTACACAGTGAAATGGTTAGAAAAACTACTTCTTGGCTCTTAACAAATAGCCTAAGTTTTTCCAATTACGAGTAGCTGTCGCGACCCAGACTCCAACCAGCCAAAACGAGTACCTCCTCGGCAGAACTCCAAGTCCATCGATCGAAACCGGATGCGTAGTGTTTGCTATGGCGCTTCTTATTAGTCAAGGCATAGTACTGTGTTGGAAGCATTAAACTGTACCACATCGTGCTTTCCCCAAGCAGCGGTAACTTCCAGATCTTTTGTCAGAGGCGAATTCGGTATTGGTCTTCTCTACAGCTCATTTGTTGATTACGGAATGTCGAGGTAGCTTATAGAGTATGTATTTTTGAATATGTCAAAGAAAGGAAACTTGATGAATAGCAAGATCTCATCTGGATGATTGTGTGGTGTCCAAAAGCGTCATCTGGGGAGAGATCGGGGAGGGATGACTAAGCGATACACTTAATGACCAGCTGCAAGGCAGTTCTCCAGCATGCTTTGTTTGTTGCAGAATGCCAAGTACATATATTTGTTCATCGTGGCCGATATGTATCTGACTGGCTTGAATCTTGAATATTTGTGAAATTAAATAAAATACTTCCATTTTCTTATCTTCATCTTTTATTGAGTAGGTTCGGGAGGAAGATTTTCAATCGCCAGAAAATTCTGCACCATATCACGGTAGCGCTCGTCAGGAGCAGTAAGAGAATTACCTGCAGCGTCTTCAAAGAAGTAAGGTCCAATGACACCTCTATACCAATCACCGCACCAATCTGTGACTCGACGAGGATGCAATGGTCGTTGATGACTCGAGGGTTCTCTAATGCCCAGATATGACTTTCATGAACTCTCTCGGTATTTTCCGGAGTACGAACAGTTCGAACACGGCCCGACCTTAGCAAGTCTTTAACTTCACCTGACCAACTGACGAATGGGCTCATTATTTTGACCGAAATCTTGTCGTAGCTTCCGAATAGTTGCAACAATCGATTCACTATTTAAGTAAAAGGTCTTAACAATACGGACATGTTGTGGGATCGTGTAGCGCTCCATGATGAATTGGACACATGTGCTTTAAACAACTACGACGATGCCACCCACTGAAATGCGTGTATTAAAAATTGCGCGCGTCTTAAGTCAGTTATATATTGGCCACTCTGTACATCTCTGAGAAGATATGACAGAAACAAAATTTGGTTGAGTAGCAGAGTAGCAAGATCGTATATTAAATCATTGATACTTGGTATGTGAGTTAAAATTATTACTGAATATGCTGCCCATGAACTATATCTATTAGCTGTACCAGACAAGTTATTTGTGTTGTCCTTTCTGAAGAGCGGTCACGATTAAAGTTATAAATTACGATTTTCTTCGATTTCCTTGCGATTTCAAAAACTTTGATAAGCATTACGGGAAATCACCACCACAGCCGCGTTGTTTGTAATCAAGCCACATCACAGATATGTAAGGAATGATGCATCACTCTCAGAACATTTTTGCAGTGCCACACATCTAGACGCTGATTTGAATTTTGTACTTAACATCCCACAATAAATTGACTTAAATAATGAAAAATGTAACAACTTTTTCAGTAGTTGCCTGAATATCTAAGTCATCACCGGTCACGCGTAGTTTTCCTGTTCGTTTCCAGTGGGTATCGTAACTATCTAGGCAACTGCCTGTATTCATTACTCTATTTTACATTTAGGCAACGTCCCCATCATCAGTCCCCAATCCTGTTGATAACCTTATGTGAGTGGACGGCTTTACACAGGTCGAGCATGGGATAGCTAGTTAACAATTGACCGATCTGACAACAGCGGTAAGTACATGATATTTGGAGGGGACAAGTGGAGGGAGAAATAAAATGGAATGTGTTTTTTGAACGAGAAAAATTGTGAAGGAATGAGGAAAGTTCATTCTGTTGCGGATTCCGACTATATCCACCAGACAATAAAAGATAACAAAATAATTTCAACTGTAAAATCAGAAAATGCCAAAGTCTCATGTATTACTTCTTGGTGGTAGGTGTATTTTTCCAAAAATCGCATAGGTTTAACAAAACCACCCCTTTCCAGGTACTGGCTTCATAGGAAGGAATATTGTGTACTATTGGTTAAAGGAGAAAAAAGTTGAGTCCATAGTTGTGGTGGATAAGGTCCCTCCTGAATTGGCCTGGATGAATCAAGCCCATAGAGATGCTTTTAACGATCCAAGAGTTGAATTCAAGAGTGCTAATCTCGTTTTTCCTGGTAAGAGATTAGGATATCTATATTTTAAAATTTCACTAATTGTTAATATTCCTCGAAACTTATGCTGCCCTATGTGTTAGAGCCACACACCATTGTATTTTTTTTGCAACAAATATCCAAATAAAAATCAAATAAGTTCGCTCGCCCCAGTTACTCAAAAGACTCATCTGCAATAAGTTCTTGCTAGCTGAAATTTAGCGGATTTCATTTCCTTGAATTTTATCATTGGTTTTCAACGATCTTTGTAGGAAATTCCTTGTTCTGATACATATTCTAATAATTATCAAAAAGTGTCTTATTTAACTCTTTCATTTTTCAGCTTTTAAATTTATTGTCAATAGAAGCTCTATTGTCCCAGTTGGAGAATGTAAGTTTTGCTCAATCTTTCCTAGTTCTTCAACTGCAACTTGTAACGTCCTTTTTACATTTTATTTTTCATCCATTTTGACCACTTCAATTTCGAACTTGTTCCATACGATTGTTTACCTTTTGATTTTTTTTTCACTCATTTTTCCGTCCACTTGAATTCCTGCATCTTTTTTTACTTTTGCTTAGCGTTTTGTAGGTGAACGTTCAAATCATCTGCCTTTACGAATAAAAGAATCACCCATACACGTTGCTAGATTCATTTAAATACGATTTTTTATAGTTTATCATTCAAAAAACCTTGCCAATATTTCTGAAGCAGAAAGTAGGTCCAAAAATGATATAAAAAGTTCCTATACATATGGATTCTAAAATGTTCCTATACCAAGATACATTTTAAAGTTATAATTTAAAAAAGGGAAAAATTGTATCTGTAGAGTGGATAAATGTATGGTTGTGATGAATATGTACAAACTACACCTGTGATGTAGACACTGAAATACAGGGTGTAAACGTTATGATAGTCCTTATTTAAATGGGTGATAGAGGGGGTTCAAAGAAGCAAAAAGTTTCATATAACATGGGGGTCAAAACGGAATTTTTTAGAGAAAAGCGACTTTAAATTAAAATAAAATCTGACAACGCCGCAATGCCAGACGCAATTTACGACAGAACGCAGTGTAAATGAAGATGGAATTTGTTATTTTTAGCTCTTAGGTATTATTTCATTATTTGATAATGTTCTCGTAAAATTCAAACAATTAAAAAAAAACGGACATACCACTAACTGTCTCAGCGTTCCACCTGGTGTGTGAAAATTTATTGAACGCATTAAAAAATCCACTTATAAAAAGGGAACACAATTTTGATTCATACATTGTTTTTCTTTTTAAAACCCACCCTGCACTTTTTTGTATTTAAAGAAGGTGTTCAAAATGTCGTCCTCCACTTTCCACACAAGCTTCGTTACGACGAACCCAGTTTCTTCTTACTCTAGGTCCTCGGAGTTGTCCGTTTATTATTTCAGCCGCATTAAAATTTTTTTCGCGAAGTTGTGCTTCAGTTGTTATTGGACCAGCCCCGTAAACCACCCCTTTAAGTTCTCCCCAATACCAGAAATCCATCAGATTGAGGCCAGGAGATATTGCTGGCCATATTTGAGGATCAGGAGCATTTGGGTAATGTTCATTCAAATACTGAATGACGCCTCTAAAAATGTGTGGTGGTGCCCCGTCATGAAGAAACCACAAATTCTGCCTCCGTTGTAATGGTACGTTGTCTAAGGTCTGTTCCAAAAGTTCTGGTAGGTTATTGGCTAGAAAGCTAAGGTATCCTTCTCCTGACAACTTTGGGGGTAACTCGAAAGGGCCAATTACCTGATCGTCAAGAATACCCGCCCAAATATTTATAATAAAACGTTGTTGGAAATGACCTTCACGAATGGTATGAGAATTTTCTTGGGCCCACGTGTGAGTATTATGGACATTTAGTATCCCGTCTCGCGTAAAAGTACATTCGTCCGTCGCTAGGATGTTTTTAAAAAATTCGGATTTTCAATGTTTTTGTACAAAAACCACTGACAGAACGTTAGTCTGCGAGGATAGCTTCTGGTAACAAGGCCTGCACTCGTTTTACATGGCAGGGATAAGGAAAATTTTCCCGTAGGATTCTATGGACTATGGTATGCGATAGTCCTACGCGGCGGCCTGATTCGCGACGCTGATATCTGCATTGATTTCCACGATATTTGAAATTTGTTCCCCCTGCTCTACAGTAACCTGACGTTCACGAGTGCGAATATTAGTGGGCTGAACACTTCATGTATCTCGAAGTCTTTGGTACACTTGCACAAATGGCCTTCTGTCTGGGTGTACCCGTTGGCGAAATATGTCGCAATAAATTTGAGCTGCAAGATTTGAATTCTAACGAGTTTCACCGTAAACTAACAACATGTCGGCGAACTCTTGATTCGAGAACATTGTAAAAAAACACGACGACGTACGCGAACAAAAACAAAACAGCACGCCCGATGCCCGTTTACTAAGCACTGTTACCATTTGCGATCGATTGCCGGTTCGATAAGAGTGATGAAAGGCTGACGCGCTGTTGTCATGTGTGTTTTAAATATTTAACGTAATGAAACTTACTTACTGACTAGAAATTTTGGCTTAACTTAGAAAAACTTAATGCCATTTATTATTTATTTATTATACCCATTTCAATGATGTCTACCATAACGTTTACACCCTGTATTTTGACATATACAGAAGGGAAAAAATGAATATTTCCTATACCATTGACTCATTTTAAACATCCCTTGCATATTTAAATAAGCTATTCATTTTTACATAAATGGTCGCCCTAGAACAATTTTTGTCGGATTTATTCCTTTTGAAGAAAGGTTAGTGAAGTTTGACATTAAAAATTGTATAGTAGTATATTAGGAGAGCCACCCAATGTCACCTCAACGTTGTTTAAAGAATCTTCAAGTTTTGCCCCTATTTAATCTCGTGAGTGGCGTTGAAATTCAAAGCACCTCTTGTCTCTTGGTAGTAGTATATATTTTAGGACATATTTACAGTAGCTTTTTATCTTATTTTTGTATGTACTATCTGCTCCAGGAATATTGCCATTGTTTCTTGAATTACCCTGGATATTTTGAAAGCCATACTAGGGTGGCATATCGACCATCTCCCAAAAGAAATATTGTTTGTCAGATACGCGCATCAATGTCTTAAGAACATTCCAGTTATAGTCCGGGTAACAGGAACCGATTTCTCGGCCTGATTTGGAAGATAGGATGTAAGTACTCAACTGGGTATTTGGTAATGAGTGATTTCTGCCTGCTTTTATTCCGGCTCTTGCTAATGGAATTAAGATGTATCGAACATGATATGTATAGAGTTATAAATGTTTAATAATATAATAATTATACAGGGTGCGGCAGAGAGGATGGACGGTTTTAAAAAAATCATAAAATAGTTAATTTTTAGTCGAAAACAAATTTATTGATGGAATCAGGTTCACAAGGAAATAGCATTTGAGACAGTCAAGTGTGGAAAATCACATCAGGCATGTGGTGGCCGAAATCGTTGAAGCAGTGCTGGAGGCGTTCTTGGAAGTTCGCGTAGACTCTCTCCAACATCGCTCTCTCAACTTGGGCGACTTCCACGCGAATTTCGCCTTTCCGTCCAGAGTTCGGGGCTTGTTCGTGTATACTCTAGCCTTGAGGTGTCCCCATAAGAAAAAATCGCATATGGATAAATCTGGGGACCGAGTAGGCCAATGAACATGGCCAAACCTGGAAATAAGGCGACTAGGGAAGAGAGGGCGAATAACGTCCATGGATGCTCGGGCTGTGTGGGCGGTCGCCCCATCCTGCTGGAACCATACACGTCGGATTGGAACACGTCGCCGTCGTAATTCAGGGAGAAAGAAGTTGGTGATCATGTCGACGTAGCGCTCTGAGTTCATGGTAACATCACGACCATTACCGTCTTCGAAGAAGTAAGGGCCAATGATGCAAGTTTGCGATACAGCACACCAAACCGTTACTTTTGGGCTGTGCAGCGGTCTTTCGTGTAACTGTTGCGGATTTTCATTAGCCCAATAACGACAATTCTGCTGGTTAACCATGCTGTTTAGGTGAAAGTGGGCTTCGTCACTCATAAACAAAATGAGGTTCTCATTTTGATCGATCAGTACTTCCATCTCACGTGCGAAGTTCATTCGTTGTGCATAATCTCCGGGCTGTAACTGTTGCACAATGGCCAATTTGTACGGGTGAAAGCGGAGATCCATATGCAAAATTCGCCTTACCGAACGATCACTAAGGCGAAGTGCAGCAGCATGTTTCCGGGCAGATCGAGTCGGACTGCGAAGAAAGACCTGTCGAACGCGTTCAACATTTTCAGGAGTTCGAACTGTTCGCGGCGCTCCACGCCTGCGAAGTGCTTCAACCCAACGAAGGGTGGTGTTTCGAGAGGGAACAGCCCTATTCCGATAAATGTTGAAGTGGCGACGAACCTCACGCTGTACGACGATGATTGACTCATTTTTTCGGACGAAACAATCATATTCGAAAACGCGGTGCTCCACCGTCCAACGCTCCATAACGACAACTGGTAAAATAATGCTAGGATCTCACGAGTCAAACGGCACCCTCCCCACCTCTCTCGTAGATGGTGGCGGAGAGTACTACCCATCCCAAAAACGTCCGTCCTCTCTGCCGCACCCTGTACAAGGTGGTTTAGAGACAATGAAAACGTTTCTAGAGCAGAAAGAATAATCATAAATAATGTAAAAGTTCTTATAAACATAGGCTGTAAGATGCCTCATTTTCAAAATACACATTTTCATTAAGGGCAAAACATGAATATTCTTCGAATAATAAAACACAAATAACTAGTTCCATTTTTCAATGTTAAGCTTTACTAACCTCATGCATATTTTTAGGTAGAAGTATTTTTGAGTTTTTTTTTATATATTATACCTCAAATATCCAAGCCAATATTTCTCCACAAAGAGGTGTCTGACAACATGTTCTTGAGAGAGATAATTCATGTAAAATGAAACATTTTATTAAAAATTGCAATAGAGATTTTTAAAAGTTAGTAGCGTAGACAATATCTGTTTTTTTTTTCAACTGTAGGGCCTATTTTCTATTCCACTTGTGCAGTTTAAGCCGCGAACATTTTTTTATGTAGCGGTGATAGTGCTAGTAGTCCTACTATGTATGTATAAACTTTGAGTGATCTTTAACCACTGTAGGGTTATTTTTTCTAGATTTCGAAGATGTCACTTCAACACCCTGTATCTCTCGGTTAACAAGCATATTGGGAGCCATGGTTATTTATGTTACTTATTTGTTATTTATGGGTCTACTTTTTGCTCTAAAAATATTGCCAATGAAGTTTGGAACCTGCACCAAGAGAAATTTTCTATAATGCAATTATTTTTACTTCTTCCAGTGGTGTTTGCGCGGGAATTACTTTTTTCCGTAATAAAAATTATTTCTATACTTCTCATCCACTTCTGAGCAAATTTGATCTCTTAATTCTATTTCTACCAATTTATGGTTATCATGAAGCAAAAAAGAAACATTATATTGGTATATGTAATTTTTTTTTTGTAAAAACCATTAGTCGATGGAAAGAAAATGAAGAGGTTAAATATGCTTAGAAGTTAATGAGAATTATAAATTTATTTGTGTTGCGAGAAAACTCAGAGGTACAATACATTTTTTAAGCTCCAAAACATATATACAAAAATCAAAGTTTGAGGCTTTTAGGACACTGATTCATTTGAAAATTGTTTCTTTAAGTAATAAGTGCCCGCTTATATATTTTACAGTGAACCTCCGGTAATCCGACAAACATTATGCAGGGCAGTGTCGGACTATCGAATTTGTCGGATTATAGTCCGGAATTTTTTACAAAAGAGTACCTTGTAATCCGACAAATTACATATCCAGTGGTAAGATTATATATGTTATGTATATGTATGTACTTTGAAGTACAAATCATACATAGTTTATGTATTTCGAATTTAGTAAATTAAATAACAATAGAGAGCTTACGTTTTATTATAAAATTAAGCATAAATGCACATACACATGTACCAAAATAATCAAGAATTATTAATCAAAATCATTAATGAATTTATCAAATTATGAAGCTTGGAAATATTCATCAATTTTTTTTTGTTTAAGGTTGTTATAACGTGAGATCAGAGCTTTGTCCCTCAGTCTTCTCAAAAGTAAAAGTTCGGTGTAGGATGTACCATTCTCTTCAGCCTATTGTAAACCTAGCGTTAATTGCGTCTTGTGCTGTGACTTGTGGAGCAGTTGCAATCACGTCGTCGTTATTTCCTGATTGTTTGTTGTGTAATTAGAAACCTCTTTTATAATCTCTTCTTCAGACATCAAGAAAAATATTTTCCTCTTTATCCATTCCACGGCACCAGATTTCCAAATCTTCCGGACTTATCTGTGGTTCAGTAGCGACTTGTTCTATAACTTCCGAAGTAACACTGATTTGTGGAACGTTGCTAGGAGTGGTGACTATATCTGGCCATAACTTTTTCCAAGACGATTTAATTGTTGATGATGGTATCGCATTCCACGACTGACAAAGAGCAAAAACCAAATCCTTCATATTAAATTCTTTTAAAGTTTTTTCTATTGGTTGGTCTTTTGATACGGCTCTCAGTGGTAGGTTTTTCTTATAGTCTTGCTTGACAAACTGAATGATATTTTGGTCCATTGGTTGAATCAGGCAGTGCAATTTGGCGGAAGAAACATCGCAGTGATTCATTTATCCTCAGTTGTTAGTTCTTCTTCAGACGGATGACCGGGAGCGTTATCAAGAAGCAACAATGCTTTTTGAGGAAAATTATGATCTTTTAACCATTTTCTAACTTCAGGTACGAAGCATTCATCAAACCTCTTTTTGAAAAGGTCTTTTGTCATCCATGCACTTTTTTGTGCGTAATAGTGTACAGGTAAATCAATGTTTTTGAATGCCTGTGGTTTATTAGATTTCCCAATGGCCATCATCTTAAGCGCGTGTGTGCCCGCAGGTACGGATTTTTCGTTACAAGAAACGAAAGTTTTGTTAGGCATCACACGCCAAAGAAGCCCTGATTCGTCTGCATTATACACCTGTGACGGGTCAAGATTTAAATCGTTCACCTTTTGCAAAAATCTTAATTTAAAGGGCTCTAGGCAGGTGGCATAGTTAGAAAATTTCTCTCCTGTATTAGTTATTAAACGTATGCCATGACGACTTTTAAAACGTTCTAGCCATCCTTTGCTGGCCACAAAATCATCTTTTTTTGTTATTTCCTTATAAAAAAACTTAGCTGTCATGGCCAACATGGGTCCTGAAATTGGTGCATGCCTATTTCTTTCCTGAAGAAACCACATGTACGTATACAAAACTTCTTACACTTCTGGATGTTCAGCTTTCTTGAGTATCTGTCTCTTGCCTGGCCCGCAGTCCGTAGTTGACACGAACTTCTTGATCTTCTCGTGGTTTATTTTAATGTCATAAATTGTAGATCAGCCTACGCCGTATTCACTTGCTAAACTACTGAAAGTTTCATTGCGATTTAAGCGGTCTAAAATATCACATTTTTCTTTAATTGTCAATGTTTTGTGCTTTCGCTTCTGAGTTTGTGATGACATTACTAGGTACTATACTTAATACACAATGAATAAATAGTAAACAATGAACGCACGCTAGTCCGTACCACTATCACAAGTAGTAAATTTCAGACTAATTAAAACAATGCTTACGCGTCGAGCACGATAGCGGTGGCGCGTACAAGTTGTAACCTGTTTAAACCTGAATAATCTACATTAGCGAAGATTGTCAAATACATACGTATGTATGTAATATTCAAAGACATGTCGGATTACAGGGGGCGCCAGATTACAGGGGGCGCCGGATTAGACAGGGGCCGGATTATCGGGGGTCCACTGTACCTGATTTTTATATTGGGATGTTTCACTAGCTCTTTTATCTCTTATAGAAGTATGCACTGAAGTGTTTGACAGACGTGATTGTGATCCCAAATTCGATCTTGTGGTAAATTGTGCTGGGGAGACGAAATCAGGCCAAACAGATGCTATATATCATCAAGGTCTGTTCAGGCTAAGTGTAAACTGTGCTATTGAAGCAGCCTTGCGTAAAATGAAATACATCGAGTTATCATCTGGAAACATGAACTCTTTGAATAGGATCCACAAGGAGTCTGACCCAGTACATCCTTGGACTAGTGTGGCTAAGTGGAAGAGGAAGGTTAGTCAATATGATACAAATCAAGTTATAAGGCGTTTAATGTTGAATTTAAAATGGATTTATTTTTGCATTAACATAACATCATTTTGTGACATGTTATGTATGAAAAAAAACTATACTCAACCGCCATTTTTAGTATCAGTTTTTTGGCAAAAGATTAAAGACAAATAAATACAAAACTAAATATGAAAATACTATAAAAACAAAAAATATCAAAAACAATGTGGTTGAAAATCGTCTCTGGTGTAAAAATGATATAGCTTTGGCCCTGTCAGGAGTTAATCTACTTTGTTTGGCCTCGTAAATGTGGCCCACTTATAACAAAACTTTCCCGCTGGCTACGCTTTGCAGGTCCATATAATATCTCATGTTAGTTAGATTTTTTCAATTATTTGACTCATATTCTCTTTATATGCTAGAAGTATATCCGAGATGATTGTTCCACAGAAATACTTATCTGATGGTAAGTTAAATGTTGATTGTCAAGTGCCATCATCGCGCCGATTAGGTCATGAATTTCTTTTACACCTGTCGCTCAAAATAATGTTTTTTGTTCGGAAATTATGTCAAAATAGGTATGTCCAGCGCTACTTATCCTTATTTTTGACATTTTTGTGGAGTACTAAACAACTAAACTTGATACAACCAAAGCGGTACAAGCAAATACATATTCATTTTAAAAACTATAGAGAACATGTTTCAGGTGGAAGAAGAACTACCAAATATCCTTAACCTTGACTACACCATTATTCGTCTCCCGATCGTGTACGGAAGAGGAGACAGAACTGGTCTTATGCCCAGAATATTAGAGGCGGCTGTTTACAAGAGGTTGGGAAAAACAAAGAAAGTGCGTTGGGGTGCCAACTTGAGGATACACACTGTGCACGTCCATGACGTAGCCAGGGCAATCTTTCATGTCCGTGCAAGGGATGATACCAAAGGACAGGTAATCGTTACTGTACTCGTATAAATTCCCTAATAGTCCAATAATTTGGTGCCAAAAAAGGAGGTTGCCTAAAAACTTTGGGGAAGTTTGTAAACTTTAATGTTCTCTCAGATATTAATGTGGTATCTGAATTTTCACTTGCTACCTCGTTTCTTTTCTGCTTAAGTCGGGATATTGAAAAAACAAATTTCTGTAAATATCTCCTTTCTCAATAGAGACCAGGAATCAAAGGAAATTTATAATGTATACTAAGTGACATATAAATCCGAACACCCAGTATAAATGGTTTTATTTTAATAAAAGTTGGTGAATGTATTTATCTTACTGTAAATAACAAGTGAAAAAATTTTCACCCTTATCAGTTGGACATTCCGGTTTTTAGTGCTTTTTTTAATTCACTAACGCTCTAAAAATGAATATTTCAGCCGCAGTAAAGAATCAACGTTGGCGGATTTTGGTTCTTGACATCCTTTACGATCGGATACGATGCCTAGAGTACGGAGACCTGTACGATTTCGTCAACTTAGTGAGTTTGATAGGGGCCGTATAGTGGGACTTCGGGAAGCTGGACTTTCTTTTCGGGCAATTGCAGTTAGAGTACAAAGAAGTCTAGACACTGTGGTTAGGTGTTGTCAGGCATGGCTTCGAGAAGGCCGTACGCAAAGAGCAAGGGGCACTGGACGCCGCCGAAGAACAACAGACCGTGAAGATCGCCGCCTAAGATTATTGGCCTTAAGGGACCGTTTCTCCACTACCAGGTCCATTGCAAATGAATGGTTTGCAGAACACGGAAGACCTATTGGCATGCGAAGTGTTTACCGACGAATGAGAAGTTTTGGCTTGTTTTCATACCAGCCACACTGGGTCCTCCCTTTAACTCGAGAACACCGACGTAATCGCCTTGAGTGGTGCAGACAACGGTCACTCTGGGATCAGGAATGGAACAGTATTGTCTTTAGTGACGAGTCTCGAGTTTGTTTAGGCATGCTCGATGGTCGTGCCAGGGTTAGAAGGCGACGTGGTGAAAGGAGGAATCCACAGTTTTTTGTTGAAAGACATGTTCATCACACTGTTGGAGTTATGATTTGGGGTGCTATAGCTTATGGTTCCAGGTCACCTCTAATCTTCATCAGAGGTAACATGAACGCGTAGCGTTATATCCACGAAGTTCTAGAACCCCATTTTTTACCCTATCTTGACACCCTGGCAGATCCAACTTTCCAACAAGATAATGCCCGACCACATGTTGCAAGAGTCACAATAGACTTCTTTCAACATAATGATGTCACATTGTTACCATGGCCACCAAGATCTCCCGACTTATCCCCAATTGAGCACGTGTGGGATATGATGGGTAGGAGATTGCTCAATTTGCAACGTCCTCCTCAGACTCTAGAAGCACTTCGAGAGGAGTTGGTGGTTGCCTGGAATGAGATACCACAGGAGGACATTGACCACCTGATCAGAAGCATGCCTAGGCGCGTTGGAGAATGCGTAGCACATCAGGGTGCGTCCACACATTATTAAAGGTCAAAGGGCTTTAAAGCAGTGCAATCATTTTGAAATTTATATCATTTACTTATTATGCTTCATTAAGTACTTATACAAAATTTTATTAAAATGAAACCATTTAAACTGGGTGTTCGGATTTATACGAGTATGTCACTTAGTATATTTTACCATTTTGGTGGAATTAGGCGTACGAATGTTGCAAAACGCGGGAATGCGTAATCATACATAATTAACCATTAACCATAATTATTTCTATTTTTTTAAGATTACCGGAATCGGCAAGCAAAAAACCTTCCATTTTAATTATCATACCAGGTGTTTCACAACTTATCCGACAAATTTTAACCACATTATGCACTGCTACGAAAAAAGTTGATTTCTCAAAAAAAAATGTAATAAAGGTCCTACAGAAATCGAGATAATAAAATAATACAGTTTAACAGTTCACTTACTTATAAAAGCTGTTCAAAATTGTTTCCATTGACTGCAATGCAAGCTTGGGTGCGTCTAATCCAATTTCGGCGAACTTATTCAAATACACTTGCTTCCTGCTGTGGTTGAAGTCTCAAATTGTTGGCAGACACTGTGATTCGGTCACGCAATTCTTCGATATTCTGAACTGGAGTACGGTATACCTCGTTTTTCAAGTATCCCCATATAAAGAAGTCCAGAAGTTTTAGGTCGGGAAACCATGGAGGCCATGCAATTGGTCCACCATCACGAACTTCTAAACAAAAATGCGGAGGTGTCCCATCGTGCAGAACCACATCCGTGCTCGGACCGCCAATGCCACATATTCAGGACGGACCGGCAAATAATTCCGAAGAAATTACAAATACTGGCGATCATCTATCCGATCTGGCAATATGAACGGTCTAATTAGACGTTCATCGACAATACCTGTCCACACGTTTACATCAAAACTATGTTGGAAGTGTGCGGACCACTGCGTGAGGATTCCCAAAGAACCAATCGTGTGTATTACGAAGATAATAAAATAGCAACTTTTTATGGCCAAACTATTAGCTGTAAAAAGGGCATTTCTAGCATGTTCTTGCAACAACCACTCACAAAATCTTAGTCTTAGGGGGTAGTCTGTAGGTAGCAACGCCTGGACTCTCTGGACGTGATAAGGGTACAGTTGGGCCTCATGTAATATGCGCCACGCTGGGATCTGTTGGTCTAACTACATTGTGCTTATTCCCGGATTTTCTTCCACAATGTCCATAATTTCGCCTTCGGCACTTAAAACGCGTTGTGGGCGAACCCGACCACCATCCACGTCTGGAATGCAAATCTCTACTAGTACGTGCAGGTAAAACAATTGAACCAAATGTTTCGTGATGTGGTATGTGCCTATTCGGAAATCGATGTGCATACAAACGAGAAGCCGCTAGCGAATTTTGCCCTGCTTCAGCGTACGCTAAGACCAATGTCCTCATTAGTGTACACATGTGCCATTTTTATTAATAAATAACCAAAAACATAAACACGCAAAATACTTTCTTATTGAACTTCACACAAATCGACCGTTCTTCATTCTGATCACCCACGATACAGATTAAACCTTATTTACACGTTCTTATCAGTATGAAAAAACAAAAAATTTTTGGTATTTTGTTTTCGTCAGTTGTTTGGTACAACATTTGCTACAATAAATTATTAATGCGTGTTCTATGAACGCAAAATACAAATACTTATTTTTGAATTTATTATTGAAACTCAGGCTTATAAGTTAATTTCTGTAGGGCTCTTTTTACATTTTTTTTTTGAGAAATCAACTTCTTCCGTAACAGTGCATATGTGGATAAAATTTGTCGGATAAGTTGTGAAACACCCTGTATACTTACATTACCAATTAATCTATGCCAATATATAATAATAATAATAATGTTTATTTGTAAAATACAATTAGTCTTGAACAAAACAGATAAACATAGCGTACCCCCAGAAGGCAGTTGGAGAGTCAGGACAGGCATTTTCGCGCGACGTGTTTCTGTGAGTGGTGCAAGCCGAAAATGCAGCGTTCGTTAGAGCAGAGGTACGCGATTAAATTCTGTGTGAAACTCGATAAATCTGCGACAGAGACGTTTGATATGATCAAGCAGGCTTACCCAGGTGTTGCTTTAGCAAGAAGTGGTGTGTTTCGGTGGCACCAGGCCTTTTTGGAGGCCCGGGAAGAGGTCGCTGATGAAGACCGTGCTGGAAGACATTCGACTTCGACAAATACCGATAATGTGACTCGTGTGCGCAAAGTTTTGGACTCAGACCGTCGACTAAGTATTCGAAATTTCGGCGAGTGGAAGTGTGCCAAGAAAATTTGAACATGTGTGAAAGTGACGCCCAAGAGGCAATCTTCCGAGTGGCATACGACGGCGTCTCCTCGTCCAAAAAAGGGAAGAATGAACAAATCCAAAGTAAAAACGAAGCTCGTTGTCTTTTTTGACATCAATTTGTTCCTCCTGGACGAACCGGACCAAGGCCGGCATCCCAACGCTTCCGCCGCCGCCCTACAGCTCAGATGTGACTTTTTTTTTGTTTCCTCGCCTGAAAAGGCCGATGAAAGGCAAGCATTTTGAGACGACAGAGGGGATTCAAGCAGCATGCACCGCGGCTCTCAAGGCTATTCCGGAGAATGCCTTCCGTGACGTCTTCAATGCTTGGAAATCGCGCTGGCAGCGCTGCATCGACGCAGAAGGAGCCTATTTTGAAAGTTTTTAAGGAATTGTAACGATTGGCTCAATAAATTTTTTTAAATCGATTCAATCCTATTACTTTCCGGACAAACCCTGTATTCTTAATTATTATTGAATATATGATTATATCACAAAATTAAACAAATTTATTATATAATATATATCCGTTTAAATAAACTGAATTTAAGACATAAATTTCTACAAATAAGCAATATAGTCAGCGCCGAAGCTGAGAGTGTGTTATGTGACGTTGCGGTCTAACTTTATCGCACGAGTGCGGTTGGCTGCAGCACCAAACCCAGAAAACTTCTTAAATTTCAAGTTCTAGGAATACTTCTTCCAGATTTGTCACAGTTATGCTATTCTATGTATGTAAAAACGGCAGTATTTTCGATTTTAGGAAACTTCCTAATTCTTATTCGACATTGAACTAAACCATGAACGCAATAAAAAAAAACAACCGCGTAAAACCTGAGGATTACGCGATTGGGTTTGGCACCAAAAGATAATTATCAATTTGAAGTTCATGTTTAAAAAATCGCTCGTATACAGGGTGATTCAGAAGACAGTGAAAATATTTATCGAACAGAAAATATATTTCAAAAATAAGAAAAAAGCTTCTATAAACATATGCTCTTAAATGACCCATTACGAATATACAGGGTGTTGTAAATTTCTACGCTACTGATGAGTCGGGATAAGGTCAAAACATGAATAATGTTAAAATAAATCTAAGGTGTATCACTCCCATGATGCACAACATACAATAAAGCAAACTTCACTAACTCAGTATGTTACTACGATCATTACACAGCCGGAGGATCATAGACGGTGCACATGCAACACTGACTCTGTAGTACTTATCCAAATGGGTGATAGTTTTCGAATAGAATAGCTTTGTAAATTTTTGATGGAACCGGACCTGTACTGCTTTTCAGAATCGATCAGACGGGATGAGCTAGGTACACTTACAAGTTTTCAGAAAACATACACGATATCTTATCGATTTCGGCTATTTCTTTAAGGCGTCACAACTTTCCATTGTGCATATTTATTTTTTGAAACCAGGTATGCTTACCCAGCCTATACTGTCAAATCGATTGTGATACCAACAGAAAAAAGAGAATACAGGCCTGGACTAATTACAAGAACATCGAAATTACATATTATATACAGCGTGTCTGCGAAAGGTTGGAAAATCTCGAAACTGGAGATACTACAGACTAAAATATGTGGATTGACCTAAGCATACCTCAGTCCAAAAGTTGATAGCTACAGGGTGTCAAAGTAACAATTTTATTTTCTATTTTTCCTTATTGCTTGAGAAGTATTTTGGTAAATAACTTATCATAACTTCTTTGTGCTACCCTGTTTACAACAACTGACAGAAAAGTCTCATTTTCTTGTATTTCCACAAAAAAAAAGGTTTACTTGTTAGTGTCTAAAGCTAACAGCTTGCGAGAGATATTTGTTTTTAAAAGTTTCAATGCCATATTTGTACCATGATAATACCTGAGTAGTTTGCTATGGTTTCTAATTTTTGTAATAATATTGCTTCAAGCTTCATGAATAATTTTAAGTTGACAATAAGTTGTTAAAAATGTTGATTACGAGTATTATGTTATAAAAATGTTTTATCATCAAGGTACAAATAATGCATTGGAACTTTAAAAAAAATACATCTCGAAAACTATTAGCTTGAGACACTTCTAACAAGTAAACCTTTTTTGCTGTGGAAATACAAGAAGATAAGATTTTTCGGTCAGTTGTTGCATACAGGGTAGCACAAAAAAGTTATGATAAGTTATTTACAGAAATATTGCTGTAAGTGACGCCCTCTAGAAGTTTGGCCATAAAAATAACAGATTCTTGTTCCTTGTACTAGAAAACCTCCCTATGCCGAGTTTTATACCAAAATCTGAAATACATCTCAAGCAATAAGGAAAAATAGAAAATACACTTGTAACTTTGACACCCTGTATCTAGCAAACTATCAACTTTCGAATTGAAGTATGTTTAGGTCAATTCACATATTATGGTCTGTAGTATCTCCAGATTCGAGATTTCCCAACCGTTTGCTATAGTTCATAAAGGTTTTGTTTTTTAAAACTTTCAGGAAACGTTCTAGGTCGAACTACCAGATCATTGAACCGAGTGATTCTTATGAAAGTAAATTTTGCCACACTCGTATGCCAAAAGTATTCACTCCACAAATCTAGTAAACTTTCTGTAATTCAATTTGTCACATAGATAATTTTAGCGAAGGTAGTTTCGCAGTCGCCCTAAACCTTTTATTGTTTCTCAGATTTACAACTTGGTGGACTGTGCAGACTCGACGCAGGGTAGCATATGGAAAACACTATCTGCGATGTTTGGAATAAAGGTAGACTTCATGGGCAATCTCAGGTCCAGGTTGTCGGACATGACGAAGGCCACCAAGGAGTTTAACGACAAGCATATGGCCGCATGGGCGGAGGTCTTGAAGGAGGAGGATATAGTCAATACACCCCTTTGTCCGCACATAGACCCCGAACAGTTCGTTCACAAGCATTTGAGGTACTCTTATTACTAGGAAATTTGGGACTTTCTATTATTATTGCTCATGTTTTACCAGGCACATAAATCCATTCAGCACTGACTTATGGAATGGATGCATGGGGAGCATCATACAAGCTGATTGATTTTATTGTTATTTTATTTCTTTATTATTTTCCGTGTTATTATCAGTCGAATTTTTGATTGTTTGTCCCTTATTTTGTCTTTTTATATATACTCATACATTTTATATACTCGTATTTATAGTGTATTCGCTTAGTGAGTTTGATTTCGCGATATTTGTAATATATGCAGTATACGTAATATGTGTGCGTAAATTAGATTTGTATTGCTTTGACTTATCTTATATCACAACTGTGATCAAACAATACTAATAAATTATTATTATTTTTGTTTCACGCTTCATTCAGTAGAAACATACATTACCTCGTTACCAACTTCGGCAGCCAAAACTTCCTTTCTCACATCTAAACAAATCTGTGACGTCCGCTTTTCACTTACCTATTGACAGCTGGATATTAAATAATTTGCCTACGATTTACACTATTATCACATACTAATTATTACATTTGGGGTAATTTTACACTGTTGGCAATAGTGGACCTGCTGAAATTAGATAGCGTTTAAAAGCCGGTTTTCTCCAAGCGTTGATTAAAATTTTCTCAATTCTTACCTGACCTGAAATTTAGTCGTGATCATTAGCGGTTACATCGATTAGTTTGTTCTAAATTCAGAATCACTTTAAGGAGAACAACTCACACAAAAGGCGTTGCTGGCAAGTAGGAAGCAGTATGAATTACGCATCTGCCACTTGATAATATGGGACGTTTTGAAAGCCTTCCAGTATACTGGAATCGATGCCTGAACTAAACTTTAAGCCATTATATTTCTTCTATTTTTAATAAAGCTGTATTCTTGTTGCACTAGGTTGGATGGAGTAAAAATACGGTCGCTAGAGCCATATATGGGAGTGTGTGTTACATTTCCAAGAGCGAAGCATCTAAAGGAGATTGTAGATGACTACATTGGAATGGGCTTGTTCCCGAGTTCACTAGCTCCAATACAACCAGCTGATGATGTTTCAGTACGTCGTATACAATAATACTCTCTTTATATTGGAGATATGGCAACCATTTTCAACAACCCATTTCAGGAAATGTGGTTTTGTGATATACGAATACTTTAGGTGATTTTAACATATTCCCAACAAAGTTTCCCGGAATTGGGGCGAATGTCTGTATAACAGGCTGGAGCATACCAAAAGGCACTTTGTGAACTAATTCAAAAACTCTGACCTTTGGCCAGCACTCATTTAGGGTTATGTTATAACCACCAAAAATACTATAACAAATAAAACTAGTTTTCTTGGAATAGGTCGTTGAATATGCTTGCGACCCCTCTAACTTTAAAGAACGTCTCTCTAATAAGTTGAATGCTCAGTCTAAACTTCTTAACCACGCACTGAAACAAAGAGACGGAATGTAGTAGCTTTAGTAATACTAGACTAAATCCGCTTTAAGCTCTTCAAGTAGAAGTAATTTGTTAATCAAGTGCCTTATTGTATTTTTGGCTATTCAATTAAGGTTCCTCTGCAGTTGCATAGGAACGCATGTATGTGCAGCTGGAGCTACAGCTTGACATATGCAGGATGACTAGATAAAAGGCAATATTTATTTAGTAGAAAGCACATAATAATATGAACGATTCCTATGAACACAGTTTCTAAAACGTCCCCTAAACCGAGATACAATGTGCTATAACGCCACTATGAGACTGATTACTACAGTCCAATAACATGGATGTCACTGTCAAACTTCACTAAATCCAACTTCTTTCAAACTATAAATGTTTAGAAATTTTTATAAGAATATACAATAGAATATAGCAACTCTTATGCCACCCTTACCGCTGTTTTTAATCATCCTGTATAGATAGCAATGGTCCAACGTCATTGGATTATATCCTTATGTTGTTCGAATGTTAGTTATCAAAATGTTTAACCAACTAGCTAGCTCATAGTACAGGGTGCGGCAGAGAGGATGCACGGTTTTAAAAAAATCATGAAATAGTTAATTTTTACTCGAAGACAAATTTATTGATGGAATCAGGTTCACAAGGAAATAGCATTTGAGACAGTCAAGTGTGGAAAATCACATCAGGCATGTGCTGGCCGAAATCGTTGATGCAGTGCTGGAGGCGTTCTTGGAAGTTCGCGTAGACTCTCTCCAACATCGCTCTCTCAACTTGGGCGACTTCCACGCGAATTTCGCCCTTCAATTCGTCTAGAGTTCGGGGCTTGTTCGCGTATACTCTAGCCTCTATGAGGTTCTAATTTTGATCGATCAGTGCTTCCATCTCACGTGCGAAGTTCACTCGTTGTGCATAATTTCCGGGCTGTAACTGTTGCACTATGGCCAATTTGTAGGGGTGAAAGCGGAGATCCATATGCGAAATTCGCCTTACCGAACGATCACTAAGGCGAAGTGCAGCAGCATGTTTCCGGGCAGATCGAGTCGGACTGCGAAGAAAGACCTGTCGAACGCGTTCAACATTTTCAGGAGTTCGAACTGTTGTCGGCGCTCCTCTTGGTCTTCTGTTGATCAGTTCACCACGCCTGCGACGTGATTCAACCCAACGAAGGATGGTGTTTCGAGAGGGAACAGCTCTATTCCGATGAATGTTGGAGTGGCGACGAAACTCACGCTGTACGCGATGACTGACTCATTATTTCCATAACGACAACTGGTAAAATAATGCTAGGATCTCACGAGTCAAATGGCACCCTCCCCACCTCTCTCGAAGACGGAGGCGGAGAGTACTACCCAATCCCAACAACGTCCGTCCTCTCTGTCGCACCCTGTATGAGGATCAATTCGTTATTATATAAAATATTTCATTAACCTGTTTATACAGAAAACTTGAATTAAAACTATTCGTTATCATTTTAACTTTTTCGTTGTCTAAAAACATTTTGCGCAATAAATTTATAAGATCCAAAGAATGCTGCGTTGACAAGTTCCTATACGCTATTCAAATAACATTTACGATGCTTCACAATAAACATTAAACATAGCTGCTGGACTCTGGATTCTTGCTCTCCAATTGGTTCATTATTGGGTACCCAGTAAACTGGCCACTAGTAGCACGAGAATTTGACGATTGAGTGTCGGTGTTTGTTTTGTTCCAGCGCAAATGACACGTGTCTGTGTGTATGTATTTGGGCTAGCTATGTAATATACAGTATTATTTACTACTATTTTTAAATTAGCAATGTTGTATTATTTTAGTAGCGTCTCTCGCAAAATTTGTCAGAATATATTTCGATCCAGTGGGTTTTGTAAGCTTGTACCTCAACTTTATCAGAATAATGTAATTTAATTGCAGTTGGCAATAAATAGTTAGGTATCTAATACGCAGCAGCTGTTTCACTTTAGCCTATTTACAACTGCTCTTCCACGAACACGAACTCTGTATCACTTTATGATATAATAGTTTCAAATTTTCTATTTTCCGGCTGCTGAGGCTTTACATTGCATTTAGATACAGATAAATCCAAATATTACTGACAAGGTAATGTGTACGAGAGAGAAGCGCGAAAAGCGTATGTTAGAAAGAGTGCTAGGCAACGTGGTGCTTCTATTCTTTCTAACATACGTATTGCATGCTTCTTGTACTTTCATAATATTGTGTGATGTCATATAGAATAATTTTAATTTGATCTCCTTCATCCAAATACTATCCTGTTGTATACTATTTTGGATTTAATGTAAGATACTTAAAACCCTAGAAATGCGAATTTTCAGATGAAGATTTTCCTCAATTTACTCGTGAAATGAGAAGAATCTTATTTTTGTATAGATGAGATTATATTATACATATTTGAAAATAAAACAACCGTAGTGTTAGGAATTTTTAGATGAATATTTAGCTCAATTCATTTATAAAATGTGAAACAGTGAACGGTGATTTTTGTATTGTTAAGATTTATTTATTATTATACATGTATAAAATAAAAATTACACTGCCAAGATTGTTATTACTATAATGAACAGTCTCGATATAGTCAAATCTATTTTGAATACGTCCCTATTGGATATAGTATGCTGAAATTAACTCTGGAAGCTTATTATAGGCGAACACATCTAAGGTGAATGCTACGAGCCCCTTCCCACTTCAGTTGGCCCAACTATTGATATCTTAGTTTTTTCCTTATCAAACACAAATAATAAAAATGTAGCAGGGTGTTATAGGTTTAAAATATCAACAGTGAATATTTTGATAATATATAGTAGAAAACACCAACTTTATCACTCCCTAATCAAATTTGCAGCATAAAAATAACACATGTTGCAATTACAGCATATCAACCTATTTTCATTTCAATGCAAAATAAGTCTATAACGCATAGCTGGTTGTGAAAAATAAAACTTATGACAATTATTTTTATTAATCACAGCTGTCAGAATACGTTTAAAATAGTTTTGGGTAGTTAAGGTTTTCAAAATGGGTAGAAGAAAGGTTATTAGTGAGAAAATTCTGTTACTGATAATTAAATTTTTTAATTCTGGGAAATCACACTCAGAAATTGCAACTTTGTTAGACTTATCGCGGTACAGTGTGAGAAATATTGTTAGAAGATATAACGTAACTAGTTCAGTTAATATTAAACCACGATATGTGAAAAAAAGTAATATCACAAATGCCGACCGAAGAGCATTAGAAGAATAATCGTGAAAACAGGCGTGCCAATAATTTACAATTAAGTGCTCTGTGGAGTGACGCTGTTGGAAGGAGAATTTCGAGGTCCACAACTCATAGAGAGGCCCACAAACTGGGATTTAGCACTTGCATCCATTATGGTCTGGGGCAGTATGTCATCAAAATGAGTAGGAAAACTTCATTTTATTGATGGAAATGTGGATACAAACAAATATTTGGCAATTTTAGAAGAATCGCTTTTACCAGTGATGGAAGAATGTTTGACGTCCGGCCAAGATTTTGTGTTTCAGCAAGATGGTGCAGCGTGCCATACCTCAAAAAAGGCTATAAAATGGATGGAAGAAAATAATTTACCACTTTTGAAATGGGTTTCTAGCAGTCCAGATCTGTCACCTATTGAAACTTTGTGGCACGAGATGAAAAAGGTTCTACGACAACATCCTGCTCGTACAATCACCGAACTGAGACAAAAGCTTCAAGAAATATGGGAGTGTTTTACACCAAATTTTTGCCAAAACTTGGTTAACACTATGCCTCAAAGAATTTCAGCCGTGATAAAAAATAAAGGTGATGTTACCCAATGGTAATCTTTCAATTGTTGCTTTGTTAACTTCGCGCACTTATTCGCACATTGTTTATTTGTTCAGATATTCTATTAGTTATAGGTCTATGGCCCGTATCGTCAGTCGTCCCTAAAATTGTAGGGCGCCTTTATGGCTTCCTTGATTGTCATAGTTTTCTACTTCTCCGTGTCAGCGCTCTATTTTGAGGTTATGTCACAAACATCTATTTGCATCAAATTGTGCTTGCTTTTGAGTTATATCATGTTTTATCAGCCTGAACTTTCCTACAATTTAAAAAGAAAACATATCTTCACAATAGGAGCGCGCTGACGCTGACACGGGACGAATGTAATCTAGAAATGTTTGAAGGAGAGAAAAGAGTATGACAATCAAGGAGGCCATAAACGCGTCCTACAATTGTAGGGACGACTGACGATACGGGCCTTAGTGATTTCAAATATGTATTTTTTACGACTAGAGTGTATCTAAAATGTTTTTGAGAAAATAAATTGTTTTAGAAGTAAAAAGTTTCGTCATGTTTAGTTTATAAAGGCATATTTTGGTACAAATCTTGAAGTGGGCCAACTGAAGTGGGAAGGGGCTGGTATACGTTCAACATTTAAGTGTCGACGCGTTATTTACTGAACGTGTAGCATAGTGTATTGATGGACTTCAATATTTATTGATTGGTGTCGGAAAAAAGAGTCAAAGGTGGCCTAGTTGTCAGGCAACGCCTCCTCACCACTACTACGTATACTATTATTAGACTCAATATTTATTGATATGTATATAAGCACAGCTTAGATAAGAATCAGCTATGAAACTCTCCTGTCAGTGTCAAAAACGAATCCAAATCTCGCTAATATAATGATGAAAGAAGATTGTGTTCAGCAGCAGGCGGTGTTTCCGCGTACCATGCCAGCGGCCGCAGATATACTTTGCAATTGGAAGATGATAATATTTCGATTTGATCCAATGTAGTTTGTGTGTATCAATAATAAAAAGGACTATGTTTGTCCAAAAAGGAATCGACTGAGTACTGATGACTATTTATTCATGAAAAAGCTGGTTGTGGAATTATTGACAATACACGGAAACAAAGTATTTACTTTTGCTATGTATTAAAAGTTGCTGCGATATCATCTGTTCGTCTGTTTCTTGGTTTTTTTTGAAACAGTATGTGAGCGTTCTTTACTAGAATTTTGGACATGCACCAGAAATAATTACGTATATAGGTATATATCTATGCAAAGTACTTCCTATGCATATAACATGGTTTATTTTTTAAATTTTACATGTGTAATGTTGTGGAAAGGGTTAATCAGCTTAATTGATTAAACGATTGCTTATCAGATTGATATATAATTGACCAATATTTGCGGTGAAGTGAAGCTGTAGCCAGATTTTTTCACTAATTTCATAGATTCTCTAATCCATTATATATCAAGCAAAATGTTCCTGCTACGTTTAATGTCTTGGATAAGTATTCCGACAGAGAACTCCGGACAGGTGCAGCTTAAAGTAGTATACTCCTAACATATGCTTTCTATAATTGCAATTTTAATGTCTGCCTTAGTGAAGAGCAAATATTTATGTATGCCATCCTTTTTCTTCAGCTGCAGTATAAAGGGCCTTAATGATATGCGAATATTTAAGGGTGTGAATCTACATGAAAAGTTAATGTTAGTTTGCTTCATAAACTATCGTCCAAAAATGTTTCCTTACAAAAACTCAGAGTATTGAAGTTTTAGGAAAAAAATGTAAATTAATTAATATTTTCAGAACCGCTTCAGATATTTCACTGATATTTAGTACGTAGTGAAAGTTAATAAAGTTGCATATTTTTCAATGCAAAAATAATGTTTAGCTTTAACAGTGGCGTGCGTACGGGTATTGACTACGATATTTTTTAAGAAAAAATGGTACGCCATGGTTGGAAAAAATGAAAATTATTTTTGGATTCCTCGTTCAATTTAAAACGAACGATCTCTCTTGAATTGCTTTCCTTCGATGCGCCATTTTTGAGTAAAAAAATAAAAACCGTTCTATTGTCTGAGAAAATTAATGTAATAATGGAGGAATGCAATTTAGCAATAAATGTCTAGTTGCTCTGGAATATGTCACTGGCTTTTGACATCTGACAAGTCTCTGTTATTCAAATCTGTTCACTGTGACATCTTTTTCATTATTTAGTTTTTACAATCTTGTTAATAATGGTGAATTATTCAAATGCAGAAATGGCGGAAATGCATTACGTATATGGCCTTGCCGACGGTAATGGTGAGCAAGCCAGACGCATTTATCACCAGAGATATCCCAATCGTGCTTTGCCAGATAGTCGAACCTTTTCATTCATATTCATCGTCGTCTTGTTGAAACTGGTTCTGTCCGAAAAGGAACATCTGAAGGTAAACCTCTAAGTGTGAGAACACCTGAAATTGAGGAAGCGGTACTGCACGAAGTCGAAGAACATCCTGAAATGAGTAGGAGGAAGATCGCTAGACACTTAAATATTTGCCATCAAATTGTTTGGAGAATTTTAGTGGATTTTTTGTTATATCCTTACCATATTTTAAGAGTACAGGCATTGCATCCCATGGATTTTACAAAGCGTGTGACCTTTTGTCAGTGGTATCTTCAAAAAATTACACAAAATCCGCAATTTGAATCAATGATTCTGTTCACGGACGAAGCTAGTTTTCCACAGAATTTCCACAATAATCATTTGTGGGCAGAAGAAAATCCCTATGCCGTAACCAAAACCCATTTCCAACACCAATTTTCGGTTAACGTATGGGCAGGAATTATTGGCAACCACTTTATTGGCCCATTCTTCTTGCCGGGACGACTTGACGGACAGACTTACCTCAATTTTCTTCAACAACAGTTGCGTTTGCTGCTTGATGATGTTCCGTTAGTAATAAGAAACATTATGTGGTACATGCATGATGGTGCACCAGCGCATTTCAGTGTAGCGGTTCGTAATTATTTACAAACTTTTTATCCAAATCGTTGTAGTAGTAGAGTTGAGCTTGATATGAGTCGGTTGAACATGGGAAGTACTTATATCATTTTTCTAAAAATAGGTGTTGGCCCCGACAATATAATCATATCGCCTTTATCGCTTGCCGAAGGGGATAACTCTTTGTCCTTACGTCAGCAACTAAGTGGCTTTAACCCCACAGTGGTCGCTATGTGAGATTTTCTGTCACATTTTTATAGATATATAGATAAATACACTCCAGAAAAATATACGACGCTGTCGCTTCATCATATCCAAAACGTGACCTTGGGAATATACAGGGTTTGTCCGGAAAGCAATAGGACTCATTTTCTTCCGCCATGATGATTACGTAGAGGGCGTTCCTAGCTAACGAATGAGCGGCTGGTCAGTTGTTTCCGAGCACTTGGAGAGACAGGACAGGCATTTTCGCGCGACTTGTTTCTGTGAGTGGTGCAAGCCGAAAATACAGCGTTCGTTAGAGCAGAGGTACGCGATTAAATTCTGTGTGAAACTGGGTAAATCTGCGACAGAGACGCAAGAAGTGGTGTGTTTCGGTGGCACCAGGCCTTTTTGGAGGGCCGGGAAGAGGTCGCTGATGAAGACCGTGCTGGAAGACCTTCGACTTCGACAAACACCGATAATGTGACTCGTGTGCGCAAAGTTTTGAACTCAGACCGTCGACTAAGTACATATTCGTTTAATTACCCAGATGTTAAATTTACCAAAACATGTGGTTCATGACATTGTGACACAGCATTTGAATATGCGCAAGGTGTGCGCGAAGATGGTCCCAAAAGTGCTCACTGACGACCAGAAATTGCGGCGAGTGGAAGTGTGCTAAGAAAATTTTAACATGTGTGAAAGTGACCCCCAATTTTTGAATAACGTAATCACAGGTGACGAGTCGTGGATCTTTGAGTATGATCCCGAGACAAAGAGGCAATCTTTTGAGTGGCACACGACGGCGTCTCCTCGCCCAAAAAAGGGAAGAATGAGCGAATCCAAAGTGAAAACGATGCTCATTGTCTTTTTTGACATCAAAGGCATCGTCCACCATGAATTTGTTCCTCCTGGACAAACCGTCAACGCCAAGTTTTACGTGGAAGTGCTCAGGAGACGGGTCAGTCGGGTCCGACAAGACATCGCAGCCGACTGGAAGTTGCACCACGGCTCAGACCGCCTTTCTTGTAAACAGCTACCTGATCAAGGCCGGCATCCCAACGCTTCCGCAGCCGCCCTACAGCCCAGATCTGGCCCCCCGGACTTTTTTTGTTTCCTCGCCTGAAAAGGCCGATGAAAGGCAAGCATTTTGAGACGACAGAGGGGATCCACGCAGCATGCACCGCGGCTCTCAAGGCTATTCCGGAGAATGCCTTCCGTGACGCCTTCAATGCTGGGAAATCGCGCTGGCAGCGCTGCATCGACGCAGAAGGAGCCTATTTTGAAAGTTTTTAAAGAATTGTAACGATTGGCTCAATAAATTTTTTTATATCTACACAGTCCTATTACTTTCCGGACAAACCCTGTATATATTAATAGACCTACACCAGTCTGTTGACAACGCCCTTTAATTGAGTGCGTGTACGGTACGTGAGATTTTCTCTTATCGCGCGACCAATTGGGTTTGACATGAGCCGCGGTAAAAAAATTGTTAATTTGGCCCTTTTGCAGTTAAAACAAGAACAAAATAACGGTGAAACCCTTTGGATGTCCTCTGAACATGAATGAAAACCTTTAGACTATCTTTTTTATAGATCTTGCGCCTAGATTTATCACTTAATACGACAATCATTGTTGTGTCATAATCATTATGAAAATAGCAGCGATTAGAGCAGAAAAAAATGCTCCACTAGATGAAGACACAACTCGATTTTGTTACCTTTGTCCTCGTAGGAAAAATAGATAAGTGAAAAAAATGTGCAATACATGCCAGATGCCAATTTGCCCCGAACACACCAGTAAATATATTTGCTCTAGCTGCCCAAATGAGCCTAGTGATTCGAACTGATTTTATTTAAATAAAACAATTTAGTTTATTTCTTTATTTATGAGAACTTTTGTTAATCATCTTTTCAATTATTAGCGTTTTTGTGTTTTATGTTAGTAGTTAATGAATAAAATACTTATTATATTCTATAATAAATCATATCAAATCAAATATTTTTTTTAATAAAAGGGGGCCGCATAATACTATTTAAACAGACTCAGTTTTGTGCCCAACCAAATGTGAGAGAAAATCTCACGCGCGACCGATGGCAAAAAAAGCCTCTAGCGACCAATCCCGAATTAATATTATCCTGACATTATGGCCCATATCGAATTACTTACGTACTGCCCTTGTAATGAAAATAAAATTGTACTTGGTGGTACTTGCAAACCTTTTTAGGTGGGTCTGATGTTTTCACGTTTATCGTTCTATCATTATCATCGTCATCCCACGCAGTTTTCCTGTACAAATCCAGTCGCGTTTATGGTAATGATCTACGTAACTGCCTGTATACACTACACTATTTTATATTCGGCAATGCCTCATAAATAATCAGCCCCCAATCGTTTGGATATCCGTATTTGGGTTGCAGCTTCACACAGGCCGAGTATCGGATAGCTAGTTAAAAACTGTGCGATCTGACAACACCGGTAAGTACATGATATTTAGAGTATTGGAGGGAGAAATAATTTTGCAATGTTTTTTTGAACAAGAAACGTTCTGGAGAGAGAAAGACAGTTCGTTCATTGCTGTTTTCCGGTTATATCCACCAGTCAATAAAAGATAATATAATTTCAACTATAACAAAAGAAAATGCCAAAGTCTCATTTATTACTTCTTGGTGGTAGGTGTATTTTTTCAAAAACCACACAGATTTGGATAAATCCTTCCCATTTCAGGTACTGGCTTCATAGGAAGGAATATTGTGTACTATTGGCTGAAGGAGCACAAAGCCGAGTCGATAGTTGTGGTGGACAAGGTCCCTCCTGAATTGGCCTGGATGAATCAAGACCATAGAGATGCTTTTAATGATCCTAGAGTTCAATTCAGAAGTGCTAATCTCATTATTCCTGGTAAGAGATTAGGACCATCATATTATAAAACTTTACTAATTATTACTATTGAGTTAAAACATATTCACAGGGTTTGTTGAAGTAGTACTAGTATCATTTCGATTATATCATAAGCTTTTAAGGATCCTTATGGGAAATCGCTTATTCTGATACATATTCTAATAATTAGCAAAAAGGGCCTTATTTCACTTCCTTCGTTTTTCCGCCTTTTTTTATCAGTTGAGACTGTGTTGTCCCAATTGGCGAATGTATGTTTTGCACAAACACTCCTATTGCTTGAGCTGCATATTTCAAGGTCATTTTTATGTTTTATTCTTCGACCATTTTTATCACCTAAATTCATCCATATTTTGTTCCACATAACGTGTTTACCTTCTGACTTTTTTACTCATCTTTTTATCCATTTGAATTCCTGCTGCTTTTTTTACTATTGCTTAGCGTTGTACGTGAGAATCCAAATCACGTATTTTTACCAATAAAACATTCCTTCTATATTACCCACTAATGACTCTAGATGTTATTGTGATACGATTTTCCATAGTTTTAAAAAACCTTGGTAATATTTCTGAGTCATAAGGTAGGGCCAAAATAAACTTGAAAAATTTATATTAATATTGGTTTTAAAACCCATAATTTAAAAATGGAACAAATGATATTCGCAAACATTATAATTGCTCATACTACACCTGTGATGCAGACACTGGAATATTTTGACCCGTATATGTAGATGGGAAAAGATTAATATTTCCTGTACTAATGACTTGTTTCAAACATCCCTTGAATATCCAAATTAGCTATTCGTTTTTACAAAAATTGTCAATCTTGATCAATTTTTGACCGATCGTTTCATTTAGAGGCAAGTTAGTGAAATTTGACATTGAAAATTATTATTATTACACAATTATATTAAGGGAGCAATCCCATATCATCTTAACGATGTTTTAAACAATATTTAAGTTTTGCCCTTATTCACTCTTATCAGGGGCGAAGAAATGTACAGCACTCTGTGTCTTATGGTAGTAGTATATTTTAGGACATACATTTATAGTAGCTTTTTATCTTATTCTTTGATATACCTTCTGCTCCAGAAATATTGCCATTGTTTTTTGAATTACCCTTGGATATTTTGAAAGTTATTCTTGGGTGGCATGTCCACCATCTCCCAAAAGTGTTTAACTTTGTCACAGAAATGTTTTGTCAGCTACGCGCATCAATATCTTAAGAACGTACCAATACTAGTCCAAGTAACAGGAGCCGGGTGCTTAGCCTGATTTGAAAGCTGGGATGCGAGTACTCAACCCATTGCTGATATTCTGGCTCTTGTTAATGGAATTAAAATGTATCGAACTTTGTAATACAGAGTTATACATTTTCAAAAATATACAGAGTGGTTAAAGACAATGAAAACATATCTAGAGCATAAACTATATTCAAAAATAACATGAAAAGTTCCTACAAACAGAGGCCCTAGGATGCCCCATTATCAAAATACCTGATTTTGTAAATTTATACGCCACTAATCGGACTTAAGAGCAAACCGTGATATACCTCAAACAATGATGTGGTGTAATAGGATCTCTCGTCCAATAATTAGATACAATGTTCAACTTACTCCAGCATATTTTCTAGGTAGAAGGGATTTGAGTTTTTTATATGTTACCTCAAATATCCAAACCAGTATTTCTCCAAAAGAGTAGTCAGACAACACGTTCTTTAAAGAGATAATCCATGTAAAATGGAACATTTTATTAGAGAATGCAATAGAGGTTTTGAAAAAGTCAGCGGCGTATAAAATATTTTTCCAACTGTAGCATCTAAAATATCCCAATTTCTATGCCGCTTGTGCAATTCAAGCTGCGAAAACTTTTACATGTATCGGTGATGCTGTTAGTAGTGCTACTATATATTTACGTATAAGAATTCGAATATCTAGTTTTATTCATTCCATTTTTAGATTTAGAAAATGTAACTTTAACACTCCGTTTCTTGATGAACAAACAGACTATTAGGACCCGTGATTATTTGATTATATCACTTAGTTGTTATTGGACATACTTTTCATTCTGCTACTTACTGTTTTGTTAATCATCCGAGGAAAACATCTATGATATTACTCTGGGTATTTTAATAAAATTTGGTACACAGCTACCATGCATTAGGAGCCATTTTCTACAATAAAACAGTCATTTTTATTTCTTTTAGCGGTATTTGTGCGGAATTTGGTCTAAATAGTTAGAAACAGATCTCACGCTACTGCTTCTTAATAATAATAGTAATAATAATTATAATAATAATCGGCTTTATTGACATTATCTATGAAAGGCGAGATTTAGCTTAAACCTACTCTTACACCTAGCCTTAGGCGGATGCAGTACACCGGAATATTTTAAAATTAAAAATCTTTAATATACAAATGAAATCAATAAACCTATATTTACACTACAAACTTACTTATCCTACTTGTTAGCGCGTTATGATATGCTAATGATTTAAATGTGTCTTTCGTACAAATCTTGTGCTACCCTAAATGTTCGTGCCGGTAATTAAGATCCAAAGGAAGTGAGTTAAAATTAGCGACTGACTGATATGTAATACTTCTATAAAAAAAGCTTGTTGAGTGAGATAGTTGATCTCTTATGTTTAAATTATAAAGATTTGTTCCAAAATGTATTTCGCCTTTAAAGTATACTGGAGATATTGAATTATTAATCAATTTAGGTACGAAAATCATGATATCATGTTTTCATTCAAGTCCTTAATTCTTCCAGATTTACAGTGATATTTTCTAAGTCCAATAAAAAGCAACAGCATATATTCTGTAGATATCATTTGGATCATATGTATACATAGGAGATCTCAACAGGGAAAATAAAATAAAAATCAGTATTTAACGATAGAAAGGAATAAAGTTTCACTTGGCCGTTTTTTCAAAATTAACCTATTATTGTAGTACACAAATTTGAATGTATTTATTTTGAACAAAAGTACTAACGTGCTGTCTCAAAGCTGCTCGTCAATTTGTGCACCAATAGTTATACGTTACAGAAATTCAGTTAAACAGAATGACTATAGTGAAATCCTCTTTAATCGTATTTTTTTCATTTTCTGAACACAGGAGGAGTGCTATACATTTATTTGGATGTAACTTCTAATTATGTATTTGTGATTGATGGTATATAGATTCCACGTCACTGTTTATTCATGTCATAGCTGTTCATAAATTCTCTGGATCGAAATTACGAATCATTTGAGCATCATCGACACAAATTTGTACATATGTATGATTTATACATTCATGTATATCTGAAATATTTATTAAATAAATCCAAGGCGCGAAACAATTAGTTACCCTGACTTCTCTTAATGGAGCATTTGATCAAACACCCATTCTATGTTATCTGCTAAAAATTGCACTTTTTTCTCCATAGAATTTAATAGATATAAATCATCCCAAATAATGTTAATGAGAACTGCTAGGAACAGTGACGAAGCGTCCATGTAAGCATTGTTACCATTGGTAACAGTTAAAAATCATAAAAATAAATCTTTTATGACTGTGAAATAATTTCATTTATTTGTTTACCAACAGCGATGTGTAATAGTAATTCAGTAAATAGCAAATTAGCCCCACGAAAATAATGCGCCCTATAGTGTCTAGGTTTTGCGAACGCTATGAAGCTGACTCACCTCGACTTGGTTGTGGGTTGTTACCATTTTCATTTATGCATACACTTGGTAGTCCGTCGGGGACCGTCGGATCCGGCTCGTGTGTGATCGCGGTCGCCCGAGTGCGTGGGGCGCCGCGACTATTATGTGGGCTTGTTACCATTTCTTGATTTGGTTACTCACTTCTCACTCGTTAGTAGCCGTTTTGGTTACCAGCTGTAGTGTGCATGAAATTGAACATGGATGAGTGTCACTGCGTAATCGATCAACTACTTGAAAAGTCATTCTCCTTGTCGAAAGATGTCTTAACCAAGCTTTTAGGCAGCACACTTCTAGATACGGTATGTTTTTGGCAAAACAGGAATTACCGTTCATTTTGAAGTGGATGACTCCGACAATAGAGGAAATTACAGGGAGTTGTTAACATTCATTGCCAAAAAAGATCAAAAATTTTCTGAACATCTAGAAACGTCGAATGTTTTTTCGGAATGTCATAGCATAAGACGATGAGGTATATCAAGTGCCCCAGACGCTCAGTCCAGGAATGTTTAGCTTAATTTAAAAACAGTTTGAATAAAATACCTAAAATAAGCAAAAACTTATATTTGGGAGGTTCAAAATAAACTGTTTTTAATAAAAAAATTTACATCTGGTTTTGGTAACAGTTTAGGAAAAGTCACGCGTCGCCACTGGCTAGGAAGTAGTCGTTGTTAAAATTTCTTTAATCACGGTGTATAATGAATGTTGGTCTTAGTTTCGATAGGAGAATATACAGTTGATTATATATGAGTTTGTGATCTGAGATACCATCTGTGTTAATGGTACCTGAAGGAAGTACGTTTTTCGGACTCAAGACGAAGATAGAGTGTTATCCTTTTTGGCCTTCAATGACTTGGATGAAGCCATATGTAGAAAAACTAACATCAACTACGTTATCACAGTCGATGAAATTCACATCACCTAAGACGTTTTCGAAAGTAGGTAAACATCCCCATAATATTTGTTCAAAATGGTTTGTGATTGTAAACTTGAATACCACGCAAATAGCAAAACTAATCACCATTTCACGCCACCAACGCCACCTCCTCAACTGAGTCTATCTTTACGCATAGATCCTTCGATGTGTATATCTTCTGTCAGCACATTCTAGCTCAACCAAGTTTCAGTTATAGCTAGAATAAGGAAAGGATAATTTTCTACCAAGTCAGAAATTCCATTAAAACTAGAGAATAGAGATCTACAATGATTAATTTGAGCAATGGAAAGGTAACCTATCATTAGGTGTGATTCAATTTCAATATGACTAGTCGTCTCATGTCCTCCAGCATCGACATTATTTTTTCTTAAGGGCGCAAATGAAATATTTGCACAGGTGAATAAAGTTTTCAATTCTGATACACAAAATATATACTTTGACATTGTTAAACCTTAGTTATTGATAAAGATATTTCCTAGATAGGCCTTGAAATTATCAGATAGTCATTTGTTTCATATATCAGATTTATCACCAAATCATTTTTATTTTTTCCCCATTTTGTGACGGAATTTCAAAATAAATTGCATATTGTTATTTTTCAACACTCATCAAGATGGCGCAGTCAAAATTTCAATTCGAAGTATCTTCTTTCGACTTCCATCGCCAACTATCTTTTTTTCATATAGACACCAGCTTTTAATTATGTACATTTAAATTTTTATTTTATTTCTACCAATTTACGTAAACATACGTAAACATTGTATTGGCATTGTATGTCATTCTTATTTTTTTCATGTGAAAATCATAGGTCGGTGGAAAGAAAATGAAGAGAACAAATATGCTTATAAGTAAATGAGAATTATGGTATAAAATAATTTTTGTTAGGAAAAACGCAGTGGTATGACACATTTTCCTTCAAGCTATATAAACGATCCTTAGATATTATTATGTTATACATACTAAGCGACATATAAAATGCAACACCCAGAATTATTTATTGAATTTTGATAAACACTTGTAAACATCTTTGCTATCTTGGAAGTATAAGCTGATAAAATGTTGTTTTTTGTAAAAGCTTTTTTGTCATATCAGGATTCGAACAATATGAACACGTTTACTTAATATTGAGTGATTTTTCCATGTTGGTTCCATTTGTTTCATTGTCCTTTTAATTTTGCGAAATTTCTAGTTACAACTTTGGTCACTTTCTATTTATCAGTAGACCTAAGACCTGTAGAAGTATGCTCAAAATTACGGCACTCCTAGTCGGTGTTGTATTTTCTATGTCATTTAGTACGAGTATATTATTTATTTCACCTGATTTTTATATTGAAGCCATTCACCACAATTCTTTTATCGTTTATAGAAGCCTGCAGGGAAGTATTTGACAGATCAGACGGTATCAAATTCGATCTTGTGATAAATTGTGCTGGAGAGACGAGATCAGGCCAATCGGAGGCTGTATATCAAGATGGTATATTGAAGCTAAGTCTATACTGTGCTAGGGAGGCAGTCAAGCGTAAAATAAGATTTATCGAGTTATCATCTGGAAACATGAACTCTTTGAATAGAATGCACAGAGAGTCTGACCCAGTAGCTCCTTGGACTAGTGTGGCTAAATGGAAGAGAAGGGTTAGTATTATAACTTTTCCCTAGGACCAATCGATAAAGATATCCTTGCTGCTGCGACATCAATGGCATAATAACCTTAACAGTTCACCCAGCGCGTAGTCATGGATATTTGAGATTAAGTGATCGTTGAAAGGTGATCGAGAGGGGCATGATTGCAATAGACAAACTGATCTTACTAAATACCTTAAGAAGTGAACAACCATAAGCAAGTTTATTTTTATTTTGAATGATTATAAAATGTTATAAAATAGTTGGTTTTCATTTGAAAAAATTGATTGTTTTCTTGAAACTTCATTTCCATCTTCTTTTTTTGAATGCCCTATATTACGAGTATTACTATTTATTTAAGTGTCGAACAAAGTTTCCTATAGTAAGTTCCTCCCTATAAGGCACACAAATTGACACGATCCGAAATTTAGTACGCTAAATTTCGTACAAAATTAAGGATAGTGTCAGACAGCATTTAGTACATAATTTTGTACAAATTGAGTGTTAAATTTCTTAGAACCTGTTCTAAATATACTAAGTGACATATAAATCCGAACACCCAGTTTAAATGGTTTTATTTTAATAAAAGTTGGTGAATGTATTTATCTTACTGTAAATAACAAGTGAAAAAATTTTCAGCCTTATCAGTTGGACATTCCGGTTTTTATACTGCTTTTTTTTAATTCACTAACGCTCTAAAAATGAATATTTCAGCCGCAGTAAAGAATCAACGTTGGCGGATTTTGGTTCTTGACATCCTTTACGATCGGTTACGATGCCTAGAGTACGGAGACCTGTACGATTTCGTCAACTTAGTGAGTTTGATAGGGGCCGTATAGTGAGACTTCGGGAAGCTGGACTTTCTTTTCGTGCAATTGCAGTTAGAGTGCAAAGAAGTGTAGACACTGTGGTTAGGTGGGATCAGGAATGGAAGAGTATTGACTTTAGTGACGAGTCTCGATTTTGTTTAGGCATGCACGATGGTCGTGCCAGGGTTAGAAGGCGACGTGGTGAAAGGAGGAATCCACAGTTTTTTGTTGAAAGACATGTTCATCACACTGTTGGAGTTATAGTTTGGGGTGCTATAGCTTATGGTTAAAGGTCACCTTTAATCTTCATCAGAGGTAACATGAACGCGCAGCATTATATCCACGAAGTTCTAGAACCCCATCTTTTACCCTATCTTGACACCCTGGCAGATCCAACTTTCCAACAAGATAATGCCCGACCACATGTTGCAAGAGTCACAATAGACTTCTTTCAACATAATGATGTCACATTGTTACCATGGCCACCAAGATCTCCCGACTTATCCCCAATTGAGCACGTGTGGGATATGATGGATAGGAGATTGCTTAATTTGCAACGTCCTCCTCAGACTCTAGAAGCACTTCGAGAGGAGTTGGTGGTTGCCTGGAATGCGTAGCACATCAGGGTGCATCCACACATTATTAAAGGTCAAAGGGCTTTAAAGCAGTGCAATCATTTTGAAATTTTTATCATTTACTTATTATGCTTCATTAAGTACTTATACAAAATTTTATTAAAATAAAACCATTTAAACTGGGTGTTCGGATTTATATGTCACTTAGTATAATATCATGCTAAAAGTGAGCAGACACCTACTGCGCATTTGGAGCAGTACACTAGCTGATAGAAGCGCTACTTGGCAAGGAAATTACATGTTTTGTGTTAACTCCTTGATATTCTCTTGATGTTTTGTGATGATTAGATGAGGTGATAATCGATTAACAGAAACAAGCCTAACGTCAAGCACTTTCATCAGTTGTTATGATCAATTGTGTTCCTCAATTCCTCAATTTCGCGAAACTCCGCTGCTTATGCTGTTTGCAAATTAAAAAACTCAAATGATGTCATGGTCAAAAGAGCTGTGTGACATATTTTTAAACGAGTATGAGAAATGTGATTGTTTAAATGCTGTAAAAAGGAAGGCCTCTAATAACAGAAACGCCAAATAAGCTGCGTTGGATAAAATCAGAATTACCTTAGAACCAATTAGACCTATAAGCCAGTGGATCCGCCACTAGAGGTCCTTTATTCAGCATCTGGAGCACACCCATTCCCCGGTCCCTCTCCCTGATCCACTTTCGACACCAAACTTTTTTACGGTTTCGTTTACTTCGTTTTTTCATGAAATGGGCAGCTACAACGAATAAATCGAATAAATCATGAAATATTGCTTGGGAAGTTAATCAAATTTGTTTTTTTTAGAGATGCTAGGGACCTTTTTGAATCTTATTTATCTTCGAGGTGGCAATTTGTTTCTTATAATAATTTTCGTTCTGATACTTACTTAGCCTCATCCGGTGGTCCACAAGGTTCAAATTTGGGTCCTTTGCTGTTCTTGCTATTCATCAATGATTTATGTGAGGATTTGCAGAGTGAGTGTTTATGTTTTGCGAATGATTTGAAAATATTCCGTTATCAATGATTTGAATGATTGTACTTTCCTTCAGACTCAATTGGACAAACTGCTCGTGTTTTCGAAAGCATTCAAAATAGCAGACAACGGCCTAATAGCCCAAACCCATTTGGTAGCTCAAATGATGGTCGTGATAGCCTTATACAATTCTTTGAATTATATGTTTTTGAAAACTCTATTATTTGATTGAAACAATTAATAATAAACTAGGCAGCAACTAAAGACTATATCCTCTTATGGAAAATTCAGTAATCCGTCTCTTAGGGAGGTCGAGATAGTTGTCAGAATGTTTTTAGTTAAACTATACTATTATTAACTTAAAAACTACGGGACAAAACTAAAGATCCATCCAAATATCTAATAAAACTACGGATCTACGAAGTAGGCAACTTCGTTATGGAGGCCATTAATCGAACACCCTATAAAATCCTGAATATTCTTAAAATGTATTCCTACAGGGACGGTGCAGGATAATCCTGAATAGTTTTTGAATGAGTTTGTGCCTCTGAACAATGCACCATTCGTATGGATGACACGTGCTTAAGTCTGGTCCACCCATACATGTCAAATAATTGAAACATTGCTGAACTGGCCGGTAAGGACGACGATAAAAACATTAAGAAATATTAAACAGCTAAAATATAGCAGCCGTCGAGTTACAAGAGGATATTGATGTAGTTTATAGCTATTCTATAAAGCACAATTTGATGATAAATTCCTCTAAATCCAAAATCATGTTATTCTGCTCTAATACTAAACATTTCATCCCAAAATTGGATGAGATTAGTAGAATTTAGTAATGAGTCTAAAATACTTGGTGTCATTTTAGATATTAACTTGACATTCAAAAGTCATGTTTCTGGCATACTACAAAAATCCTATTGGAAATTACATGTTTTATATGTAAATAGACGTGTTCTGCCTTCTGCTTTGCGAAAAAAACTTGCTGAATCCCTTATTCTTCCAATTATCAATTGTTGCAATATTCTTTACCAGCCTTGCTTGGATCAGCTCACTAAAAGACGTTTACAAGTGATTCAAAACAAGGGCCTCAGATTTACGTGTAGTTTAAGAAAATACGACCATGTTAGCCATGCTTACGACAGTATTGGATGGATGAAGCTCGAGTGTTTGACAAATTTTCATTATTTGGTCTTCCTGCATAAGCTGCTCGCAACTGGTAAACCCAAATACCTAAGAAAACAACTTATTTTTTCTAATGAAATGCATAACAAAACTCTTAAATATACATTAAATATTAGAATACCCCATTACGTCACCTCGCTTTTCCAACGCTCATTTTCCTATAATGCTGCTAGTCGCTACAATAATATTCCTAAAGATTACAAAACCATGAACCTGTCTTGTTTCCGCAAGCATGTTAGGCTAGATTTACAGAGCTCTACATTATAATGTTTCTTCTTTGTCTAATTTTTGTTAATAATACATTTATAAGTAGTTTATGGGCACATATGCTTGTAGGCATCTAAATTAGTTGCTTGTTTGATTGAACTGCTTTCAATACTATTATGACATTGTAACAGCCAAACTTTATTTTTTTTGTCTCTCATATACCATCTTTTTTTTCGTATTCATATGGTTAAGTGTAAGAGTAGCTTTCGCTAAACTTCGCCATAATGAAGCGCACTCTGTATCTCTGTAAATAAAGACGATATTATTATTATTATTATTATTATTAATCGTGTATCTTACTCACAATATACTGTAATGGGGTACAGACTGCCCGAATTGGAGGCCTTGGTATCGACGGAGCTACTCGATACCTTGGACCCATGAACACTTTTGTTTAGAGATCGATAATTGTAAAAAAATGATGAAGCTTCGTTTGGCACTGTAAATTTGACCCACTTAAGACAAAACCTGTGTGCTGGCTACGCTTCCTAGGTTGATATATCTCATGATAGTTGGATTTTTCCGATCAGTTGACCTATATCTCTTGCACATATGCTTTGCATCCTAGAAGTATATCAGATGTGGTTGTCCCACGGAAATACTTATCTGATAGTCATAAGAAGGAAATACATACTGCAGTAGTGAGAGAAAGGTGTTGGTTGTCCATTGCTAACTTCCTTTACATCTGCCGCCCAAAATAATATATTTTTTTTTTGTTACATGTCCATTTTCAAAGCTATAGAGAAAATGTTGTTTTAGGTGGAAGAAGAACTGTTCAGAATCCCTTGCTTTGAGTTCACCATTATTCGTCTCCCCATTGTGTACGGAAGAGGAGACAGAACTGGCCTTATGCCCAGAATATTAGAAGCGGCAATTTGCAAGAGGATGGGAAAGCCAATAAAACAGCTTTGGAATTCCGACAAGAGGATAAGCACTGTGCACGTCCATGACGTAACCAGGGCAATCTTTCATGTCCGCGCAAGGGTGGATACCAAACGAGCGGTAATCGTCACTGTATATATTCTCTAATAGTCCAATCATTTGGTCCCTAAAAAAGGGGGTTGCATGGAAAGCACTGGGGAAGTTTGAAAAATGCAATGTCCTAATAGATTCTGATATGTTGTTTCCGAATGTTTACTTGCTATCTCGTACTTTTTTCTGTTCGAGTAGCGATATTGAAAGAATCAGTTTTTTGACAGAGGACAAATTTATATATTTTGGCATTTTTGTGGAATTCGAAGTACGAGCGTGGCAAGGATTCTATAGTATGAACATACTGGAACATCCTTCAGTTTTATTAATGTAGGGCTCGCAGGGTATTGAGACTAGGACATTCCAAACTAACATTGAGGAAGTTTCCTACTCATTAAAAAAACTCTTAAAATGAAGGTTTAAGTAAAATGAAGTATAGCACTGAAAAATATACGGGGTGTTAGGGAAATAATATTCGTAACTTCAAGAGGTGATTCCTTGCATTATTCTAAGCGAAAAAGTTCATTATAACTTATGTCCGAAAATCAATCGTCTTCGAGGAAAGTGAGTCGTAAATAATTAAATTTTCTCAAACATTTGCGATACGAGCGAATGACGAACGCCACTGATTCATCGACTTGTTTACGTTTGTATGATATTTTTGCTGAATTATTGAATACTTTTACGCAATTTTGGTGGCTAATATTTTTAATTTAATAATGCTTTCAGTACAGTACATTTACTTAAAAAAAACTACAGAGCTTACCGGTACGTGGCGAAATACACCACCAATTCCCACGATTATCAGTCACTTATTTGAAACGATGCGATGCACGAAAAAAGAAAAAAAACAACATCGGTAAATCACATACAGTTACAGTTAAATGTATTAGTAATCACAACAACACGCGATGATACATGCAGTGCAGGCGCAGTACGACGTTGCCAGTTGTGTGAGGGATTTTGTTTGTCTGCTTTTATTCGGAAAATTGTATTTAATAAGCAAGAACATTATTTTGTTAGAGACAGTTAATTAATAAATAGATGTATTGATACATCTTATGCTATTAGGCATATGAATTTAAATTATTAAGGTGCATAATTAATTTATTTCATGACTAAAAAGAAATAAGTTCAGCATTGTTTTGCTCCGAAACGGTTGATTTTCGGACATACATTATAATGAACTTTTTTGCTTAGAATAATGCAAGGAATCACCTATTAAAGTTACGAATATTATTTCCTCAACACCCTGTATAAATGTCTAAAAAATAGCATAGCTACGCTACCCAGAAGTTTCTTTTTTGGAGAATCATCTTGCTCGAGAGTGTGACTGTGTGATGACGTCATGTAACATCAGACACCACCGCTGCCACAAACCGATGCGCGCGCCGCACAGGCTTCAGGCTATTTACAAAGCACAATACGGTATCGTACATAGGTGTACAACTCAAAGCACACCAGCTCTAGAAAAAACATGGTTTGGCATAGAGTAATAGAAGGAAATGGTGCAGTGTAATTAATAATGGACAATGAATTGCCTCTTCCGGAAATATTATTGCACTGGAGTACGTCTCATTTTGATGAAAGTAGGTATTTAGTTAATATGCTACTAGTGATCATATTAATTATAAAGGGAACACTGGCGATTTACGAAAGGCTTTGGGGCCAAAGCCCCCTTCCCCAGACGCCCCAATACGTTTTTCTTTATATAATACTACTGCTCCAATGGCGGATTCAGCCTTCCCTCCTTGGATCGAGATCTTCGAACCCCTCCGCTCCCTCTTCAATTGTCATAAGGGCACAGTCGGCCAACCACCGATCTTCAATTTTCAATCGCCGCTACTCTCCCTGAGACGGGCATCTTGTACATGATTCCTGAGCGCCACAACTTTTTTCTGGATATGCCAGTGATAAAGAAAGAACCTAATTGGTGTAAACACTGTAAACGAAAGCGGGGATAGACTTGATTATTGTTTTTATTTAGAGATAATGTGAATATTATTATGGTGACCATGTTGTGGCTGGAGGGGGAATATTCTTCGAACTCTGCCTGCGTCGACGCGGGAATGCATTATGGTACGTACATAGTGAAGGATGCTTTCTTCGCTACCTCGATGAGCGCTTCCTTGCGACTTTCTACATGGATGGAGGGTGTTCATACTGAATTCACCATCGATGTTTTCTCTTGTCTCCTCGAACGCGGTTCTTAATGTTTCATTTTTTCGCGAGCGAATAATAAGGCAGGATGTTGTCGAGCGACAGTGACAGTAAGAGTGATTTGTCTCTTGTAACCAAGTGGTGGATGTTTAGTTCTCTACCAAATCGAAAATACACTACACATCCAGTAAACATAGCGAGACAGGAACTCTCAAATTAAAGAGAGGCAAGGAGAGATTTCACTTCTACATGAGAATGTCGACAGATACATTTGGTTACATACTTGACAAAGTTGAGCTTCTACTAGACGACCACAAGTACGCCAACTTACACAGTAATCCAATTCTTGCTGAGGAACCAATCACAGCTAAGCCCACCCCGATGATTCCCTCCTGGCAGCCAGGTAAAAACGCATCGTCGCCATGAACGCCGCTCCCAACTTAAAACATGTGCTTGTTTGACATCGCGGTCAGACTGGTGCGTGAAATGGAAAATCCGCATCAACGTCCAGAAGACGCAGGCAATCTTCATTCAACGAAGAAGGATTGCAAGACCTCTCGAAGCATCCATCTTCGACGAAGATATCCAGTGGAGCGACAATGTCAAATATCTGGGGATCGTATTTGACAAGTCCCTCACCTGGAAAGCGCACATAGAAGCTGTCATCGCAAAGACCAGAGCAGCCATGGCTCAACTCTATCCATTACTGGGTAGACACAGCCAGATGCCGCTAGCGACCAAGCTACGGCTGATCAAGGCCATCGCCAGACCTCAGCTCGCTTACGCCTCCGCGGTCTGGAGGTACGCTGCCCCCAGCTACCGCAAGCGACTTGCTGCTCTAGAGATGAAGCTACTCCGGATCGCCACCAATGCACCATCCTACGTAAGGAACTCAACCCTGCGTAGAGACCTGCATTGGGATACCATCCACGAGTACATGAGGAAAAAAGCGGAGAAGACCTTCGAGAAAGCTCAGGACCACCCGAACGAGCAGCTACGATTCCTCATGGACTACGATCCGGACGAGAGGCCTCGCAACCGCAGAACCAGGTACCCCAGACCAAGGTCTCAGCTGGCACCCGCTAACTGGAACCTTGACTAGGAGACTAGGAGAAATTGCGGCTGCTCCCCCCCCACCCCACGGCGTGGATGCAGAGGACCAAGAACCACCGGGACCAGGACCCACCGGGACCAGGACCAACCAGGACCAGGACCCGCCACGACCAGGACCCACCAGGACCAGGACCCTTCAGGACCAGGACCAGGAACAACATATTGGTAAGAGGACTTGAAACTCTTGATTTTTCGAAAACAAGAGTTTCAAGAGAACCTAGCAGACCCTCTATCGATGATCGCTTAACGACATCGATAGAATGTGCGAGGTAAAGGGAACCAACCCGGCGTTCCCAGAGACTGAAACACATGAGGAGACGTTGTAGCAGACCGCAGGTCACGCACAACACATGGCCTACCGAGACGCTGATGAGTCAGGCCACGCGGAGGTTTAGGGTTTAGTGGGTATTAGGTGATCTCCTCAAGACCCTGGAGTCCCACACACGCCGTAGCTCGGGCTATGGTATGGTGCGTAAATGCATTCCCCCCTCACCAAAAAAAAAATCGCGGTCAGATCGAGTAAGCGATCATCGAGGTAGCGAAGAAAGCATCGCAGTAAGCATCTTCACTATGAACATACCCTTAGGCGTAGGTCGCGTGTGGGCTTAAGTATACATAATTATACACATGAGTGTTTTACCATTAACCAAAATTATGTCTATTTTTGCAAGATTACCAGAATCGCCAAGCAAAAAACCTTTTTCCATTTTAATTATTATATATCTGCAATACCTCACAATAGTCGGTGCGAAAATATAAGCAATATAGTCAGAGCCGAAGCTGTGACGTCGGAGGCGAACAGTTTCATCGCACGAGCGCGGTTGGCTACAGCATCCAACACAGAATATATTAAAATTTCTTAAAAAAGTTATAGGAATAATACTTTCAGATTTGTCAAAGACAACAGTTATGCTATTATATGTAAGTAAACATGGCAATATTTTCAACCATAGGAAACTTCCTAATATGTACTTGTTTGATACTGAACTAAACCATGAACGCTGATCGCGTAGGGTCCTGAAATACCACCAGCAGATTTTACGAATAACTTCTGTTTCAATAGACTTAAAAAATCAACCGCGTAAAACCTGATAAGCCTTTAGGGCAATACGTGAGGATTACACGGTTTGGTTTGATATCAAAGGAGAATTATTGTCAATTCGAAATTCAAGTTTCAAAAATCGCTTTCATACAGGGTGACAGTGGTAATATTTATAGGACAGACAATGAATAACAAAAAAGTTCGTATGAACATATGCTCTGAAATGTCAAATTAATTAGATATTGGGTGCTGCAAATTCCTAGACTTCTGAGTCTGGATAAGGACAAAGCATGAAATTTGTTGAAATAAAGCTATGGTGTATTACTCTTGCAATACTCTACAATTTTCAACAGCCATCGTAGTAACACAGTATAACACCTGCGGCAGGGCGGCTGATTGTTGTGCTGTAAATTTTTGACGAATCCGGACCTGTAGTTCTTTTTCTGTTAATATAACAATCAATAGGACGGGCTAAGGACGCGTCCAAATTTTCAGAAAATACAGAGGATGTCTTATCGATTTTGGCCACTTCTTTATGGCGTCACAACTTTCTATTCTGTATATTTATTTTTTGGAAACAAGTATGCTTACCCAGCTTATGCTTTCAAATCGATCGTGATAGTTGTAGTCACCGTTCTTGGCGGTTACGTCATATAAATGCCATATAAAATAAGTAAACAGATCGAGTCTCCGTACCATGAGCGGAACACTGCGCAGACTAATCTTCGCGCATCTGCTACTCTTTCCAGTACCTACCTACTGGTAACAGGGGGCCGCTGTTTTCATTATCCTCCTGGAAATAAATTTAGCACGAGATGTCGGCCTTTTCCATTGATCGTATTTCCGGGCATTGTACAATTTTATATTAAAGATTGATTGTAGGACAAGTAAAATTGCACGCCGATGTCAAGAAAGTTGTCACTCTGACAAATATGACTGAAGGGCACTCATACGTAACGACAAAGTTTTTGAGACGGAGACACACAACTAAAAAACGTATGTCTTTGAACTTACCGAACAAACGTTCACACACAGGGGTAGGTTGCATGAGTATGCATGAGGGAGATGGAGATATATAAAGGTATACTGGTAGTCTTACTTCGACCCGCCAAGAACGGTGACTACAACTATAACAGGAAAGAAGATACAGGCTCGGACTAACTAAAATTTACTAATCTGTTCTACCCGAAAACAAAACCCAGTATATCGGAATTACGGAATTTGCTTTACGTATTTTAAAAGCGTCTAAAAAGTTCATAAGGGTTGTGATTTTTGAAACTTTCAGGAAACGATCTAGATGAAACTACCAAATCATTGATCCGAGTGGTTTGCGATATATTCGTATCAAAGAAAACTTGATGCTTTCGTCCGTCCGACCAAAAACACAGTCAACCATGGACAGCTGCTTCGTGCTTCTTGGCTAATCATCAGCATGGTCTAGACTTGCTCTCTCGTCTCTGGACAACGAACGAAAGCATCGAAACTACCTTTCTATACCGAGGTACGGTCCATGGTTGTCTGGATCTGACGGACAAAAGTATCAAGTTTGGTTTGTTCAATGGCAAGTAGACCACATCTACTTTACAGCCAAAATCATCAGCCATCTAGCGGTTCCATGGTGACTTTGCTATAAACGCGAGCTGAGATCCTTAACAGTCCCAATTAATAGCAGCTATGCGCCTTTCCCAATGGTCCATTCTGGTGGGATGGATTGCTCTTTGCGCTGTCGTCTTTCGAAAGTAAAATTTGCCACTCTCGTATGCCGACAGTATTCACCTCACAAATACAAATACATAAATTCTATGGAACTTTCTGTAACTTAATTTGATGAAAAAATTCGATCTGGTCCTAAGCATTTCATTGTTTCTCAGATTTTCAACGTGGTGGACTTCGCAGACTCGTCGCAGGGCAGCATATGGAACGTAATATGTTCTATGTTTGAAATAAGAGTAGACTTTACCGGCAATCTCATGTCCAGGTTGAAAGACCTGACGAAGGTCGCCAACGAGGCTAACGTCAAGTATATGACCGCATGGGCGGAGGCCTTGAGAGAGGAGAATATAGTCAATACTCCCCTGTGTCCGTACACTGACCTAGAACAGCTCGTTAACAAGCATTTGAGGTAATGTCTTTAATAGCATACTATTCGGAAAGGATACAGGGTGTTCTCAATTTTGGAATTCACCCCTCGCAGGTGTCCTTGTAAAACTAACCAAAATGATCTGCTAGCACATACACGCATGCCCTTACAGAAGCAAGATACTTTTTTTGATAGGGGAACGTTTTTATAGCCCGTGTATTTCAAAATTCGTAATATTTATAGAATGTGAGATCAGCTTTTGCCTACCAGAAAATATTACTAACGCAGTTTTATGAGGAGCTAGCATTATTCCATTTTCTTCCATCCGTATGCTGATCTTAGTTTTTGCATATGGCGGGACGTTTTAAGCTACCTTCCTCGTTGCTTGTCACCACTATTGCCATCAGAATCCCTCTTAACATTTCTAGCCTTAAAATCCCCTCGTAGAAATCATTCCACTCGAATGGCCTAAGATGGACCCTTGTGAAACTCCCAAGGTAATATTCACAACGTCTATGATTTCCCTCACTACCAGTGTTCTTTCATTGAGATAACCTTTGGATCATGCTCAGTAGATCTACAAGGGTGTCTAGTTGTCTGAGTGACTTAACTATTTTCTTCCATTGAGCTGTATTAAAGACATTCTTGACATCAAGGGCCAATATCGTGCAAAATGTCTTGGTAAACCTCCTCATGTTTTTTTGTTCCTATAGCTGCTACTGTTCGCCGATTCTACCAACTGCATCACCGTATTGTGCATTATAGTAGATTTCTCTTGCATACATCCACACTGCGGAGAGGACAATCCTTTTCATTTATTCTCGGAATGTTCCTTATATGAGTCATTCCAACTGTATTCCCAGTAAGCCCAACATACTTTACTTCGTCGTCGCCGAGCTTTTGAGGTTTCGGAATAAGCACCAATGAGCCAGCTTCCTTCCACCTCTTTAAAAAACTTCTCATCCTGAAGCAGTGGTCCATCACGGGCAACACAAATTCCAGTATTTCCTAGACCAATTTTTCACTAGCTCGTTCGGAACTTCCCTATATTCAGCCTTGATGCAGCTTCATTCAACTCAGGTAAACACAGGTTTTTCGGAGATTCGAGGAATTTCCACTTAGGAAGTTCAAATTTCGGAAACAAAACTCATGCTATTTGAAATCCTTGTTCAGATGTTAAGTTAGGTCATTTTGAGAAAATTTAATTACATTTTCCCAAATATAATCTTCAAGGTCGTTCAGAACATCCTTCTACATTTTTGTTTTGTTCTCGCAACCAGATTTACCACCTATTTTCTTTCAGTCTCGTATTGCCTGTTATATTATCCCGAGTGACCACCCTGTAAGGCTTTACACGCTCCAGCTCGCTAGCAGATGAACATACTGTGTCGCTAGCTTACGAACAGATATCCTAAACCACATCCGGTGATGAGCAAGAGCATATTGATCATAAAAGCTAGTTGGGATGTGACGTAAATGCATTCCCGCCGTGAGGGCAATCTCCCTTGGGGGATCTCTCTTGCCATTCTTCCCTGTGCGGAAACCAGCTGTGCTCTATAGTGCCAACTAAAGTAAGTACCGATGTTTTATACTTTTATGCTCAATATGAGTATGCTTATGAGTACCTCTGTGTTTTATGACCACCAACCTTTGTAGCGCCAATCTAGAGCGCTCTTCCAGGAGCAGAACTACCCTCCAAGTCACAATCGTGACAAGAATGGTGGACGGGCTGAGGGCTGAGGCATGTCAAGCTTTGCAGGTTACTCCTGATACTTCTCCCCCCTACGAATAATCTAAATCGATAAACAAGTTTTGGGCTTTTCAAGTGTGACTAGTTGTCGGTATGACCTGCACCCCCACCAAAAAAGTCCTCGCACACTCCGCTTCCCTCGCAGTGTATGTGTTGTAGTAGCTATTGCCAATTTGTGCACCGTCCCGCCAAAAATCACATAATCATAAACAGGTTATACTCTCTCGTTCATATTTCTCATAAAAATAAAGATTAAAAACTAAACTGGCGAATGCATATGAAACCCTAAAAATATAAGAAACAGTTAATAAAATATATGTTACTGTTGCCTCTTAGCTGTATAAAAGTTGCATAATAAAAGAAATAGTAAAAGTTGATAAATTTAAAAAAAATTAGGAATTTTGTTACACTGATTTTTTAATATTGTCGACCAGTGTCGTGTAAAACCTTAGCGTTTTTTGTTTACTACTCTTATCGTTTATCTAAATTTGGCAAAGTTTTTGTGTTATTGAATGGTTTAGAGAGAACCCGTCAAACAAAAGCTAACAGATCCAGCACAGCCTGTATTTATGCAACCTTTGAATACTAGCTACTGTTGATACTCATGATAAACACTTCGGGTACCTTTGATCCACGGGTTGTCTGGTCTGTGTTGGTGGAGATATTCCGTTCTTAGAGCGGCACTGCCTTTCAGTTTGGTCAGAAAAGCAGGTTTTGTGTTGAACTGACGTGAAAATAGTACTGGAATCGATGCTTGAATTAAAATGTAAGCCAGTATGTTACTACTATTTTTAACAAAGCTGTATTTTTGTTGCACTAGGTTGGATGGAAACAAACTACGGTCACTCGGACCCTACTACATGGGAATGTGTGTTACATATCCAAGAGCAATGAAGCTGAAGGAGATTGTAGATGATTACGTTGAAATGGGATTATTTCCGCGTGCACTAGCTCCGATACAACCAGTTGATGATGTTGTAGCACGTCGTATAGAATAATACACATTTCAGGAACGATGGTTTTGTGATATAAGAATACTTTAGGTGGATTTAACATATCTCCAATAAGCTCTCCAGGGATTGGCGAAAATGTCTCCAGAACAGGTTTGGAGCATAACAAAAGCTTCTTAAATGAACTAATTTAAAAATTCTGAATTTTGGCCAGTACTCAATGTCCTTAGATTGTATCTATAGTGTGCTAGCGCAAATGTTGGCGCTACAGTTCTCATTCCTCTAAAGTGGTGAAAATACGTTATGGTGGTATATTCAAACGTGTTTTGGGGGCATTTGCGTCAAGTTCGGGAGCGCTGACTAGGGTTATGTTATAATTTCGAAAGTACTGTAACATATAACAAAACTAGTTTTTTTGGAATGGTCGGGACTTTTGTAATTCTAAAGAACGTCTCTCTAATAAGTTGAATGCCCAGTCTAAATTAACCACGCACTGAAACAAAGAGACATAGTGAAAGTTCAATATAGTGCCTTATATTTTTGGCTATCATATTAAAGTATCTCTGGAAAGCATGTATGTACAGGTGAAGCTACAGCTTAACATATTCAGGGTGACTACAAAATAAAAGGCGATAATTATACAGTAGAAATACATCGATAAGAATATGGAGTTCACATGAACACAGGTTCTAAAACGTCCCATTACCGAGATACAATGTGTTATAACTCCACTGATGAGACTGATTAATGGCTTTCAAACCAGGAAGGTTTCAAATTTTTCGTTAGAATATAGGATGGAATATAGGAGATTTTATGTTATTTTTACCGCTTTTTTAATCATCCTCTATAGACAGCAATGTACTCACGTCATTGGATTCTCTCCTTGTGTTGGTCGTATGTTAATTATCAAAATGTTTGACCAATTAGGTAGTTCAGATTGTAAGCATCAATTCGTTATTATGTAAAATATTGCATCGACATGTTGGTACAAAAAACTTGAATTAAAAAACGATTTTGAAACCGAATTTTTTGTTGTGTGAAAATATTTTGCGCAAAAAATAAATAAGATGAGAACAAATGATGTTATTGTAAGTAATTTCTTAAATTTTATAACTCTGTTCTCTCAACTTCTACGGTACTTTTAGTTAATTTTAATTTTGAAAATATTTGAATACGAGCAAAATCGGTCCAAAACAGACACCTAAATTTTTTTTTTATTGAGATATCGTGATTTTTCAATTTACTGAATAAGTGTTACAAATTTATCCAATCCAATCCAATTTATGCTGCGTTGACAACGAGTTCCTATACGCTATTCGATGACATTTACGATGCTTCACAATAAACATAGCTATGAATGAACTATGAATTTCTGCGCTTCAATTGGCTCATTATTGGCTACCCAATAAACTGGCCAATAGTAGCGCTAAAATTTGACGATTGAGTGTCGGTGTTTGTTTTGATGCAGCGCAAATGACGTGTGTGTATTTAGGTTAGTTATTTAAAATACAATATTATTTACTATTCTTTTTGAATTAGCAATGTCGTATTATTTACACTTATATTAGGAGCGTCTCTCGCTAATTTTTTTAGAACATATTTCGACCCAATGGTGTTTGTAAGCTTGTACCTCAACTTTATGGATTAGTTCAATTTCAACCATAGCATTAATTTTGATGAGAACCTTTTGTTCAACGCGCTTCGAGTGTTTCGAGTCAGAATTAAGTGCTAGTAATTTGTGGTAAAAGTAAGCGAGGGTTTGTAATATGTGTTACTTATTTCCTGACCGTGACTAGCTGAGCATTCAGCAACCCAGTATACCCACACTTGTAAGTTATGACTGTCAAAACATTGTCACTGAATCCGGTGTCAGTTGCATTTTCCTTACATTTTTTCTGGTTGGTGTTATTGACCTCCGTATAGGAGTGCAATACTACTTGCTTCACTTCAAGCTGTTTCAACTGCTCTTCCACGTCAGTAATATCTATCATAAATCCGAACTATGTGCCACTTTCTAATCGGCTGTCAAATTTTATATTTTTCGATGAATGTATATATGAAGTTTATAATATTATGTGATGTCATTTGAAATAATTTTAATTTTGTCTCATTCTTCGAATATAACTACTAGGTATATACTATTTTAGATTTTATGTAAGATACTTAAAACCCTATAAATACGATTTTCAAGATTTAATATTTTGCGCAGTTTACTCAAAAAATGTGAAGTCTTATTTTTGTATTGATGAGATTATATTGTTATACATGTATAGAAACAAAACAACCTTAGTAGTAGCAATTTTTAGATGAATATTTTGTTCAATTTATATGTAAAATGTGGAATATTTAAAAGTGGTATTTGTGTTGTTAATATACATATTGTTATACATGTATAAAATAAAAATTACACTGCCAATACCGTTATCATTATAATGAAGATTGCCAATAAAGTCGAATCCACTTTCTGTCGTGCAAGTCGGAAATATAAATTTGCTTTGCTCATACCCAAACACGTCTCTGTGGGATATATTCTGGTGAAATTAACTTTGAGAGTTTAATATTGGCAACCACTTCTAAGGCAAATGCTCCACGTTCAATATGTAAGTTTCGACGGAGTATTTATAAAACGTCACTTTTCGTCATTTGTATGTCTGAGCGGTCCATAGGACCTTTGCCTATTAGTCACTGTCTTGTTAGTTGAATCCGTCAGTCCTGGTTGCCCAGAAATTAGACAATGTCGAGGAAACGAAAGAAGGAAAGAACGAACAAAACAAGCAGAAAGGCAAAGAAAAAGGAAAGTGTACCAGTTTGAGAGAAAATATCTAGGCTTTTGACTTGATACACGGAATGATTTTGAGGTACACTAAAAATGCCAGTCTTACAGACCCATACAATTGGTCCATAGACATCCTTTTCCTGCCCCACCGATAGTACAATCTATCAGGTACCGTCACGCCCGCTGGTGAATGGGTTTGCATCCTTGGCATAGTAGTAACACGTTTGAAACATTTTATCGAAATCCGTGCGGAACTTCTCAAGTTATAGGCGGTTATCGGATCAGCGGACAGACAGACAGTCCAAAGGATATGAGCGACATGATTTTTCGTGATTCACATGTTATATAGCATCCAAATAACATATCTCATTTTCGAAAATTTTTGCAATTGCAATACTTTCCCACCAGCAGTGCAGCACTTGTGCGGCACCTTGTATATCTCCAAATGGTTCAGAGATATACACCTATAAGATGTCAATCTGTTTTAATATCTTATACAAGATGTTTTACAACTTATCCGACAAATTTTAACCATATATGCACTGTTACAAAAGAAGTTGATTTCTCAAAACAAAAAATGTAATAAAAGTTCTACAGAAATTAGGTTATCAACCTGAGTTTCAATAATAAATTGAAAAATCAATATCTGTATTTTGCGTTCATCGTCGTGATATTAGAACACGCATTAATAATTTGTTGTAGCAAATGTTGTACCAAACAACTGACGAAAGCAAAATATCATGAATTTTTAGTTTTTTTACACTGATAAGAACGTGTAAATAAGGTTTAATCTGTATCGTGGGTGATCTGAATGAAGAACGGTCGATTTTTGTGAAGTTAATTTGTGAGTTTGTTTTTAGTTATTTATTAATAAAAATATCACATGTGTACACTAATGAGGAGTTAGTGGGCATTGTTTTAGCATACGGAGTTTGTATGCACACCGATTTCCGAATAGGCACATACCACATCCCGAAACATTTAGTTCATTTGTTTTACGTGCACGTGCTGGTGGAGATTAGACGCACACAAGCTTGCATTGCAGTCAATGGAAACAATTTTGAACAGCTTTTATAAGTAAGTGAACTGTTAAGCTGTATTATTTTATAATCCCGATTTCTGTAGGACGTTTATTACATTTTTTTGAGACATCTGAGAATTTCTCTCGTAACAGTGCATATGTGGTTAAAATTTGTGGAACACCCTGTATAGCTCTTCTATTAAACAACATTCAATTTGCGTTGAGATATCTTGTATATTATATCGTAAGTGTTGACGAAATTATAGAAAGCTTACGTGATGTCAAGAGCAACGAAATGAGTCTCACCATGACACTGGATGAGTGCAGTTGTACAACGTATGCTAGGAGGTCCCCCGTTGATTGCTTTTGGTGAAAACCATACTGCCTATCGCTAATGAAGCCGTGATGATGCAGAGCTATAGGTCTATGGTTGTGAGGATTCGTCTTAGATCTTTTTTGTGAGTCAGGCTGGACTTTAGCAAATTTTCAATTATCTGGGAAAGTGCCAGATCAGTAAGGAATCTGAAAGAGACGCAAAGAAACTGGAGCAAGCTTCGCTGCACATCTCTTCAGCACAATGTCAGGAATCAAATCAGAATCAGAAGCTTTATTGATGTAGAGCGATGCTTGGAGGTTACTTACCGCATAGTGTACGGAAACCTTGGGATCGATGGCACTTAGGCATTTATTGTCACATAAGCGTAGAAAGGGACCTTGAGAAGTTCCCTCCTATCTGCTTGGTCAGCGTCCAAAAAGATCGACTGATATTACGTTGACTATGAATGAACATACAAGAGCAAATGTACAAATTTGTGACCTGACACGACTCTTGGAAGGAAGAACCAACATTTCCTTCTGGGTTCCGTGAGTTGACTCCACCTTGTGATGCAAATTGGTAACTGTCGATTTTTTTCATAACAGTCATTTCATCTAGTTGACTTTATTATTAAGCGAACACCTCTAACGGGAGTAGTCGGTGATGTCATTGGGTGGTTAAATGGATAGTGTCTTGTGAAATTACCTTTTTCAAACATCTCCAAAGGTTGTAGTCGATACCGTTCGATAGAACTAAGAATAGTTTGGTGTCTTTAAGCTTATTTAGTAATTTACATCCAACCTTCGATTTCGCCGGATGGGTTGAAAAATAATAGTCTGGTGAAATTGCATGGAAAACAACCTTTTCAAAACAATACTGTATTATATACCAGTTTTAAAATGCACATATCCAAAAATAAACATGAAAAAATATAAACATTCATTAGCATTTGAGAAAAGGTATGAATTTCAAATTTAACACAAGTACTAAACGGATCGTCACAGCGAATCGGTTACTCATAAGGGTGTGGATTGACAATGCCACAGATTTCAAATTGAATCAAAATAGTAGATTTCATAAAAGCATGTTTTTACAATCTTTTTGTTTAATGACAACAATACAAATTTCCACCGATCGATCCATATTTTAGACTAAAATATGGCTCATCTTGCTGTAACTAGTTAAATATTTTAGATAAAAATGAGTAGGGTTGGACAAAAAGTTAAAGACTACGATAATCTCTCATTTTTTAATTTGCTGAGAATCATAAGTCAAAAATTATCACTCATTAACCCCTCAACAAAGCCTTCCCACAACGATCCGTTAAGTACGATGCAATCAGCTTTACAGTCTTTCCTCGGCACCATGGCAATGATGGCGGCATCTTTTTTCCAATAGGACTCAAATCAAGCTTGGTAAGTGGACGCGGCAACGTTGCCACCCTTTCCTGTCCAGTTGGTGTGCACAAAAGAGCCCTCTTTGCCAAGAAGTTCGTACGTGTGGGCGCCAAAGTAGTCCCTCTGCGCTTGGAGCAGGTTGGCGGGCAACCTTTCGCTACGGTAGCCATCGTAGAACGCCAGGGCAGTGCCTAGTGCTGGGGTTGGAATGCCTATAATAAGGAAAATATGATTTATAAAATAAAAAAATAAGTGAATAAAAAATAATGCAAATCATGAAAGTAGGTTTTTATTTTTTATAAGATTTTAATAAACAGTGACATCCACTCCTGTCAAATATTGGAGCATGTGATCAACTATTATGCCAGCTGTTAATTTCATTAATTTAGGTGCTGATGGTATTCAAATTTCAAAGATTTCGACTACTCTTTCCTGACAAGAGCACATGTTTCTAAACCACACTATAACGATTGTATTACTACAATTAACTTTCCAACAGAAACTGTCGCTCCAGAATATTTCAACCTAATACACACGACTGAAACTATAAAAGTGTTAAATATAACAGCTATTCGATGTTAGTGATGATAGGAGTAACGTCATCTTAACTGTAGGTTTTCTTAAAATAAAGTACTTTTATACAGGGTGGCCAATATATAACTGACTGATTTCAATTGCGCGCCATTTTTGATACACGCATTTCAGTAGGTGGCGCGTAGCTGTTTAGAGCACACGTGTCCAATTCATCATGGAGCGCTACACGATCCCATAACGCGTCCGTATTGTTAAAACGTTTTACTTAAATAATGAGTCGATTGTTGCAACGATTCGGGAGCTACGACAAGATTTCGGTCAGAATAATGTGCCCAGTGTCAACACAATACTTAAGTTGGTGCGAAAATCTGAACAAAAAGGTGAAGTTAAAGACTTGGCAAGGTCAGGCCGTGTTCGAACTGTTCGTACTCGTTCGACATCGTTATCAAGAACTGGGTATTCATCGCACGTCATTATGCACTATTTTAAAAAAATACTTGCATTTGCGGCCATAGAAAATTAAGTTAACCCAAGAACCACAGGCTACTGACCATCAAAGTGGCCGACAACACAGTCATGCAATATTGCAGCTTAATACCCAAAATTATGATTTTTACCGACAACTGATAAAATGAGCGATGAAGCCCACTTCGATATGAACGGATTTGTTAATAAGCAGAATTTTCATATCTGGGCATTAGAGAACCATCGTGTCATCCATCAACGACCACTACATCCTCGTCGAGTCACAGTTTGGTGCGGTATGGAGATGTCATTGGACCTTACTTCTTTGAAGACGCTGCAGGTAATTATCTTACTGTCACTGGCGAGAGCTACCGTTATATAATGCAAAACTTTTTGGCTCCTTAAATCCAACAATTTAACCTGCAAAACATGTGGTTCCAGCAGGACGGAGCAACTTGTCACACAGCTAGGGAAACAATCTTTTGCGAACAGTATTTCCGGGAGGTTTAATTTCTCGATTTGGTGTCAACTGGCCACCAAGGTCACCGGATTTAACAATTTTTGTATGGGGATTTTTGAAAAATTTGGTTTATGCCAACAAACCAAATACTGTAGAGCAGCTGAAGAACAATTTACGGAGGCGATTGAAAATATTTGTCCTGAAACCTACCAACAAGCGATGGAAAATATACTCATGAGAGCTCAGGTTCTAGAGGCGGACATTTGTCTGATATTATTTTTCATACATAATTTCTAAGTTTCAATAAAAGATTAAGATAAAAAAATGGACGTATTTCATTTTATAAATATTCAAGATACAGTCAGTTACATATAGGCCACCTTGTACAAACATCACTGCACTGATAACATAATAACCATGAAGTTGATATATTTGTTTAAAAATATATCAAAGCAATCTATACTTAATAGAGGATTATTAGGGAGGCTAAGCCCGGCATTTCAACCTGAACCTTGTACATTAGGTTGTCACCAAGTCACAATTTTATTCGTAGTTTCTACAACATTCAAACACATCTGAATGAAATAATAGACTTATGAATGATTGCGGCATATGTTAATGCTGACATTATCATGTTGTTTGGTTTAATTACCAATCAACTCTCTAATATTCTTCCATACAAATTGTTTGGAATACTCACCAGTATTGACAGCAAGAGCAACGACGTTTCTCCAACCTGACTGAGCGTTGTTGATGGCGTCCAAAAAGAACGGATCTAACAGCAGCGAACTGAGATTGGGATCCTTCTCGAAAGCTTCCTTGATTTTGCCCAGGAATACAGATCTAATTATACAACCACCTCTCCACATTAACGCTATCGCACCATAGTCCAGATTCCAGTTGTGTACCTGAGTGAAGAAATCATTAGAAATTTATACTTGAAAGGAATGAAATTGTTTTTGTCGCGGAATTGGAATGGCAAACGAAGATTTTTTAGCTCATCAATGCAGCGTTATCCTGGATATAGGCATAGAAGTGAACGCAAAGCACAATAGTTGGCTACACTGGAGAAATAAACAATCCATCACCAATGAACATTTTTGCTAACTGGCAAACGATCAGCTAACATGGGACTGTGATTCCAAAAAATTAGAATAAAGCTTTAACAACCTTGGCTGCCTCACGCATAAGCATGAATCCCTGGGCATATGAAACGATCTTAGCGGCATAGAGAGCTTGCTTGAGGTCTTCCATCAGCTGCCTCCTGTCCCCTTGGATTTTACATGTACTAGGTCCCCTTAGTTTCTTACTGGCAATTTCTCTTTCTGGTTTCAATGCTGAAAGACACCTGGAGAAAAAGAACGCCATCGTAAAATATTGTGGTGCTATGACCATATTCTTTTATTTAAGCTTTAGTAATATGATACTGTATAAGAATACCAATTATAATAAGAGTGCAAACTGATTCCTAAGTTCTGCTTAAACTTACCTGCTAAAGACTGCTTCACCTATTAGCGTCACAGGAATACCATAGTTTAGAGCTGCTATAGCTGTCCATTTCCCTGTGCCCTTTTGACCAGCAGTGTCTCTTATCTTTGGTAACAGGTACTGACCTGGAAGAACCATCAATATTAGGTTAACCATTTATAACCAGTGCTCGTCAGTTTCTTACCATCACTATCTTTATACCTGAGAATATCTCTCGTTATTTCTATGAGGAAACTATCTAGCTCTCCCTTATTCCACTCATCGAAAGTACTTGCCATTTCCTCTTGTGTCAGCCCCATTGCTGTCATCACGTGGTATACCTTGAAAATAGGGGCTTTGGATAGATTGACTTAGGCCCAGATATACATTTCAGCAAACTATAATTAAACCAAAATGATATAGTTTTAAATGTAAATAAAAAACATTCAATACCGATGCAAGAACGAATTCGTTTAACCCAATTTTTTCTAATGAAGAACGATGATTTACCGATACTATGCATTCCTTGGTGTCCAGTGGGAAAGTTCACATTTCAAATTTGAATTACGCGGCAACCGTATACGCAAGGAAGTGGCGAGATGTCTTGATCGACACGTTCGGCTTGCGGGTTAAATAGTCACAATGGAACGTTGGATTGGAGCGTAACGTGGTTTTGCTATCGAGGCTTACTTTAAGAGTGGTAATTCATACGCACCTGCCCTTAGAAAATTTTGTACGCGATGCAACATTTACAATCAAGAGATGCCCCAAGTAAAAGCCTATTGAAAAAGTGGATTAAGAGGTTACGTGAAACAGGCTCTACTCTTAGTCAACCCATTCCTGGTCCCACACCTACTGTATCAACCGAAGAAAATTTGAATTTCAAACTGATACTTTTTTTTGATAATAAACTGAATTGTGTAAAACATCTGGTAAAAGCTATTTGGCTAGTGAACAACTTACAGATTTTACGAATAACTTCCGTTTCTCGTGTAACACGTGATTTATAGATGATTTAGATGAGTATCAAGAAAAAATGTCAGTTTTGAAATCAAATGTTTTCTAACCCCAAATACTCTGGGAACCCCCCTTTAAATCAGTTATACATACCTGTAAAATATTAAGATTGGTCTGACAACAGGTCCCTATACTCCAGCTTGGTGTATAATCTGTTTAAAGTGATTTTATTTGAGTATATGTCTTACCTCTCCAATAAGCTGCATATCTCCATATTCTATGCCATTGTGGACCATTTTAACAAAATGTCCAGCCCCGTCGTTACCGACCCAATCACAGCAAGGTTGGCCATCAACTTTTGCAGACACACTTTGGAAGATGTCCTTGATATATGGCCAGGCTTCTTTGTTGCCACCAGGCATCAAGCTAGGCCCATATCGAGCACCTTCTTCTCCTCCTATTTTTGAAAGGTTAAATTATCAATTCATTTCATTTAACCACAAGAGCATTAGACGATGTAAAATGATAGAAAAGAAGGAGGAGATTTTTAAGTCTATATCGCGCCCAAGATTCAAATACAACGTAAAGTGTTTCATAGTCCATGAATGGGGAACTGCAGGGTCACCATACAAGATAGCATCAAACGATGTCCCTCGATTTTTGTACGGCTCCTTTTTTACTGGACACAAGCTTTCTATCCCGCGCTTTTCCCCGCGGAACATATATATGTCGCCACTAATTAAGTAACCAAATTCCCAAAAATACGAAATGTGAGTTTATATCAATATTTGGTGTTAATAGCACTCACCTGAAACTCCAGTTCCGACGAATCGGATACCCTTGCTAGCCAAATCTTTGCTCCTCCTCTCACTATCAGTGTATTCAGAGTTGCCACCATCGATAATTATATCTCCTGGCTCCAACAGTTTCACCAACTGATTGATAAAATTATCCACGGCATCGCCGGCCTTCACCAACATCATCACCCGACGAGGCGTCTTCAGTTTGGAGACCAAGTCTTGCAAAGACTCTGCACCCAGGATGCTTTTGCCTTTTGCCTCATTTGCCAGGAAGTGATGCACCTACAATTCAAACAGCAAAAATTATATTATGCTTCACAATCGGGTATTTTCCAAAAAAATATTTCGGCAGAGTATCATCAATATTTTGCTTCCAGAGAGTAAATATAAAACATAGCTTTTGCGCCAAGGCTGCAACGAAATAAGTGAATTCTAGCATGAAAAAAGAATGTTCATCTATGTCCTGCCTTCAGAATCTGACAATGCTGGTGCCACAGAAGTTAGGGCTTCCCTTAGATGTGAAGAAAAGAACCTTTATTTTATGACCTTCATTGTTTGACATCAAAGATAGAAATCGAATCCTATTCACTGATTTCTTAGACAAGAAAAACAGAGGGTTGAAAGGATTTATGTTATTGAAATACATTTTATTCAAATGCGCGAGACAAAAAATAGGAAAATGTGTTAATCTTGGGCAGCTACTGGCTTGTGAAAGCACATTTGTAATAAGAACTATACAAATAACAGTATTAGTAAAAACACTTAATTTTTGTTGGCAGATCTATTGAAAACATTTGTGCTAATTAATTGTTTACAAACTTTCCACTTTCTGCAACTTATCAGCACTAAAAGCATTATGCCTTTTGAAGAACAACGCTGACCAAAATAACTTGAAAAAAATAACAATATCCATCTCAATATAAAGTATACCTATTGGTTGGTTCTAGAATTATCTACTATAATAGTTATGTTCTGTACTAGAATTACCTTATCCACAGTTCTGTTAAAGGCAACAACTGTAAAACCATGATCAGCCATGTTGAGTATCAGGTTTTGGCCCATGACAGCCAACCCAATAAGACCAATGTCACCCTTTCTAGAAAATAAAATAACACAATTAATATATGACACAATAGATTTATATTCAATAATAATATGACAAAATGACACCACTCAATCTAATATTAATTTTGATGTCTATATCATTCATCCAGTGCCAGATAGTAAGCAAATGAAGCACCTGCCTTAGGGGCAGCATCATGAAGGTGCAAAATTCTTAATTAAGGATGGATCCAGGAGGGGGAGGGGGTCATGAGCCACACTGGGCAAAATGTTATCAAAAAGGCATTAGGAGGAAACACACCTCTGTGAACATGAATCTGACAACTACTGTGCCTACCCCACTCTAGACAGCTTCCTAAATCCACAACTGTAATTAAATGACCCCATTGACTCAAAGGCTGCTTCCATGCTTGGTCTCAATTAAATTGGGGGGGATATGTCTAAGAATGTTCTAGAATAAAATAAGCAGTATTTTTTGATAGTATAAATATCATACATTCATTTGAACTTGTATTTTCTACATATTGTAAATTTATAGATGTAGCCATCATGCCAGCAGGTGTACAGCAAAATTATGGTATGTGGGAAACATGGGCAACATTTTCTAGGACCCCTATATGTGATCGACAGACCTTGCATGGAACAATTATATATCCATACTATGCAGATTCACACTATTCACTATTTGTATAGAGTCCCCTAGCATTTGGGAATATGTAAACATGCTCTACAATATTTATATGCCACTGCATCACAGCATAAATAATCAGCTGAAATTTGTTGGTTTTTATCAAGTATTTAACTCCTATGTAGTTTATTAATTTATTAATATGTTTTCAATTAATGATTTAGTTAACAATGCCCCCAATTAAAACAAACTATTTTCATGAAGCTGTTTTGTCCAATTTTGTATATCTATTCCAACTCAAAACCTTTGGGTTACAGTGCCTAGAAATTTAATAACTTTCACTTTAATATGTATCATTACTGTTATTTAGTACTGTATCATATTGCTGAATAGCCTGAATACTTATGAGTTAAGTATTAGAAATGATGATTGTGCAAAAATTACGTAGGTACTAGAACCACATTAGCAAACATCTAATTGCACCCACAAAACCAACACATTAACTGTAAATGCAAATACTCACTGAGACATATTTTTGAAACCACCTGTTGCCTTTTTGTAGTGTTTGGAGGTTATTAAAAAATCGCGAAATGTTGTATAGGTGCTACTCTACGTGCGACAGTTTCAAAACTGATACCAGCAATAATTTGTCCCATTAACTGCGCTAGTGCGCTGGAAAGTCACATTGATTGCATGTGAAGGTCAGATGTTTGCTGGAAGGTGATAAAAATGCGATTTCGTCAGATATTTCGGCAATTAGAGTTATACTTCAGTGCTCGCTAAACTTGTAAAGATTTTCGAGATTGCTTATTCGATGCCCATCGATAATCCTTTGGGAATCACAAACCGTTTTCGTTTTGCAAATATCGGCAAGACAGATATGGAAAGAAAGCTTAAAACGTGAAAACCGTTAAAGATATACAAAATGTTTTCCGGCATAGGTCAAACTAAATTCCTGATTAAAGTGAACGTATTATCACTCTCCTTGACCTTAATGAATTTATAATCTTTATATTGTTCAAAATTCAAAATTACATTTTTTTTAATTTGACGAATGTTCTATGGTATTCCACGTTTGTCAACTTGTCAAAGCAATTCTAACCTAACTTCACCTTGTGATGGGATCACATATTTAACTCAAAAGTGAACCAACGCATCATACTTGTGAGCTAGATTGGTGAAATAAAAATAATACTTTTGTGTTTGTTTTGCGCATGTGGGAATTGTGTTGCGGTTTTTCTGGATAATTTTTAGGTTCTAAAACAAATAATTTCGTCCTTAGCATTGTAATAACGTTGTGTAGAAATTTCATCGAAATCCGAGCGGTACTTCTCGAGTTATCGGCGGTTATGAGATTAGCGGACAGATTGACGGAAATGAGTGACGTGGTTTTTCGTGATGTCATATAACATCCTTTTAGAAATCTTTAGCGATTTCAATACTTTGCCGCCAGTGGGCTTCACAAAAGGGAAATAAAACAAGCTGAAATCGAAAAAAGTGGTACAGATTGACACAGCAATTCCCATGCAAAAATTCTCATTTAATTTTTCATTTCAATATTGTGATGATACGATGCATTATAATCTAATCTCTTTCAATCTTTACTAGGGTCCATTTTCTTTGCAGTCTCGTCTTGATTCCTGGGGTTTGATTCTAAATGAGTTTCGACCGTTGAAATTGATTTCGATGGGGCCTTGTGACGATTTAGTTGATTAGCCATGATAATTTTGACACTGCCATGATCATTTGAATATAGAAGATCAATATAATCAGATGTCAAAATTAGGCACCATCGAAGTCGATTTCAACGGTCGAAACTCATTTAGAGTCAAGCCCCTGGTTCAGTTAAGATATTGAGAAGTGAACCCACCTCTAGGTGAAGCTATTAACGAATTTGACATCTGTTGACATTAGACGTCAAAAAATGTGGAGATCAAATCAAAAATCAAAACAATGAAGAGGTGTAAAATAATTTTTCAACTAGAAAGAATATCTGAAATATTATGACTGAAAATATAGACAGTTTGTATTCAAAATGAGAGTTTGATATAGCCAGATGATAAGAAATGGTAAATATATTTGCATTGCTTACAAAAAGCATAGCAAAGCAATACATTTCTTTGTGCTGTGCTTATGAGCAGTACATTGGAAGTTTTTTATCTCGTTTTGCATTGTAGTAGGACGTTTTTTTCATGATATAATAGCTTTTTGCCTTTTGTTTCAAATCATTTAAATGTTTTACATCTTACAGGACAATTCCACAAAATACATAACAATTAGTGTAGCTGCCTTTGTATGTTACTGCAATACATTATGGGGCACTTTTGTGTTTGATGACAGTGAGGCAATTGTGAAGAACAAAGATGTAATGCTGCATACACCACTGAGAGATATCTTTAGAAATGACTTCTGGGGGACAGATATCACTCTGAATATTAGTCATAAAAGTTATAGACCCCTCACTATATTATCTTACAGGTAGGAGACAGATATGGAATGGCATAAAACATGGACATATTACAGAATAATAATGCATGTTTAGATGTACTTATCCATGAAAATAAAATCCCTGAAACCCCATTTTTTGTGTATTATTTTTGTTTAGCATGCCTTTTCTAGTCACAATAAAGGTGATCATCTTCAATCTTTGAGGAAAGCATCTTGGGTTTTCTTTATCTATTAACAAAACTGCAGACTCATCCACATTTGTATTTATAAAATATTTACCTCTTTCTATGAATCAGCCTTATTAAACATATTAAAACTATTGCTAGCATTCTTCAGTAGATATGATAAGTTGTTTATTTTCTCACAACCTACACACTACTTATGACTGCTAATTAAGATGAAAGAAGGCCAGAATTGTTCACCATAGCCTCTTACTTAAGGGTGGGGATATGATGGCTTGAGAAGCTGCTCCTGGAGGTGAAGATATCACCATTAATGAGTCTGTTTCTAGTTGAAATTTGTTTTATTCTATCTGATGATATTTTGTTTTTTTTCTCGTCCTTTGAATAATAAAAGGGTCTTGTCTCAGCTCTGTTTCCAGACTTGACAGATCACACATACTAATTGAGTTACACACAAATAAGGATCCCACATTGGTACTTTGATGAGACATAGCAAAAATGGAATTATTAGCATAGTACATTTTTTATAAATCCTAAAAGGGGAAAACTACACTGCATGCAATTAAAAGTACAATCTTGTAGTAATTTACCATTGGAACTATGAGGGAAAATAAGGCTGACAATATACGATGTGTGGTGGGAGAAACGCACGAAAAATATCCACACATGTGGCTTACACTCATTCTGATTCCACCTTCAGATCCTGTGGGTGAAACTATTTCTTTCTTGAAGCATATTGCTTACCACCTTATAGAGACAATCACAACTATATCTATTACTACAGGCCTGCAGCAACAGGTTAATGTTAGTAGCCAACAATTAACATAACTGCATTTTTTATATTTCATACATTTTAACAAATTTAGAGACAATCAGATAGTTCCATTATTTACCCTTTGTGGCTAACTTTATCTTTTTACTATGAAATCGTCCATTTCCATTGAATTAGTATCAGTGAATACAAAGGCCATTTAAATGTCATACAGTTTGTTATCACCAGTATTACACAGCTGGTCATCATAGGTAGTATAAATGGAAATATTGGCTTGATGATGTATGCCTAATGAAGAGATTCAATCTGTAACTTGACCTCGTATCTCGCGGTTTGCCAAGTCGCACAAATCAGACACCATTGGGACAAATAACACCACTGATTAAGGCATCGCCACCAGGCAACACTAAGATGGTCCTGGTGTATAATACCTGTTGCAACATACTTGTTATTCTGGAGAATAAGCTCCTTCTAGGAAGCTAGCGAGCGAAAATACAGGTTCTACTCATTCCTGAACTATACTTATATTACACTGAGAAAAATAAATTATGATAGCATTGTTTAGCTTCAAATCTATGAGCAACTAAAACTTGCCATTTTTTGAACCATGAATTTGTGGTCATCCCAGAAGGCCAGTAGACTGCAAAGGGTTAAATAATTAATCTATATTTTTTTCATTGTAGGTTAAACGTCCTTTATTCGAACAACAAACTGGATGCGTTTCAGTTCCATGCAACCAATGTCATCCTCTATGGCGTGTTGTGCCTGATCACCGTCACTGTCTTCGAACTCTTCCTCAAAAAGTCGAAATATGCGACGAACGTACACGATATCGCGTACTACTCAGCACTGCTGTTCACTGTACACCCTGTACACACAGAGCCTGTGGCTGGTCTTGTCGGGAGGTAAGGGCATGAAGGTATTTTCCAGTAACTCAATATCAATTTCCATTCGTCTGATTGGACGAATACTGCAACGATGATTTGCTAATGAGCACGAAATAGCGTCGCCTGCGTTTGGTCATGATTACAGACAGAAAGAAAACATGTTCATTTCACCTTTTGTCTGTTTATGCATATATACATAGAAAGCCATTATTGAGATGTTCCGTGGATACGTAGTATTTCGATTGCTTGGCGGAACGGCCGTTATGGTGGTGCGACAAACGCAATTAATCTGTGCATCTTCATTGTCTGGGAAGAGGATGAAAATCAGCTTGGCACCCCATTGGTAGGTGGAGAGAGGTATCGTTAGATTTCTCACCTACTTGCGCACAGTCGGAGTGGCTTCATAATTCCAATACATAAATGTATACTTATAACGTTAATTTTCAGGGCGGATATCCTTAGCTCGGTGCTATTCTTTTTGGTATTATTGATGTACCAAAAATACAGAAATGCGACTGGAGAAATTGTTTTATTTTGGTTCGTTATGTTTATACTGATGACAGGATGCGCCGTATTGTGCAAAGAAACTGCAATATCTATCTTGGTAAGTGCATACATAGTACGGTAAAACCAAGAAAATGTTCAAATCGCGGAATGTCCGACGGTTCGGTTAAAGCCCGTAATTATGATGAACTTGATTGCATTTTTTTTTGTTTAAATCTATATGTGATCAACTTACTGTTCATACAGTAGTCGCCAACTTGTCAGTGACCTTGTCCAAGATCGGGTCAAACAAATTCCGTTTACTCTGCTACGCTACATAGATGGAATTCACACGGCCGGATCAGAGAACATGTCACCGACCACTGTACGAATAAACCTATAGTTGTAGTCACCGTTCTTGGCGGTTACGCCATCAACGCCATATGAAATACCATACCATGGGCGGAACACTGCGCAGACTAATCTTCAGCGCATCTGCTACTCTCTCCAGTACGCATGAAGTAGGTAACAGGGGGCCGCTGTTTTCTTTCTCGTCCTGGAAATACTCTAATAAATTTAGCACGAGCTGTCGGCCTTCTTCATTGATCGTATTTCCGAGCATTGTACAATTTTATATTGAAGACTGATAATAGGACAACTAAAATTGCACGCCGATGTGAAGAAAGTTGTCACTGACAAATATGATTGAAGGGCACCCGTACGTAACGACAAAGTTTTCGAGACGGAGACACAATTAAAAAACGTATGTCTTTGAGCTCACCGGAAAAATGTTCACACATAGGGGTAGGTTGCATGTGTATGTATGAGGGAGATGGAAATATACAAAGGGATACTGATAGTTTTACTTTGACCCGCCAAGAACGGTGACTACAACTAGATCATCTTGCACAACCAATGCACAACTTTCCCAGTACTGGATTTTTTTCGTTTTTCCGACTTCCTAATATACGAGGGCGGTCCGATAAGTACTTAGCCTACAAAAGAAAAACAAAAATTTTTGAAAAGTGGTGATTTTATTTCTCAACATCGTCTCCTTTTAGCTCGACACATTTGACACAGTGTTGCTCCAACTTCTTTAACATGTCTGAAAAATACGTTATCTGGAGGTCTGCAGACCTCCGTGACGGCGATAACCTCCTCATTCGACTCAAATTTCTGCCCGATGAGTGACTTTTTGAAGTTTGGAAATAAAAAGAAGTCGCACGACGCCAAATTTGGAGAATCCTGTGGATGGGGCGGCACTTTGTAGACTAATTCGTCCAATTTGACCGTAGCGGCGGCGGATGTGTGAGCCGGTGCGTCGTCATGGTGAAAGAGCACTATTTTATTCGCCAAATTTGGTCTTTTTTATGCATTCGGCGTCGGAAGCTCAATAATTCAGCATAGAAGAGCCCTGAGACCGTTTTGCCCTTCTCCAGATAGTTGATGTAGATCATATCTCGCGAATCCCAGAAAACGGTGGCCGTCACCTTTCTGGTGGATTCCACATGCGGTCAACTAAAATTTTGACAGTGTCCGTCTACGAGAATATGCTACACGATAGTAAAATTTTCGTGCGATAGAGGCGCCATCGGGCTGCGAGGCTAAGTACTTATCGTCTCATATCTTCTGGTCTTTCTTATCCAGTTCGTTTTCTTTGGCCAGCCAATAATTTAGCATCTGTGGTTTTAACTGATAGAGAGAAATCGCAATGTATAAGTTCGCCTAAACTTGGCCTAATCAAACGTAGACCACTCACATAACATCAGAATTTGGACAGGTGCGTTAGTCATTCGTAGGTTCGACCAAAAGACACTCAAGAATATTTCGGCCGTTGGTCATTTCGCGATTTCACAAGTCATACCATAGGTTTAACAGGGTTCTTAGACTTTGCTTGAAATCATTAATTAACCGCTTTTGTGGCTTAAATATGAACTGACAGTGTTTTTTCCATAGGGAATGTTGATTATCTACGACATATACAGGGAGAAGCGTAGGTCAACGTCGTGGTGGGATTTGCTGACATTTTGGAACCTTTTAAAATATATGACAATAATATCATGCGGACTAGTTATTATGTACTACCGTTTTAAGGTAATGAATTTTGAAGGGCCAATCTTCACTACCAATGACAATCCCGCCGCATTTTCCGATAGTTTCATTACTAGGGTATGTAGATATTACCTAAACATGTTTACGCTTTCACCTCTATGACTAATTAAATTAAGCAATATTAAAGACTAGTTTTGAAACGAAAATTAAAGAATAACTTGTTAGTCGGTACCCTGCGAAATAGTGTAGATTGGTGTTGGATTTATTTTTACTTAAACCAGTGGTAAAAAAATGGACATATATGTTTATCGAGTTTACCTCTCTGAATGCATTATATCTATTAAAAGTTTGTCTCTTGTTCTGTTTGAAGTTGCAAATGTCTAAGGAGATGACTTTAGCAAAAATAATCTAAGCATACCTGTGGTCCGTCCTTAATATGGTCTTCTCTTGGGGACGCTCTGAAAACAATCGATTTTAGATTAATCAATTGTTGTACATAGAACATTTTGACCCATTTCAAAATCGTACAAAACACCACTAACTAATACAGACGATAGGTGTCTTTTAAAATTACTACTAACTCTTTGCAGTCTACTAATGTTCTGAGATGAACTCCAATTCACTTGAATTATGATGGTTGCCTATAGTTTGGGCTTTTTGACATTTGAGGTGGGTAGTAGTAGGGGTGGGGAAGGGAAGCTTGACTACTTAGGCCATCTTTGACCCTTTTTGCTGAACCCGTTACCCGTAGAACGAACACTGTATTACTCCACGAGCCATCCATGTTACTGATATAATAATCAAGTTCAGCGACGAGATGGTTAATATCACTCCCACGTAGGAGGGATAATTCAATGTGGTGCAAATTTTTACGTTTGCACTTTGGAGGCAAGCTTTGTCATTTTTCGTTTATACAAAGAAATTAAAAATATTTCGGAGTATATTTTTAGGGGCAAAATACTCATTTATTCGAAATAAGAATTTTGAGTTTTGATGTTTGAGTTGTATACTTCTAAAAAAACTCTTTAGCCTACCTTTTTGGTAATGTTGACTATACTGATTATGCAAAAAGTATTATTAACAAATTTTTGTTGCAGCTGTTCACCTATAACTACTTGTACTTGTTGAATTTCCTGTTACTGTTATGGCCACAATGGTTGTGTTTTGATTGGTCGATGGGATGTGTACCTTTGATTGAGTCACTTTGTGATAAACGTGTGATTTTCGTTATCTGTTTTTGGATCGTAACAGCTTATGCTGCGTATACTTTGTTTAAGAAGAATCTAGATAATGCTGTATTGTAAGTATACATTTCTTGTTTGTAAGTTTTTATGTTTTCACATAGATTTTTTTTTCATTGAGACTGGCTTCCGTATAGCTCTCAAAATTTATATTCGTGACCAATAAAAACGGAAACTATACATACCTTTGTATATATAATACCTGGGACTGAAACTCATTTATCAATTGTATGATACACGCATTTGTTGTTTTTACCTTACAGCTAAGCTAACTAATATACAAGAACAGTGCAAAATGTTTACCTTCAGCTAGAAAGCATGGCTTTAATCTCGCTCTCATATACTCCAATTGTTTCAAAACACTAGGGCGAGGGCCATTTCTTATTGAATTACATCCTGTAACCATCCAGTATTTCATATGTTCCACCCGAAAAGTGTAAATTAATACTATGCATCCTAATAAGCCCCAACTCATACTGCATTCATAGTTCTTCGGACATAGTGAAGTCCATCGCATCGTTGCTAAGATCTCCACCCAAATGTTTGCTAAGATCTCCACCCAAATGTCTGTATTACTAAGAACGAGGATGACTGACGGTTTGTTCGTAGAGTGGTCGGGGACTTGTTAGCGACTGTGACTGGAATTCGGCCATGTCAATTCTGTCTAAATAGAGTAGCAGAATGAACTTAATTTGGTTACATGATCACTGACAGGTTGGTGTCAGCTGTCCGAACAGTGCTATATTCACTATGTATTCAAGTGCAACTATCAAAGGAACAGTAGTGCCATGGTGATGCACTGGTGTGCGGGCGAGGTAAAAGTACATAATGCAGCGCCCGTTTCATATCCATACATTGGCCACGCATTAACTGGCATATCAAATTGACGCAGTGTTAGTAGCGGGTTTCAACATGGCACCTATGCCGTATCCGCATTAAAACGCAGGTTCTCGATCGTCAGTCTTTGAGTTTGCTAGCCAATTTGTAAGTTACTATAAGCCATTAGAAGCGCAAATAATGAGAAATCGAGCAACCACGTTTGTTGTGACGTAGCATAAATGATATTAGAATTGGGCTAGATGGCCGCATACAACACAAGGTTTTAAATTTAGGAAAAATGTGTATTTCAAACTGAAAATTTTCTTTGGATACTATACTAAATCGGGTAATCTCCCGCGTAGGGCCCTACAAGCTGATTAGACTGGTGTCAGCTTACAGGCTTCACGAATAACTTTTGTCTCTATAAAGCTTCGTGGTGATTTTTCTAACCGTATAAAAACTGAAGTTATTAGTGAAACCTATAATTTATCACATAACTAATTGACTTGACTAGAGACTCAGATTATGCGATTTGGCTTGGTCTCAAAAATGGGGCAAGTCCTCTTCGACTTGTTCAACAATGTCCATCTGTTTGTATCAGATACTCACGGGTAACGACACAAGTTGCCGATTGTAAGGTAATAATGAGTTTGGAAGTTTGACAATGACACTGGAAACTTGCATCTAGCTGAACGTAGTTATTTTGAGCAATCTTGGCAGATTAGGAAGCTTTACCTGTAATTTCTGCAAATAACAAATACCGATTTTCAAATATTGTCAACCGATCTTAGCTCAAAAAATCAGCCTCTGAATGTTTATCCCATACTTGGCCAACTATTATAACAATAATGTTAGTGGGTGTGAAGTTGCATCAAAATATGTAAGTGTTTTTGTATATATGTATATTTTTATTTGTTGATATAGCTTTCTGGATCTTGTCTTCGAATAGTCCGGATGCTTAGATAATGAATCCTTGTTATTTTTCAGAGATGCAAGAATAATGGGTGTTAGTTTAATGTTGCTGCCGTTCTTACCTGCGTCAAACATCGTCTTTACAGTTGGTTTTGTTGTAGCTGAAAGAACGTTGCTGTTACCCAGTGCTGGGTTTTGTCTTCTAGTCGTTATAGGATTAAAAAAATTGGAAAGAAAGTATCATGATAACAGGAAGGTATTAGCATAATGACACGTTCAAACATTTCGGAATTCAAGCCCCAAATTTTGATATTCCATACTAATGCAGCCCGTATGGGAATCAAAAGGATCGGGGACTCACGAGCTGTTGCATGTCAAAATCGCAATTAACTCGCGAGTTCCCATTCGTATGTGGCACCAAACAGTTGTGTAAATCGATAGGTACTATAATTGTCACTCGACTTGAACTTTAAAACCGCGTGTGTGTCTTGATTTTAAGACTCATGCAATTGGCTGGTCAGTCCCCGATCACTTCGATCTGTATGTCAGATGGCATCAATATCCTGTTAACACATTCCATTTGATATCCTTTTGGAGCAACAAAGACCTTTATTACATGAAAGAAATGATGTACAAGGGGTACTATAAAAGTTTTGCAGTACAGCTTTATTTATTGACTTTATCCTAAGTAATTTCCACCACATTCAATACACTTCTCCATCCGCACAAACCAGTCCTTAAACCAGCTCTGCCAAGTTTCACTTGGGAGTGCGGCACACTCGTTGTTCCAAGCCCTCAGAAGATCCTCATCGCTAGAAAACCGTTTTCCTTTCAGCCTCATTTTCACATCCAGAAACAGTACAAAGTCGCAGGGTGCAAGATCTGGACTGTAAGCAGGGTGCTCAATAAGTTTCAGTCCAGAAGTGGCAAAAACTCCGTGCAGGCTTTGGTGCGGTGAGATGGAGCGTTGTCATGGTGGAGGTACCAAGTGTCCATTCTTGACTTTGGCCGCAGGTTTTTCATAGACTCTATGACGTTAGGCAGACACTGTTCCGTGTACCACTTAGCTGTGACTGTCTTCTGTGTGTCCAAAACGACAGGATCTACAATCCCGCTCGATTTGAAAAATACAGCTATCATTTTCTCAACAGATCGGGATTTTCTGACAACTACGGGTGTGTCCTCATCATCAAAGACCCAAAGTTTGTTTTGAGCCTTGGTCGGCACATCGTAATAATAGAACCAAGGCTCGTCACCTGTCACGAACTGCATGAAGGTGTAAGGTATCCTCTATGTGTTGGGATATCACTCTCCGGTCTTCGCCAAGCATTTTCCTCGCAGCAGGAATGCTTTCGTCTGTTACTGACGTTCGCGGTATTCCTTCCCACCGAGCGCCCTCCAGAGTGAAATTGCCCCTTTGGAATTCTCTGAACCACCTGAATGAAGTCGTACGATGAGGATAATCATTCTTTAATGCAAGCGTCATTTCTTCTACAACCGTAAAACTGCCCGCGTGACCACGATGCCATACTCCGCACTTTACACTGTCAATACGAATGAACATCTAAATCAACAGACGTGCTGCTGGCGGCTACTATGAATTCATGAACATGTCTCAACATGCAGTAACGTGCAGCCTCCTGCGTCCGTTTGTTAAGTCATATTGCAAAACTTTTATAGTACCCTTTGTATATAAACATAAAATAACAAGCTGGCAAAAAACAAATGTCTGTTCGTAGGTATTTCTGATATTATTCTATCTCCTCCTTCTGATATTCGCTTTACGCACAATACAAAGAAATTCTGAATGGCTAAGTGAAGAAAAATTATTCACATCTGCTCTGGAAGTATGCCCACTGAACGCTAAAGTTCACTATAACATCGCTAAAATAGCTGCTGATAAAGGAAAGAAAGATCTCGCTTTGGAGGAGTACAAGAAAGCTTTGGAGCTTAATACAAACTACGAACAAGCCATGAATAATTTAGCTAATTTACTAAGGGAAGACAGGAAGTTTCAGGAAGCTGAAGTGCTTCTGCGAAAAGCGTTAGAAGTCAGGTGAATATCTTACCACAAGACGTAGAAGGAGAACAATAGGGCGTTTGCATGCATGAAATATATGATTTCTGATGAAGCTTCATGTTTTTCTCAAATGAAACAGCATATACGTATATAGGAATGACTCTTTACTATAAGTACTTCTTCTGCAAATCATGCTTTATTGAAATAAACTGGCTTCTTCTGAATGACAGAGTACTTTCAGGGATTAACCTGTATTTATCAGATGTTTATGAGATATTGTAACCAATTTCCTTGATTATTTACGAATCTGTTTTAGGCCGAATTTTGCTGCTGCGTGGATGAATTTGGGTATTGTGTTGACTAATCTCAACAAAACTGGAGAAGCTGAAAATTGTTATAAGACTGCAATCAAGTATAGGAGTAAATATCCGGACTGTTACTATAATCTTGGAAATTTGGTAAGTGGAAGTATGCTCTGAATACTCATGCATCAAATGATAGATATTACTACGATGCACTGACCACGCATTCATCATGCAGTAACATTCTACTGTCATGTCAAACCAACGAATTCAGATTAGGTAGAAACAGCAAGCTTACGACTTATTTGTCTTCAAACCTACTTTTCAATCACCGCGCCTTAAAGCACTTTCGAAAATGAAACCCTTCCCGTTCCAGTACCTAGACATGAAACAACACGAAGAGGCTTTGAAAGCATGGGAAATGTCAGTGTTCTACCGTCCTTCCCACACAGCAGCTTGGAGCAACGCATTAGTGCTCTTGGACAACATGAAACGCTACGAAGATGCTTTGCGTCTGGGCCAAAAAGCATTGCATCACAATCCTACCTCGGCGGCGTTGCATTTTACATTGGCAAACACCCTGGGAAAAGTGCAGGAGTTCGAAAAAGCGGAGAAGCACTTCTTGGAGGCGATTCAGTTGAACCCGACCAGCGGATTGTATTGCTCAAATTTAGGTAAAGCGTATATTGATTATTAACATGTTTTTTCCTCCCTCAGCTGAGAGAAAAATATTGCAATCACAGCTAACAAACTTGTTGATGTTTTCTCGTTGTGCAATCGATATTTCCCAAATATCCACATATCCTTCGGTCCGTTGGCGTCAGCCCTTTTTTATATCAGAAATTTTGATTAAATTTGGGTACGATATGATAAATTTGATATTTTATCAATCGAAAGGGTAACAGTGTATTTTCGAAACTGGGAATGGCGACAATTTATGATCAAGAACATGTTTTTCTGTAAACTAAACCTGATGCTTTCGTTCATCCGACGTGCTTCTTGGATACTCATCAGCATGGTCTAGCTTGGTCTCTTGTCTTTGGACAACGAATAAAAGCATCGTAACTATCCTCTATTCGGGAGGTGCGTTCTATCGAAATAAGACAGCGCAAAGAGCCATCTATCAGTACTAAAACATAGTTGTGATAGACATTTCGTTTACAAGTTACCCCAGATAAAAACAGAAATGTCCATCCTTATCGCGTTTTTTACAGGTGTCTTGTATCATCGCTGGGGCAAGATAGAAAAAGCTAAAGAGATGTATAAAAAGGCATTGGAAATAGATCCAACTTTAAAAACAACTGAAATGAATCTGAAAAGACTCACAAACGCTAAGCTGCAGCATTCGTGATGAAGCAGGAGGAAGATTTTTTGAAATTGCTTTTTGATGCTCACAGGGATAATACATGAAAATAAGGTTCGTATTCATTTCATATTATACCCCAGTTTTTTAACAGCAACAATTAAAATTTTCATTATGGAAATACCTTATGATACCTGATACATAGTTTTGATTGGAATCAGGTTGGTCGTAGATAATATGTCTTTATCTTTACATTCATTTCACAGATAAAAACACATCTATAAAACCATGTTAAGATCTACAATTTGATGTAGTACGATTCCAACAATAAAATCTCTGCGAATTTCAAGAAACAAAATAAAAGGACAATAAATGTGTATGTTTGTGTGTTCCTCTTTGTGTGTACGAAGTCTATTTATTTCTATATAATTTTTGTGTGTAACTCTATACAAATATATATTTATTGACATTTTACTATCGAGTTTTATTTTTTCAGCAATAACATTGCAAACTTGGATGTAGTAGTATGTTTCAAGTGTTCACCAATAGTGTGATAGTATCGTACCTATACACGGAGTGAGATATTACAACTGCTAACATGGCAGAAGTAGGTGAAATTATGTAAAATGCCAAAACAAAGGCGTCAATCTAACGAGAGTTGTCATAAACCGTATATCTACATCAGTGCTTCCTTTACCGTGTTGGGCTGTAGGTTATAACTGTCAACAGTGTCACTAAAGCCAACATTAATTGCATTGTCCCTCAATTTTGCTAGATTTTCATTTGTATCTTCCTTCCTATAGAGGATATACTAGCGCACCAGTGGCAATTGTACAGGGCCAATAACTGACGTCTAATTATCGCTTGTAGCAAGCTGTCAGATTTTTTGTCTGAATGGTAGATAGTCTTCTTCCGTATTATTTTAAAGGATACAACTTTCAAACATTTGTTTTGGGATGCGGTTTATCAGTGGTTTTGGGATTTTGAAACACGCAAAATCTTTGTAGTTCCTTTATTCCGAAAAATAACATTGACAAACTACATTAATGTATTTAGAAACCCCTTTACAGTGTCAGGCATCTCATGTTTCTCCATAAATATTGTGAAGCCATAGGTCATGACAACTTCACAAGCCAGTCTCGTGTTATCTTCTATCACTAAGAAGAATCGTCAACAAATAAATAAATAACAACAACGAAGTTCATATAAAAATAACACATAGCCCATATATACAAAAAATCTCATTTTGTCACGAAGTTTATTGTAGGCAAAAATTAGAATACTGACATTGTGTGGACAGGGTAAGACTGGAAACAAATAATTTAATTATGACTAAATTATCACAATAACAAGTACTAAACGTCTAACAAAAAATCTTTGAACATTGAGATACATTTTTTCATTTATAATAGGCAATGAGTACCATATTCAACTCCACAGGATTTGTTTACAACTTCTGAACAAAATATTCATGTCCAACAGTGGACTAAATATATTGCATACTCGAAAGTGAAAATTGTTGAATATTTTGGGATGAAGTGGACTGATAGTGACCAAATTTTGAGCAGAGGGTAATCGATCACTCTAGATTGCTTGGGAGTTATAACATTATTGTCAGAATTATCATTCATTGGTTGCCACATATAGAAAAAATGATTTTTTGTGTATTACAGGTTCTTACAGTATCTTAATGGTTTTTCAATTACAACTTTAATTTATAAAAAACGACGGTTAGGTGTAAGAGTAGTAGTTGCCAAGTCTGGTCCTTTGCTTTGGACTTTGTACTACAAAGGCGATTATTATTAGGTACTTACTCTCTAGAAATTTTTATCACTTCATTGGAATTGAAGGTCAACGGTATGGGTGTTCATGTCGCTGGACGTGTTCTGTTATAATTTCTTTGTTTTGAGTGGTCAAAAGTGCTCGAAAATTTTGGAATTTTCACGCAAACACTAGTAATTAGTACAGTTAACAAGCTTGTGAAGTGAGACTTCCAGACAAAGTGCATAGGCGAAGATATAAGCAATTTTTCTGCTACAAGAAACATACGTGCATAGAAGCAAGAAAGGTTGGTGGATTTTTTTTGGTTAATACAGTCCGTAGAAGATTAAATTCCTAACAAAAGAAACGCTGATAGTATAAGAGCTGATATCACAGAGTTAACTGAGCCTTTAGCGATTTTATTTTCCACTTTTTGTCTCTACACCTGACTAATGTTACTGCCTAATTTTTCGAAATGACTAGCAGCATTGATCTAAGTAATACAGAGCTGCTCTCTAAATTAGTGGAATTAATAAAAAAAGAGAGCAACAGTGTTAAAAGTGAAATCAAGCAAGAGATCCAAGAAATAAAACTAGAGAACGCGAAAATTTTGAATCTTGTAAAACAGCAAGACGAAAAGCTCGAATTACTGGAAAAATCATACAAAAAACTGGAGCAACAGAATTTACAATTGGAAAGAGCCATCCGGAAAAATAATATACTTGTATTTGGACTGGAAGTTGATAGCAAAACTGCTAATCTAGCAGATATAACAACAGGGAAATTAAACGACCTTTTAGGAATAAACATATCTAACAACGATTTACAAAATATATACGTTATAAACAATAAAAACTGCCCTGTTAAGATTGAGTTTATTTCGTACTTCAAAAAACAACAAGTGTTTCAAAACGTACACAAGCTTAGAGGTAGCAGTGTTTTTGTTGTGCAAGATCTATGCGAAAAGGACCGTCAGACCAATAAAATACTCCAGAAACACCGCAAAGCCGCAAAAGCAAAAAACATTCCTGCTAAAATTGTTGGTGATAAACTAATAATAAATGGAGACTCGTACACTGTCGATGCATTAGAAGGTGAAGCTGATATAGAAGAATTAGACGCTCAGAGCATTCCAACCACGCCCTCTTGTCACTCGGAAGATAATGTTGAAATTTTCAATAAGCCAATCGTTGATGAAATGACTAGCACCATTCCAGTAAGCTCTGTTCTTCCTTCAAGACCCAGCCTGTCACCTGGAGATAAGCCACCAGCTAAGAAGGCGAAACAAGAAACAAGCAAGCAGATGATGGATCAGCAATCAAGAAAGACAAGGCTACAAAGTCAATCCAGAGGGAATAAGTAGAAGAGATATACTAGTGTTTAACAGTGAACAGTGTAGAGACGAACAAGTATAGAAAAGCACATTAAAAAAAAGTGAAAAACCAAAAATATATGAATATGTGTGTATGTGTATTTATATGTATTGTATTAGATCTTCATATTTTAACTTCTATGATCTGATACCTCTCTACCCTTATTGACAGGCAGTTGTTAGGTGGTATTTATGGCCTGCCGGTTTTTATAAATCCTTTTTAACGTTTTTCTTATATCAGGAACATTATTTTCAATACGTAATGTATTATAGTTGCAATGATAGATGTTTTAGTGGACTATTAGTGCAAACTTGTGTCTTGTCGTTGTTATATATTGCATATAAATAAATATGGACACGTATATAAGAGATTTTAAAGTACAAAAAGTTAAAACTGCAGTACTTGCAAACTTGACAAATGCTGAACATTTTCTTAGAACAAAATCAGAACCCGAACTGAAGGTGCTTCACATTAATATCAGGAGCATTCAAAAAAATATCAATGAACTAGGTGCTCTCCTTCAAATGTTAGACTATTGTTTTGACATATTGATACTAAGTGAAACGTTTACAGTAAATGATACGAACCTTATAGAAATACCCAATTATAACCTATTTTACAACGAAGGGAAGGTTAACAAAAACGATGGAGTTCTGGTTTATACTAAGAAATGTTATAGCACATATTTTGAAATAATTGACATCCATGAAACAAAAGCTTTGAAAGTAATTGTCGAATTCAGGAACAGAAAAGTACAAATAATAGGTATATACAAATCACCATCCATTGAGATACCGTTATTCAATAGTAGACTGAACGATTTTCTGCAGTCAAATGAAACAGTTGATGTCAATTTATTGATCGGAGACTTGAACATAGACATTATGGACGAAAATAATCCACACTCCTATGAGTACCTTAACATTATGGCCGAACATAACTATTTGTCAGCTATAAACGGCTACACACGAGTGGAGAGGAGTAGTGCAACATGCCTGGATCATATTTTTGTAAATTCACCTTTTTTATCATCTGACTGTATTTCTTCGGCTATATTGCATTATAACATTACAGACCATTTTCCCGTAATACTAAAATTGTCTATAAAAGACAATAAAGAATTTAAACAAAAAACAACGAAAAAATACAGGACATATATAAACTACAAAAAGCTGAATGAAGCCTTAAGTACCGAAAACTGGTATGATGTGTACAATGAAGAGCATCCAGGCAAAGCATTTAATGTTTTTGTAAAACTTCTAGGAAAATACATAGACAGTAACTCCAAAACAATTGAAATAAATCGTAACAAGATAAAGAGACAGCCATGGATTACTAATGGGATTGTAAATTCAATTAATAAAAAAAACCAACTGTATAAGGCTACAAAAAATCATCCTGAAAACGCTCAGTTACTAAACGACTTTAAAACGTATCGCAATAAGCTAACCAAAGTCATTAACATGGCAAAAACAAACTTTCTCAAAAACAATATATACAAAAACAAAGACAGCCCAACAAAAATGTGGCAGTTCGTAAACAAATACAATAAAATAAAGCCAGTACATATACGTCTTGTAGAAAGTCAGACGACACATAAACTCACAATAAATGATAAAGATACAGCGAATGAATTTTGTAGGTATTTTTCAGAAGTAGGGGAAATACTGGCAAAAAATATAACGCATCATGAAAAATTTGAAAGAACGCGAATACAAAATTCAATTTATCTGGCACCAACTGATCCGCTTGAGGTAAATAATATTATTTGCCAACTAAAGCTAAATAAATCGCCAGGCCTAGATGGTATAACATCATACACGCTCAAACAAATCAGTAACAACATTTTAAGTGTCTTATCGTACCTCATCAATACTTGCATAGACAAAGCTATATTCCCTGATGCACTAAAAACAGCACTAGTAAAGCCACTACACAAATCTGGAGAAAAGACACAAATTTCCAATTATAGACCAATCTCACTACTAAGCATTTTCTCAAAGATTTTTGAAAAAGTTTTGAAGGCCCGTTTTACTTTTTTTATTGCTAAATATAGACTTCTATCTAAGCAGCAATATGGTTTCCAAGAAGGAAAATCCACACAAGATGCAATTGCAGTTTTGATGGAAAACGTGTATACCAGTCTAGACTTAGGAAACCCATCGGCCTGTGTCTTTATAGATTTAAAGAAGGCATTTGATACAGTTGAACACAAAGAATTACTAACTACTTTGGAGAATCTAGGATTTCGTGGCAAAACACATACTTTACTCAAAAGCTACCTTTCAGATAGGAATCAATATGTAAAAGTTAATAATTCCATCAGCGACTTGCATCATGTAACATACGGTATCCCACAAGGTACAGTCTTAGGACCTATCCTGTTCAACCTATATGTAAATGATCTTTTTAACCTACACACACACGGTAAAATTATCGGGTTCGCAGATGATACGGCTGTTTTTTATAGCGAAAAATCTTGGGATATCTTAAAGACTCTTATTGAAGAGGATTTCAGAGTCATTATAAGCTTCTTCAATAATAAAATATTAACAATCAATTATGAAAAAACTTTATATCTGACTTTTTCATGTGATGATAGGAACAGTCCCACATTCACTAACATACACATCAAATTACCACCCATAGATGAAGTAGTGGTCCTAAAGCCAGCAAATCATATAAAATACCTAGGAATCATAATAGACAGCCATCTAAAATGGGACAAACAAATAGAAAGCTTAACGAAGAGATTAAGATGTCTTATACCAAAATTTAAATTTTTTAGGGAAATTCTTTCTGACAAAGACGTATGCACCATATACAAAACGTTAGTACAACCGTTGTTAACTTATGGAATTTTGGCATGGGGACCGGTGTTGAATAAATACTACAGGAAACTAGAAATAACTCAGAAATGGATTCTTAAAATCATGTTCCGCAAAACTAACACCTATCCAACAGATATGATATATAAGGTATCCAAGATATGTGATTGTAGGCAACTCTATTTTGAGAGTGTGTTCACATATATTACAAAACATAAGCATTTATTAAATTTCCTCCCACATGACCATCACACCAGATCCAAAGATCATTCAGTACGCATACCAAAGCCTAAAAAGACCATAGGTCAGAGGAGTTTCACTTTCCTAGGACCAAAAATATATAACTTAATCCCCCCTCAGATAAAAGATATTAAAAATACAAAGGTTATGAAAAGGCATCTACGACTGTGGATTTTGGACCAGCACAGGCTCAAGATTCATCAAGCGATTGATATCAAAAATATATACTACTACTGAAAGCGGAAATCTCTCTAGATATTTGAAAGTTCAAAATGAAAAAAAAATTTATAAATCAAACTGTTTGAATTCTTACCCCCTGAATTACTGCATTTTATTATTTATTTATTTTTACCAATTTTTGTTCTTGTCTATTCACCTAATATTGCCTTTTGTTTCAATATTGTCTCTATCCCGATTGCGTCTACGTTCCGATTTTGCGTCTCCGTCCCGATTGTGTCTTTTTAAAAATTTTACCAGGACTTGTCTAATGAATTTTATATACATATATTTTTTTTTATGTTTTTTTTTTAGTCTTAAGTTATTTATACATGAGCTCATGCCCAAGCACAAGTTTCTGCGAAACTTTTTTGGGTCCATTCGTTTATTGTATAATATTGTCTTTCATCTACTACTGCTATACTTTTTCTTTTGCAATAAACTTATTATTATTATTATTTCATTGTGCAACCCTGCTCTTGCTTAGCTACCAGTTCTGAAATGTGCAAATATTTTCTTCCAAAATTGCGACAGCAAAATTTTCTAATATAGTTAAGGATTTCAGAACAGCATCTGTTTGCTTATGCTTTTATCTTAGTGAAGCACGGAATCATTCAAATGTCCCGAGTCGGCTTAGTAACGGATTTTATTAACATTTGGTGTATTCTAATAACGGTGAAGTGGTTTTCAAGAAATTTGATATAAATTAAAACATTTTAAATATCTTAAAGAATATTTGGTATAAAACACCACGCAAACAAGAAAAAATAACACTTGATTTTTTATATCTCAATGTTCAAGAACAAGAGTCCTTGGACAACCTTTAGAATCTAAATAATATCACAAGGTTCGTTGCTAGAAATAAATCAGCAAGATTGCAACATTTTCATGTATACACAGAAAAAACATGTCCGTGTGATAAAAACCATCAGATCTATGCCAATACATCTCTAATAAAAAATAAGGAATATGAGGATAGTAATTTGTGGATCTATTATATATAATTAGGTACAAGCTGTTCTTTGGATTATATCATCCCAATGTAGAAGAAAAAGGAAGTTAATCATCTAAGAATCTTAAAACTATACCGGGTGTTTCATTGGGAACTCGGAAACGACAAGATCGAAATTTCGAGTATTTTCGGAGATAGACGAAAGAGACCGATTTTTTTCAAAATCGTGTTAGTTTTCCTGATTTCGTTTGAGATGGGAATTCAAAATGAAAAGTACATTAACATTGCCACTTTTTTATATATATATATAACGTTTTGGTCCCTTGTGATCAACCATCAACTTTATTTTTTCTTATAGACGCCATATTGGATTTTTGCAAAGAGTTTTTAATGCCGATTTCGAAAATATATATGTCATAGATTGACTTTGAAAATGACGGTTGTCTCTTGTTTATCCGATTAAATCGTCAATGCTTCAGTTGTTTGAAAAGGAGACTGAGATAATTAATTTGCTGATTTATCGAATATAACAAGCGTTATATTAGAACATGATGAAGATAGAGATAGCTACATTTACTCCAAAATTAAATGTTTCCATCAGTTACATAAAATAATACTGTTTTCAATTCGACCATTACATAAGAAAAAAAACTTTTTTGTTAAGACGCATTAGGTTGTTCTGTATTCGATGAGTTAAGACCAACTATAAGAAGATCACTTTTTCAGATATTTGCGGTTTTATATGTCACGTTATGTACATCATTAAAATCGGAAATAGAATTTGTTCTCCTATGCCTGGTTCGTTAAAAATGAAGGAATGATTGACTGATTATATTATGAAACACATTATCTGACTTGAGGTAACTATGGTTTGGAGATGACAATGTATGCAAAAATCCAATGTGGTGTCTATAAGAAAAAATAAAGCTGATTGAGGATAAGATATGAAACATCATATTGAATATCTAACTATGCCATCATTCAGAGGAGGGAAAGTGGGGATGTTAATGTTTTTTATTTCGCAAGTCCATCTCAAAATATGGCAGGAAAAAATTTAAACGATTTTGGAAAAATACCCGTAATTGTGGAACTTTCCAAGTGCCATTTCCTTAGTTACTTAAATCCGCAACATTTAACCAACTTCGTATCTATATTTCCGAGATCCAAATGATGAGAGTCTAATTTGAAACTGCCGTTGTATGTTCTGACCGCCGTCTTTAGACCGTATTTGGTCCTTGTGTTGCCACCTTTCGGTCTTCAGCCGCAGGTTATTGGATTTTCTTTTCCTTAGTGGAGAAATTCTGACAATACTAAATGTTAGCAGTAACTGCGAGGGGGGACTAAGGAGTGGACTTTTCTTGGTTGGTTTTTATTACTTAGGGAATGATTGCGAACTTTCTTGGCAATATGATTCTGGAAATTGTATGTGAACGTTCACAGAATCAGCTGTTGTATGAAAAAGATGGAAATTAGGAATCACGTACTCAATTTCTTGTCGATTTTTGAACCATTTTCAAGAACTTTATAGCAGAAATGTATTGTAACACGAGAACACTCACGATACATATTATAGAAAAATATATACACAGTACAAATCTACCAAATATATAAATATACTAGCGAAAGATATACACAAAACACAGAGAGAAGTACATATACCAATATACATATTTGTAGTATTTGTACAAGATACAGCTGCCATTACAGACACATAATTCCACCATACAAAAAGGCTGAATTATTGATTTTTCTCACATCTTTGGTTTCTTGAGCACTGAACATTTTTTTCCTATTTATGGTAGATACACATTATATATGTGTTATTGAAGTCAATATCAAACTCAAAATCATCTGTTTCAGACATTTTAAAATAATATGGATTTGCTGATGAATCCGTAGTCTGCCAAGTTGGATCTCTATCCTAAGTGATTCAGAACTAGTGACATTAAGAGGCATGTAGAGATCGACGAGTGTGATATAGGCAGTTAGAACAGAAAGAATACATGAACATCAAGTGAAATAACAAAGCCAAAAAGAAATAATCGAAAATTGTTGTTTTTTGTCTTCTTAAACCACTTTAGCCAAGAAAATATGGTATATCACATCTCAAATTGAGTCAAATTTTCCATAGCATAATATCTGGACTTTTAGAAACACAAAAAGGTTATAAACAAGAAAAGTTCTATCAACTAGAACATATAAGTACTCTAATCAAGGAAAGCTACAGAATAAAACTTCAAGCACATTAGAATATCTTCTAAATCAATTTACTGATGTCTAAGAGGTAAAAAACTTGCATGTCTCTTGATATCGCTAGCTCTTATACATCAATTTTGAACATTGAAAAGAATAACTTTTCGAAGTCGGATGACATTGATGTTATGAGCTGTCATAAATCCACTGTTTCTATAACTAGTGTCTTTCCACGTTTACTACATTTTTCTGCCAATGACTAACACTTAAATTGACATAAAAAATTGGCGATGGTATATCAATTCATGTGAATAACAACAATGTGATATGTTACAATGATGCAATATGTACACAGAGCTCCAAAGATACTATCAATCCAACTATGCCAAAGTATGGATGATAGTACCAAAACATAAAAAAGCTCGCGATAAAATAAACTTATGAAACAGTGGTCAATTTTCATCTATATTTTTTCACAGCGTCTTTTAGCTCCTTTCCAATACAAAAGCAATGCTTAATTCATATTTTCGGTCTAGCTTGTATGAAACAAGCAATATCACGACAGTTGTACTGCCTTACATCATATTTTGTCATTTCGTTTGTTTTGTGAGTACAAAAAATCTCGAACTCAACAAGACTGAGGCTGTGAGATTCATGGACATGATTTAGGTTGAAAAGTTGCTACCTTTCATCCAACATATTGTTAACAGAACATTAAAATTTCATAACTGACTTACAATGCTGTATCAATATTGATAAACAGCTAAACTGGAGACTTGCGAGGACAAAGAAACTCAATGTTTATATAGATTTAAATAAATGCTTCATTCGAAGTTCCAAACTAGTTGTATATTGATGAAAGTAAATCACTGCTTCAAATGCACCCTCTATATTTCTATTTTTGTCTATTGGAATTAATACATACCACTAAATAATGGATACGTTACACACATATTAAATTGGAATGAATAATATACCAATCAGTTGTACCAACCAAGCATGTCAGGATAAATAATACATATGAAAAAAATATAGCATTTTTATACACAAAAATATGCTATGACAACGTTTTACTTATTGTAACAATTTCTAGTATTGCGTACCGTTATTAGCTATACCATATGTGGGGTTTAGTTTTTAGATAAATTAATAAATATTCAAATAATCCGTTATCTTACTCAATCAGTAAATATTTGTCCAAATCGTACTGCCATAAACACCTACTGCACTAAGTGAAATGTATCCTGTTGTCATCTCTGCTGCCAAAAAATCCGAGCTATGAAGCAAGAGGTTTCTCATTGGTTGGTATATAAAATCAAAATCAATTAAAAGTTTTGACGTTTCAGTTTCACAACAGAATATAGTGAACTGCTTCAAACACTACATGAATGTGAATTCATTGTTTTATTAGGCTAAAACGACCCATAAACATAAATAACCAAGTTGGTCAATTTACCTATTAATTTATGAATTTTCAATAAAAATAATTTTTATTTCCTTTGTTATTAAAATCAAAATTAGTTAATATTAGGAGTAAGATCACGTTATCCCCACATGTCTTGTCATTTTAGACATTTTATAAAAGATTGATAAAAAGGTAGAATTTGTACTCATTCATAAATATCTAAAACAGAAAAACACAAAAAAAGAATGTAGACAGATTCTAAAACGCGATCGTTTCGGTAATTTGCTCATTTCTAAGGTCAAATACTACGTTTATTGTACCGCATCTGAAACGGGATATTTCGATACCATATATACATGTACAGTACTTACTGCAATTTTCGAGTACCGATATTTATATGGACCATGAAGTCATGAATCATCACTTAGGTAAGCTACGAGCACACTAAAAGAAACAACTCACTGTCTACCAAACAGCATTACAGTTGATTTTGTTACAGTATAAAAAGGGCACTGCGTTTTTAAAGACGCAACTCCTTTAATGGTTGCCTTTTCAGCTTTTGCTGGTTCCAGGTTGTGCAGAGTCTGTCGGACTGTCGTTTGTGGTTAGCCCTTGTAGTTTTGTCGTCAAATCCGGACTGGTCACAAATGCGTTTTGTCCTGTTGACCGTCATAATGAAACGGAAATTGGGTGTAAGTAAAATCATATACAAGATACAATGAATATTTTCATACTTTCAATTAAATTATTTATGACAGGATATTTTTAAATTTGCAACTAAATCCTAGAAGCTTGATAACCACACTATTTACCACGATATTTTCTGACGACTATCAAGTGTTCTCTTGTAAAATTCATTCACGCCATAATTACTGTCGTATTCCTTCCAGCGAATGATTGGGGACCTAACATGCAACAAATTTGGCTACATATGCTTGTGGTCAAAAATCGATCGTTTTGAAGATTTTTAATTTTTTATGGTTTTTTAAGAAACGAAATGGGACATTAGAGTCTAAATAATAAAAAACTATGTAAAAATGCGCCAGCATTCCATCAAGTTTCGCAGTTTACGCTTAAATTAAGCTAATATTATCATAAAAAGGAGCCAAAATTCTCCACACAATAAAATAACAGCTATCCCTAAAAATAAAATTTCGTTTTCAGCTTTCCTTCTAAAACTCGTAAGTATAATGAGCGTAAAATTGCTAAAAAATCTTGTTAAGGTTAACCAATAATCTATTGACGAAATGATATTTTGCATAAATATTTCAAATGAATGTGCTATTTTTTCAAAAGTCGTGCTCAGTATGAGCCTTTTAGTTGCATTTACTTTCCTGCCCCTGCTTTTGTCACTTTTGTAGTGTAAATACTGGATATCATAATGAATTCTCCGTTTCTTCAGCCCCACAGAAGTAGAAAATTTTCCAACGATCAACGATTCGACTACGGCGATATAGCTTTTATCGTTTTATAGAGAGGGTGTTAAGGTACACCGAAAATATTAAGATCATTTTCCCAAACGCCGAACTTTCTACTTGTCCCAACACGCGCCAAAGCTACTAAGGACCTAGATATCGAAAACGGGTAACAGACACGAATTAGATTTCAGGAATTGCATTATTCTGGGGCAATTTCTTGAGCATATAGTAAATAAGGCAAAACAATGAGGACCCCTTTTACTACAAATGTCACAAAAACAGGAGCCAAAAAGTTAATGCAGACCTGAGAGGCTTAAGTGTGGAACGAGTATTTGAAAAATGATCATTTTCATTTGAAGTACTTACAAATGTCATTTGATTAATGGGTTAAACTTAAATTGGTTTATCTGTTTGTTAAGAACTAGATGCTATGTTTGGTACCTTTTTGGAAAGCTGACCATATGGGCAAGCTGTACTAGCAATTTGTATGCTCAATTTACTAGCAAGTGTAGAGCTAAACACAGTAAGTATTCTTCAACGAAAGCTGAAAGCAAAAACCTTTTATCTTTTCTGAATAGCTTTTTGTGTATGGTATTTTTGCATCTTTTATTAATGTTGTCTGTATTAACTAAGCTATCAATCGATATATCATGGATTTCTTACACTGTTTACATATTACTTAAGACTCAAATGCCCAATTTCGGGTGATGAAAAATAATGAAAATCTAAAAATATAGTAAATCACTAATTTTGACCATATATATATATATATATATATATATATATATATATATATAGTATATATAGTAATGGATGAAGGTATATAGACAAATATGAATATTTACCTAAATACCTTTAGAAAACGAATTCATAATTCATTGCTCCATGAACAAATGCGTTATTAGTAGAAAAACTAAATTCCTTGTTTTTAGATTATCTGCGATGAACACAATACAAGTGTATATACAGGGTGACTTCGAAGTTGAGTCATTTATTTTAACAGTGAGTAGATCTGATCAAAAGAAATGTTTTTTTCCTTTACCATTTTTCTGGTAAAATTAAAGTAACAAAGTTATAGCCCTTTGGAAGTTTGAGTACCGCCCTGTCTCAATAATAATATCATGTACTCGTGTTTGGCAACAACGGATATAATCCGCCTTACCGGTTCATCGCATCGGAAACAAAAAAGCGAAAGAATTTGGAACGATGTTTTTGCAATGAAGTATTTTATTCAGTTCAGTTATACATACAGTCAGTATCTGTCGGTTAGCGTGTTAATAGTGTCTGTTGCGTGGCTCAAACGAAATAAAAAATGGCACATGTTTATGCGGATCGGTTTCCCAATCGAGTGCAACCAACCCCTCGTGCCTTTGTTAATGTAGTACAACGGGCTCGTGAATCAGGTGACTTAAGACCTCACAGGGGACCTCACGATCAAATACAGGTCCGCACTGAAATACTTGTCGGGAGGATACTTTTTAAAACAAGGTAAAATTTTTTTTTACTTTTTTTTTATTTTTACACACATATTCTGGTTTATCTTCCTTCTACAATCATTATCTGAAAATTAATGACTCAACTTCAAAGTCACCCTGTATATAAGCACTTTTTTATGAGGGACAAAAATATGTAGACAAATTCTTTTCAACATTAGTTTAGTACAGTTTCGTGTCAGAAGAGGATTAGTTTGTGTTCATTAAGTATTGTGGAATAAGTTAAGTGATTTTAAGACCATGCCGCGTGGTCCAGAAATTTCTTTCGATGTGATTGAGTTATACAAAGATGGTCAACGTCAAGTCGACATTGCCAACAATTTGAAGCTGAAGCGTAAAGCAGTTTGGGCAATATTGCAAATAGGTATCTTGGAAGCCTCTATGAGGAGTGGTCGGCCTAGAAAGCTAAATGCTAGATCAGTTAGATTAATAAAGGTAATTTCGTCCAAAGATCCGTTTAAAACCCCAAAGCCGAAATCGAGACAAAAGGAATTGCTAGTGTTTCTACGAAAACTATAAGTAGAAGATTAAATGATTTGAAGTTATTTGCACGTCACCCGAGTAAGAAGCCGCTAATCTCGAGGAAAAACCGTAAGGACCGATTACAATTTGCGCGGTTGCATCTTGATTGGAGCATCTGTGACTGGAAGAGTGACGAATCCAAGTTCAATATGTTTGGATCAGATGGTCTTCATTACGTTAGACGTCCTAGTGGACAAAGATTGAACCCCAAGTACGCTTTGCCCACTGTCAAACATACAGGCGGGTCTGTTATGGTTTGGGGGTGCTTTTCGGGGTTTGGGATGCGACTTTTACATAGAATAGATGGCATTATGGATAAGTTTGTATACACAGACATACTAATGCATGTCATGTTACCCTAAATGAAAGACAATATGCCCTTAAGATCAATCTTCCAGCAAGATAATGACCCGAAGCACACTTCAAATCTCGTAAAGAAATTCTTTCTGGATGAAAAAATACCAGTTCTCAAATGGCCTTCACAGTCTCCCGATATAAACCCCATTGAAAATCTATGGGAATACTCAGATAAGCAAATACGAGATAAAAATTATTCAAACAAGGATGAAGTTTTTGCCGCTTTAGTGCAAAAGTGGAGACACAGATTGATGATATCAACAAACATCTACAATCTATGCCGAGACGATGCCAGGCGGTGATTGATAATAATAGTTATGCTACAAAATATTAACATGGTTGGTTTTCTATAATTCAATGAACTTTGCTTCTTTTTTCTATAATTTTTCTGCTTTGTCGATATATTTTTGTCCATAGTTCCAGTTTTTTCAATTAATTTTTTATTGAAGGGAGTAATGAATTTTTTTATGTATAAGTGAGTATTATGCTATAACGAATTATGTATACAGGTTGGTGTATTAATAAAACAAGTTAAAAAAGAAATACAGCACAATATTAATTTGTCTATATACTTTTGTCCATTACTGTATCTATATATATATATAGAGAGAGAGAGAGAGCGAAGTTTGTTGCATTTTAGGTACATTATCACGTCCTGGAAGGAATACGGCGAATTATCAATAACCCTGTATAAGCCTTATCAGGTTCTACATGGAACCATCCCAGGACCCTTCTGATTCTGTGCGATTTGCTACTTGTAATTCAGAACGGTTCTGGGATAGTTCCATGTGGGAAACCGAATGGATCTACAGATTGGTTCTGGTCTAATTAACTTTCTGCTTGATAGAAAATGCGTAGTTGTTATTTCTCCAGAGACCTTGAGGAAGCCTTATTTGCATTACCACATGGGAGCGATAGAATAATTGTAAAATGTTTCCCCTCAATAAAGATGGCGAACTTTTACTCTAAGTTCCTCAAGAGGCATTTTGGGTATGTCAATACAGAGTGTTTCATTGGGAGCAGGAGATTTTGTAACCGCGGATAGAAGGTGATGACAAAGAGTGTATGGTTGATGGACGTTGGATTTCCGCCATATCTTTATGTTGTAACAACTTTATAACCAGCTATGAATGATTTTTTGAAACTTGGTATACATACTCACCTTATGCTATCGAATTAACTACAATGCAAACAGACTAGTTAAAATTTGACAAAACCGTTTTACTCAAAGCCATCGCCCTGTATATGAGAGATATAAGAATGATAGATTTTTTTCTTGAAAATTATGGTAATGAATGTTTCTTGAGAATTCCAATATTGGAAAATCTTTTTCATTAATAATTAAACCCTTGATACAGGATGCTTTTATAGACATAGCAACCAAAATGGTAGGTCGGGGAAAATAATGATGCCCCAGACCTAAAAGTCACCTTTTTCTCTAAAGATATTTGAACTTTCCTGTTACTTCCGATTGACAAGGTAAACGAGGCTCACAAGAAGGTCCCTAAAATCAGATCAGGATAGCAACACGTTTAGAATATGTCAGTTTCAATTCTATTAGCGCAATGTGAGTGTCGTCCACGTTTAAGCTCCAAGCAATGAAAATACCTAGTATGTCAGGCAGTGCGTTTCTGCGTCCTGTCCTGCCCGAGGTAAGGAACTCCTCAACATTGGCGGTGGTCTCGGGTGTTGGGGGGCAGTTCTCCACCGAACCGCCTCCGCCACTTGCCACCGCCCCCGCAGAGCTGCCAGCGGTCGACTGTGCATTCGTTTCCATCACTGCTAGCATCTTCAATACTATTAAAAAGAGATGTTTCTATCTATAGTTCTTGCAATAGCGCATATCGACAGTGGAAGATATTCTTGCAGATACAAATAGGTCAAGCAATGTATTTTTGTTCAAAGCTGACTGAAAAATCGTAGCCAGTCAACGGAATGAAATGTTTTTAAACAGTAAGTCAATGACGAAAATCTTTGTGCGCCTTGACGGAACAAATTTTAGACAAGATGTCCCAGAATAACATGTCAATCTCTCACGTACACACAATACCAGAACCCAAAAAAGATTCAACCAATTCCTAAAAAAAAAAAGTCTCACGGAGCTCGCCTATGGTCATACAAGCCACTGAGGGACGCTACTGTATGTCTCTCTTAAATAACTTTTGGACGGCACTGTGGAATTAAATGAAATTTGAACAGGTTTCCTATTTTTCTGGGTAGTTTCTAATAGTCTCGCATATTTTCGTATTCTGGATTATTTATGTTATTTCCAAAAACTTGTGTGAATATTAGTGATTGCTAACAAACTCATGTAAAGTAGTGCAAAAATCTTAGTCGTAATTTGAGGATAAAAAAACTATGCTTCACTGAATACTGTATGCTGGTCTCCACAATGCACACCAATTGTGTTTTACACTTTTGAATTAGACATAGCTGTTCATTTCATGTACCATCGTTCTTGTTTCAAAAAAGTGAATGTGTATGATCTGGACATGCTGTAGTCGGGATAAATTAATAATTTAAAAAAGTTTATTGGTAGATGCAAATTTCAAAGTGGTATTAATGAATACTTATATCAATGGGAGAACTTAACAATAAAACAACAGTGAATTTATATTTGTATAGAACTGATTTATCTTTGTTACTAGGAACCTGGGTAACTAAATTACGCGTCGAGCTACTGATTGGATGACCAAGGTCACCTCAGAAGTTGATTCTGAGCAATGATGATGCATTGTGAGTGGCCTATATCACGCGCCAGCTTGATGCAAGATCAACATAGGTACATCACATCACTGGTGCTGGTTTATCCAATAATCAGTTCCCAGTAGATGGCTTGCAGAGTAGTACAGTGTTGGTACTACAGGGTTGGCAAACAGGGCAAAGGTGGTCTACCTGCCAGGCTTTGATCCCCCCCACTACTACTATTACTACCTTAGTTGATGCTTAATATGGCTTAACTCAAACTGGGAGGAAAATTCGTATTTAACTTTATTTATACTGTATAGTTTATGTCTTGTTGATTTTGAACAAAAATGTTGACAACATATATGGTGAAGTTCAAATTTGGTTGATGGCGTAAAGTGTAGGAGAGAGAAGCATCCTATATGTATGTTAGAAAGATTACTCTGATGGGATCTATGGTCTTGTCACTCAGGTTGCTAGGCACGAGGTGCTTCTATCTCTTTCTAATAAACATATTGCAAGCTCTCGTACACATTATGACATCATTGGTATTTGGTTTTCAGTGTATTTTTAAGCAAGGATTCTACCAAAATTATCCTATCATTTTGTGTGTGCTCAAAGCAGTTTATGTAATGCACTTTAGATTATAACAAAAACTAAAATTGATTAACTCAGGGTGCACTGGTTGCTTTTCAAAAGACTAGAAGATGAATTTGCCTTGCCAGCTTAACATCACATCAATTAAAAAATTAGTTGATTCGAATAATAACTACTCTGTAATATTTATATTAATCACACTTTTCTATACCTTGCATATCATTTTATTGTGAGTGATCAATGGAGCAGCAATAAACAACGAGCATTCAATAAAGTTAATATTTTTAAAAGTGGGAACTGTATATGTGTGACCATTCTCCAAGGACAATTTCAATTCTATGTGTAACTTGAACATTATGTAAACTATTTGCTTTTCCAAGATTATCCTCCACTTTCTGGACATCCTATATAACAGTACGCATATGAAAACTAAAATTCAATATAATTTAAACCAGGCTTCCCCTCAGAAAAATGATTGTATGCTGTTGATAGTTGTATCAAAAAATGTTTGCTAAAAAATAGGTTTACTTCTTTTACTATTTGCCAAATATATTGTTTCTTTCTATTTTGAAATTTAATTTTCTCTACTATTGATATTTTATGATTTTGTTTATGAAATATGATAATTTTCCAGATGGTACAGATAATAAATGGAATTGCTATTCTATTTCATGCAGGTATACAGTTAGCATGAAAAAAAGCATGTTATCAAATTACTAGCTACAATAAAATTCCTCTTAAACATGAAAGCAGCTCAACTGAAGATCCTTATTTTAATAATGGTTTTGTTGTACTCAACTATTGAAAATAAGAACAAAGCTGAATGATAAAAGATTATGTTAAGCAATAATTGTGTTAATAACAAAAGAAAACAGTTCAGTTGTAGTTACTAAAAAAATTATACATTTTGGCCATATTTTATGTAAACTTGAAGCATACTCCTATCAGTGCTTTGTTCCAATGGTTGAATGCAACCAAAAAATCCATGACACTTTTAGGTATATGAATAGTTGAAGTGAAATAATTTTAGTTTCTGTCATAAAGCATTGTAGATGTAACACCAGGGATTTAGCTATAGTTCAATCTCTGATGAAAAATCTTAGGAACAGTAAATATAAAAGCAAATTCTGTCAGTAATTCACAATGTTACCATGTAAAAATATTCTACAAAAGCATCTATACCATAAGTCCCCCCCCCTGATGTATTAGTATAGGCACATAAGTTTCAATTTTCATTTTAAGTATTCACAAAAACACAGATTACATTGTGTTGCCCCTCTACCCCCTCCCCAATCAATTCATCACCTTCCCGGTTTACCTCAAGCTCCCTACCACCCTATTTGTAGATCCCCAGCATCCACAGGGACCATCATTGCCCATTTTTGAATACTCCTATATTTTAGGTTGTTTTAGTGTTGGCATTTATGGGTATGAGTATTCCATTTTCTTAATAATTGACAGTATTTTTGAGAAACACAATTAACATTAAAAACAGCAGTATATCTTTTGAGTTGTCCCTCTCATACCATTCTTGGCTGCTTATTGAAAAATTGTTAACCTGTTAAATATGCCTCTTATGAGACGCATATTTTAACAAGTTTTTTCTCTACACTGATGACAACAGTTATGTTCAGAATGCAAGATGAAATGTTCTAAAAGATTTGAAGTCAGGATTCTTTTGCACTTCTCAGCCCAACAACATATAACCTTTAACCCCGTTCGAGGGCAAACACATTCTAAATTCATCACAAATTAGTTTTGGTGATCAAAACTGCTTTGGCATGCAGCAGTGTATCCCAAACGCATGATTGTTATTCCTAAAGCCTTCAACCTTATTGTTTCAGTACCCTGTTCATACCTTTCTTTCTGGTTATACTCTTTATTCGCTTACGCTTTAGGATACTGGCGGTTTTCGAGGGTATAGGGTCGAAATGTTTCTGCGACATTTTAACATACCATGTGCAAGCTGTGTTGAAACCTACTACAGGATTTGGAGCCTTCACAGTTTCACGAGATTTGAGCAGGCACTCTTTCGCTGCAATCGTTAGCAATTTAAACACAGGAATTTCACGTATAGGTACATTTTAGTAATGTTATAATCAAACACAACCACCATTACCATTTCACCATTTACAATACAGCAAATTAGTGACAGATGATAGACAAAAATGATACCGACAAGCACAAAACATCAATTTTGACAATAATCATTGACACTACCGAGTGACAAAAGAAGAATGAACAAAATAGGGCGCGGCGTGAGCAGTGACGGTACCCACGTGATATGCCTGCTTTTTTGTGATTCGTTTCTTCTCTAGTATAATTGACTTCTCTGTCAACGACGGCATAACCTCAAATAAACCACGCAAGACGCAATCGTTCGAAGGAAAAGAAAGCATAATATTTAGGTAGTGTTAATTTGTTATTACTTCCCGATTCGGTGGCACTTGTGAACTGTGCTGAGGATGCAACTCCTTTTTGATGCCTTCATTGGGTAACAAATTCTTCCAGCTTCCTTTCTCTAGAATATCCGCATATCTGAAAGTCCCTCAACAAAACATGTACAATTTGTTAAAACCTCCAGAAGCGGTACTGGGCATGACTGTTCTCAAAAGAGAGTTATTCGACAAAGTCGTAGAAGTGCCAGTGCTTATTTTGAAAGATATCAAGTTATCTTCTGTAGTGCCTGTATTGAAAAAGTATTTACTGAAGGTGGAAAACCTGAAACCGATTCAACATGCTACCAAAGAAGTTCTGATTTATTTGAATCCTCTTATTGTAAAACAATGGGATGATATTTCTGAAGATGACAGGCAAAAGTTATTTCATGAAGCCATTAAAAAAGATTGCTTGAAAAACATACCATATACTTTCAACTATGATAACTTCTCTGCTGAGGATATTCTACGTGCTGTACTTCCTCCAGATAAAGAAGGTGGGTAATGCTGCAAATTATGTTCTCTGAATATGCCCCTAATGCTCCCAGGTAGGCCAGAGATTACTCATGTTCTCAAGACATAATTTGGGGCTTTCACTGGCATTTATATCTACTTTAAAGCCTGCATATTTGGTAATTTGGGTAGTGGTCTAATTTACAGTTACCAGGTGAGAAAGACAGGTAAAAAACAAGACTTAATTTTATTCAAATCTCATGGCTCATTATTTATTTATATTTATTAAAATATTATTACAAAGAAAGTAAGATTCAATACTGCCAGACACTTGTCATGGTCTATGAGTGAATATACAGTATTTGAGATTTCAATGTTCTGCTAAAAATGTCTTCAACAAGTCGATGTGATTTATTTGGAACACATGATGAAATAAAGGTAATCTTAAGATTTAGGTACAATAATATGCTTGAAAATAATACATTGTATACTTCTCTGGTGTGCTCCATACCCAACTTTCACTACAAATATTATCAAATCTCTGTATGTGTAACTGGTATAACAAAATACAAATATTCTTTGTTTTGCTAAATACACATTATAACATACTGTCCTCCAAACACAACACCCTGAGGGTATGTGAGCTCTCAATCTCTGTTTCTCTTGTTTCAAGACTTATGGAACTGAAGACTTGTTATTTTATAATAAAGAACTATTGAACTTATTTAACTAATGGGGCTTATATCATTTTAAAGTATATTTCTCATAGTTTAATGTCATCCACCTGGCCACACATTTTCCACAAATATGTATCACATATCATAACAGTCTTGTGACATAATGAATATGAAAACAAAATAAGCTATTTTCCTTAGTTAACACTTAAAACCTAAATAGCTTATAATCACTCATATAACTTCAGCCAGACACCTTGAAGCACCCAAAAGGATAATTGAACTTCATTTCTCATTCTTGATTTTTGTTTGTGTTATTTAGGGGAATATTTTAAAACTTCATTTGCTTATCCAGACAAATTGTGTGGGCCAAATACCCTGCCAGACACAAAAACATTCAGCCGTGAGGACATTTGAAGGTCAACGTGAAAATTCTAAATGCAAACCCGTTTTTGACTCCGGCAATGAAACGAGCGAAAAATTTTACGTTCAGATATCACCTTGAATGACCCGCATATTTGACCTTGAATGACCCCAACTAAGGCAAATATGATAGTCCCGACCAACCAAGGCAAGGTTAAGGGTCCCGGTCATAAATAGTGGTAGTTTGACCTTGAGGATCACAGTTTTCCAAACTCTTTATGTTCTTTAATTCTACACTTGATATGTCTAGATGATTTACCAATATATAATTTTAATTTCTTTAATCAGCTCTGGTCATCCATCGTCAAAGATGAGGGTCATTCAAGGTCATTTCTGAACGTAAAATTTTTCGCTAGTTTCATTGCCGGTGTCAGAAATAGGGGTTTACATTTAATGTTTTGGAGTTTACTTTCAAATGACCTTCAAGGTCAAGATCGAATCCATGGTCACTCTCTGATAGCTGAGGAAAAATCTTATAACTTTTATTTAAAGCATTCCCCATAAAGAGGGTCATTCAAGGTCATTTCGGTTTGTAAATTTTTTTGCACGTTTGTCGGGGTCAAAAATAAGGGTTTACATTTAAAACTGTGAAGTTTACTTTCAAATGACCTGCAAGGTCAAGGTCAATATCGAATCCATGGTCACCCTCTGATAGATGAGGAAAAATCTTACACCTTTTATTTAAAGCATTCCCCATAAAATGTATTACCGTTGAGTTATCGATACCCAGCATTAGTTGTAGTTTGACCTCGAGAGATCATTCAAGGTCAAAAAGGAGGGTCATTCAAGGTCATGTCTCAACGTAAAATTTTTTGCTCGTTCCATTACCGGAATCAGAAGTAAGAGTTTACATTTGAAATTTTAAATTTGACCTTTAAATAACTTTCATAGTCGAAACCAAGGTCACTGACAGATAGTTGAGGCGAATTCTTACAGCTTTGTCGGAAGCTCTTACCCCTAACATTTATTCTCATAGCGCTATCGGGCTTCAGTCGCTTACCCACATCTTAGGGCCGTCAATATTGGTTGCGAGCAGTCGCTTAGCTGGACTACTATACCCTATTTTACGAGTATTCATCATGCTTTGACGTCTGCTAAGGTGAACAGCTGTTCAGCAAGTGACATTTTTTTGTTAGTCTGCAATGTTGGCTATAATGAATCGGGTGTAAATCTAGAAAAAATTTGTAGTGTTTTGTTTTTTGTATGCAAATAAACGTTTCTAAATGACAGAGCTTTTAGCAAGTACAAAATGAATCTGTAGCGCACAAAAAACCAAAACAAAATATGACTCTGTCTACCTGGCATTGACAGATCCGTCAGAATTATGTGTCCATGCCGATATGGGGAATTTTGAAATATTATAGATAACCAGCTGTCATACTACCATGCTGGATTCGTGAAATAGGGTATAGCGATTTTGACTATAACCTATTCAAACCTCATTTACTCTGCGTCAAAACAAATACGAACACTCGATAGAACCTTCTATTCGCTTGTCGCTGTCTGCCTTGTAATTTGTAGCTCCCTGGACAATAGATGCGCGCGAACTTGAACATCGCGCGCTGCCGCTTGTTTTGACCGAAAGTAAATGAGATTTGAATACACAATAGTGTTTGTCAACGGTGACTTACTGGTCGCAACCGGAAGCTCTACATGACGTGCGATGGAAAACCAATCCGATTCAAATACGAGGTCTGTAAATTAAGTGATGAGATTGGCAACGTAGGAGGCGCCGGGCTTGGAGGGGAAACAGGGGAACACGAGACCCGCGTTCAGTACATGTTTGAACTCGCTCGAGTCATTTGGTTGTCCGTAGCGGTTTTTTTTGTGGAACAGTTTTTTCTTTTTTTTATACTCCAACTACCACGAAGGCGTAAGGCCTAAACACCCATTGGAAACCGTGGGGCTATAGGGGCATACAGGGGAAAGGGGGAACGCCACACGGACTCTGGCGAGGGAACACGTGTGCATGCAACATGCACACATTCTGGCTCCGCCTACGAGATCCGACGGGTGGTACCTCCACGTTCGACAGTCAGAGACCGTCTACCACCTACGGACAATCACAACATCCATAGCCAAGAGAAAAATTTCTCCTGGGACGGGACTCGAACCCGCACAGCGCACGGCGACTGATCAGGAGACCGAAGAGTCTACTACTGCGGCCACCGCTGCTGGCTGTCTAAGTTGCCTTGTTCTAAAAATTTCAAGCAACGGTGTGCTATCAGGTTTTGCCTCAGCCTTGGGCACAGTGCAACGGAAATTCTTGCTAAACAGGCCTACGGAGATAGTGTTTTGTCAAGAGCCCAGGTTTTCTTGTGGCTTAAGGCATTTTCAGAAGGAGAGAGCCGACTGAAGATGAACCACGAAACGGAAGACGTTCATCTTCAAGAACCGATGAAAAATCGTCAGAATCCGGGATCTTGTGCATTCATATCGTCGGTTGACAGAACGATCGGGAAGAGTTAAATTTGACTCACACCATCAGATCAAGAACAACTGGGTGTTGCATCACGATAATGCTCCTTGTCACACAGCAATGTCAATAAACGAGGTTTTGGCCAGTAGAAACATTCATGTGGCTCCTCATCCTCCTTGTTCGCCTGACTTGAGTCCTTGTGACGTTTCTCTTCCTGAAATTTTTTCTCTTCCCGAGATTGAAAAATCACCCTGGGACTGCCGCAAACATTCAAACGGCTGTAACCGACCAGCTAAAGGCTATTCCAGTATTGGAGTAACAGCACTGCTATGAGGAGCGGAAGAACCGTCTCCAGCGCTCTGTGGCTTCAGAATTATGTTATGTTGAGGGTGACAATATAAAATTGTAATTATATTTGAATGAAAGAATTGAAAAAAATCAGTCTTATCACTTAATTTACAGATCTTGTATGCATAATTTTTAGATGAATAAACGATTGAATTATAATTTTTAGGTTTATCCAGTTTTACCAAAGTGGGACATATAGTTCATGTCAACCTAAGGGAACATCTGTTACCATACAAAAACGTAATAGCCAAAATCTTGTTTGACAAAGTACCAGGCTGTAGAACCGTAGTTAATAAGGCGAACATCATTGATAATACATACAGAAACTTTGAAATGGAAGTTCTTACAGGCGATCCAGATATGTTGACAACGATAAAAGAGAACAATTGCCGGTTTAAATTTGACTTCTCTAAGGTGTACTGGAATTCTCGATTGTGTACAGAACATGAAAGAATTGTAAAGAAGCTTCAAGGGGGTGACATTTTATTTGATGTTTTCGCTGGAGTTGGTCCGTTTGCTGTACCTGCAGGGAAGAAAAAATGCACGGTGTTTGCAAATGATTTGAATCCTGAGAGTTTCAACTGGCTGAAATATAACTTTGAAGAAAACAAAGTTAATAAGACTCATTACAATTTATACAATAAAGACGGGCATGATTTCATTAAAGATGATGTAAAGATGCATTTACCAAAATTTCTTGAAAGTGGTAAAAATGTTTATATCACCATGAACCTTCCTGCAATGGCACTGGAATTTTTGAACGACTTTGTTGGACTATTCAAAAATGAAACACTGCCAGAATATTCGAAGCCACCATTGATTTACGTCTACTGTTTTGCAAAGGGTGAAGATTATATGGAAATAACAAAAAACAAAATCAAAGAAACCGTCAGTTATGATCTAAGCGATAAAATTGTTGATATATTTAGAGTGAGAAGTGTTAGCTCTTTGAAAGAAATGATGAGAGTCACTTTGAGGTTAGAGAGAGATATTCTAATTGCTGACAGAAAAAGGAAGCTGGATGATGATTCTAGTGAAGTTGAAAATAAAAAAGCTATTCTAGGTGTGTTGACATTATGGTATGGCATTTACATCTTCCACGTATATTAAATATAAAGGCAATTTTTTAGAAATTGATATATCAGCGAAATATGTAATTTTCATTTACGTTGCCTATTTTTTGAGGAATCAGTCGTCTTGCTTCTTCGTAGACGACCGTTCATGTGCCTATATGTGTATGTTTTTGATTATCATTTGGGATTTTATGGCCTTTCTGATTTGGCTGTTTCTGTAAAGTTCAATTTTTGATCTTTCAGTCTTTTACGCGTTCAAGAACACAAACAAAACGAACTCCATTAGGCGTGTACATGTTGAAGTTTGTCCGTTCGACGTCTGTTCGATGACGGTTGTACGTCAAAGAGACACTGCTTCCAATATTCTGCTCAAATAGAACGACCTAGGTCGACCAGCCTTTACTGAATGACTTTAATATCTAGTCGACTGTCGCAACGTAGAATAATTATTATAGAGCTACGAAATTCCACAAGTAGCGTCCTAGTTACTAAACTCATCGGGTATTGGAGACATTGGAGACATGTCTAGCATTGTATAGAAAGGTCTTGTATGTTATTCGTCTCTTTTCAGGTGACAACAATGGGAAAGAACAAGAAGAAACCAAGTAATGTTTTCAAAGTAGCTGGAGCTAAGAGCCAGAAATTGAAAGCAAAAGCTAGGGCTGAGAAGACAGGATTGAAACATGTAAGATATTTCAACTATTGAGACACTAAGGCATGTCAATCTCAGGCCAACTGTAATTTTATTAAATCTTCTTCTGGTATTATATCCTCAATGGACGTTGACGATCATTCTGGCCCTCATCACCGTATTGACTGATGATCTAATTTTACCTATTACCAGAAGTTAACTCGCGAAACAAGTTTGAATGTCATGTTTGTCCTAAAACGGTGTTCACTTTAGCCAGAGGACCATATTATGTGCATTGAAGTTGAAGATGTAAACCCTATTTCACCAGAATCTATTACATTTTGATATCTACTGAGCTAAAGATCCGATTAGCAAATTACATCTTTGTATTAGTCTGTAACGTTGGCAATAATGAATCGGGACGTTGTCTTTTCCAGTACCTGTAATTTTATGGGTACAGTAATATAAAAACGTGTTTCTGGTTAATTGTCCGTCATCAGTGTAACGTAACTCAAATACAGGTTGAGTATGCGCTGAACCTCTCATAAAAATTAATAATGAATACAGCTTGTTCAAAACATCCCTACTGTAAAAAATTGAACTTGCACGTTGCATCAACTTGCAAATTGAATATATATATATATATATATATATATATATATATATATATATAACTTGAGACGTGGTCATTGTCGTCTAGACCAGTTAGGTGAAAAATTAAAGCTTCCGCCTTTTGTTGGGACGAAGTACTATATATACAGATCAAGATGATTTTTTTACAGCAGTGATGTTTTGAACAAGCTGTATATATATATATATATACAGGGTGGCCCATCCATGTGTGGACGGAATATTACACATAAACAAATACATTTTGAGAAAATCTATTTATGGCATGTTATACATGACATTTGAGGGCACATTTCTAAAATATTGACAATTATACAGGGTGTCCCACTTTAGACCTACATATGAAAGTTTTGATTTCTTAAATGGAATGCCTCAAATTTTATTGGATATTTCGATAAACCAACTCAAAAGAAGAAGATTGATATAACATACTATGAGGTTTTGGTAATTAGCTACTGTGATGTAAGGTGTACTGTCCAGAAAAACCGTCCACTTCGCCTACCCCTCAATCCGCCATTTTGAAATTTGGAGTGCTGAATTTGGTGTCAAAAAAAACTTACACACCTCAGCTTATATCTTATTTGTTACTTTTTCGAATTTTAATTTTTGCTCATACAGGGTGGTCAAAAACGCGATTTGTACTTTTTCTCAAAAATTTCAAATGCATCACCCTGTATATTTGTGCAAGTTTGAATTCAATTTTTTATAAGCTTTTTTTGGTATAAGGTTTGATCCAGATAAAATCATAAGATTTTGAGTTATTAAGTTTTTAATAGAACAACACACCAAAATTAAGGAAAAAAATCACGTCATCCATGGAAACAAAAGACGAACCGTGGGCTAGTTCCATATTGCCACTAAGAGTACAGATTTGACGTAAAAACTAATAACAATCAGAACAGTATAAATCAGCTTCAAGCATAATAGAGAAAAACAACTGTAACAATAACATAAACAAACAACTATCACTACTCAAGACCTAATCTACAAAAACTGCTCGAAAATATCTCCACCATGTTGAATGCACGGCCATAGTCTTTGGATAAGTGACCGTTGCTCATCCCTCAGCATGTGTTCCCTTATGCTCAGAGAAGTATCCTTAATCCTTTCCTTCATATTTTCCGGGGTAGATGGTGGATATCTATAAGCCTCTTGCTTAACGTAGCCCCATAGAAAGAAGTCTATCGGTGTCATATCTGGTGATCTAGGAGGCCAAGATATAGGCCCATCACGACCGACCTAACGATTGTTACTCCAGGTGTCCAAATAGTTACGCACACGATTATGATAATGCGCGGGTGCGCCGTCATGTTGAAAGTACATATGCATCCGAGTTTGTAGGTTGACATCCTCCAAAAGCAAAGGCAAATGCTCCATCAAAAAATTCAAGTATTCCTTACCTGTTAATCTGTTGTCAAAAACGAGAGGCCCGATAACTTGTCTGCCAATAACTCCCCAACCCCCCGCCCCCCCAAACATTCAAGCTCCATTTATTTTGGAAATCTATTTGCCTAACCCAGTAAGGGGTTTCCGTCGCATATTCACCATTTCTTCTTTAGAAAAATTCATTTTCAAACACGTTTTTGTTATAATGCTCACAAAGCTAATTTGACAGTTTGTAACTAATCAACAATTCATTGGTTTCCAAGGATGATGCGATATTTTAGAGAATTAAGTCGTTCCATAAAAGACGTGCTAATAACCGAAAAAATAGCTGTAAAAATCCTTAAGTGTCTAGTATCAAAAAAAAGCTTATAAAAAATTGAATCCAAACTTGCACAAATATACATACATTTGAAATTTTTGAGAAAAACTTCAATTTGCGTTTTTGACCACCCTGTATGCGCAAAAATTAAACAAATAAGATAACAGCTGAGGTATGTAAGTTTTTTTTGCTATAAAATTCAGGTATCCAAATTTCAAAATGGTGGACTGAGGGGTTGCCGAAGTGGGGGGTTTTTCTAGACAAAACACGTTATATCTCAGTAGCTAATTACCAAAACCCCATAGTATGTTATGTCAATTTTCTTCTTTTGAATTGGTTTATCCAAATAAGCAATAAAATTTGAGGCATTCAACTCGAAAAATCACAACTTTGATATGTAGGTCGAAATTCGGACACTCTGTGTAATTGCCAATATTTCACAAATGTGCCCTCAAATGTCATGTATAACATGCCATAAATCGATTTTCCCAAAATGTATTTGCTTATGAGTAATATTCCGTCCACACATCGATGGGCCACCCTGTATATATTTATATATATATTTAAACATTATTTCTTTTATTCCTACTTGACTTGAAATGTAGTCATGATCATTAGCAACCATTTTGCTTGTAGCGTTGTGAACTTTTCTAAATAAAAGAGTTGTTGGCAAGTACAAAATTAATCTATAGTGTACAAAAACAACAACAACAAAAATTTGTCGATATGGGGAATTTTGTAATATTACTAGATAATCATCTGTTATTCTGCTGTAATGGATACTCGTGAAAAAAGGGTTGGTAAGAGTAAACTTCCAAGTTATAGTTATTCAACTTGATAGTAAATCTGCGGTTATTGGCGGAACTTGTTTGAAAACCTTATCCTTCGCTTGGTATATTATGGAACGGTATAAAATTACAATTGAGAAAATAGCGTCCAAAAATATTGAATGTGTACATGTCCTTAGAAAACCTATAATTTTGAAAAATCCGTTTAACTGAGGCGAGAATTTGATATGATTATCTGAGATCCACTCAAATGGTGACCGGATAATTGGTAAATAAGTAACCTGCAGAAATTAAAACTGCATAAACGTCACTTTTGAGTATTTTTCAAGGAAATGGTTTTTGAATAACCATATGTCATTGCTTGTGTAGTAGGAGCCTACAGAGTTCTTGTGATTCAAATATTTGGAAATGGCGTTTTTCAATGTTTTATATCTTAGATTACTGTATGTTGAGTAATTTTTTGAAACCCTGATTATTTATTTTGCAACAATCGCGCATAGTACACAGAAACTTTAATGATTCTGGCATAGATATACATATGAGTCTTTAAGGTAAAAGCGGATTTATATTACTTCAGATTAATATGAAGAACAAACATGACGTACAAGAAATTGATAAGGCGCTAATGAATTTAGAAGATAAAATAAGGCAAACAGCTCCACCCGTTAAAAACGTTGAGAAAGTAGCTAAATCTAAACTACCTACCACCGACATTGAAGATGCTCAAGCCCTCAAAGACAAGTCGGAAGCAGCAATGCAGGGCTTGGATAATATGCAGTTGTAATTGTTTTGTAAATGTTTTTTGTACATAATATATTATAAGTTTTTTAATCCAGTTATTTTTTCATTGGAAACCTATCATGTACCTATTATTTCATAATTAAAGCTCATTTAGTCCTTAACTAGTAAATTGGATTTAATAAGGACCTTCGATTTTTTATAAAAGTTTTGTTGATGAAATGTTTTCATAATACACACTGGACGTTATAGGGTGCTCAACATGACGGATTCCGGCATACCTAAAATTTAAATCAGTCGACTACTTGACCATCCTGTATGAACTAATCCCGGTAAAACTTCATGTGCAAGATACATGTTTAAACTGATTTGTCCGAGCCGTTAAAACACCAGTTTCATCAAAAACGAATATATCCGGATCTATGTTTATTCTTGTCTCGATAGATTCACCAATAGATATGTTTAATGCATGTTCTGCAATGTCACCGAAGTAAGAGATATTAACAGTTTATAATAACTAGTTGAACTGTGGAGGCCGTTTCCTTGTGGCAGGATTACTCCGGTCACACTACTCTGCGTGAAGACAAACAACCCTACAATGCCTCGATAAGTACTACTTTTCTGTTATTATGATAATTATTTTTATTATTATTTTAAAGAGACTTTAATGCGCGAGTACCCCTGTTATCTTTTTTACTAGTCCTTTGTGAACTCTGTCAGGTACCAGAATTATACTGAGAAAAATATATGTTCTAGTAGTAAAATGATTAAATATTCAGCTTGATTCGTTAACTGACTGCAGAAGCTGGTTCAATAATGTGTTGAGGATCCACGATGTCTTATACACTCATTGACACGCCTGGGCATCGTACTGAAAAGCCGGTCGATATCCTGTTGGGGTATCTCATTTCAGGCTACTGCAACTTCGTTAGTAAGAGCTGCTAAAGTCTGTGGAACGTGTTGCAAATTCAAGAGCCTGCGACCTATCATGTCCCAGTCTTGTTCAATTGGACTCTATGCATTTTGAGCAATCACAAAAAGGCTTCTCAATAAGCTACACGAAATTTAACATTTAACTGACACCGTAAATGTACGAAAACTGAATGCTTCTTTATCACCAAAAAATACACGCAGCCACCACAGAAACTTAACAGAAAAGCCTGATCGTTTAATCACCTGCAGTTCATGGCAAGATAAATCGATATGTGAAAAATTCTTGAATTCTACTAAACATACGTAGCTGTTTATTTTTTTTCTCACTCTATATATACTAAAGTAAATAATAGTAATAATAATAGAGATTATAACTAACATACAAAATTTCTTCATATAGCAGAAACTTCATGAAGGTGACGGAGACTAGCTATAGGCGTCAACTTCTATGGTTATTAGCCGAAAATATTAAATAAGAAAATACAATTACTTAAAAGTAAATACAATAAGGCAGCGCAGAAGAAATGTAGTTCAAAATTAGAGAATGTAATGGTTGCACCATATTTGATATTTCTGGAGTGGATCGAAAGCTCGGAAGAGAACTTATTTGCAAGATTCGGCAGATTAGATCTATACAAGAGCTTGTGAGTGAAAGTACGTAAGAGCAAGCTACGACTATTTTCCATATTAAGACATTTTCCCTCGTCAATTTTATGCGATACGGGGTCATATTTCCTTTCGTTTAACTCGGGAAACAATTCCTTGAAGTGAACATGTTTTGAATCTAATACTTTTTTCTACAGTCTAGAACTGAGACTTTTGACCTTTCATAATTCCATTTATGAATGAACATTTGGACCTAAAAGCTTTATGAAAAGTGCCGGGTAGTGATCTCAAGTTAACACTTTTTTTGGCAGATTTCTATCACTTTTATATACAAATTTTCAAAACGGTCTTAACGCGTGATCTGCCTGATATTTCACTCAAACAGGTTATTTCAGTTTTCAAGCTGCACATCTATTAATAAAAGACGTGAATGGATATACGTCTTATAATTTATTATAACCTTAAAACTAACAAAAAATAATATAAATGAAACACCACATAATGATGTTATGATTATAAATACAACTTTATTCTATTATAAATTAGATAACATTTATTGTGATTGGAAACAGATAGAATAATGTAAAAATATAATAGAAATGATTGGTGTTCTGTACTTCTGGAGATGTTTGTTTGATAGTATTCTGATAGCTGACGTCAAGACCTGCAACAAGCGAAAAATTACAATGAACTGAGGTTTCATATCCACTAAACATAATTTAATTTTTGTATAAAACTGTATTAATATTTTCCTTGTTATGAAGTTTTCCCGATTCCTCCTAAGAACACTAAGTGACGTATTATACGAATTGGCAAAAATGTCGCCCTTTTATCGTGGACAACATCCACAGCCACTAAACGGTTTGTTATCACGACGTCCTTTTTTTCTTATTCGGTTAGTGACTCAACAGTGTATCGAACGATCTGGATCACTGCTTTCATGAATAGTTGTTGACTATCGTTGAGTCAAATTTTTCGTATGATGGAGCGTTTGTCAATGGAGAGCTTAACGTGGATGCACAGCGTTATCGTATTCGTTATCCAAACGCGTCTTCCATGTAACATAAAATATCGATAACCTTCATAAAAACCGATGAAGTTCAAAATTGCGAATCCATGTTTCCACAAAATAGTGATTACAGCTGCCATAGGCATCAATGCTAGAAATTACTTTTCGGCAAAAAAAAAGTGTTAAAATCAAATATTTGGACTTGTTACTAATTATTTATTGTTTGCACCATAAGTATCATTGATTCGTCATTGCGGCATTTTCAGAATGCTCATTTCGATAAAATATAAATACGTTTACTAAAAAGCGTTATTTTCTGAGCTTTTTTGCTGAGATGAAGTGGTAAAATTGCCCTCCAAAGATCAAATACAAAATTGCACACCAGAGCTATGACGTAATAAGTTCTAACATGATCTAATAAGTTCTAGCCCGTCCTGCCCTAAAATATGAGTTTAATTATGCCACGGCAGCTAGGCTTCCGTCAGCTGTGAGGAAAATAACGTTTCATAGTTGGGAGTATCACATGTATGGCTACGTTCCAACTGTATCCTAAGCTGTTTTCCAGTGTCCCGGATGGGTTACTCAGAGTAACACGGACTAACTCAGTAGTGCTCAGCATCAAAAGCGTTCCACTAAACGTTACATTTCCATCCATTGTTTCTAGAACTCACAAACCAAAAACCACTGGAAAGCAGCTCGGAATAAAAATCAAATGTTATTTGTCGACACTTCGGCAGAAAATACATAGGATTTAAATGTTCTCTTTCAGTGTAGGATTTTCAAGTTACATTTACAAAGGAAAAAATGTAAGAATGCAGTTATGTTTGGTTAGAGAATACGGTATTGCTAAACTTTACCTTTATTCCTCTTCTTCTTCTTCGTCATCCTCCTCTTCCTCCTCTTCATCGACCTCAACCTCCTCTTCTTCCTCCTCATCTTCTGGCTCAGGTTCGATGACAGGTTCCTTGATCTCTTCATCCTCGTCGGCAGCTTGTTTGCCTTCCTCTTCGCCTTCAGGGGTCTCGGGGTCTCCAGGTTTCTTGCCTGGCCTTTCTCCGAACCATTTGGGGAGCTTGGCTGAGGAAAGCAAATAAAAGGGATAAGGACAAAGTATATTCAATTGAGGAAGTTAGAAATACATCCTTAAACAAATACTCCTCGTGTTGATTGCCATACAAAGAGACGAATTTTTATATTTTATGAAAATATATCACTCCCAAAACTTTTTGGAGACTGATGGTAGCAAATTTTTTCAAGAGGAGCAAAGTCCAAATAGTGTGCTGAAAACCATGGTGAATATGCAGTTCTCAGGGAAGGGCATAGTCCCCCTGCCTCTTCCCCTGTGTGTATAGACCCTAATTTAAAACCTATTTTAATTCCTAACAATAGCCATTTTAGTGCTTTTTACCAAAAAGTGTCCCTTCTCGCATATTAATCCAAAGGATAAGTGAGGGAAATATATTTTTATATATTTTAATCACGAAATTATCTAGTATAATACTTTTTTGCCAGAACCACGCGAAAATCCTCGCTCCGTCCCAGTCATATTCACAAATTTTGACGGCATTTAAATATTTAGGGTGCTGAGATGAAGATACAAGTGAAAAAAGCAAAATCGATACATTCACATTATTGGCTTAAGATTTTTAGTAATTTTGAGTTTAGGATTTTTTAACGTAGTCAGACATATACTTGTTTCTGTGAGTAACATTAATTAATCTAAAAGTAAAACATGTACACACTGTTCCATGCACTTGACTTGATAACCATGTCAATTCTAAGCCTTACCTTTCCGGTCGAATTTTCAAAATGCCAAAACAGACAGCCGTCGCAATGAGAACTAATTAACATTTTTCTAAATAAGAATCATTTCAATATTACTGGTGAGAAAAATACACTCTTTGAATAACAAGTGTTACTTCTAACAGCAACGGTGATTCTTTTTGAGTTCTATCATTCCAATCTCACCTTAGAAGTGAGATATACCGTGTACCAGCGTAATATTTTTCAGCAGTATTCTATCGATATTAGATCGCAAAAATGTCCACTATAGTAGTGAAGAAAGTAATTCCTGAAAACTGCTTCTATTAAGGTGAGAACATTAGCTACTTACCCTTTTGTCTGGAGTCAAATTGTCCGTATTTTTCTTTCCACGACTTCTCGTTCAGTTCTTTCATGATATCCTCAAGACCCTGACAAAGAACAAATACACACTCAAACATTGCACAATGTACGATTGTTACATGTTCAATATTGTGCAACAAGTAGGAACATAGAGGACAAACTACAAACACCACATAAACTATGGACGTATTCCCTATCTATACAGCAATTGAAAACAGACAAATTGACACGGAGTTTGACGTACTTCGTGTTCTGTTCATGAACTCGTTGATTTTCTCCCTCCATATTTTCTCCATTTGTTCCATTTGAAGCATGTCAAAGCCCTAACATAGAATCAGATTCTGTGTTATGTGATTCTCCACAATATGGCTACGTATATTTTGGTTCGAAATATAATACACAGCTATTCAGTAAAATGGTGGCAAATACTATCTGATAGATATGGTCTCTGTATTACAATGGGATAATCTACTTATATTTTACTGAAAAGTCTATTGAGGACGAAACTACTACTGTAGACATAAGTATGTCGTGATGCAAAAATAATTAAGTAATACTGTATTTTTAAAAAACCAAGTTGCATATTGTACCGAAACGACAGTCATTGCTCAAAAATTTGAAAATGGGAAGCTTTGTCATTTGATTTGAAGCAAGATATTTTTGCGAACCAAAATACTTAGCGAGACTCTTCTGACATTTTTATATAATATTAATATGTGGTGTTTATGTAGTGTCTTTCATTTGTGTTTGACGTCTAGGTAGGTTGTTTATGTATGGATCGAATTATTATAATATACTAATCGTGAACATTGTTTTTTTAACCTTATGGACCATTGACCACTTAAAAGACATTCTTTTTCAATTGGATATTAATAAAAAATAAGCATTTCGTATTATCCGTTACGGGAAATTCCATTTTACGTCTGTTTACCTGTCGGATTCAGAAATATTAGATTTGCTCAGATACATATTTCACAACCTACGTGCAGCTACTTGATGTTCCAATTATATGTTGACGATTCATAGTATCCATGAGGCATAAAAAGCACGTAGGAAAAGAATGACGACGAATCACCCTTTCGACGGATGATTGAATGAAAGGTGTAGAAAACAAATCGAAATTCATGTGTAATCAACTACAGACATGCATGTTCAAAGTTAGGATGCTACACGTGATACTAATTGTTCTAAAATCAGTTTTCTTGTTTATATTGTTAACAAAAAAAAGAAATGTAGCAGTATTATGTAATATATTTTTGTGTAAAAATCATAATATCTTACTATAGAAGAGACCAAGTTGCCCTGATTTGTATTTCATATTATTATGTAAATGTTGTGATATAATACTTACGCCTTCAAACAGTTTCTTTTTGTCTCCATACGACCTTGTGTCTACACGTCGTTCATATTTTGAGGCTACTTGGATTTTAGGCTGTAAATAAGATAATACTTTTTAAGTGAGAGGATAACTTCAAAGGCATATAATACTTACAGGGTATTTGCCTGTGAGGGCTTCAGGGTCCAAACCCTTTTTCAAGGCTTTATGTCTAAGTTGCTGCTTCTGTCTTTCTTTCAGTTCTTTAAGCTGTAATAATATACTGGTGTTAGAAACTATCGGCAAGTTCATTTATTCTAAGAGTCCTCAAATAAACTTGAGCTAAACTGTAATTGTTTTACGCCGGTATGTGCGTAAATTGAGTTTCCGAAAAAAATCTACGATATTGAATGTGGCTATGCCTGAAGCAAATTATTAGGTAAAAAGATTCGGCGCTTGTTTGTTTAAAAATCGGATTTAAAAAATCGCAAATAACACTTTCCTCTAGCAAAAACCAACTTATCGATTTGATGTAAGTTTGCGGTATGTTTTAGGTGCTGCCGATGTTATACGAGTATTTTCATATCGTTTTCTTGCTACGTCACTGGTCAAGGAAGTATTGTAATCGCGAAAACATTCGAAAATGAGATACTATGCTTTTTGGATGTTATATGACAATATGTACATCACGAAAAATCATACCAATACTCACATCGTAGTCTTGACGCTTCTGCCTTTCTTCCAAATCGTACTTTTCAGTCTCCAGCTTGACGATGCACTCCCAGAGCTCGTGCGCTTTATTGCGCAGTGCCTCTAAACCGAGTCCGTCCACTTGCAGAGGCTTGATACGGATAGACAGGGAGATTTTCTTTTCTTCTTCAAGCTGCTCCTTGGTCTTGTTGCGTTCCATTTGAGCGGCGGATATATTCGACTATTGAAAGAAAATTAGAAACCAGAATTAGTTAACATGATAGGATATCTCAAGCTGACCAAACAATAAAACAAATCAGGTGAAATTTCAGCGAAAGAAGCGGTTATTAGTAAATGCAAAATTTTGGAGAGTCTTAAAAAAGATAATGAATGCAGCCTTATGTGTTCATTAAAATGTTCGCTTTTGATTGAAAAATATAAAGTTTTATGTTGATAATTCTTGATCAAAATTTCACCATCATAATTTTTAGAAAACCTGAAAACCTCGAAGTGTTATCTTTAATATAAAATGTAAAATACTCGTACTTAAGAAGAAGCTTCAGTTCTCTCACGGATCTCGGGCTTTGTGTTGCGCCAAAAAATAAGAAGCACCGTCATTTACATTTTTTGGGAAGTCATAAAGTAAGTAAATTACAGAAAATTAGGTGGCTAAGAACAAAAGCAAGTAGTAACCACGCATCCTGATGTTGAGGCTGCGACATTTAGCGCGGGCATACACAGTTGCAGCTCCGAATCGTAATAGCCCTCTTTTTGCTTGAAAAAGCTCACTTGATATGAGTTCAACAGATATTCTAATATTTCTGAGCCAATTCATAATTCTGATCGTGTGTGGCTACGATTAAATTGAAGAGATGTCTCACAGCGCATGCTTGATATTTATTCATTGTTTCAGAACACAGCTATTTTAAAGGGCGCTTACTAATCCCATCTTTCCGACCTTCATATCCAAGTGACATCTTATCTACTCCGTTTTTGAACAGCCCAGGTATATTAGGCTTTTTATGTAAAAAACTGCCAACTGGCATTTTTTATCAAAAAAGTATAATATCCCTGGGCTATTCCGAATCGGAATTAAGAAATTGTTATTCTTTTGATATGAATAACCTACGCGTGTCTCAAGATGACACAGTTAGTTGTTCATATCCTGTGTATATTAAATTGGTCTAATGCATTCAGGCTCATCATTCAACTCCCAGAAGTGACCATCAACATTTTCTCTTAAGGTGTGTTCTTTTCGGTGCTTGAATCATGGATGCTACAATTTAATAGACAGAGGGGTGATACAACACAGCACTGCCACAAAATAAAAGATCAATCACTGAATTAATTACATTTTATTTTACTGCAAAATTTAATTAACGTTTGGTAAATCAATTTTTCTAAACTCAATAGTATTAAAAATCAACAAATATAGCATTATTAGGTAGACTATAACTAATGAATAAAATGAGGGATTGTATTAAATGAGAATTATAATATGATGAACTTCCGGAAGAACATGAGTAGTTTGGAAAAACATTTTTGTGTTATGGACATGGCAGATTAAAAAAAAACTGCAAAAGATAGACCTCAAAGCCTTGTCTTATTATGAATCATTAAGTAGCTGATTGGAAAATCATCTATCGTAACAAGCAATCTATCTTCTGTCGTTTGTGTGTTTGTAGTTTTCACCCCTCGCTGTATAAAATGTTCATGTGAAATTTCACGTTTGCCATTTGAAAGTAAATGATTCTAATCTAAAAAATTAGTCATCACACTGCACTCTGCAATTAATAATGGTAATCTAAGCAATTCTAAGCTTCTCAAACTGAATTTAAAGAACTACTAATGTAATTAATTTTTGCGATCAGACAGAGGATATTGATAAATGTATCTCGATTGTCAATAAAAAGGTTTCAGTTACATGTCTCAAGATCATTGAGAGTATAATTATACAGGGTGTTAACAAAGGCACGTGGTCAAACTTCAAAGGGTGATTCCTAAGGCGATTCTAACACAAAGGACCCATAAAAACGTGGTTATAAGATGCCACCTTACCGAGATACAGGGTGTTGAAGTTGTAATTTTGAAATCGATAAAAAAATCTGGCTCGATAGAGATGCCGAGAACTTTGTATGTATACATCTTGACGCCAGCAAAAAAAAAAAACGAAATATTTTCTGCATATGTCTCCTGTCTCCGTTGAGATTTTTTTAAAATTCAGTATCACATTTACAATTTAATGTAGTAGGTATATTAAGTGAGTAATCGCATCTATCTACAGAGTTATTTGATGATTAATCATGTTCTGACAGCAACATCCTGTATTTTGGTAATGGTACATTTCCGGGTCTGTGTTTATATGAACTTGGCTAGGTACTTTATGAATACCCCTGTATTGGTGTATATAGTCTGTATAGTACGGTTGGTTACGTTCTTTATCAATATATCTAATTGGACAGGTAAGTCTTGGGATGTTTCAGTTTTTACGATTGTTGTTAACTATTGATTATAATAAAAACCGCGTGAGGTTTTTGATTGGTTATTTTTAGGCTTACTATCCTCAAATGCAAGATGTAAATAAAAAGTTTTTTTCTTTATCGAGCTATTCCTCAACATTCTCTTGCCTTCACTCAGGTATTCCTAAACAAGCGCTAACTAAAAGCACCACTGTACAGGAATCCAGGCCATATATTTGATGACTTTTTGGTACTATTTAACTAAACTTTAAATCAGTGCTAGTGAAAATAGACCCAATGGGTACAATATCAGTTATCATCTGTCCTCCTGTACAGCGTATACAAAGGCGTTTTTTCGGTCCTTACTCCAGCGTCCCGTTTGGTGATGGTGAAGTTGGGCCCCTTGTTCTTGTTCTGGTCCTTCAGCGCCTGCATCATGGCCTGCCTCTTCTTCTCAGCCTCCTCCAGGCGTTGCCTCTTCTCCTCTATATCGCGCTGTTTCTTCTCCTCAATCTCGCGCACACGCCTCTCTTCCTCGGCCTTCTTCCTTTCGGCCATTTTGCGCTCTTCATCTGCCCGAGCGATTTTGCGCTTGGCCTAAAATAAAAATAGTTTTTGAGTATCAAGTATAGGTGCTATCCGGAGAAGTCAATAAACGAGATGAACCATAGCATACTGGGAATGTCTTTTGCCATTATGCCAAAGACAAGATATGCTAAGCCTTTCTCATAGGAATTAGTGCAAAAAGCAAACCGATTTAATAGTATGTGCAAACACAAGTAGCTGCAAGACCGACTGGTCTCTTCGTGCCGAGGCTCAGGATTGAGGAATCAGTCAGCCTAGGGCTTTGATCATCATGGCAGAGATATATGCTATAGTACCAATAATCTAATGTAATATACTATACCAAGTAACAACAAAGAAAGTAACAACCTTAACCCTTGAACCGTATCCTGGAGTACAAATTAATGAAAACAAATAATTAAAATCGTTCGTAACTTTTTTGCTATAAGACAGTGTGCTTTGCGCCTCGGAATACTTATAGAGACCGAGTTTGACTTTTTCTTACTAGGGTACTATTAATTTAATTCCACCACGGTTACGGTTCTAGGGTTGAAGCTATGGTGAGACTGTACATCGGTCCGTTGCTGATTACGTCTCCATATGAGCGGGTTGGGCATAGCAGAAGACGCTGAGTGCTACATGACGGGGACGAAACGTTTAAGTACGTTTTGTGGAGATGCCTTGCAATTCCCAGAATTATTGAACCAACGTAGGATTTCCCGTATGTTCGTGTTAGAGTAAACTTTGCCGGCTTTCATGCCGAAACTATTCACCCTTTAAAGATACATAACATAAGCTGTAGGCAGTACCGCAAAAAACAGTGATTATGATCTTCTGATTAGAAGTCTCCATCTCATGTTTCCGAGATATAAAGGTATCGAACATCGCCAGATAGAGTAGCCAACCGCATCCTTTTCTTTACAAGGTGATGGTGATAGTGTGATAATATCATTTTCGACGTTTCCAAATAAAATTAGAAGAGACCGCGATAAGTCATCATCAACCCAGAAAGAGTGAATCAAAACAAGAAGAATATACTTTGAGTAGCGGATTTTTTTGGAAAAATGAAAAGTACCGATGAATATTTTCCTTTGTCGCTGATGATATCGATGACATACTTTATAGAGGTTTCACTGACATGACTCACTAACTGCTAACCTGCTTCATTGGCGACATTGTTGGCGTCACAGAGTCGTCAGTACGAGTACCAAATGCCACATAGGTAGGCGAAAGTGTTGTCTTTCGTGCAGAAAAAATCCTTACAATAAAATGCCTTTGAAATTCGCATATGTCCTTTACCTGTTTTTCCTTAAGTTTTTTCAGCTCGTCTTCTTCTTTTGCCCTTTGCTTCCTCCATTCCGCAATGTATTCACGGAGCTGTTCATCCAAGTCTGATCTCTTCTGATCTTGACGTTTGATAAATTCTGGATCGCCCTGTCCCTCCCTAAATATACACTTTATTTAGCAAAATTAAGAAAAACGTTACCTCACTGAATCCATAAAGAGGTTTTTAGCAGCTTAGTTTTATAAAAGCTTGATGGAACTGTTTTCCCATGCCAAATCAGAAAGTAGATGAATCAAGTACAAAATACTTCATTGAATTACATTTTCTGTATTCAGTATAATGAACGATTTGGAACTTTGTGATTGTGTTTGATTATTATTTTATTACTGTATTTATCCTTTTATTTTCCTTATATTGTATACAGTTTGGCGATGTTAAAATCCTGGGGTTTACATGTTCATATGACTGACTGCATTGTCTACCCTAATTAAACCAGATATGTGCTTTAAATTCTGTTTATTGTAACGTTTCGGCCACCACGGTCATCATCAAGTACAATAACAATTAATTAAGCGCCGTAGATCAAACAGAAATTAAAACATATACAGTGAAATCCATTTAACACTGACGTCGTAATGTGTACGAGAGAGAAGAGCGAGAAACATGCATTACGCGTGTTAGAAAGAGATAGAAGTACCTCGTTTCCTACCAAACCGAGTGACGAGGCCACGGATGTAGCTGTAACGTGCCGCGTTACCACCGGCGCACTCTTTTTAACATATACAGGGTGACTTCGAAGTTGAGTCATTTATTTTAACAGTGAGTAGATCTGATCAAAAGAAACGTTTTTTTCCTTTAACATTTTTCTGGTAAAATTAAAGTAACAAAGTTATAGCCCTTTAGAAGTTTGAGTACCGCCCTGTCTCAATAATAATATTATGTGCTCGTGTTTGGCAACAACGGATATAATCCGCCTTATCGGTTCATCGCATCGGAAACAAAAAAGCGAAAGAATTTGAAACGCTTATCACGATGTTTTTACTACAATTTTATTTAGTTGTATTCAGTCAATGTGTCAGTCGGTAACGCGTGAGTGAATAGTGGTGTTTGTTACGTGGCTCAAACGAAATAAAAAATGGCACATGTTTACGAAAATGCTGAACTTGTGTGACATGATTCTTATTTACGGGGGGGGAGTCTTTACAAAATGCTGCCACGGCATCACGGATTTATGCGGATCGGTTTCCCAATCGAGTGCAACCAATCCCTCGTGCCTTTGTTAATGTAGAACAAAGGGCTCGTGAATCAGGTGACTTAAGACCTCACAGGGGAGGGCATGCCGGTGCTCCAAGACCGCACGATCAAATACAGGTCCGCACTGAAATACTTGTCGGGAGGATACTTTATAAAACAAGGTAACATTTTTTTTATATTTTTTACACACATATTTTGGTTTATCTTCCTTCTACAATCATTATCTGAAAATTAATGACTCAACTTCAAAGTCACCCTGTGCACGCCTCTCGCGCTTCTGTCTCATACACATTACGTGAGCCAAATTTGAACCACACCGAGCGTGGTTTGGTTCGACAATGGAGTCCAGAAATGATTATAGGTGAATATATAATATATAGAGTTCCTTACTGTGAAAAAGTACGTACAAAATAAAGTTTATACGAATCATGCACGGTTAAGTGTGAATGTCCATTGCCATTTGTAACTGTACTTTTGCATTTGGTCCAATAAAGTTGATTGAATTGAGTTGAATTCATGAATTCAATGGGCTGTTAGACACACTTAGAATGGATAAAATTGGTATGCAATCATAAGGATGGAAAACTATGACAGATCAAAGAAAATCAAACAGCGCCAACTTAGTGAATAAAAAATATCAAAAACTACCACTCCTGGTTAATGTCACAGGAAAAGATGTTAAGGACACAAAATAACCTGTGGGTCATAACTCAATGCTGCAAAGCAAATAGGTTTAAATACATACTTTTAGTGCTGGAAGCGCTCTAACACATATTTAGCCCGTTGGTTGATAGCCCCTTTATATCCAAAGTAACGCATTATTTTTCAAAATCATCGTAAATACGTTTGTGGATCAAAAATTGCACACGCATAGATATTTGAATACACGTATTCTCTAATGAGTGATCATCCCAGATATTTTACCTATTATAAAGCTGCATAGAGTACTATGATATAGAAATGATAGATAATTTGACTTTTCATAACTGATTATGACTGTTGAAAAACTCAGATTTTTTATTACTCTCTCTGTATTCCAATCTTATTGAATGCATGTCAAAACAAACACCAGCGGGCGTAACTTGAAAAGTGCCATTATATCGATTTTTTATGACATTTTTGTCGGTTTTATCGAAAATATGTCACCTTGGAACTAGTCGTTATTCACTTGTATTAGCTCTGCGTGTTGCCTAAACGTCATGACATTTTAGCTATATGGTTTGGCTCTAATGTGATGTAACATCTGCTTCAGAGATGTTACTTGCGAAAGCCATTTATAGCTTCTATGGAAAAGCTGTAAATTCTATACTTTACGTCGTGAAATGTCTCCAAACGCGGCATTCCCCGCTAGTGCGCATGACATGAACTAGCGTAGTACACACGTTGACAAAATACCCATTATACGCAATACCCCTGCCGGTCGAAAAATAAATAGGGGGACCTCTCTAAAAATCACTGTATATCTAGTAGTCACAAGTTACAACAACAAATGTTAGACTGATGCGAGTAAATTTTGGCCATGAAATCTCCAGAGCTTAAAATATTTATTCTAGTTCTCAATTATCATCAAATAAGGCAGATACTTAGAATGAAAATACGAGTATTCAAAACCCTGTGAGTAATTTTTTGTCCACAAACCATTAGATTAAACACTATACCCTTCAACGAAACAAAAAATTCTATATTGTAAAAGCAAATTCTGCAATCCGGTATATTTCAAAACAGTCAAAACTAGACTTCCTTCTAGTTTATCCGTTTGTATATAAAAAATCAGTTCACAACTCATAATCATGCGGAAGCATCGCAAAATATGTCAGATAGAAAAAATAGCAGAACTGCCAGTCGTGTATTCATCATATTCTGAAATAAACTTACTCGGGTTTTGGGGTAGCAACGGTTGTCCTGAACAGCACAAAAGGTACAGGGTCGTGGTCGGGTGGAAAAGGAAAAAATCAAAAATGAAAAAATGGTCCTTACACAAAATATATTAATCGTAAACCAATGTTCCAAAAATGTAGTTACCTAACGTCTTAGTGTCAAAATAAAGATACCATCTATTATTATTTTTTTCATAATGTCATGCTCTAAATATTTATTAGATAAATAAATAATATAGGTCCTTTAAGATGAAAACAAATTGTGGGACTGATTTATCGCTAGTTCTGCTTAGAAAATCAAAAGCCTCCTTAATAGAACTTACGTAATAAAAGTTCTGTATTATAAGTTAAGCAATTTCAGCTGTGATATAATTCCACTCTACAGCTGATAAATATTTATTTTGGTTTATTTTGACACCTTTATGTAGAATATAAAGATAATTAGGCGTTAATTATTAATAAAACCAATCTTTCAAAGCTCTTTATCTCAAAAGCTGCTGCGAATAAGCTCTTATGTACAAGCGCCAAATATACTAAGTAACATATAAAATGCAACACCCAGAATTATTTATTGAATTTTGATAAAAACTTGTAAACATATTTGCTATCATGAACGTATTACGCTGATAAAATGTCGAAAGCATTCTGAGCCGTACTTTTTTCTAAAGGCTTTTTTGTCGTCAGGATCCGAACAATACGATCCTGTTACCTAATATTCAGTGATTTTTCTGTCTTGGTTCCATTTGTTTCATTGGTGTTTCATTGCACTATCATGCGTAGAGTTCGCAGACGCGCGAATTTCACTCAACTTTCCGAGTTTGAGAGGGGTCGTAGTCACGTGAAGCTGGATCTTCTTTTAGAGAAATCGCTAATCGCATGAATCAAAACGAAGCTTCTGTAATGAGATATTGTCGAGCTTGGTTCCAAGAAGGCTGAAATCGAAGAGTTAGAGGTACTGGACGTCAAAGACAGACTACAGAGCGACAGGATCGTTATTTGAGGGAACTAGCGGTCTCATGATGTCGGAAGGGCAGTAACAATGAAGACAGTTTATTGCCGAATAAGGTCTTTTGGACCGTTTCCATACCGTCCCCATCTTGTTCTACCTCTGACCCCCCAGCATCGTCGGCAACGATTGGCATGAAGTAGGGAGAGACTTGAATGGAATATGGAATGGAACTCAGTTGTGTTCAGCGATGAGTCCAATCTGGGCACACATGATGGCCGTGCAAGAGTAAGGAGGAGACGTGGTGAAAGACGATATTCCATCGAACGGCATAATCATCACACTGCGGGTGTTATGGCTGCAGGTCACGATTACTGTTCATTCGAGGTAGCATGACTGCCCAGCGCTATTGCACGAAGTTTTACAACCACATCTGCTTCCCTTTTTGGAAACATTGCAAGATCCACTTTTTCAGCAGACAATGCACGACCGCATGTCGCACGTGTTAGCTTAGACTTTTTATAAGCGTCCGGAGTGAATCTGCTTCAGTGGCCTTCTCGATCTCCAGACCTTTCCCTCATCGTATGTGAGAAGAAGGTTGCAAAATTCACTGCGCCCTCCACAGACACTGGAGGCTCGAGGACACCAAGAGGACATCAATCACCTAATCCAGTCAATGCCGCGACGACTTAACGAACGTCTAGCGAACAGAGGAGCTTCAACACATTCTTAAACATGAGATATCTCAGCTATTTTGCGAAACTTCGAGTTAAAATTTCAATCACTTTTTACTTATCAGTAGAACTAAAGCTTGTAGAAGTATGCTCAAAATTACAGCACTCTTTGTCCGTGTTGCATTTTCTATGTCATTTAGTATAGTTTTTTGGATTATGTGTTCACTAATTTTTGTATTTGTAGTTCCAGCTATAATTGACATCAAAATCAAACTATATCCGTTAACATTGTTTCATTAATGTTCGCCATTACCGTTACATTCTTGTTTAATTATAGATACCTCAAAATTTTGCTTCCAATGTAGATAGGAAATATGTACTAGAATATAGTTTCATGCTATGAACGGTGCAGTGCAACATATTCTTTCGGAAGAAAGAACCAACGACCGGTAAATATTGCCTTGCTTTATTATTGTTTGTGAGATTGTATTATTTGTATGGAAGTACAAATAAAAACAATGATGCATATACAAAGCATATCCTTTATGAATTTGATTTATACAAGGTGGTTCAAAGGTCTGAGACGTTACTTGAAAAGTATGAGACAGTTGAGGGCAAGATTTCATTAATACTATTCAATCTTTAGAAAATAGTGCCCTTGAAACGACATGAAGGCGGATGGACTAGTTACAGATCTGGTAGGCAATAGAATACAGCGCGTTTGAGACTGTAAAAAAAATATGTTATGGCTGAATTTGGTAATATTGTGAATTGAAAAATGGCGATTATAAAATATGTTATAATTATGTATGTCAAGTGACCTCATTCAGTTCTTTTTCCAGTCATCTTCGTAGCGCTGTGTACACTGTGTTTAAAAAAATATACAGGGTGATTAAAAAATGATGTCAAACATTTTAAGAGTAGAAATAGAGCCAAATAAGTGTTTTTTCTTTGTTCTGTTATGTTTCTATCAATTATCAACTGGTCAGATAATTATTTTCAACATATTTCTCAAATAAAGGGTATGGCAGCATATATTCCTTTTTTAGAATGCGCGTCTATTAGTCGGTTGATGGCGAGTGGAGCGCAGGTTCGAGAGGCGAGATTATAAAGTTTTGTCCCGACACAGTTCAGTCGGCAGTCGATCAGTAGCCATCGTGCGTCACCATTAACTGCAGGCCAGCGTGTCCTTCGGAATTTCGGAATCACTTTAATTTAGGAGACATTTGGTTCCAACAAGACGGTGTAATGTCACACACTTCAACAGCATCGATGGCTGAATCTGACTTGGAGTGGCCGGCCCGCTCTCCCGATTTGGCCGCTTGTGATTTATTGATTTTGATTCATACATTTGGATTTATTAAGTTTGAAAAAACGAAGTTATGCTGCCACACCCTTTAGAAAATAGATCAACCGTTACTTTATATTGCTACTATTCTATTTACATAGAGTACGCTAGTACGATTACATTGCTTTCGTTTTTTTTAAGACATGTTCCTTTTTTGTAGGGTAGAAAGTACATCACACTAGTACACAAAGTACACCAGTGCATTAGTGTTGTACGCCACTGATGAGACTAAATAAGCATAAAAGACGAATATTGTTCAAATAATGCTATGGTACGATAGTATTACTTTCTTAATATACTACAGACAATATTCACAGCCCAACTTCATTTACAGGAAAATATAAAAAAAAGTAGAGTGGGTTGAAGTTTCCTAATTACAGATTTTACCTCAAACATTCAACTCGATTTTTTGCAATTCATGTAAAATTGAATACCTTTTTCAAAAATGCCATAGATGTTTGAAAAAGTCAATGGCGTAGAAAACAATTTTCTTTTTCTTTCTATAGGAGTCCAAGTTTCCCTAGTTCTTTGCCACTGGTGTAGTCTCAGGCACGGAAATATTTTAATGTATTGGTTATGTTATATTATCTAAGCAAAACTTTAAGTCTATGTATTTGAAAAATCAATTTGACAATCTACGAATCAAAGCTGTAGTGGACATGTTGCTTGACAGTAGAATCACCTTGTATAAATGTGTATGTTAGAGCGTTAAGCTATGTAAGCGGTGCATAGAATTGAGCTTTGAAAGTTCAATAATTATGGCATTATTAATCTATAAGTTAATCGAATTTTGACTGGTTTACGATACAAAAAATATATCTATATACGTACGAAGCTACAGGGTGCATTTACATTACTACTACACTAGCTTACATCACATATACACGATACTACCATATACAGGGCAGACAAAACATATTTGGGTTGTGGGGGTGAAAAACTTACGTTTTTCTGTAAAAAAAAAGAAATATAACGGCGTTACAAAATAAAAAACCATTAAACCAGGCATTACATAGGATCTTGCATATCTATTATGGCAAAAAATTATGTCAGCCAAGTCTATAAATTTGTAAAAATCGCAAAGTTTCGGATGCCAAATTGTATGTTAATTCGATGCTGTATATACACATGCCTTAATAGAATAGCTGCATTTACATCAATTCTGTATCTACAGCGTTTATTGAAAATCCATTAAATCATATGTACAACTAGACCCATCTGAACTTTACCAAAATTTTGATGAACGCATACATTGGGAAGATTGTTTATATTATACAAGTGGGTATCCGTTCAGGAAAGATCTAATCGATACTGTCCAAGCCAACTGCCTTGTTAATGGATCCCAAATGGGCAGATACTTTATTGGTCAAGACGATGTAAAGATAGATCAGCGAGAATTCACAGGGCGAGTTCCAAATGATTTTTATGTTAAATTACATTCTGGGGTTCTATTCCAATCATACTCTTTTGGAATGGGTTATGATGCTTCTTTTAGCTCAAAAAGTAGTTATTTCTGTCTACAGTGTTATACTAATAACATTACAAATATACAAAAGAGATACAAAAAGTTAAGATGGGTCTATTTAGAAAGGCGCAGATAACTTGAATACTTACGTCTCAACGACCTCTTCCTCCTCCTCTTCTTCACTAAAAAAATTGACAAAAACATTTAAGACAATGGACAAACGTGTATTCGTCGCTAGGCAAATGTAGCAACTAAGCTCAAGGTACAGAAAGCTTGAGAAAACCAGCTTCGTGAGGTTCTTTGAGTGCTGACAACATGAAAACATGTAACATTTGTGATGTAACACTGTGAACATATTTATTCAATAGCTACTTACTACTTATTACTGATTGCTACCACTGATGGGGATGCTTTCAGAAAATATTACACCTTCAAAAGATTGAGGGAACCATTTTTGTGTGGTTGATCAACACGTAAACACATGATATTTGTGATACAACATATTTATTTATAAGTACTTACTACTTATTACTGATTGCTACGAAATCGATGCAAATGTTTTCAAAAAATATTACACCACAAGGCTAGTAATAACCCTATTTGTTATTTACTGATTAAGTTATTCAAAAAATGATCGGTGGGAAAACGTATGCAATATTTTTGTTGGCACTTCGTACCATTTACGTATCTCTAATAAGGTGTCTATCAAAAAAGTATACTATATTTTTCCACCAATAAATACGGCACAATCCAGTCATCAAGGGTGTAAATCAGAGTGAACGCGTAAGCTGTGTACTCGTAACATTAGACATTAGAACGATTATTGTATATGTGAATCTTCGAGGAAGGAAGAATAAAAGTCATTTGCTACTGTTGATTTTAATGAAAAATGAACTTCCTAAACTGTACTTTTTTGCAATACGTATTTACGTAAGTATTTCTAATAAGATGTCGATCAAAGTACATATTTATGACATATGTCTCGTTGCAATAAACTATGTCAGCTGTTTAAGATTATAAAAACCTCAAAAGTACCTGGGTGTATTTTTTGAAAACACTAATGATTTCAATACACGTCCAAAGAATACTGAAAACAAAATCTCAAACCTTCCATAAAAACAAAGGTAAACATATTTTGGGAGTACTTATTGCATTAAGCTCCTACTTTTAGCTGTATTCAAAGGTTAGCTTTCCGAAAGACTTACGAGTAAACTTCCTCTTCGTCGGACATGGTTGCGGGTTGTTAAAAAACTCTGAAATCGAAACGAAGTAATTATTAGTGGCGATTGATTGATAGTCGGGTTAGTACTAAAGGCGGTCAATTAAGCTGGCTACCTAATATAAATAAGTCTCGACTAATTTTGTTCCCAAATCTTGGACGGAAAACAAACAATGCAAAATGGTGCTCGTTATAATTAGAACGAGGTGATAGTTCGTCTAGTTACTCTTTAGGCTCAGTGCACACAGTTTAAAAAATTGCGTTGTTGCGGGTTGAGCACTCGAATCACATAAATACACGGGCATATATACGTATACAAGGTGAGTTGGTAGGAAGAAACGACTCAGAATATACCATACGAGTATAACAAAAATATAGGTATGCTAGTACAATAGAGACTCAATGTATAGAGTGTTCTCCTAACAAGAATTCAATGGGTGACTCTTGGAACTATTCTGAAACAATTGTATTTGTTCCTCTCTATTTGCGAAACACCTCTTGATTTCGGAGAAACATACTCTGAAGAAGACGTCGTTTGAAATAGGTTTTTCTTAGATAATTTTCACATATCGTTACTTAAGTTTTAACATTGCGTAACTCAAAAATGGCGCCATCAAGATATCCGTGTCATTCGACAGGGAATCTGAAGATCTACCGTTTCTTTGCTCTTTTAAAAATTTGTTAGTTTTCAGTTACGCTGTGTTAGAACTTAAGCGACGATATAATCCAACAAAAAATATTAACTCATTCAGTTCGCCAGAGACATATTAGCCATAAACACAATGTATTCCTAATTTTTTACATCTTTGTTTAATCAAGACTTAAAAATAATATTTTCGGAAATTGGAACGTCCCTCGATAGTGTTGACTGTTCCATCTATAATATCAACCGTTTTTTAAAAAAAGGTCGCTGGTGACGGATCTGTTATGAGATTTAACCAATTTTCAAAACGGGGGAACTAGCATTTGGAAACGGTTCCATAATTTCTTAAGCTGTACCAAATTTACTCCAACCATCCTCGTGTAACATGAATCCTGTGACCCGCCTCCACGATACAAACACTGGATCCGCCCTTGCATATCTATTAGCAGTGGCATACTATGCAAAGATTGCATCAAACACGCGCTGAATTGGATCCGTTTCCTTTTCGTCTCTGTGACAATGACCAACAATTTACGATGCCCTTTCATACTTGTTAGCAATCATTAGTACAGTATATGTTTTGTCCGACTGATTTTTTCTTAGTAGACCACATTAATTTGTTTGCTTTCCGTTATCTGCTTCCAAGAGAAGACCTCTACCGTACTGATTATTTCTAACAAGCATGAAACTGCGTGGCGTCGTATACTGTAAACAAATCCACTTCAGCCTCAGATATCCGTGTTGGTTTTTATCGTTTTACCGTTTTTACGCTACCGAAAACCTAACCAAAAATATAATCAAATGGTAAATCATGAGTCATGACGTTACTGCGAAGCTCAACAAAAATGCGGCATTTAAATCAACGTCATTGGTACTGTAGTTTTAAATATTTATAAAATAGATTTCGAGGAATGAAATTTGTGTTGACGGTATTATATTAACGTAAAGCAACTAAGAATATAAAAAAGTCATGCATACTCGTATATACCCGGTGATATTGGAAGTGTTAACCCAGAAAAAATAATTTCTTCAACTTGTTTTCTGGCAACATAGTGACTATATTTAGAGCATGGGGTGGTAACAATGTCTACATTTTATCTTTGTTTTTGTTTACCTTTGTTAAAATGCTATCTCTTCAGTTTCTGAGAGCTGAATAGCACATATATTTTTAGTTATTGCTATTTCATTTACTACTGTTAAACATAACAAAATGCCTCGAGCTCGAAGACGTCCAAATTATCACCATCTTAGCGACTTTGACAGGGGTAGAATTATTGCCTATCGAGAGTTTGGTTTGTCCTATCGCGAAATTGGCCGCCGTATTAATTGTACTGCAATGACGGCAATGCATGTGTGTCGTGCGTGGATAGAAGAAGGTAGAGGAACGGGAAGTCTGGTCCACCGAGGCGTACCACAGAGCGTCAAGATAGGCGTTTCTGACAACTAGCTCTACGAGACCGTTTTGCAACTAAGCGTCAGATCGCTGACCAATGGTTTGGAGAAGAAGGTAGACCTGTTACTAATCGTACACTCTATCGCCGCATTCGAGCCTATGGACTTTTTTCCACGGTTAGTACTTCCTCTGAATGCGGACCATGGAGACCGGCGTGATATTGGATTTGCTGTTGAGAGGCGTGCACACAGGACTGTTGAGTAATGGTTTGGGAGGTTATTGCCTATGGTAGCCGATCACCCCTTCTCTTTGTTCAAGGCAATATGACTGCTGCGCGTTATGTTGATGATGCCCAACAAACCACTTTCCTGCCGTATCTAGAGGGCCGACCACACGTTCTTTTTCAGCAAGGCAACGCACGTCCCCATATTGCTCATCGTACTGTGGACTGTCTTCAAGAAGCAGGTATTAATGTTTTGCCGTGGCCCGGATTTAAGTCCCATCCGCCACAGCTCATCCACAAAGTTCGACTTGCTTGTATGCAGCTGCGAGGGTCGCCCAACACATTTTTAATTTTTTTTTCTTATTAATTGTCAATAAAATATCGTGAGAATGTCATCGTTTCATTCTTAATGTAAGACTACCTCATTGCCAAAAATCAAGTTGAGGAAATTATTTTTTTCTGGGTGTAACACTTCTAATGTCCCTAATGTAATTATTCTCTATTGACAAATGAGTAATCTCCAGAAATAAAAAAGTGCATAAACCTTGATTTTGGGTGTTTTTTGAGGAAAAGATTTCCCAATAACCAAAGGTATGTGCTTATGTGTTACGATCCTAAAATTCTTGCGATTCAAATATTTGAACATGCCAGTTTTTAATGTTTCATATTTTGGATTAGTTAATGTTTAAGTAAATTTTTGAATCCGGCATCATGTATTTTTAAAAATTCGTAGACCACATCCATAGTTTACAGAAATTAAATGACTTTATCATAGGATAATGATAGCTACTTTTATATTATTAGAGATTAATATGAAGAACAAACAAGGCGTTTAAGAAATTGATAAGGCGTTAATGAATTTCGATTAATAGGACAATGCCATAAAATTTAATTATTAGCCAACGATTGGAACATATAACACTGTGGGAACCCGCGAATCGACCCCAACCGCACGATGCTGCTCCCCGCGTAGAAGAGTCGCGCCTGCGCCCTGCACCGCCTTTAGGCTGCATGTTCCAGAACATCGAAGAAGGCTCCGTCAAGTCTGATCAAGTCGCTGAGTAAAGACGCCAAGACGACGACGACAACGATGCAAGCAAACTACGTATAACACAAATACGATATATTGTTTGTTATTCTGTTAATATAGTTGTTAATCGGCATACAGTGTTCGTCTGTAACCCCAAACCCCCCGTCCCACAATACTAGAGAATGATTAAGTTCATATTTACTATATCCTGTTTCTGGGCATTCAGGAGCAATCATTTTATATTTGCTTGGAACATAATTTTCTGACTTGCTGTAATGACCGTAATACTGTGTAGCGTAAGTGAGAGGTGTGAAATATTGCACCATTATTATAAAAATAAAGTGGTATACATTGGAATGGGGACGTCGCTTGCCAAAAGATAAAGTTTTAATGTTCTGGAACCAGTTTATGAACGCATACTTTTGAAATTAAATGAAAATACATTACTGAATAGAAATGTCTGGCAGTATTATAGTTGGGGTTTTCCTTTTCAGACACAACTATGCTTGATATAACAAAGCTAATGTGTGATGAAACGTGAGCGAACAAGTAAAAAAAAAAATAAATGAAAAAGTACTCACTGTTCAGTTGAACTGAAATTCCAGGTACGGCTCTGTCGTAAAAGCCGTATTTACATCGTAGTCCTACGTCTTATAACTGCACGCTGGCGGTGGCGCCGTGAACGTGATCGAGGGATAGGACAGGATCGGCTTCGGTTTGGGTCAGGTACGATTGAGTTTACGGAGCCCAATATCTCGGTTCTCTTAAGACATTGGTGTCTATGCTACTAAGAAAATCCGCTTATTTTCTCAAGATGTACACGTCGTGTAGTGGAAAACCAAAACTTTGTATTTCGCATATGTACACGCATACGCAGGGTTCATGTATCGAACAAGAACCACTAGAATATTATTTGGGCGATTCTTCAAATATGTTTGCACAAGTTATATTATAAACAAAACGTCATTTTTTGTTGACCATAATAAGCGCGTGGATCAGTCAGCAACGTTAAGTATCGCTTCACTATAGCCTCTTTTTCATGCTTTCCTTAATGCTCCCCATTCCCCCGACAGATATCGATGAAATCCGAGGTTGACGAACCATTTAATAAATCTCAAAACCATAGCTCATACGTGGCAGTTGGCAGCATTTGTAAGATCAAAAAATTATTTTGAATGTTGGTAATAAGACATTAGGAATATAGTAATAATGCATTTTGTCTCAAGCAAATGACTAAAATAAACTGTCTTCATTCAAAAATTCAGTTAGTTCCAACAAGAAATTTTCAATGAGACACTGACAAATGAACCGCGTTTTGCATAACTTGAACAAGCGCCATTTGATAAATATTCAGGTTTTGCTGTCATCTGATGAGCAGTAGTTCAATTTACTTACAAAACATGCAGCAACATAGAGACCTGCCACTCATGAGCAAACAAATTTTAAGCTGCGTGCCAAACGTAATATTTGTTGTTGTTCGTTTTGCAATACTTGATCAACCGACCAGATGTAACGTTAGCAAACGCAATTCCAATGTCTTGCATAGAGCGACTAACCTTCATTTAATTTGCCGTTTGTCACCGAATGAAAATTTTGCCATAGGCGGTAACGCAAAGAAAATAAGGATATGCCCAAAATAGCACTGTGTGACAGCGTCAGCTTTGTTCAAATAGAGAAAGTAACTAACTACAGAGGGCTCTTCAACATACTTTTATAACATAACATATTTGTGAACTATCTTGAGGATCTTTGACGCAAGATGCTGATGTTCAGATGTATCCTCTTTAGGGCGACAAAATGAATCTATAACTTTGAAAGCAAGCTGCAGTCAGGAGTGTCCAGCCGTCATCTTGAAATTTTCATCTGTTATTTTTACGTTAAAATCTGTGTCAATTTTATCATCTCGAATTTCAACTTTTTGAGAAGAGTTAAAACGTAGCAAACCGTCGAATATATCAGAAAAGGAGCTAGAAAGTTTTAAATAATACTCAAAGATGTCAAGTTTCTGTACAGGGATCAAGTTGGCGATGCAAGTATTGAGGAAGATATTTATAGGTTCAATGGTCAACCGTATTTTGAACTGGAACGATACAAGCTTTTCAGTTCAGGTTCTTGTTTATAAAATATTATTTGTTTCATTTAATTTTTTAAAAAGTACATAATTGAGTTTAATAATACAAAGTTTGACATTGGTTTGGTTTGGAAACATGTTTGGTCCTGGAAATGTTTTAATTTCTAATTACTAGAATATTAAGCAAAAAGAATATTTCTGTAATGTAATACTAATTTTGTATAACATGACCATAGGTTGTAGTTATTGAATAAAAGGAAGAATACACATTTCTTTTTAAAAGCATTACTAGATCAAGCGCCAATCAATTTCGTTAGGTTTCGGGTATAAGAGTTTTTGAAAAAATAATGACAGACCTAATCAATTTCTATTCACAGAGCAAAAATCAGTTAACACAATCGTCCCACTGATTTTTAACGAATCTTTTAAGTTTTGTCAACCCACGCATAAATATCTACAGTCATCTAAACAAATTTACTACATGGTATTGCCGAGCAGCTATTATATTGAATTGATATGATCCAGCGTAATAATTCGTTCGGAATTGTCAAAAACTCTTGTTGGAAAGACCACACAACTATAATAATCCGAGAAAAGTAATTCACCAATATTGTAAATTGTAAGCACATTCATAATTTTTAAAATGCACATAATAAATGGTGAATGCGAGGTACAACGATAGCTGTGAGGTCTATAAACTACATAAGGAGCAGACTTTCAAAAAGCATTAAGTGCAGTTTTTACGAAATTGGCCAAAAGATGGCGATCAAATGTATAGGTTCATCTCCATTTGTCAACCGCTCCTTGGACATCCAAAACGATGTTAAACGATAAATATAACGCCCGTTAATACGTCTAGACTTTCAAAGAGCGTTATTTTTTTCTGCGTTGGACAAACAAATAGACTTTGATGAGCTAGTTAGTGCATGAACGCTTTTTGTTTGTCCAGTATATTTTGGATGAGCAGCAAGTAAACCCTTTTGTTTGGACACGTGTCTCAAGATTGTAATCCTGTCGTAACTTGCTTCAGTTAGCATAGTGATATCGAGTGGGTTAGATCGGTCGGACCATTATTATGGATGAAGAGCATATTGTTGGTGATCAAGACAGAGGCAGTAGAAAACGAAAATGGGGTGCAACATCACGGCAGCGGCAGAAAGAACTACGGTAGATATAGTAAATTATGTTATTTGGGGAATTTTCTCATAGATTGCGGTTTTATTTCTAGATACGATGACCCTGATCCCAACCTTGATGGTTTCAAAGTCTCCTGTAAGCATGGCAGAAATAAAAAACTTTCATGTAAGGATATTCCTTTCGAAGATCTAAGGCGCTGCCGACAAAAGTTTTATTTACAAAAAGACAAGGTTAAGCAAGATACGAAACTATCTCATTTAATTGAAATTGGAACTCCTAGGAGAAAGAAACGTTCAGACCAAAGCTTTACTAGAAACCGCAACATTACTGTGCATTACAGTGTGTGGAGCTCCAACAGCAAGAAAAGAATTTATCAGAAAATGTTTTTAAAAATTTTTGGTATTAGTCAGAAACGCATACAAAATATTTCTAGGCAAATGAAAGCTGGATCGGGTATTTCTGAAAATCGTGGTGGTGACAGACGTTCGCAGAAAAATGTGGAAAAGCGCAAAAAAGTGAAAGCATTCATCGCAAGTTTAAAGGGGCAAGAGAGTCACTACGGAAGAGCGAAATCTAAAAGGATATATTTATCTGCAGAGTACAATATCACCATACTACATAGGCTATACAATGATAGCGTTGAAGAAAGCTATAAAGTAAATTATAAGTACTTTAGTCGCATTTTTTCGAATGACTTTAACATAGGATTCGGTACACCGGCGACCGATGTTTGTGGATTCTGTACGCGGCACCTAAATCTGCTCTCTATGGTGAACGGCCAACGCGAAAAGCAAACTGTTATTACAAATTTAAGAGTACATAAGTTACGAGCAAAGCAGTTTTTTAAAATGATGAAGGAAATATCTGGAGACGGGATGGCATTCTGCTTCGATCTTCAGCAGGTACAACCTCTCCCTAAAGTACCGATTTCAGAGGCATTCTATGCACAGCAACTCTCCTTGTATGTTTTCTGTATCACAGACATACCTTGCAAGCGACCAATTTTCTACTCATGGTTAGAACACCAAGCAGGAAGGGGTGCCACAGAAGTTGGTTCTGCTCTTTACGATTTTCTCAGAAAGGCTGAATTTCCAAAAAACTTGAAAGAATTGACGTTGTTCTCTGATGGATGTGGAGGCCAAAACAAGAACAGTCACATAGTTCACATGCTAATGATGTGGCTACATAAAGAAGCACCAAAAGGCCTGCAATCTATAAGAATGGTTTTTCCAATAAGAGGTCATTCATACCTGCCAGCGGATCGCATTTTTGGACGATGTGAGAAGCTTATTAGGTCCCATATCACACTAAAGTCACCAGAAAAATACTGGGAGTTGTATTCTCAAGTCAGATTGGTTCGAAAGCTTGGGACTGACTGGAAAATATATGACCTGAAATCCGCTTTGTCCACTTTTAAGAAAATCGAAACAATCAGTCATGCTAAGCGAATCTTGATAAAATGGACTTCAAAACAACATGTAGCGGTGAAAACAGAAACCTTTTACAGAAATGACGATGCCAACACCAAGTACTTGACGTTGTTAAAAAAACAAGAAGATTGAAAACTTGAGTTTTCCAAGGTTGCCTTTGAATCATGAAATAAAAAGGACAAAGTTGAAAAGTCTGCATAACCTTTTGGTGCAGCTATCCACAGAAAGATGGCGTGAGGATGAGGAATTGCAATGGCTTCGTCCTATTTTTCCAGAGCCCCTTGAAGAGCTACAAGAGAATAGTGATGAAGACAATGATGAAGATAATGCCCAAGAAGTATGTAACTGCATCGAGGATGATGATGGAGTGAAAGTTTGAATATTTTTCTCTAAGCCTATTTTTTATAAGATTGTATTCATCGGTAAATGGAATAAAGGTATTTTGACTTAAGTTACCGTTTCCCAAACAGAAGGACATTTCACCTTCGGACAAACAAAGTGCATCAAATAGAATCTACTTTTGGTCAAAAAATGGAATTTCTGTGTTTTCCAGGTAATCCTCCTTCACCATCAAAGCCTATCTATTTTCGTGGTATTTGATTCACCAAAATCAAGCAATTGCAGCTACGCATGTTGTCACAGCAGTTTTTTCCACTCTCCTCAATTTATGAGGGTCATAGCATAACGCCTTTTGAAAGTCTGTTCCTCATATATAAGTCTAAGATCTCATGCACAATGTGTTGTAGTCCAAAGTTCTCCTATCATATATCGTCAACTGTCGTATTTTTGGAAAGGAATAGATATAAGTATACAAAATTGTGTCTGGTAATACGTATCCTAGACATCACCACCAGAAGTCAGTAGTTTTTGGTGATCTACCCTGTATGGATGCAAATTGATACTGCCATTTATTCATAATTCTAAACATTTCAATTATTATATTGACTTCAAACAGAAAAAATGTGTATCCTATTTGTGGGATAATGAGCAGCTTACGCGATAATACCATTTTTGATTTTCTGATATTTCAAGTTTAGTAGACCTCTGAAGTTTTACAGATACGCAAAATAATAAAATCTAGTTTGTTCGAATTTGGTTAGTACAATTTTGAGATAATATTTCGTTGTTTATATATTCTGTTCTTCAAACACTATGTTAAATAGGCCCATAGCTGGTAGCGAGTCGTTTTGTAAGACCGCCGTGTTGGCTTAAGGTTATAATCCAAAGCTGGGGTAAATACAGGGTCCGTCAGAAAGAACGCATGTTTTTCGAATGAGTACTACATCGAGTGGGCTGGTCCCGTGTCGGTGGGGAAGGGCGTGTTGGATAGTGGGAGAAGTACCGTTTCAGTTGGCAAGATGGTTTGGAACGTTGAGCATCGTGTGTTCACTGTATGTAACGTGAGTTTCGTGTTTACTTTCGTGTTCCACGTCGTGGGAACAGTACCAGATCGTAACACCATTTTGAGATGGGTGGAAGCATTCAACAAAATTGGTAATGTGATGAAGAAAAAACCGCCAGGGCGAAACCGTACTGTTAGAACCCCCGAAAACGTAGACAGAGTGAGAGTTGACACGCTGCAAAGCCCGAATCGTTCCGTCCGTTTGCGTGCCAGTTCCTTATGGATCCACGCGTCCTCTGTACGTTACATCCTTACAAAATCCAAGTTTGTCAACAACTGTTGCCAGGGGATTATGCACAACTTGTTAATTTTGCACAGCTCATGATTGAACAGTTGGATAACAATGACATGACGTTGTTTATAAGTGATGAAGCACATTTTCATTTACATGGATAAGTCAATAAACAAAATTGTCGATATTGGTCTCCAGTGAACCTCCAACAGTTGCATGAGCACCCTCTGCATACCCCGAAAGTTACAGTTTGGTGTGCAGTTTGCCCAACGATGATTATTGGCCCCTATTTTTTTTTTAGGATGGTGGAGAAACAACGTTTTTTTCCGGAATTTCGACGTCGACGTGTCAGTCTCAGAACAGTGTGGTTCCAACAAGACGGGGCAACATCTCACACAGCTCGCACTTCGATGAAACTTCTTCGGCAAAAATTCCCAGGACGTTTCATTTCACGTCATGGCGATATTCCATGGCCCCCTCGCTCCCCGGACCTGTCAACGTGTGATTTTTTATGGGGCTACCTGAGATCAAAAGTTTACCAAAGCAAGCCTCGGACCCTCGTCGATTTGAAGGAGGAAATAAGAAGAGAACTAACCGAAATTCCTGCACGGATGCTGGCCGAGGCAATGGGCTCATTTCGGGAAAGGCTTGATTTCCGCATTTCGGCTCAAGGGTGCCATATGACCGACATAGTTTTTAGAATGTAAATTTTGTTTTAATTAAAAAAGTGGCATTTATTTCTGAGTATTTTGATATAATAACATATTTTTACCCATACTTATTTTGAATGTTCTACTCATTTAAAAAACATGCGTTCTTTCTTTCTTATAAATAAATCGAACTTTGATGAATTTCGGAGCCAGAATCAATAATTTCAACGGCATGTGTGCTTCCAATTAAGAACTTCGTGAAATGATGATCTACGGCATCGACGACACTTTATTTCTATTGGTGACCTACTCGTGAACTTTCTGAATAATTAATCGTACGTGCAAAATTACTGGTCTTTTTAATATTAGCCAAAATCATCTGCATTATTAAATCTTTTCTTTGATTTCAAAACGATAGAAATCTATTTTTTTGTGTGTTTATAACACAAAAGTAATTATTAATAACGGTGCGTTGAAATCGACCGAGAAGTTTTCAGCACTTAAAAAAGATGTTTGTGCAGTGGCGTATTCTTCATGTTTTCTTCATTATAAATCTTCGTTATTCAAATAATAAGTGCAGTTGAGACAACTTATAAGTACTCCTACTATATGTAATTCAATCAGGGAGTTAAATGGTAATTCACGATAAAAACAACCCAATTGTCGATTGGTGATTCACGTGTGGAATTGTTAAGTAATTTCACATACAACAATTTTTGACTATTAGGAAGATGATTGAAGAACTTCTCGGTTGAGGAATCATTGGTTGCATCCGAAAAAATTGCTTATCTGCAAGTCATATGAGGATCATAGGCTTTGAAAACAAGGCACAATCTCGCAATACCGAGTCCGCCTAAAGAGTGTTTGTTATTCTGTGTCAGGGAAGTCAAATGACACATTGCTGAACGATTGTTATTACGTTGTTATGAGGATCATACACTCTCAAATAATCATTTTATTTGGAGGGGAGAGCATGTAGGATGAACCACCAAAGTTTTCCTTACATTAACTTACAATTAAATTATTTTCCTTCTCATTGATATATTAGGTTTTCCTAGATTCATCTAGATTAACACATGATGTGTCTGAATCGTTAAAAATATGACCATTTTGTTTTTTTCACATTTCTCGATTTGACTCGAAAAAAAAAGTAGAAAGTGAAATATAGGTCGAAAACAAATCCAAGCTATTAGGTGGGAGTGCGTCGAGTGTTCCACAAGTCTGAAATCTGAAAATCACACCGTCGGCCGTCGTGAATCTGTCGGACTGTATTTGGCATCGAGAGCGACGGCTCGCGCCCGCTAAGAATAGATTCACCGAAAATAACCCGTTCGATGTAAACTAGCGAAAATTCTTTAACTCGATTCGTTATACAATCTCTCATGTTTATTGTTATAATTTTTCTGTCGTACGTACAAATTTTTCGCGAGCGTATCATGGCTGAGGGATTGCGATTTATATCGCTTCTATTTCAACATATGGCCGTTTTCAAAAACTGCGTTAATTCTACCATGAAGCTTCCAAAAACTGATGACTATTGAAAACTATTCATTAATAATGCCGAAAACAAAATGCTTATTGTTTTACACTTTGTGTTCGCAATTCGACCTAATGGGATTATTTTAACTTTGCCAAGAAAAGTGCAGGTTATGCTTAGTTAATTTCTTTGTTTTCCTTATACTCATAGCAGTCAAACTACAAAAATTTATCGAACTGAATACATAAATCTATCATATCTGGTTTTTAATAATCCCTAGGTAACAAACATAATATTTAATGAAACTAAAAGCCATTAACAAATATGAACGTCCTCGCAACAATATAAACTGCAACTGATTCGAACTATATAACTATATAAATGATGAAATAGTTTTCAATGTCGCTACCCTAAAAATCGGCTGTTTACGGCTAATGTTCCTAAATATTTCAAATTCTTTTATTATTGTTCCGTTCAATAGATAGAATAGGTGGAGTTTGCAGATCGATCAGTTTATTGATTACTATTCTGTTTCTGTTCTTTCGCTGTTTGGTATATTCCTCATTCTTGTTTGAAGTACCACAAGTCAACTTGAATAATCAGCGACTACCTATGGTCTTTCTATGATTACAAGTGATCAAGTTTTCCTTCCCCTACCAGCGACCAGGACTAAAACATCGTAGCAACTTTCAAGAGCACCGGACAAAGTCAACAGAACTCGATTAGCTTTATGTCCTATCAACAGATTGAGAAATCAACTAATACACCTTAAAAAAGTGGGTTTGTACTTTGTGTTTAACCCTTCCTGAATTAACAACGAATTGTATCGCATGTCAACATTGCTTTTTTATAGATGCATTGGAGAGGGAAGCTTAAAGTGCAAGAATCAGGCTAGTGATTAACTGGTTCAGCCACTTTAGAGACGGTAAATATGACCATATGATTCATTTTTGGCAGACATGATACCACTTCTACAATATTAGAAAAATGCAGTATCTTTTAACATTTATGTTCTTTGGGGGGGCGGGGGGAGGTTATGGATTGGGTTGTTCTTTCGCTCAACCAACTTTGAACTAAAATTTTGCATCACAAACAATGTTATAACTAAGCCGAATGAGCATATAATTATCGGATTCAAATTCCATTATATCTTCTGCTAGTGAGATGGGCAATATTTTGTATAACAGAAATTGGAAAATAAAATTCACCATTTTTGTTGGGCCCTTATCCTCTTGCCTCTGGTGTTGTGTAAAAGCAATAGGAACAATTTGTTCAATGAATCAATGATCTAGGTATATAATTTTAAAAATCCACCAGGAGATCGAATTTCGCATGAGGAAATGATTAAATCATTATTGTTACTTTTACACATTCTCATTTGTTCCTTTCTGCTGTTGTTTAAATTCTTTGTTGATTTGGGATCGTAGCGATATTCAACAACAAAGTATTCATAAATATCCTATAAGACTTTCTCAAAATAAATCCTTGCTTATGTTGCTTAGCTAGCAAATATGGAATCACCAATGCTCAATGATTCTAAACTATACTAAACACTTTCGATTATGAGTAATACATCTATTAAAAAAGAAAAAAAAAACAAGCTTTCGAGACGTGTACA